CAGACACAGCCCCGCTTGGTGCCTACGAAGTGCACCGCCTCCTTCGTTTCATAAGCAATTCTCATCGACTTGTTTTGGATTTTCGTCTCCAGAGCTCGCCAACTAGCTTTTTTCTCGTTCCATTGAATATAATCATTGTTTTCATTTTCTACCTTCACAATAGTACTCCTTGTATGAATATGGATTGGCATGATACATCCTGTCGCAAACTTGATCTCTTTGAGTGCGACGGCCTCCGGAGTTGCATGGGCTGCGGGTCGACTGACACGAAATTGAGTCCCGCCCCATCACCTATCACTCCCATCCCAGCACTCCCGCCCATCAGGCGTGACAGAAAAGAAGTCAGGCTTCTTCGCCTCCCAGCAGGATCATTCGCCGACGAGATCCGCTGCCACGTTGTCGTGGGAGACCTCAGCTTCAATACCGAATATATTGCCTTATCTTACACTTGGGCGGACGACAACGGGGACGACACAAAACATGGGTCCATTTTGGTGGACGGCAGACCATTTCCAGTCACAAAAAATTGCGAGTTCGCCTTACGAAGGGCGCGCTCGGAAATCCACACGATCGTCATCTGGGTGGATGCTATTTGCATAGATCAAGACAATGATGAAGAGCGTGGGCACCAGGTGAAACTGATGCCTCAGATATACTCCCGCGCACAGAGCGTCCTGATATACGTTGGAGAATCGACCAAAAGAAACGTCTGTGACATAGAATCCCTGAAGGCGTTCGATATCCGCGTCACCTTGGAACAGCTTTTCTCGAGGAGATATTTCTCCCGTGTTTGGATTCTTCAGGAGATAGCCTTGGCCAAAACAGCTCTATTGGTATCCGGTAACGACTCAATTCCTTGGGCAAGGGTGGTTGAAGCGGCTGGAAGGGTGATCGAATTGGATGAACGACCCCCTGTCCTGGACTTAAATCGACAAGTATGCCTGCTACCAAGGCAAGAGTTGAGACTCCTAGACTTGGGTAGGCAGTCTCAAGCAACAAATCCGCGAGATAAAGTATTCGCTCTCCTTGGACTGTTGCCGAACAGGTGCATAGGCCAGGTTGAAGCTGACTACACCCTGACCGTCGAGGAGCTTTACACAAAGGTCGCGCTGGAATTGGCTTCAAGTTACGATTGGTCCGACGTCCTGGTGCGGGCAGGGGCATGTCAACGAACAATATCGGCATTGCCATCATGGGCGCCAGATTGGAGTTTTAATAGATTGCCTGACCCGATACGCTGGAAATCCAATGAGCCGAATGCAGCAGCTCAACTGCGCGGTCCATGGGCACGCCTGGGAAACAAGGGCCGAAGCCTCAATGTCCGTGTTTTTCGAGGCAAAAATTCCCGTATGATGTCCCCAGACATCGGATACCATGAGACGCTTCGCTGGTACGCTCCGCTTTCATGCAAGTCACGATCATCCACATATTTGTGGATTGACAAGAGCGATATAATCGCAAAAACGACCATGGGGGGGCTTTGGTCCCTTAACATGGACTTACCACAATCACCTATACATGTTTACTTTGATCAGAGCTGTGTCATGCTTGACCTCGTACCAGACTTTGACGGCACATGGACTCTGTGGCAGGCGTCTTTGGAGCCACAAACCCACTATTGTATACCGATCGAAGATGCACTAGATCTCTCTACTCTCAACTTGACTCGCTCGGAACAACTGAAACCAGCCACATTTCTGAGCCCGCAAATACTATCTCCATCTTTCGCTGAAGCTCCAGAAGAGGATATGTGGATGATGAGGTTCTACGGGCCAACTGACCGTCGAGGTTTGAATTTAAGCTCGACATTTACGGGCCACGCATCAGTAATCGAGGCCAATGATAGATTCTGGCGGTATCTAGTGCGGAAGTACCTCGTGCGAGAAGAATGGGTTAAAATATACTGAGAATACCAGGTCTTCTCGTAACACAGACACGCATTCAATTATTTAGGTCATATGCAAAGTATATCAAGTACATATCATGAAATTGATAAGATAGTATTTAGGTCGAAGCTGAGCTTCCTCATGTTCAACCGTCATATTAGGTCAGTAATTAATCAAAATTTCTAGGGATGCATATATTTGTTCTTCGACCTGAGCTCATACGAAGTGGAATATATGATTAATGGAGCGTAAGAAACATGTCTGGAGTCAATCTTACGGATGTACTAAAGAGAGGTGCTGGGGAGCTATCTAAAATACCCGAGCAGGTGATCTGCGGCGAGTACTGACTATGTCAATGCAACAGCCTCTCAGCGCGCAACGTCACAATGACACTGCGAGAGAACAACGACCGTTTAGGTTCAAAACGACTACAGCTAGGAAATAATTTGATCAATTTGAACGAAGAATCCTCTTTAAAATCTTGGAAGTGCCTGATACATCACACGTGGATTGCCATCGTAATTACAATCAATATGCAGCCAGCTTGGTCTATTATGAATTAAAGAGTTAATTGTATAAGTGGAGAAGACACGGGTACTTGTCAAATAGTCAGAGGTTTTCCAACGGCACGATAGCAATGTCGTCTCAGATGTCCAATCTACTGGTTCAGGGTAACGGCGACACTGTCGAACTTGATGACACCCTGCGTCACGCCATTCTGCACACCCTCGATGTAGAGCGTGGTCGAGGCACTGGTGGCGGTAAAGGTGAAGGACGCCGAGTACCAGGCGCCCTGGGAGGGGCAGACGAACTGGCCTGAGTTGCCGTTGCCGGCCCAGGAGTAGATGGCGAGGCCATTGTTGACGGTCGTGCAGTCGTAGCGGTATTGCACCGTGTACGAGAAGCCGACGCAGGTGTCGAAGGTCTGCGAAATGAAGCCAGCGAAGCCGCCGTACTTGGACGTGTCCGGGTTCTTCATGGTAACCTGTGCGGCGTAATTGCCGGCGTCGCCGCCGGACACGATGGACCACGCGCCACCGGCTCCGCCGATCGGGTTGTATGGCGACCAGCTGGAAAACGAACCCTGCTCAAAACCGCCGTTGGCGAGGGGGTACTTGGCGCACGCCTTGGTCACCACAGTCGTTGCCTGCGCCGTCTCCGTTGCCACGGTCACGCTCGTCTGCGTCTCCGTGACCGTCACGGTGCTGGAGACAGTCGAGGCAGCCGGAGATGTCACGGCCATGCTGCAGGCTGACGTCACGAACTCGGCCGGGTAGCTGGCGAGTGCCGTCGGGGTTTCGATGGATGCTGCAGCGCCAGAGTCGACGGTGGTGATGGGGGTAGGCGCCCGCTTCTTGTTGTTGATTATGACGGCCGTGGTGGTGATGGTGGCGTAGTTTGTGATGGTGACGGTGGAGCTCTCCGTGAGCACAGTGGTGGCCGTGGCAGTTTCGTAAGCCGTTGTAACCGGGGTGGTGTAGCCAAGGATGCTAGAACAGAAGGGCTGCTCGTTGTCCTGGTTGATGATGGCAACAGCAGTCTACGGATAACATTTGTTAGCCTTGATTTCATGTATATGAGGGGGGCAAGAATGGGGAAAGAATGGTGCGTTGTTGGCTAGTGTCAAAAAATGCATACCGAAAGGACATCGCTCTTCAAGATGGTCGAGGTGCTCGTGGCGGTTTCAGTGGCGGTGGTCGTGGTGTAAGCGTAGGGAGTGAATGTCGTGGTGTTGGCATAAGTCTGTTACTGATTGTCAGCATGGCGTCTGCGCAGAATCCGAGGTTTGAAGAGGAGGTTTGCACATACAGAAGCGGTCGATGTCAGAGAGAGCGTGGTGGTCTCGATCTCGGTAGTAGTCACAGAAGGCGTGGGAATAGACAAACAAGAGCATGCCGAGGACACCTCTGCCGGCATCAACATGGTCAGCGGCGTTGGGATGGTAACTTTCCCGCAGCTCTTCTTGGTCGGCTTAGCGTCACGCCTACGGACAGTGGGCGTGAAGCTGTCATCAGACGTGGTGTAGACCACAGAGGTGGTCGTCACGATCCTGAGGAAATTATTAGTTACCTAGATCATAATCCTCATACAATGACGACTACGTACGATACGACAGTGGAAGTGGCGGTAGGGTCAGTGATGACATCTGTGCCAGTCGCGAGAGTGGTAGTGGCGTTCGAGATCCTGTCAGATGTTTAGTACTGTACAAGTAGCTATGAGAGGTGTCGAAAGAAAGTACATACTTGGTGACCGTGCTGGTCTCAGTGAAAGTCTGGGTAGAAATGCTAAAGAACGAAGAGCAGAAGGCAGTCGCCGACGCCGGGGACCCCAGGGACGTGACCACTGGGTTCACGAGACCGCATGCCGTAGAGGAAGAGTTGGAGTTGGTGACGTTCCGTGCATCCAGAATTCCGTTGGCCGGTACGGCAGAAACCAAAGAAGAGAGCGAGCCCAAGGCAATGACGGCGTTACGAATGAGAGACATGGTGGGCAACGAGGACCGGACACCAGAATAACCGTTTCTTGTCTATGGGATGTTGTTGGCTTGGAAGCTGGACATAATCGTAACAAGTGGCAGCATCGTGGGATGCTTGACTTAATATATCAGACTGTTTTCGCCCCAATGCAGCTTTCTCGATGTTGTGATTATACTCCATGAACTAGGCGCATTCCTTTGAACTAGTAGCATTCCTATGAACTAGGCGCATTCCTATATGAATTGAGAACTTGGTTAACGCCCGCTGGATACACGTCTATCCTCTTTCCGTTAGTCGGACGCATGCTCAGCTTGACACTAGATGACGGGGAAATTGATCTTGAGTAACGGCATTCACGCACCCAGCGGCCAACAACGGGTCATGCTGAGCAATTGGGTGCCTGCACTCAATCGTCTGCATAATCCGAATGCTTCGGATAACGGAGCTGAAGGTAATGGAAACCCCTGGGTATGCCATTCAGGGTCCTATGGAGGCGCTAAATCTGGCTAGATCTCAATAGCTGACAGCCACGCGATATAAGAAACCAGCCGCATTGGGTCGCTGTGCATCTAGTCTGACGGGAGCAGTAAATCCCCTGAAATTGGGCTGAGCAGAATGATTAAGCTCTGCAAGCTAAGCAGGGGATGGCACTTTAGCCCGCCTAAATTCCGTCGGCAAGGCCCTGTATGACATCGCTGAGGATCCGCAGAATCGCTAACGAATCATGTTCTCCTATGTTCAGACGGTTGCCAAAAGAAGAGAAAAAGAAAAAAAGAAATCAGCCAGATATACCAAAATTACATGCTACGGCAGATATTTTCATTATCGTAGAAATTTTGTATCCTTGATATTGATTGACTTTCAAGTTGTATCCGAATCATGTTGCATCTCGAACAATACTGCGCTATGAAATTAGCGGGTTCTAGCGGGGGAAAAAACTCGGATTCCAGGGGTATTTCTATTAAGCTTATAGCGGGCAATCCACTAAATTCTTTAAAAAGCCAAATTCTACAAATTTCAAATTTTAACATTTTGCTCACTCGACTTCAGAACACTGGGCCCGTGCGGGCAGTTGTGGTTCGATATTTCTACGGAGAGCGGCCAGACTTCCATCCACATAGTGCTAAATTGTAATTAGTCACTGAACACGAGCAGTTTCTATAGGGCCGACTTAATCGAATCTGCGTGGTTTTCATTCGGTGGCGTGACTCTGGGCAGGATTTGACGGAGGCTTTGCAATAGTTACATCTTTCTAAGTTACCACATGTGTAGACTCACTTGGCAAGCTCGTCGGACTAATATGGCTCGTTTACCCAACGGCCCCGCGCCTGGGTTTGCTTTGGGCCAGACATCAGGGAACCGCTGGGAAGTCAGTGAAAGCTTTTTCGCAAAAAAGCAAGACGTGATACCATCTTTCATATATATGGTCCTCGGGTTATCTCTCGAATTGTCCCCGGACATGGCGGAACACGGAAATCTGAGGCTTTTGTGAAGACCTGTATCGTTCTCCACTACTCAATGCGGCGGCTGAGCGAGGCTTTCCCACTAACGTAAATCCATTGACCAAGCCCCACCATCCCAAAGCCTCTACGGCGTGGCGCCTCATGTGGACGACTGACCTCCAGCGCGGCTCCGATGGGGTGAAATGAGGAATATCTTGAACAGGAGACATCATGTCGTAAATCTCATGAGCAAGGGAAGGATGGAAAACAGAGGTGGGGAGGCTGAAGCGACGGCCGAGCCCGGTTAGAGAACGGGCCGTGGTAGGATTTATACGGAGGTAACCTTAGGCGTGGCGGAAACTACGGTCGGCCGGGCTGAGTTGGCGCGCCAAATGCGTTGCGAGTTATTGTTTTATTCTTAGGCATAAAGTCGTCTTAAAAGTGAGGTTCTGGAAGCCGAATAGGAGGTATGTATTCCAGCTGTAAGAGTCAAAGCCAAAGCGGGTCATATTTTTGACAACCCAAAATACAACCACGGCTGGCAATACGAACCATCATCCACTGGGTCAACAATCAGAGGTACGTATTTGGAGTGCCACTCTCCGTGGACTGCCGCATCAAAGCATGCCTCTGGCCGACCCAGTCGACGTGCCTTACAGTTTTCCCAACAGGAAGGATACCAGCCCAACTAGCCCCATTCGAAAATCGCAACCACTTTCGGGTTTGTTCCTGTGGACAGAAGATATAGCCATAGAAGCTCTAAGTTTCGCCCTTGACCCACGCGTAGGGTAATGATCTCGACGGATTGGACTTTACTACCATACAGTAATATAGCATGTGTATCAAAGCTAGTTGCCGCGTCCCCATTCCCCATCTGTCTGAGTGTTTTTCCAGCAATCCTATGATTACCACATTTCACTTCAGGAGACTATCTCTTCCTGAATTGAACTTCCAGTCCTTGCTTACTGAGATGTATGCATCTACCACTTGAAACTGCTTTCTATCTCGTTCACTTCAGTCTAGATTAGGGCCGCTCTCCCCCAAAGTTGACCCCGGTGCTTTTCTCAAGTCAAAGCGAAGAAGTGTCCTACCAACCACAAACATGATCTCCGCCATTGTAGCCTATTATGAGCCATTATCATAATATGTTAACAACCCTGACCTGAAAGCATTTGTCATCGCACTGTAGACTATTAAATTTTCATCATGTACTCATTATCAATATATTATTGCGCCATTCAAATAAAGAGAGTTCTAACTTCCATTACCTTTCAAATTCCACACATAACCCTCATGCCTAATGGTCCATCACAAGCCGCCCGGTCAGCAGCATTCAGGTCAAACGTCCTTGGATCAGTTACGGTAGCACTTGAAACTGGTCATCTTGTTATCCATGTTATTTGGGAGCATTTCAGCACCCGGGGCATATATGTCAGGTGTGCTATCGCCATTGCAGACATTAGAACTGGATAAAATATTAGTATCCCTATTCCACCTTTCCACCTTATTTGTGTAAACTCACCTCCAAAGCCTGCAACGGAATCCGCTGGGCACCTTCACCGAGCTGACTACATCGTTCCAGTCCGTGCCACTGACGCCAACTGTGAAACAATGACCATATTAGACGCCCAAAGCGCGGACACATGTCATGTGGAATAACTTACTGCACTGAGTCTGCGTCTGAATCGTCCAAGATTTACAATTTCCTCTATAGCTAGTATCAGTGCACCCAGTGAAAGTCGTGGTCTCTCGGATAGGGACGTTAATTGGGTTTGCCACTGCTGCAGGAGAGGCTCTAGCGAGCGAGAATATGGCCAAGCCGGGCAGGAGAAGGTTGGCGTACATCTGCATCTTGAGCGTGATATTGCAGTGTTTGGAATATCGAGAAGAGGATAATAGATAAGTTTATTGAAACGAGGATAAGCAGAATAGAGAACATATGAAAATTGACTTTGAGATGCTTTTATACTTGAAAAGCATGTTAGTCTATGAGGTCTTTACACAATAATCTTTTTTCATCCAGTTGGAAAGTCTCACCACTGTCTTCCCGTCCCGTAACTCTATCTGATCGTGGCATTTGCTCACCGACAAGTGAAGTTATACAACCATTACTGGCTCGTTGGTGCAACATTTGTCTGATGTTCTCGTATAGGAAAGTATGACGTCAAAGAATATTCAACTCCACCATTCCCAAGCATTGAAATGTCTTCCCCACCAGATGGCTTGCCGAGGTGAAACATTCTGTAAAGACCTTTTGGGAAAATGACCATGCTACTAGGTTCGAAGATGCCTGCTTCAATTTCCTTGGTACCGTCACACCAGTCTGACGTGAGGCTTGTGTTGATCAGTCTTTCACTCTCGATGTCTCCACCCTTTCGCGGCAGAGACAAGCCGCAGTCAGCTCACCGAGTCTGCGCCGGCAGAAAAGCAAAAAGTCTAGGTATAACCATGAGTGCATCCTGCCAGTACCTCTGTTATTCATCAAAGTAGGTTTGTATTTTGCACATAAACGAGAATACCTTACAATCGGCGAAGAATGCAAGGAAAGAAATGGGAATGATCCTATGGAACTATGCCGGGAATAAAATGGATGATTAGCTCGGCGCCACAGTTAAACGGTACAACTGCCTAAGTCTTAGCCTCATATGTCTCATATCACTAATCTTTTCCTGGAGCCAAATCTATATTGGAATCTACGCTTCCGAGCGGAAGCGGTGGCTCGTGATATCATCTAATAGCAACCTGTGTAGTCCAAGATTCTCACAATAATTAGAAACCATGTTAAGATTATGACAATTGTAAATTGGGTTCTATCAACACGTCCGATTCCTTAGGTCGATCAAGCTAATGATCCCATCAAAAAGCTTTATGAAATGTCAGCATAGATTTTCTTTTGGTTAGGTGTAAGCTTTGAGAATTTGCATGAATTTGAATATTTAGAGACGGGGCGGGAAGTAAGTAACGTCACGTCAGCATGATTCTTGCCCCTCCGCGTAAGACAATGCGAAGCTGACACTTCAATTCTTGCACTCTTGGTTCTGGAAAGTGTTTGGAAGGTCCTTTTTACGTCCCGGGTTCGTTTTAGACGATCCAAGAAGTCTTTCTTTCCTGTCGAGGTTGTGCCACTACGTAGCCAAGGAAAAAAAAAACAGCCTAAAGGATTCCTGCCAGGTCCTTGAATCCATACATAAGCGTTTTCGTTGTGGCATAGTGACTTAGCATTGTCATCGGTTTTTTTAAACGCGCCTCCAGATGATTAGGAGTTAAGACACGTTGGGTTATACAATGACGCCATCAGGAGATGATACTGAGATACAGGGTGCTTACCAGAGGCATGACTATGAGCTTATTTAACATCGCACACAGGGCGTCACATCATGACTTCCCCATAATGATTTGAATGTTTATTCATGGCCTCGAGTCATTTCAGAAGGAACAAGCTCGTGTAACTTCAGATGTGCAAATACAGATTCAAATAGCCAATCATACAGTAATATATGCTTAAGCCCTTTGATTTTTGACATTGACCTATATGTCCGTGCCCAACACCCTTGCTAGTACTCAGCCAGGAATTCGCCGCACAACTTCATTGACCTTTCCCGTTCTTCCCAGTGCAACATGTGACTAGAATTCTCCAGCGTGACCCACTTGACCCGAGGGATGTGACGGAACCATGGCTCAATACATAAATCCTGTGCCTCATCATATTTTGCATTCAGGAGTACGGTTTCTACCTGAATGTTCTTTGCGTTCTCACCGATATGCCAGTCCCTAAGTGTTCCGGTGACTGTGAATTCTGAAGGCCCACATCTAGGAGGCCTATTAATATTCGTTCTATCTGGGTAAGTAGGAAAAAGGTGCTTACATGGTCATGTATGCCGTAGGGTCTTCTTTGACATTTTGAAAGCACAACTGAATGTCTTCGGGCATTGGGTCCATCCGACAAAAGTGTCGCGCGTAGAAGACTCCAGAGGCCTGCTCGAACTCGGGGCTCTCATAGTCACCTCGGCGCTCACAATCCTCGATGATTTTGCGTACATCTTCGGGCAGTTGGGATACAAGCTCTTTGCAACCCTTTGCGTACAGCGGCATGCTGGACGGTGCGCTGGCCAGGATGAGCTTCTTGAGTCCAGACGGAGCACTGGCAGCGTAAACACCACCCAGGATACCGCCCCAGCTTTGTCCAAACAAGTAGAAGCCCTTCTCACGCAGTCCCAGGTGCTCGATGAGGTTTTCAAGTTCCTTAACGAAGAGTTCGACGGTCCAAAAGGACGCATCCCCCATCTTCTCTGGGAAATGGGTAGAGCGACCACAGCCAATTTGATCGTATGTGACAATTGGGATGCCACAATCGTTGTATACGTCGTACAAGGGTGACAAATATGCTTGACCTGCACCAGGGCCACCGTGAAGACCTATCAGTGTCGGTTTATCGAGTTTGCCTAGAACTTTGTACCATGTTCTGCATGGCTTTCCCGCATCTGGCACATGTAGGTCAACCTCGCCTTCGAAAATTGGTGCTGCCGCCATGTTTAGAGGGGGTTTTCTTTTTCTTTGGAATATAATGTGTGAGGGGAAATGGTATGGTATGCGGATAGTAAGTGAGGTTCAATGGGCTGCGGAAGACTGATGTAGTGATGATGCTAGGAAGAGTCAAAGGGATTGTCGCACATTTTGAAACAATTAAACTAGAGCCCTTGCAACGAGTGGAGGACTCACGTCGCTTAGTCCTTCTTGTTTTCGTATTGAATCCTACGGTATGACCAGTGGTTGCATTCGCATCAGGGGCCTATGCGCGAGATGGGCGCATGTGCATACTGGTATCTGCGGCATAGGGCATTTTCCGGTTCTGCTGGCTAGCAAACATGGGAGTTGTTTCCAGGTGATAATGGTTAGTAATGTCTATCACCCAACGTTTACCCCAATCAATATTACTGTTGATCGTGTTCTAGCCGTTTTCAGGTTGGTGATAATGCGTCATCAGTGCATGTGTAGGTATTGACAAAGTCGCATTTACAGTACGACGATATACGTCCCAACAACCAACGTACATTAGCAATATGTAATCAGAAGTCCCAGACCGACATGGCTGTCCAGAACCCCGCTGCACTCTACTGCAAGGAAGCGCTTGCTTTGTTTCGCTGCAGTACCTAGCGCCTTCGCCGCGTGCTACGCCACTCCATCCCACTCCATCCCACTCCAAGACATCGTACTAATGTCCGCAGCAAGAGATATTCCAAGGGCAACATGATGTTGCAACGAAAGTGCGGTGCATTGCAAGCATGTTTATTGTATTAGATAGACAGATGTAGAATCACAGAATGCTAGAACCAGAATCAATTAGTCATTCCAGTATTAGTAGAGACTATAGAAGGCCTAGAAGACTTTCTATATATGCAAATATCTATACTGGGGTAATATCTATATTGGGGTATAAACCCGTAATGTATAAGGCTGGGCACTGATCTCAATAGTCGCCATCACACCATCTCAAGCCTTGTATTCAAATTCCTGATTCACGAGCTTCTCACTCAACTTCCAAAGTTTATCTGCATTGACCTCACTGCTGGCGGACTCATCGCTTTGCGTGACCACGCTGTTCTGGAGGTAAGCTGGCGACTTGGCGGGCAAATCTGGGTCTAGCGCCGCAATGAGAGGCGTAGCGGCAATCTGCTCAAAGTTCTTGAGTCTGGGTTCCTCCCAGACAAAGTCTTTGCCCGTGTTCTGCTTGGCGATGGGCTCGATCTCGGCAAAGTCATCCCATGTCAAGTGCTTGGCAAGCTCGGTATCGCCATTGTAGCCGGGATGGGCGGCGGTAGAGGTGATCCCATGGGATTGTAGCCGCTTGGTCAGGGCGAACGCGAACAAGATGTTGGCCGTCTTTGCCTGACCATAGGCGGTCCAACGTTGGTAAGTAGCACCGTTTGAGAAGTTATAGTCGTCGAACAAGACAGGGCTGACGAGGTAGGCACCACTGGTCAAATTCACGACCCGAGCACCACCATTGGACTTGGCAGCGGCTTTCAGCCCTGGGACTAACAGGTTGGTCAGGAGGAAATGGCCGATGTGGTTGGCGGAGAATTGAATCTCAATGCCCTGCTTGTCCAGCATGTAGTCCTTGATGGCCATGTTACCAGCAGAGTTGATCAGGACGTCAATGGTGGGAGCTGCTTGAAGGATTTTGACAGCGGCTTGTCGTACCGAGGCATGATTGGAGAGGTCCATCTGAACAAATGAGGTTCTGATAGTTCCATTAATGGATTGAATGGCACGGATAACTGGTTCGACTTTACTTAGCGACCGAGAAGCGATGACAATTTGAGCAGGTCCAGCCTTGGCCAGGGCGACTGCAAGCTGGCTGCCGATGCTGGGCTGACCAGCGCCTGTGATCACAAATGTTCGACCTTTCACTTGTGAACTGAATGCTTGGAGGACCTCTCCCTGGGTTGTGGATCCATTAAATTCAGGCATGCTGGAACTACTCCGGAGCTCACTGGGGTCTGATGTTGGCTTCTGTTTATGCTTTATTGTGTGGATGGGGAAATGAGAAAGATTCTGCTTAAATTGACTTGATTCGATGTCAGCAGCCCTTGAGTCCGCATAAAAATGACAAGACTACTTTTGTATCGCAGACTCAACTCTAATGACGTGAATATTTATATATTACTATCTTGCTCATCACTAGCATAACGCCAGAAGTGCTACTAAGTTGCAACGAAATCCGCGAAGCCAGTCGAGCGGCCGCCCCAAGGCGTTATGGCCTTCGGAAATAAGCCGTAATACCGTTCACATAGGTCGTGACATCTGTGCAGCCGCGCCTGTGTTGTTCCGATTGCTGAACTAGGCATGTCAGCCTTAAATCCTCTATAGTGCCGCGCAAAGACCAACTGCACTTGGGAGACAACTCAGGCATGAGGTGATTACCACAAGTGATCGTTGCGAGTGTCATTCTGCCAAGGCCTCGATTGTGCTGCCACCTGTCTGCAACTGGCAGTGGCCAAGGATGCACTTATGCCGGGCTTCGTATCAGCAGCTTCTGTGTCTCGATCGTGTTTGTTATTTCTTACAGCATGTTTGCATTGTGTGTATTGTCTTGCAAGGCTGCATATTTGTAATGTCAACTCTCTGGATCGATCACGTGTTGTGCAATAATCACGCATAAATGTGAATAGCGGAAAACTTGGTACCGAGTCCACTCTGCTCTATATTACTTGCACACCAGAAGCTAAGCATAAGTTATTTTATATGGATTTAGCAGGGAACCTTCGGAGAGATTTCTTCCTTTTTCGTTCATGATTAGATTACATGGGTATTTATTTATTTTTATTTCCAAGCTATCTACCCCTTATTCCAATCCAGCCGCAGGAAAATAACTTGGCCGACGACTTTTTAACAACAACTTCCTTTTTTATAAGCGAGAATGTCTATAACCCTGGTAAACCCTCCGTAGATTCCTTTCCACCAATTCGTTCGTGCTCTGGACACAGAACACGAATGCTGGATCATCGTCACTTATTGTTCGACTCGGAAGCACGGTGTCCAAAATAGCGAGACCCGCTTCCGAGTACCGCGTTGCGGGCGGAGCATCCGGACAAAACCTAAATTGACGGGGCGCTCCCGGGGTTTTCTCATGGATACCCTTGCAGATATTGCCAGAGGTGCCAATTATGTTATGCGAGCTTAAAGTAATACGCAAGGTACGCGGGACTCGCATATGTTAGTGCGCCCGTGGCTCCTGAATACATTGCTCTCCGTGGACACGAAATACGAGGACAGGACATTCTAAATTCTTATATAATGGTGCGCCTCATACCTTTCTAATAGTCTGGCATCACCACACATCGTCGCTTAAATTCAGTATGTACGTCTCAAAAACCATTTCGGCTACGTCTTCGATGCTTGCTCTCGTGGCAGGCCAGGCAACACCAATATGGGAGACACTACCTCCAACACCATCACTTCCAGGAAATGCTGCTGGCTCGCACACGCAAATAAATGGTGTTGAGATATGGCATGCGGAGTTTGGCACACCGTCTGCTGAGAAATTGCCAGTCTTGATGCTTCATGGTGGTTTTGGCAACTCGGACTACTTTGGTTAGTACATAAACCCAGCTTGATTTTTCTGTCCGCACAGAGCTGACGAGCAATATAGGAGACGTGATCGAGATCTTGATGAAAAATCATTACGTTATTGCCATGGATACTAGAGGACACGGCCGCAGCACCATGGACAGCGTGCCTTCCACCTACGAACTCTACGCGAGTGACGCCTCTGGTCTGCTGGAGTCACTAGGAATTTCCAAGGCCGCCTGGGTTGGCTGGAGCGACATGGCAATGGGGACCTACGCTGCTCTCATGGACGCCCAAAACAGCACCTTGATCGACCGAGCTTTTGCGTTTGGCGGGGGGCATGAAGTTGCCTCGACCAACGCCAGTTTCACGTCGACGGCCATCTACACTGAATTCGTCACCCGTGCGCAGGAAGAGTACCAGACTCTGCAGCCAAACGGCAATCTGACCGCGTTTGCGAACGCAGTTTCAACGCTAGAGGGCACACAGCCCAACTGGACCGAGTCTGACTTTGCCAAGATCCGATTGGGTTCTAAGGTGACGGTCTCGGATGCTCAGTACGAAGAGGCCATTGTTCTGAGCGAACCTGCACTGCTGAACAGTTGGATTGAGGGGAGCGTGCTGGTAACAATGACCAATGTGAGCCACTTTGCTCCAGTACAAGACCCCGTCCAGTTTGCGGCAAAAGTCGAAGCATTCTTGACAGAGTAGAGTTTATACTGCAGAAAAGAACTTCAGAAAAAAAAAAAAAAAAAAAAACTTCCTGTTCTGCAACCTTAACCAGCAAGTATAGTATCGCGTGCCCGCTGAAATCAGCAGCAAGGGTCAAGTAAAGCGTTGCCTTCTTTCCTAAACATCGCGACAAGCCGTTACTATGGTGGGATATGTCGACCGATACAAACAATAGAGCTTACATTGTAGCCTGGTGTTTCTACAATCCTTTCGCTATAGGGAGAAGTCATTCCAGTGAGCTATTTATCAACTGCAATAGAAATGATGGTCCACTTTCAGTTACTGCCGCTTATATAAGCGGCTTATTCCAATCGCGAGTTGTGCCGAAGTGGATTTTCGCGACGCTGAAAGACAGCAAGTTTGCCCTTCCAACTGCGGGGTCCCCAGATGGAAACATTGGGCTGGACATTCCCAATGGCCGTCTTTCGGACAATTCTGCACATTAGCTCCATGTAAAATTTCCTTTCCCAGTATTGCATCTCGGCGTCTCAGTAGGTCAATACCCGCTGATATTTGACGAGGTAATAAAGTACCTGATGGTAAAGTGCAGAAACAAGCCACGCAATAAGTTGCTTTTAAACATTTATTCGCACGTTCTTTCGAATTTCTTTTGTTAAAAAGATACAGAGTGAAAACGATAAGGCAAAGCGCGCAATAACTAGAGCTAAGCAATCTGGGGAGATTGACCTGCAACTCAATGGCTAATTTCTTTTGTATACGTATCGTGTAAAGGCTTGTGTTTCTACATTCAATTGACTACTTCTACCTTTAATATTGTTTCTGTCTTTCACAATCCTTCCTTTGTCACGGAAGCTGTCCAATCATCCCAGCATCACTGCGTATGATATTCACTTTTCGTTTCTGCCATCGGCCACCAGAGATAACGGCGCAAGCCCTTTTGCGAAATGGAGAAAACAGCTTCTATACCACAACAGTCGGCTGTCGTTTCGACCACACCACCGACAGATGAATCTGCAGACGACTCAATCGAGTTTACGATTCGAGCACCTTTCGATGACTTCCCAGACGGCGGACGCGACGCATGGCTCTGCGTTTTTGGAGGCTTCTTGGCCATGTTCTGCTGTTTTGGTCTTTTGAACTGTGCTGGTGTCTTCCTCGAATATTATGTTCAAGGCCCCCTTGCTGCAGCCGGTCCTAGCAATGCTAGTTGGATCACCAGTATCCAGATCGCTATACAAACCGGTAGTGCTATATTGGTAAGTGTTTGCAACGTTCAAATTAGCCACCTTTCTTCCCATGGAAACAACAATTGACTTTTAAGCTAGTGGGGACGACTTTTCGACGCCTACGGGCCCCGGAGACTTATTTTTATTGGTTCTATAGTCTATTGTTTCGGCCTCATGATGCTATCTCTGTCGACCCATTACTACCAGTTCTTCCTCTCCCAGTCGATCGTGGCCGCTGCAGCCTCCGGAGCAATATTCAACGCATCCATGTCATCTGTCGCAACATGGTTTTTCAAGAGACGGGCTGCTGCATTTGGCATTATGAATGCTGGCTCGTCTCTCGGCGGCGTTTGCCTGCCGATTATGATGAACCATCTCTTCCGACAAATAGGGTTCCCGTGGACTATTCGCGTACTTGGATTTCTATTCCTCGCAATGTGCGGCGTCGCTTCCATGACCATTAAATCGAGATTGCCCCCGCGACGCACACCCTTTCTTCTGAACGACTATATACGGCCTTTCCAGGATCTACCTATGGTACTTACTATGCTCGGCGGCTTTTTCTTTTTTTGGGGAATGTTTCTGCCTCTTAGTTACATCATTCTCCAAGGCCAGAGCGCAGGCATGTCAACTACACTTGCTGAATATCTACTACCAATTCTGAATGCCGTGAGGTGAGAGTTTCGGGATACCATATAAAGTAGATTCACGACACTAACTTTGGAAAGCATTGTCGGTCGTGTTGTATCAGGATTTGCAGCAGATAGGATTGGCCGCTATAATGCAATCATCCTTGTTGCCTTTTTATCAGGCGCATTCACGATTGCTTTGTGGATTCCTGCAAAGACCTCGGCAACGATTATTGCATATGGTGTTCTCTTTGGCTTTGCCTCGGGAGGGTTTATCCCACTTGTCCCGTCTTGCATTGCGCAAATCTCAGATATCAAGGAAATCGGCACGCGGACGGGAACGGCGTCATTTCTACAAGCCTTTGGTGCACTGTCTGGATCGCCAATCGGTGGTGCGCTTATTGATCAAATGCACGGAAGTTATCTAGGGCTACAACTCTTTTGTGGCCTTTCCATGCTGGTAAGCGTTTTATTCTATGGCGCTGCAAGATATGTTCAAGCGGGCTTTCGAGTAGAGCGGGTCTGAAAGAAGATTTACGGAGACTAATGCAATTTCGGCGTCCATATCAATAGTCAGGAGACACACAATGGACAAGTCCATGGATGAGGCCTCCCCTTGGACATTGAACTCCTTGACTGGAAGTACCTTAAAATATGTCTTCTTCAAGAATAATGTCCCTTATCGAGCCTCTACTATAATGGACCAGTCAATTGAAATTAATTCACACTTTCTAAAGTCTTGCCCTATTAAGTCGTCTATTTACTTTACAGACTAAATCACCGTTGTACCATAGTGCCTGCCAATGATACTCGGTTGTTTTTCCACGATTGCTAGCCATAGATCTCCACCCTAATACTTTAATACTGAGTGATTTTAGCTACCTGGCATGTCACCCTACCATAGAGACCCTGGTTACAAAGCTTTCTGTAAACTTTCCACGGCATAGCATGCCCACGATGGAAGTTTGTACACCATCCTGCATGCGTGGATCTTACCAAGATTGCCATGTCCGTATGGCCTCGGCTAATGCACAAGCTTGCCCTGACAAGAGATCGACGACAGCCAATAGGCAATGAGATATTAGGCACAGGTGGATTCGATGACAAAACAGATCTACAAGTCTCGCGTCCCTCGGCCACTCATTTGAGCGAGATATAGTAGTTGGTACATACCTACATAGTTGAGAACTCTGTAGTGTGGTGCACGGCATATACGGCTTGCTTGACTCCCGTGAATATCCACCTACATGTAGACTAGGACAGGGGGTCCTTAGCTTATTGCGGCAACTAGTCGGACAAATCGGTGTTCATTAGTGCCGTTCGGACATGTCGCCTCCCACAATCACTAATGCTTTCATGGTCTTGGCGCTATCATCAATACTATAGAATAGCACTTTTAATACAAAGAGGTTTCGCACATGGCCGAATCTTCTAGCGTTTGTGCACCTTAAAAACACGACAACATGCTGTCCAATCATATGTTCATCATTCTCACAGCCGTGACGGCTGCTCTGGTCCTTGGCCTCAAGTTTCTCCAGGTTTGTCCGGGTCTCTACATTTTTAAGTTTCGAGCATGAGACTGACTAAGCAAGTATATGGTCCGAACTTGGAATAATCCTACCAATACGATACCAGGGCCGTGGTACTCAAGATGGTCTGGCGCAATCCTCGTGTACCACTGGCTTCGGGGGACGCGATCTGATTACGTGAACAATTTGCACCAGAACTATGGTAATATTAATGCATTAACACCAATCAATAATTATATGACCCCAAAAAACTGACATAATTGTCTGCAGGCTCCGTTGTTCGCATTGCTCCCGATTATGTCGTCTTTTCCGACCTGCCATCGGTCAAACGCATTCACACGGTGAAGCATGATTTTATCAAGGACAAGTGGTATAGTGAACTCACCCCAGGCAGTGTGAGCGTCTTTACTTCCATAGACCCCATCCACCATCGAGAGCGGCGCAGGCTTTTATCTGCTCCAATTGACGACTCTTCCCTCAAGACCATGCTCCCAAAAGTAGACGATAGAGTGCGGCAGACCATTGGCCGGATGGCGGAAGAAATGGACCGACGCGGCGTAACCGATATCTTCAAGTGGTGGTTTTTCATGACCACTGATGTCATCGGAGAGCTCAGCTTTGGTGAATCATTCCGAATTCTAGATCAAGGAAAGGTGCAGTCAATATTCAGCCCATGGAGAATTGCTATTGCTGACAATTGAGTTCTTTTTACTTAGAAAAACCAGTACATTTCCGATCTAGAGGTAGTTGGAAAGACAGGCAGCATTATCACTACGTTTCCACTGCTTGCTCAGCTTTCCCGGGCTGGCGTACCTATCCCTCTGATTCAGACAGCGACTTCGAGCCGACATCGGTTGTTGCAATATGCAGAGCAGTCCATCCAACGATACAAGAAGCAGCTGCTGGCTGACCCACACAACTACCCGCGGACGCTATTCACTAGATTCTTTGACAGGGCGGATTCCGAGGGTCTCCCAGACCTGGAAATCCGCAACGAGGCCATGGCGTACATTGTAGCCGGCAGTGATACCACTTCGAATACCTTGACGTATCTGGTCTGGAGCGTCTGCCGCGACAAATCAATACAGCGCACCCTCGTTCAGGAACTTCAGGGGCTACCGGAAGACTTCACCGATCTTGATCTGCGAGACCTGAAGTATCTAAATCATGTCATCAACGAAACCTTGCGACTCTATCCAGCAGCACCATCGCTGCTACCTCGTGTGGTACCTCCCGAGGGCGAGACGCTGGCTGGCTACTGGATCCCAGGAGGAACCAAGGTGGCGACACAAGCCTGGACGTTACATCGGTTGCCAGAAGTCTTCCCTGATCCAATGAGTTTCAACCCGCTACGATGGGAACATCCATCTCAAGCCATGAAGGACGCGTTCATGCCATTTGGAGGTGGGTCAAGAGGTAAGCCATATTGATATCCGGAGAGAAAAGGGGGGAAACACTTAAGTGCTAATCTCTGATTTCCTGTAGTCTGTCTCGGTGTTCATTTGGCTAAAATAGAACTCCGCCTGGGTGCAGCCCGCTTTTTTCGAACATTTCCTGACGCAAAGGTATCTGTGCGAGAGGGTATGAGCGACAAGGATATGGATACCTTGCAGTATTTTCTACTCAAACCAGTGGGGGCTCGTTGTTTGTTGGAACTCTACTAAGCTTCGTTATGAAGGGCAGCTGGAATTCGCAAGTAATATATGGGATAAGCTGTAACTTATCGCAGAGGTTAGGGTGAACGTACAAAAAGGCAGCGCTATATTAAAGGACTTGGGAGACAGGTCCTTCGGTATTCTTGACAGACGAACAACTCGGCAAAAACTGATTATCACGTGCTTCACACTCGAGACTCAGATGAATGGCTGATAAAATGGAAGCTCCTGGAGCGAACTGTATTTGGGCATCTATTCCATCTCCACATTTATTGTGATCACAAGAGTGAATGTCTAGTATGGGATTCTCCAAGTACTGTATATTGTCAGAGGAGCAGAAGATTATATCTCGAAAGACCTTGGATGGGGCCCATACTCTAGCCGCTGGGCTTGCAACCATTCGTGGTATGAAGGAGTTGAATAGGGGAGACGTCCGCCTGTTGGCAAGTGATATGGAATCGGCTGCTGAGCTTCTTCCTTACCCTCTCTTGTCAACGTATTGCCTCCATGCGCACCTTCCCAAGTGTTAAATTTCGGATCTCCCACGCCCGTGAAATGAATCCATTCATATTTAAGCCGCAGCTCATCGAGATACAGATAGTCTAGGTTGGGAGTTTTTCTGGCAATGTGATCGAATACAGCCACGTATGACCCTTTCACCATGGTCACTGTCTTCATGGAAAGTCGCCGAAGAGAGTTGGTGCTTTTTTGCAGAAAGCCGAGTATATCGCTCTCGCGGAGAAAGACACCATTGAGAGAACACTCTTCTATGGGCGGCAGAGTGACCAATGTCCCTATGCCGTGCTGAAATAACCTATGCATTGGAATAGGCACTCTGATATGGGCCCAACTGCGATTGACGCTGTACTGGTGTATTTCTAAGCTTTTGAGGTTCCTACAGGCGGCAACTAGGTCTCCAAAACTATTGAAGTTCTTTTCGTGATATGCTTTGGTGACAAGCCGTGTTATGCGTGTTTCCTCATCCTCCTCTGATTCCTCGTTGTCCTCTGCGTTAAAAGAATCGCTTTTGTGTGCCCAGCCGTCCGAGAATTGTGAGAAGTTGACAATTGGGGCAGACATACTAATGGACAAAGATCGTAGTGACTCTAGAGTGTGAGATAGACCGTCCGTACAAGAAATCACACTGCTGAGCTCGTTGCTCGCGATGCTGCACTGTTGCAGATAAGGCTCGTTGAAAATGTTCAAATCATCGACACGGACCCAGCTCTCTCGTAACGACGAGAATACGGTATGAAATGTCTCGGCAGCGCCCTGCCAGACAGGTTGCCAATTTTCCCCTTCACTGGGCCGGGATTCATTCTGTGCATCCAACCGATACACGGCTACTTCGAGAGACAGCGAATGCAGCTTCCCAGCCCTACTTTTTGCAGCAATGTTTCTGAATGCATTGCCCAAGAGACGTACGATGAGGCCAGAGTCACGCGAATCCTCATAGTCAACCTCTTGCTCCGATAATTCCTTCAAGTCATGCTGCTTTTCTGAATCCTCTGGGTGTCTTCGTACGGCTGCCTTGAGACCCTTGGTATCATACACCAAGCCCACCAGTGTCAAGTCACGGATCTGGCAGCCGAGGAAGCCATGTTTCGTAATGAATTCGAGCTTTTCAAGTTGACAACTGTTGACCTTTACACGCTTAGAGAAGAAGAAGGATCGGAAATGTCCCTGTGTCGCTTTCGAATTGAGGGGTCGGCTCGCCAAGCGCAGGCTCCCGATGTCGGCGACGTCCAGCAGCTGGACGATGCTCTCGACAATCTCGACAGGGAGTTCTTCGAAGCTAGCATCCGTATTTATCTGTGACATATCGGGCTGTTGGGGTTGTGTTGTATGCAACGGGGCAGCACACTCGACTGGACGGGAGTCGGCCGGTGTCCTCAATTCCAGACAGCTGCGCCGCATAACATCAAAGGTTAGTCGATCATCGGCAGCCTAATGCGCCACCGTGTGGCTGGTTATGTGGCACCCTTCGGGTGTCACAACGGGAAGGGTTGATTAAGTCTGGTTGTTCACATATTATTTTCGTAGATGTAGACCATCTTTAACTTTACTCTTTATTTCAGATACTGGTCGTATCACAGCAACCATCAGCTCCATGCCTGTTCAGGAAGGCGATCAATGTGTGCCCGAAGCCAAAAGCCAATACGATTGAGATGTGGTCCTCTCCCTTGCACTGTATGCAATTCCATTTTCAAGCATTTCAGAGATTCATGGAAATATGGTTTCGAGGTGCCACCGTGCAACTGGTTACATTGTTTGAGTGGTGCCAAAGGAAATACGCTTCGTCCGTGAACAGCCACAAAGGTCTACCATGTCAATTAATACGACACCCTTTTGTTCGTCACAACATAAAGTTTCATATCTAATTTACTTGTTGGACTCGTCACCTTTCTAACCAAAATGTCGTTGCTACTCGAATGAAGAGCATAACGAGCGAAAGCATAAAAGCGCCATTAAGTAATGCTTTGCCCATCGTGCGTGACTGCTGTGAATGCGACAGATTTCTTGGCGTATCCCTTCGTGATATGTTTGTGCCAGAGACATTATCCAGAAATCCCGGCTCACGCAAGACTTCTACCAAGCGAGTTTGACGTATTTCTGGACCTTTGCTACCCAGATATCTCTGAGACTTGAAACTATGGGCACAAGGAGTCAGCTATGATTATAACCTAAGAGGACAGCTAAGGAAGTGATTGGCGTACCTCCAGTATAGATTTGCCTTTGCCACGTTTGAGATGCCTTGAATGTATTCCGAGACCTGACAATCAATATCATGACCCCAGCGTGGCACACGTTCCAAAGCCTGCTGCCAACGGCTATGTCTGCTGTTGAGCATTTGCCCAATATGGTCAAAAGCCTCTTGTGGTCCAAGACCATTCATCCTTGCCACTGCAACAAGATTGTGAGGTACGAGCTCAGCCTACATGAGAAAGTTAGATAACCCCACAACAGTTTCAACTTGATACTCACTTCTTCCTTCATGTATGATAGCATGTCATTGATTCTGCCCAATAATTAGTAGTCTATCGCCTTTGAAATACGAAAGAGGCTTGACTAACATCAATACGAAATCCGTGACAAGTTGTTCTAGTTCTTTGATAATGCAGTCTTCAAAAATGTGATCCGGTAGATAGAGTTGACACGCATATTCAACAAGCGGATATATCGGGCTGACTCCTGCGGAGAGCTGTCTCCTTGCCAGCATGTCTTCTGGAGTCAACACCTTGTCATTGCACGAGTCCTCAACTTGCAACAGTGCCCCTGCGCAGTAATCAGACATGGCTTCCGCAAATCGTCGCTGTGTACCTGTCCATCCAATTAGAAATCGCTGCGGAAACCAGAACCTAAGAGTACGCACCGATCGATGAGGCCTTGAGAGTATTAGCTTTTGATCAGCCGCTAGAAAGTGTATACTCTATCTGGTACTGACCGACTGTAAGTTGTGCCATACATGATCGTGCACTTTCAAGATTGTGGTTCTCTCTTGTTCAGACCGCTGGGGAAGTGTTCCTTGTAGCATTGGTGTCATGAGATCATCCATTACTTTTCTCGCAGTCTTTGGATCGTTACGAAGAACGCCATTATCGAACACTACGGAGAGTCAGTTGTGCACAACTTTGACCGCTTGGAGGGAAACATACTGTCGTCATATGGAAACACCTTGAAGGTTCTCAGCATGTCATATTGTCTGATTCATATGGATCAACACACCCAATTTCCCCAGTCGCACAAGGTCCGAAATGTTGTTGCATCTGCATCGGGCGCTGTGACAGCCATGAAGTATGAGAAATCACACTTGTTTATGGTCGACGCCATCTTCTGATCAAAATTGCAGAACCTAGAGATCGTGAGACACTCAAAATGTTTGCCACAAACGGATTATCCATACCCATTAATCCATGCTTCCGACTCCAATTTGATAGGACCATATAACGGATTGACCTTCGGTTCTTCTGCCAGAAAACCGACAAATAAATCGGGGATTCTAACAACAACTTTGTCGTCGTCGTGCCTCGCCAGCGGATACTTGTCGCTGTTCATCATGTTCATATCGGTGTGTAATGGAGTAAATAATAATGTAGCATGCCACGAGGATCCGCAGCTGACATAACGCGCAAGTACTACATTGAATCAGAAGGTAGAAACTCTCGTCTGTCCTTTTGTATTATTACTTAACATACCCTTCATTAAATCGCTCACATGTCTAAGGATTCTCAAAGTCTCGAGAATCTTTGCAATCACATTTTCTATCTCGCGGTACTTTTTAACTCAGCCGCAGTTTACGGTGGAGTGGTGGATCGATCGCCAAGCGGCTGAACCATGCCTCCACTGTCTGTCCCACATGGCTCATGGCAGTGATAACACGAGGGTTTTGCTGCTTCACATGTCTATCAAGGGTCTTATTGCCCCCAAATCTGACTGCTGATTAGTCTTGCCATCAATCCAGGTTTCGTCATTTGCTTGAATTGGTTGATCGGCTGGATGTCCGACGCCGAGGAAGCGATATTTAATATTGATTTATTCCGTAAGCTGACAGCATACTTCATGACCCTAGCCACCTGCAGGCAACTAGTGCGATGCGACTTCTCATGAAGATCCCTCGCAACAGATGGTAGGTATCTTAGCTAGGGCGATCGGATTGGATTTCGGTTACATGAGTAAGCGTCCTAATTGGTTTATTTCACTCTGATACCAAATTTTCTCGTCTGTACGCGGCAATGGGCAAGTGGTCTCTTATGTGATATTGGCAATTTAGTTGTATCATTGGTGGTTATAGAAAGCAGCGCTTACCAAAAGTCGACAGAAACGTACCCAGAGCATTCGCTTGATGGCGCAGTGATTGGTCCACATGGATTTGTCACCTGGCAATTTGTCATTGGTGGAGTCCACATTAGAGTTTATCTCTATGAAATGCGGACCGCTCCGTAACCCTCGAGCAATAGGCTATGTCTGCTTGGTTTTAGTCTAGAGTTTATCTCTATGAAATGCGGACCGCTCCGTAACCCTCGAGCAATAGGCTATGTCTGCTTGGTTTTAGTCTAGATACACATGTCGTACCTGATCCAATCTTTGTCGAATGTCTGCCCGCCCCGCACTATTAATAGTATTGAGTGAGTCTGACTCCAGTCTTGCACCATCGCCACTACTCTGTACTTCCTACCGCTGACCCAGCCAAGAGGTCCAAAGGCTCGGCTCAGGAATCCTTGGCTGATCTTTGAAAAAAAAAAAAAAATCAATCATCAAAGACAAAGCATTCTGCTCATCTTGACTTTGAACGTATCCGTGTCTAAGGGTCCCAACGTTCTCCTCGACAAATAACAGTAAACATGACCGAAGAGGCAGTTGGATCAACACTGCGCTCAGGTTCATACAGTTTCGAGTGGACCAACTTACATTTGCCAAGAGCAGAGACAGATCCCCTTCGATACGAATATGATACCTTGGGCGCAAGCGCCCTCGCAAAGCTTCAGGAAATCGCAAAAGCAAAAGGCCTCACTGATGACCCAAGGAAACGTCCGGACTTGTATCAGCTATTGGTAGAGCACCACGACAGCTGCGAGGAGCTGCGCAAATTTTGGGAACAGGTACACACTGTTCCCGATTGGGTTGACTGGAAACAGTTAGAGCGCGGTCAGCGATTCTTTTACCGCTATGCAGCAGCCAACCTGATGGGATTTGCCCTACAAGGGTTCGTGGGCGAAAATAGTGCTGCCGTAAGTTTAAGATTACAAATACCCGACGTACCAACGTGAGTAAAAGACTGATCGATCCTTGCCAGTCTGGAGTTGTCGAGGTTCTTGTCCGTACTGGTGGATTCTCAACTCGTGTTCTTCTGCATCGTCTCCTCGAGACATTTCAATGGCTTTGTAAGTAATATCCGGCCAAAACTCTTCAAAATAGTCGCGACTGCGTCAAAACATACCCCTGAATGGTCACACCTCGATTCAACGGATAGTGTGACATGTCCTTGAATTGTGTCGCTAACTCTGAATATAAAGTACAAGTCACAGAAAGCCTATCGGCGGTCAAACCAGGAGGCTCAGGGCACATAAGCACAATCCGTGTTCGACTTTTGCATGCCTCGGTGCGACAACGAATTCTTAAACTGGTCGAAGGCAGACCTAAATACTTCAACGTTGAAAAGTATGGCGTGCCCATAAACACTCTGGACAGCATACACTCGATTGCGACGTTCTGCTGCAATCACATGTGGCTGCAACTTCCACGCATGGGCGTATATCCCACAGCGCAAGAGAAAGAAGACTATATCGCTCTCTTTCGCTACCTCGCCTATCTTCTCGCCACTCCCGACGAATACTTTGAGTCGGTCGCACGGGCAAAGGCCGTCATGGAGTCGATGCTGGTGCATGAACTTGAGATCACTGACACCAGTCGCGTGGTGTGTTTCAACTTTATCAAGTGCCTGGAGGATCTGCCGCCCTTTAATGTCTCCCGGAGCTTCATCGAAGCCGGCAGCCGTGTTCTCAATGGCGACGAGATGTGCGACCGACTTGAGCTCCATCGGCCGGGATGGCTTGCCTATGCCTGTTTCCAGGGGCATTGTTGGCTGGTGGCCAGCCTTGCCTTCGCCCAGCGAGCGAGCCCTGCGCTTGACCGGTGGATTATTTCCGTAAGTGGCACCATGACATTTTGAGGATTTAGTTCTCTGCTAACGACCAAGGACAGAAATGGAGAGACCTGCTTCACTCGGCAGTGATTCAAAGCGGCCTGAAAGGTGCCTCCAAATTTGATTTCAAATATATACCCAAAGAAGGTAATGAGATAGGAAAGGAATCGAATCAACGGCAAGTCGTCGCTCGCAGCCTATTCTCACGACCAGTGGAAGCATTCTATTTTTGCATTTTCTTGGTAGGCTTGTCGCTCATCACTGCAAGTTTTATGGGCTTGACATATTTACTGTGGTCAATCAATGTCTGGACTGTAGTGTCAAGATTTTCCACGGCTTGAATAAAGCTTGACTGAATATAGTCGGCTATTAACACATGGTGTGGCTTTTTTGTAATCAATGATCGAAAGAATAGCTCATGCTACTGCGCAATGTTTCTTAGTTTGGGCGTTTCTGGCTAGACGAGAAAACTAGGTCAATGAAGGTGTGTTTCCTTTCATTATGATTGTTTGTATACCGTTGTACCTATTTCTGGAAAGATGCATGCTCATTTATTTCTGCTAATCTACAAGTTTCTAAGGCTGATACCACTAGTGATTTGAATAAAGAATAAAGCTGACAATGGTCTCCATCTCCAAAATTCATGTATGAACAAACAGGCTTGATTACCCTTCCCGTCGCATCACCCGAAGGGTGCCACTCTACTAGTCACACTGTGGCGTACTACATGGTAGCTACATGAATATATGGTGACCGAAAATTACTTGATGGTTACAACTTGCAAATGACTTGGTTCGAGAAAGCTTTTCAGGAGGTGAGAGGCAACCTAAACACTTGCATAAGACGAGAATTATGCGGCAAGCCAGACTCTTTCAGATGCATTACCCGTCAATGGTTCTTGTGAGCAAATGCGGCTTGCTTGAAATTCAATACTTACCCTGGCAAGACGTGTCCTTACGTGCTGGGTTAGCAAAGAGAACTTTTTCGGAAGGACGTATACAGAGCATATCACCAGTCGTCACACGTTCATAACGGGCGCATATAATTGGTTCGTCAGGGCACTTTTTTGGAAAAGACACTTAATGGTCTTTAGATTACTTTTTTGTCAGAGGACCCTCTCATGTCAAGGAGGAAAATAATAATAACGTGGTTCCCTCTCTCGCGCATTGCCCTCATTCGAGATGTCGCCATTTTCCGAGGGCGACATCCACTCACTACTGTGGATTGAGTTCCGTCTCTCCCGCGCCGAGTTGAGGCTCGCACACCTTACCTTTTTGGGTTAGGAGCCTCGCTTTCGATTGCTATAATCCCCAGCAATGGATAATCTGATGCTTCCATTTAAGGCGTCCGTCGAGACCGTTGCACTGGAAAGATTTGTGCCTCGCAACTCGCTTCTCTCCCAACTCGAAGAAAATCCCTTTTATTCGAAAAAGAAATCATGTCGACCTTTGCAAAATGCACATCAGTGACGCCCCTTTGTCCGGTCGAAGCGACGACATATGGCTATTACCCAGATCTCGGCGGCAACGTCGCACTCTGTGTGGTCTTTGGGCTGGTCTTGATCGCCCAATTGATCATTGGCTTCTCTTCAAGGATACTTGGGTACTCGATTGTTATCGCCTGCGGCAGTCTGCTCGAGTGCGTCGGATATATTGGCCGACTCAAGATGCATCATAATCCCTGGGACATGTCTGGTTTTCAGATGCAGATTGTCTGTCTCATTATCGGTCCCTCGTTTACCGCAGCTGGCGTATATCTGACCTTGAAGCACTTTGTCTACCACAATGGGCCAGAATATTCTCGCATCAAACCTGCGCAGTACCCATGGATCTTTGTCTGTTGCGACGCCGGATCAATCATTCTGCAGGCTGCTGGTGGCGGTGTTGCAGGTGCTGCAGGGAAAAAGAATCCTGACTTGTTGAACACTGGAAACAACATCATGATAGCTGGTATTGCATTCCAGGTGGCAACAATGACGATTTGCGGTTTACTTTCCATCGACTACGTTATCAGGCTACTTCGCCATCGGAACCATCGACATGACGAGCCGAACACCCAAAAGTACAACAAGATGAATAAACGAGCACATCTCTTCCACATCGTGGTTGGTTTTGCATATGTCACCATATTGATACGATCCATTTATAGGTAATATCGCACGAGAAAATGTTTACTGTACCCTGCGCCTGGCTAATCGCAACACAGAATACCTGAAATGGCTGGTGGATGGGGTAATGAGATGATGAGGAACGAAAAGGAGTTTCTGTTACTGGACGGTTTGTCAGTAGTGCAGGTCGTTGCGTGCAGGATATGGCTAATCGAATCATAGGATGATTGCGTTAGCTTCCATTGCGCTGACATTGTTCCATCCAGCCTTTTTCTACCCCATCATAAAGGGCGAGAAGGTCGTCATGGAGGAACACATTCAACTCTAACTGGCTGAGAATGTCTTCCGTTTAAGTTCCGTCCTTTCCACAGGGTCCAAGTGGCTGCTTGTAAAGGGAACTGATACAGAACAAAACGATACCTGTGGAGTGGCACAATAGGAATCATTCGTCGAGTCTGCTCGTACCGACCTTTTACATCAATTTGAATTATTGTTGTTTTAACTCTGTACCTCGATGTTGGTTGTATGAGGGACGCTTGTGCGAACGCTTAGACGCTTTAGTGGGCGTTGGCCTGGAATCCCCACTGGACAGTAATGTACAATAGCTATAGCGGCACTTTGGGGCAATGAAATCCCGCCGCCACTCACATAGATTTGTTTCCATGTTAAATTTCCATGATTCATACGGATATATGGCCATTTCATAGAATCGGGCGGTCACAAAGCTGGGCAGACTGGCGCAGCTTAGCTTGAACATCTGCTCCAGAGTCACATTGATTGCATGTGTTGACCCTACGTCCACTTGCTGGTAGATACACTAATTTATCAGTATCAAGAACTTTTTGGCATATGCTATCTTTTTCACCTGTGCAGTCAGGTGAGCGAATATCGATTTATCCTGCACGCTACCCAGCAGGCGGTGTTTTACTTTGAATATCTGGAGAACTTGGCCACCTTTGAATCTCAAAACAGGAGTTTGGCCAATCAAGCAGATGAGACCACTCATCTTTCACAACACAGTTGATCTCACTCTGCAAAGCCTTTGACCATCCGGCAGCCCACCACCGTCCATCCAAGACGCTGAAGCAGACTGCCCAGTAGCTGAGTAACACCAATGCGGCATGATCTCGATTCCTGAGGCGAGTCACAAAAGGTGCTGGCAGTTGAATCGCCCATCCAACAATCAGCTCCGACCACTCTGGGCAACTTGCCAATCGAAACATATTTGACAGGCTCGCATACGATGTAGAATCGACCATATTCGCCAATTCTTCTTCATGTTGCTGGAGGTGGGACTTGAGTCGTTCAAGGGCGTTGGAGGTGTCTTTGGACAATTCTGGAAGCTGTCCTGGGTCTGGTACACGCATCAGTTCAGAGTACATGCCATTCAACAGCCGGGGAAGTCGTTTTTGCACTATAGCGTCCACTGGTTGAATCAGCTTTATAAGATCAAGAAACTGATCCAAATATGATGTGGATACGAAGCCGCCTTGATGTGTTGTTTGTGTCGACTGTGGGTTCGTATTTGCAGAGATGATATTGAACTCGGGTGGAAGGTTCTTCGATGCAAAAGCCCACAAGGACACGATTATTGCAAGCGGAAAGGCGGCTAGGCAGCTCTCGTCGTTCTCAGATGATAGGAGCGCCAATAAGCCTCTCAGCAGTGCGCCCTGCTTTGCCAATGTGGTTGCTGTCGGAGACGGTGTTCTTGGGCCCATGAACAGCCTGTGCATGGCACTTATGGCAAGTATGCCGTTCATCAAGAAAGGTTGCTGAAGCGCTTCGCGGAAAATTGAATCTCTCCAGAGGAGCTGCCCCTCGGACCGAGACCAAAGTGTGCTATGAGTCGTTGCGACAAAGGAATGAACAAGATCAAGGTCCAAAAGGTGCGATTTGGCCGGCTCAATTGTGCAAGTCCACGGCTCCCACGTCGGGACACGGATTAATGGGGCCATGGCGCTTGCTGCCTGCGGTGGTGGCAGCGTCAAAGTCTCGTGCCCATAGTCTTCTAGATAAGAACATTGCTCACGACGTCGAGAGCACCGCTTGCAACACGGAAGGGTCTCGTCGCACTGTAGACAAGCATCAGCAGCTGTCCAAGTTGAGCCATCGAAAAGTGTCGCATAAGCACCTTGACTTTTCGTTGTCTACATCGCCGACACCCGTGGTGTGATTTGGAGTGGGACTTGACCATTGTTGCGTAATAGAAGTATCCGAGGCCATGCTCAAACGTTGAAGCTCAAATGCATCGTACTGTAGCGGGATACTCTGTACATTGGGGGCGTCCAGGGGTACCTAAGGTTGGTTGGGAATTGGCCGGCATTCGGGATTCATTGTAGCCCCGAGACGCTAGGACTAGGCAACATGCACTAATTCCACCTTCAAGGCGCCGTCGACACTTTTTATTGTGCTGCAACTTCAATTTCAATTGCCAAACAGGTTCATTGTAGTATCGTACGTATACTTGAGATCCAGCTGCCAGTAATTAGGAGTCTCAGACTTGGCCACCAGCCATGCTTGATCTAATGCAGCCACAACTTCCTCTGGCAGTGGACCCTTTTGGCAACCCTCTAGATTCTCGTCCAGTTGTTGTATGCTGCTGACTCCAATCACCACGCCATCGCTGCCATCGTTAAAATTGAGTGCCGAGTGATGAACCAGCCACCGCAGTGCAACCTCCACCAACGTCAGACCGTGAGCCTTTGCTACCGGCTCAATAATCGACAAGGCCTCAAAGGTGCTGTCACGAAAGTATCGTTTTCGATAGCTCGCGCCGAGCAGCTGGTTCACGTTGGAGAAGCGCCCCTCGGCTGGCGTGTCGTTTGCACTGTACTTTCCAGACAGGATGCCTCCGGCGAGCGGATTGTAGACAACCACCTCCAGCCCGTACCGCCGACAAGCTGGGATCAATTCGTGTTCAAGTGAGCGCGTGATCGCGTTATACATTCCCTGAAATATTGTAGGGCGCACCCAATTGTTGTACTTGCACGTCAAGACAATCTCCGCAAGCTCAAAGGCCGTGTAGTTGCTGAGGCCAAGCTGCACAAACTTGCCCGCTTTATGTAACGCATCGACGGCCTGCAGGGTCTCTGCAAATGGTACTGAGCGGTCGGCAGCGTGCAAGTAGAAGATATCTACACAGTCAGTGCCGAGTTCTCGCAGGGAGGTCTCAAATTCCATTGTCAACGCGTCAGGTTTGTGTGTCCCGGGTATCTTGGGATATGATTTGGTCGCCAGCTTTAATCCCCGCTCCTTCCACCCAGCCTCTCGAGTGAAGGCTTCTTGGGCGCCGCCGATATAGCTGCGAGCCGTGTCGACTTCCTTGTAACCAGCATTCTGAAGCCTGTCAAGGAAGGTCTTGTATGTTGCTATAGCTAGTGTCAGCACAGTACACGCTGCAAGAGACGTTGGAGAAGAACAAACCCAAGGACGTTATTCTGCCCCCTTTTGATGGGTCCTGGCCAAAGGTCATTAGACCAAGGATCACACGGGGCTTACTCGTGGAATTTGTGACGCACATGTTGGACGATGTGTTGAATTACAGTCAAAAGTTTTGGAAATCAGAGCAGCGATAGCAGTCATTGATTCGAGAATAGCATATCTGAGAGCTTTTACCGAAACACAAAACAACTCGGGAGAGGAAAGCTATGCTCGACACTGCACTGGGCCTATGAGAGATCGTTCCGGCAAATGCAAACAGCAGCAAGTTGCGGGTACCTAATCGGTAAGTTGCAAGGCGCAAGGGCTGAACCAAGTTGAGGGATCTGGGAAAACGCTGCTCCGAACAATTAGGTGTCCCTTATCTGCTATCAAAAACCGGCCCTGTTCTCTTCATTTGATGCAGGAAAAATGGCCAGATTTGGGAGGTAGCCGACTCTGCTTGATGTGGGCTGTTCACAGTTGCTCCACAGTCACTTGCATCTCGTGCGATAAGAATTGGTTCTGTGTTAGACTAGATCGCTGGAGACGGAGCATGTCCGCTGAATTGGTGTTGGAGATAATGACCGGGACGGAACCGGGACTGACCGGGGTTAAAGCCGGTCCCGCCTAATTCTAGGGAGCGTAAACCGGCTTTCAATCGCTCCACCAACTGCATCGTCGCACGTCTACCCAGAATTCGCTAATGGGGTTCCGGGACCGATATACAACACTCAGATGCTTTGAATCATCTTACTGTATTCGTGGTTGGAAAAAAAAAAGGAGTGTCCACTAACTTGTGCTTGCCGCACACCCCATTGCTCTTTACAGCGGAAATCCACTATAGCGAAAAAGAGGTACAAAACAGAATACACGTGCAATATGGGCACTCTAAAAGTTGTAGATGAATTGAATTACGTTCGCATATTGTGTATTTATTTTTGACCATGGAATAACAATAAGCAAAGACGAAGTTGAAGAAGTCACTGAACAGGCGGCCATGGTAATTATGCTAGACGAGTTGCACGAAGAAGTTCCAGCCAGGCCTGGTGAGATATGTTCCGACAGCGAATCCAAACTGGATTCCGGCCAGGATGATCGCCATACCGAAAGTGTCGTTTCCACCGGATCTGAATGCAAGACCGCGGGGATGAAGAGAGAACTCACGCCAGAGGTTCAGGCAATATCGTTGGCTTTCAGCAGCTCGGATACGGCCATACAAGCCACATCAGAAGCAGCAGGGCGTGAAAAGGAAATGGTAGATCCAAATTTGGTTGGATGGGATGGTCAAGATGATCCTCTGAATCCCAAAAACTGGAAATCTGGCAAGAGATGGGCGGCTACTCTGGTCATGTCCTCGTTCACTTTCATTACACCGGTTGCCTCGTCCATGGTCGCCCCAGCATTTGACGCCATAGGAGCCGAATTCCATGTGGGTTACTGTGCCCGCAATATTCCTTACGTGAATCTCACTGACAGCTTATAGATTGTATCCGAGATTGAGCTTAGCTTGATGCTATCGATTTTCATTCTTGCATATGCAGTAGGACCATTGTTCCTAGGACCGCTAAGCGAGATATACGGGAGAGTCATTGTTCTACAGCTGAGCAACTTTGTGTTTCTCGTCTTCAATCTGGGCTGCGGCCTGGCAACGTCGAGGAATCAAATGCTGGCTTTTCGATTCCTGTCAGGCCTTGGAGGATCAGCGCCACTCGCACTAGGAGCTGGCGTTCTGAGCGACCTCTTCGACTCACATGAACGAGGCAAAGCCGTCAGTATCTACAGTCTCGCCCCGCTACTTGGTCCTGCTATCGGTCCTATCGCTGGAGGATTCATCGTTGCCAAAGTCTCGTGGCGGTGGATTTTCCATGCAACGACCATTGTGGATGCCGTTGTCCAGATTGCCGGTTTCTTTCTCTTGCAGGAGACCTATCCCCCAGTCCTCCTCAACCGGAAGAGGATGTTGCTTGTCAAAGAGACGGGGAATCTTGATTTATACACTGCACTTGACTATGCAAACCGCAGTGTTTGGGAAACACTTCAAATCTCGCTTACTCGGCCATTTATCCTCCTTTTCACGCAACCCATTGTACAAGTTTTGGCAGTCTACGTCGCGTACCTTTTTGGCCTCATGTATCTTCTCCTTTCTACCTTTCCCAAACTATGGCAGGACCGATACGACGAAACCGTAAGCATAGCCGGCTTGAACTACATCTCTCTTGGCTTGGGGTTCTTTCTTGGCACCCAAATATGTGCACCACTTCAAGACCGCATCTTTCGCAAGCTAAAATGTCGCAACGGTGGCGTGGGCCAGCCCGAGTTTCGCGTGCCACTGATGGTACCCGCCGCCCTGATGGTTCCTATCGGACTCTTTTGGTACGGCTGGGCGGCGCAAGCACATACGCACTGGATCGTCCCAAATATTGGTACCACTGTTGCGGCGGCAGGAATTTACCTTGGCTTCCTATGCATCCAAACGTACATTGTCGATACCTACTCCACATATGCGGCTTCAGCTATTGCTGCCACGATAGTTCTTAGGAGCCTTGCTGGCTTTGGATTGCCGCTGTTTGCGCCATACATGTATAAAGCTTTGGACTATGGCTGGGGAAATACCGTGCTGGGGTTGCTAGCTATCGTGTTGGGTTGGCCGGCCCCGATTCTATTGTGGAAGTATGGTCGGATGCTTCGGGAAAGAAGTACATTTGCCACTGGGTGATGATATAATCTTAGTAGCCTCTATCTCAGCTATTTTCTGTATCAGTCTCCAAATAATTGCCAACACTTTTATATAATATGTTCATGATCTTGGAAAGGCTGCCGCCAAATTTGAGTCGTTTATTCCGCCAACGCCCCCTCCTTTCCTTTACATCACTCTTATCTCCTATTATCGCATCAATATCCTAACAACATAAACACTGTCATTACGACCATCCGGTGTGCGTGAGACTATACTCGATGAGGTGTGACCCTCGGGACGACGCTTTTTCGAGCTTACTAGCACATGTGTTGATTCGTCGGCGGAGGGTCTTGAACCTAGGTCGTGCTATTCCGGTCATGCTTGCAGGGATCCTGGGACTTTACAGCTATTAGTTAGAATGAAGAACGTAATGGTATGTCGACCATTCAGCCACAAAGATGCATACGTTCAAGAAGGAATTTCAATTCGCAAGTCTAAGGATCTCCAATGAACTACCAAGAATACAAACTGACGTCAACGTATATCTCATCTGTGCTGCCCTCCAACTTTTGCGCTGCCCAGATACTCTCCAAATCCAAAGTCATCACCCGATCGTTGATGCATACAATATCTGTACTAGGAACAAAAGATTTTCCTTGGACCTGAATCTTACATGTATTTTCATTAATGCTACGCTGCGGTAGATCCGAAATGTAAAAGTCTGGTAACCTTTAATTAGCCTGCCATCTCTACAAAGATGTTTTGGAAATCATAAGTAAAGGGACTCTTACCAAGGAACCCAAACCCCTTCACAACAGTCTTGGCCGAGAGAGCGTTGTCCTCAACGCCGAAGGTACTGCTCATGATTGCTGCAACATTGATCATCTTTTTCTGCAGTCCCAGAACTGTCATGTAGATGATTTCATTGTTATCGTTGCGAGCCAAAGCCGTCAGGGGATAAGCACTTAGGAAGGCATATTCTGAGACGTCCACATCTATGGAAAGTAAGAGCAAGCTGTCTACTTTTACAGGCTCGCTTGTCCTTCCGCATGCTGATCTCACAACGTAAGACATGTTGGGGTCTATGTTGGCAAAGTCCTGAAGCTGTAGAAGTTCTGATACTGGCCCGTCTGATACGTTGAAGATGCCTAGGATAGATACGGGCATTTTGCCAACATCTGGATAATCAGAGTAAGATATTCAGTGTCTGAAAGGTCGGTTTATTCAAAACTTACTGTGCGTGTTTGAAATCTTCAGCAGAGCATTGTCTCCGAAGCCAATGTAGGGATTCGTAGCTCGACCAATCCCATTTGGTCGAAGAGCTACAGTCTTTCCTCGAGCTGTAATCGCAGTGAGCTGTCGGAAGATTCCAAGATCGCTGTCATCGGTGCCATCAAATGAGCTTATCTGTATTGGCCCTCCAGAGATAGCTCTAGCGGCCGCATGAAAGGCGCCGTGGTCTTTGGTGCTTCCTATCGTGCCCCAGTCGGGAATATTGCCGATACATTTGGACAACAAGGCATTATGAGCATTGTTGAAAACGTACTTCCTGTGATCAGGAAAGATACCAATGTTCTTCACAATCGGCCTGTGTGATGTTTTGAGGTTATTGAGTAAAGCGCTTGGAGATAGAGACATGGTGCTCATTGTACCACCAGGGAAAACTGCCAAAGCCGCCGAGGATTGTGCATCGAGGTATACTTCCGCTAGTGAGCAGCGGTCTTTTGCGGATGCAAGTGTCTCCAACATATAGACACCATCAACACGAACGGCGCTTATATCGCAAGACGACAAGAATCTAAGATTATTGATAAGTTCAAGCTTGTTCAATAAAAATTCATGTCAGTGTGTCCGACTTACTCGTAATAGTCATCAAAGAATCTCTGGGCATTCTCTGGCGCCACCAGCGACAGTGTAAGTAGGGTCTTCTGATCTGACTGGATAGCTTCTGATCGTTGCACGTCGATGGTCTCATAGGTCTTTTGGACAGATCCTTCCGAGTCGTGACTGCTAGAAATACCGCCCCACGAACCAAAAATGGGATGTTCCACAACAACGCTTCTAACAGACTTGTGTCTACCTTTGATTTCAGCAATAGCATGCCTGAGGCCAGACTTGAAGGTATCGTTACTGGCTTCAAAGTCGACAAGACCAGCATGGAATCGCGAGGGTCGTTCTGGGTCAACGTTTTGCCATGCATCATCAAGAACTAGACAGCTGACTGTGATACCTTTGGCTGATAGAGCGTTCAACGATTCTGTAATCTCTTGCTCTGTATGTTTATGACGGAGGTGATTGGAAGGACCTAGATGATTTCTCAGTATACCCCAACATTACTCGGAGTATCATAGAGCTTACTTACTGTAAATGAGTCCGTTAATCCAATTATCGGCCCAATCTTGACCAAAATCTTTCTGAGAGCGAGGGTCATCTCCTAGTGGTCGATCTGTGGATCTGAAAATTGTTCTTGCCTGTCCCAGAACACTGTGCAGAGTTGCCTCAAATTCGGGTCCAGCAGCGACAATGACTCTTCCATAACCAGGTGCATGACGCTCATTGCGAATTTTAATCATTAGAGCTCCTTCATTGTTATCACCAAAGATGGCCATTACATCTTCAAGGCCGCTGAGCCCCAGAACGACAAGATGTTCGCCACGATGATTCATGAAAGAGCAAGTGATCGCTGCTACGTCGAGCTTGAAATAGTTTCGACCTTGTCGAGGAGCCATCCAAGAAGTAGTATTCCTTGAGATTGCCGACCACCTAGAAGGTTGTCAATGACATATATTTTTGATACACAAATGTTGGCGTGTATCTTTGAGTAGACAATGGTGATACCGTGGCACTGCCTATATGACCCTTACCTGAGGAATTTACCATCGAAAGGTTTGCCAAACATGACTTGTGTCATATATGGACTTTCTCCCGAAGCGGCTTCCACTGGAGCTTCAACCATCCATGAAACAACTCCGGTATCCGAACCATCATCTAGAAGCTTTGACCGAAGCTCTGGGTTCAGTTCTTGCATATAATGATGGATGTCCAACGAGGTCTTGGTGTTGGCCTTCGGCGTCGGGATCAAAATGCCTTCGGATTCTGGATGTGCCCCAACCTTTATCCAGGGTTCACCAAGGTTTCGTCTGAAGCTGAGACGGAATCGAACAACATCTGAAATTTCGATGTCGGCCTCGAATACTCTAGACAATTCTCTGGCATTATTGCTGTTGTATGGTTGGAATAACCTTGCTTCTGAAGGAGTCAAGTTGTGTTCGTCCCACTCATGAGAGTCAATGGAGGTATAGAAAAGTTTGACTTCCCAGGTGGCATCTTGACTCCCCAACACATCTTTCAGGACGCAAGAAAAATTGATTTTCGTTGCTGTTAGCTTTGTCACTACTCCCAGCGGTGGGTAGGTCGCAACAACTGGCTGTCGTTTGCCATTCCCACAAGTAACAGGTTCAGCCATTCGACTAGAGTGTGGTGGAGTTGCCTGCAAGCGGCCTCCAGATGCGAGTCTGATGCTGTTGAGTTTAACAAAAGATGCACAGAGAGAAACAAGATAATAAACAAATTTAAAGCGTTATGCTAACGTTCAGCAGTCCGTCAGACAGGCAGCGCCACAGTCTTGCATAAGCCCTACCCCTGTATTTGGCAAATCAGCCGCCAGAAGCAATCCTGTCCGTCAAAGTCCTCGGCTCGCGCTATGCACTGGTCTTTTGCTCCGCACTTGTCGTATGAGCAGACCGGTCGGAAAGGTACTAATAACTATCAAGAATGACTCAAAGATGCATCACTCCCGCGCTGCCGCGGTGAACGAATACGGAAGGTGATACCAACCATATATACCGATGGGCGTGCGAAATCATAGGAAAAGGATTGCAATGCGGTAAAGGCCCCTTGAAAACTGGAAATTATTTACACCCATGACCAAGCATTGTTTTTATGCTCCGCCCCAGGCCAAAGTGACATGCCGTCTTTGAGAGTTGAAGGCAGATTAGTTCCACCAAACATGACCAGCCTCAACTTGGTGACTGTAAATGTCTATTTATCCAAGTGCAATATGATTTCTTGCATCATCCAGTCTCTCTTGTGTCGTCTTGAACACCATTGGTAAGCCAGTCTCCTCGTATGTCTTGCCGTCTTTCACCATCGTGGCTAGCGCCTTGGAAGTCAACAGGATTTCAGGCATGCCATGCCCATTGAAGCCTGCAATGATAAACTGGCCCTGTTTTCCTGGCACCTCGCCAATATGCGACGCAAGATCGGTTGTGTAGCCTTGAACTGCGCGCTCGTGTTAGTGAAACTCTGTTGGACGGGTTTGTATTACTTACCTCCCGACCAAATTTTATCCACGTGTGCGCCTGTTTCTTCCCAGCCCCTGAAATTGCGCTGCATATAGCCATCAAAATGTTGCCGAGCAGGTTCAACAATCTTGCTGTCATCTACAACATTGTACCACAGCTCTTTGCGAACAGATACGTATGGCTTCGCACCGCCAACAACAATGCTACCATCAGCTCTCGAAACGAAATAGTCCGAATTGCTTGGCCCAGCGCGGAGGCTATAGGAATTAGGGAGGTGCGGCGCTCGGCCCGGACACACAATTCGACTGCATATGCCACGGCAAGGAACGATTCTGTCGGTGTACTGGGGCGCAATGTAGCCTGTGTAAGCGTTGGTTGCAAAAACCACTTTCTTGGCCATGATTGTCCCACGAGGTGTATTTACTGCCCACAGGCCCGCCGCGTCTTGCGTTTCTGCCACGCTAGTCACGGGAGTCTGGGTCTGCAGATTCACCCCTTTTGCGACAACCAGCGACAGGAGATGCATGACCAGCTTATAAGGCCATAGGTGGGCAGCAGGAAAGGTAAAGCAGCATTTGGCGCCTTTCACCCCAGAGATCTAGAAATCGAATTAGATAAGGTTAGGAGTGAAGAGTAGGGTCCCAAGTCCATACCTGTTCAGCGTCCCTTGGCCCCGTGTATTGAACTTGCCGGATACAGGTTGCGCCTGATGCTTTGATCTCTTCGAATGCTGCAGTGAACTTGTCTGCGTATTCCTGATCTATAAAAACATCACAAGCTCTGGTCAATTGAAAGTCGCAGTCAATCTTTTCTTTCTCAACAAGATCCTTGACAGCCAGGACATGCTGCAGCTGAAACTCGGCAATCTCGTTGGCTATTTTACTTCCATAGATTGCTGCCTGCCGAGGAAAGGCAAAATACACAATTGGCTTGACATGGCCGCCTATCGAGGGTCAGATCGAGGGATTAGGTACACGGCGCAGACGAAATTACACACCATTGCGCGCAGTGGCGCCCGAGCAGGCTTCTCGAGCCTCTACCATGACAATGGATGGCAAGGATTCATCCCCGTAGCTCTCGACTAGGTGGTACGCCGTTGCAGCTCCCGAGAAGCCAGACCCGATGATCAAAATGTCACATGTCGCAGGTAGATCAGGAGTGGAACGATGAGTATCGAGCTCGTGCAATTCTGTTCTCCAGAAAGGCAAGGTATGGTCAGATGGAAGGGGATTCGGCGGCAGAGCGCCTGCGCCATCTCTTGAAAGTTGCAGTTAGTATATGTCAGAGGCATATGCTAATCATGAGGGCAATGAGATGACGACAAGATGAGACCAATACTACTCACGGCCATAATGGTGATGCTGGTGGTGTGGATGAAGACATGTTTTGCCATCAACAACTCAAAGTGCTTGGAACAACCGAAAGAAAGGTGCAAACACGTAGCACACAGATCTATTGTCGTTATTCATGTTGACGATAAGAGCACGACAACAGGGATTGTATTATGAATGGTGTGGATATAATGTATACGGGAATCTGGTGGGCTACAGTGGTCAAGCTACCTAACCTCTGAGTTGGATAAGATGCTTATCACTGGGTGGGGTGTTGTAGGGGCATCGTGGTTCAATTGCGACTAGTATCCATGACCGGACAAGCGGGTAGCTTCCGATGGAATCAGGCATGTATGGAACTTAGCAAGGTGCAATAAGCAAAAGTGGAACCGGAGCAGGCCGGACGTCGGGACTCGGGTGTATCTGTCATAGATAGTGCAGGAGAAAGCCGGCAAACCAAGACCAAAGCAAGACAAGTTTCGACAGCTCCGAGCCCTTCTTGTGTCGCTAGCACTACCCAGTATAGGCACAACAATTACAGCGTGCGGGGAAATACTACTCCACTATTATCAGATTGACTTTGCTCTTCGTTGGATGTTATCATCATGCGGCTTCGGAGGTAAAAAGTCACGAACAAGTGGCTTTTTGATGGAATTTTGACGATCCCGCCTATATCACGCTTTGATACCTCATCAGCTTCACTTGCTCGTCTGTAATTATCCAAAACCAAGAATCCTACGACATTTCTGTTAATTTGTTACTTGCCGATCTTCGACACTTTCAAAGCTCAACATGGCCAGCGTTATCAACTTTGAGCCTAAATACATCACATTCGACTGCTATGGCACTTTGACCGACTTCAGTAATATGACCAAACTGACGCGAGAGATCTATGGCGATCGACTGCATGGCGATGAGCTCGAGCGCTTCATCTCACTTTTTTCCGGCTACCGATACGACGAATGTTTGGGCCCATATAAACCATATCGCGATGTGCTTGTCAATGCTGTCAGACGCACGTGTGCAACAACGGGATTCCCCTTCTCAGAGGAGGAGGCTGAGAAGTTTTACCATGCAGTCCCGACTTGGGGTCCCCACCCTGATGTTCCAGAAGGCCTTCGTCGCCTGGCGACCAAGTACAAGCTCGTAATCCTTTCCAACGCCTCGGATGACCACATTATGCAGAATGTAGAGAAGCTGGGAGCGCCATTCCACGCCGTCTTCACGGCACAGCAGACACAGAGCTACAAGCCGAGGATGCAAGGGTTCGAGTACATGTTTGACAAACTCGGGTGCACCCCGCAGGACTGCCTCCACGTCTCGGCAAGCTTCAAGCACGACATTCTGACCGTCGATGCAATGGGAATGAACCACAAGGTTTTTGTCAACAGGAAGGGTACAGCGGATCCCTCCAGGCCAGATTACAACTGCTACGAGGTCAGGGATATTGGTGATCTAGCAACCAAGTTGGGACTATGAGGACAATACACATTATTTGATCCACCAAAATTTAAACATTTCAAACCAGAAAAACCTATCCTTGTCATTGCATACTACCTATCACTCTATTTTGATATTCCAGGCATACTACTACGCAGCTTGCCAAGACCCAGACTCTACATCCAGGTTGAGAAGCACAGACCCCCGACAACGTCTCCGCACCGGGTGCTTATCTCCACGCCAAGGATTGAAAGCAGCCGGCTACAGCATCTGTCATGGCTGCGGCGGGACGCCGGCATCTACTGAAAGCCAGCCGGCTGAGTTCCGGTCTGCTGACTCCTCTTATCGTTTTCTAGCATGGACCAGGACCAGGACCAAGATAAACTTTTTTGCCTGCGAAACGACGCAACTTGTCGAGGGCACGGTTGCATAGTGGGGCTGACTTATGGTTCGGAGATAAGGGAACGTTTATTGACTTGGCTGCTATAATGCGCGAGAAGCATGATTTTGGTCTCTTGGAAAGGATTATCGTCACTGCACGGAGGATGAAAACTTTATTCATAGCGTTGATGCTCCATGTCTGATCAATAGACTATCCATCCATTGTCAACCTTTTAGTGCGAAGCGCCAAAACAAGCAACCAATATTTCTGGTACCATGACTGGCCAAGAAGATGCCATTGCGTCCAAGCACGACAGCAAGCAGACATCACTGAATGAAACGACTGTCGACATCGCCATGGACAAGAAGTTATCTCACAATAATGACACAGATTTATGCACTGATGTCAATGTCTCTGTCGGCGAGGTTGAGGCTGTCCTCGATGAATCTGGTACCTTTTTCTGCACTTGATAGGGCTATCGGGATTTTTTCCGTGGCTAATATCATCTATAGAATTCACGGAGGAAGAGTACAAGGCTCTCTTGAAAAAAATCGATCGATGGCTTCTTCCTCTGATGTAAGCGCGTTCTTGGGCCGCATACCTCTGTCAACCTCCTCTAATAGCTCCCCGCCAGGTTCTGTTGCTATGGCATCCAGCAAACCGACAAGACCGCAACCGGTATACAGGCGGTGAGATTCAATCTACCCTCTTCATTTCTAGGACTCTATTCTTACTCCGAAGCCAGATATTTGGCCTGCGAACCGATTTGAACCTCCATGGCGAACAATACAATTGGCTCACGACAATGTCAGTCGTAGATACATCACCATGCCTCTTCATCAAGCTTATTCTTCAGACAGTTTCTATATAACTTACCTCGTGGGCGAGTTCCCTTCCAACTTTTTGCTACAGCGCTGGCCGATTGGTCGCTGCTTAACTGGCTACATGATGTGCTGGGGTATGTAATGGCTTCCTGGATATGTTCAGCAACTTAGTCATACATGCTGACAATGTACTCAACAGCAATCTGCCTGATTTGTATGAGCGCCGTGAAAAACTGGTCTCAACTAATGGCACTTCGGGCGCTACAAGGTTTCTTTGAGTGTACCATATCCCCTGGTTTCCTGCTTGTCATTGGAAGCTGGTACAGGACAGAGGAACAGGCGCCTCGAGCCCTGTTTTTCCAATCTGCCAATGCGTTTTTCCTGATTGTCTGCGATCTCATCATGTACGGGATCGCTGGTTACGTGACAAAGCACGGTGGCATCCAGCCATGGCGTACCATTTCGCTATTCCTCGGAAGTCTGACTATTGTCATTTCTGTTGCGGCGGTATTGATTTTGGGCACACCCAAGGAGGTCCGCTGGTTGAACAAGAGGGAGCGGCGCATGGCGTAAGTCAATTTCCGTTCTTTTTCTTTTCATTTTTAAACTTCGCGGAAAAGTCATCACTAATGATTGATCATATCGTTTTTAGTCAAGCACGTATAGTGAGAAACAAGGCTGGCCGCGATACGACTGGCCTCAAGTGGTCTTGGCCCCAGGTCATCGAAGCTTTGAAAGACCCCCAAGTATGGTTCAGTTTTTGTAATGCTTTTATCAACAACATTCCCAATGGGTATGTTATTAAGCCTGAGCTATTCTGGAATTGGACTAAACTAAAACTCAACTATAGTGGCTTGACCTCATTCGGCTCCATCTTGTATGCATCCTTCGGATTTAGCAACATGGATGTTCTTCTGGTCGGCTTGCCACGTTCTGGTTCGTCTTGACTTTTTCATATCCCTTGTTAGCATTGAAAATTCAACCAGTCTTCTAATTGACGATATTCCAGTCATATCACTTGGCCTCTTCATCCTCGTCGGCCAGTACATCAGCAGGGTACCAAACAGGCGCATGTATATCATGATGATTGGATGTGTATTGCCATTCATTGGATTACTCGCCATGTCGCTGCTGCCAAACGAACCGTCCATGAAGTGGGTGAAATGGGGCATGTACATACTGACGATGCCTTTTGTCTTTCCCATCTTCCTCGCCTGGTCTCTTAGTAAGTCTTTTTCTCAAATGCCCAATTTCTCCATTTCTATTTGTCTTCTTGTTCTCTGACAATCCAACAGTCCCTTCTAATGTTGCTGGACGCACTAAAAAGACGGTCGTATCGTCACTGACCTTTTTGGCTTACTGCATTGGCAATATTGGCGGTTCATTTGTTTTCAAGACGAAAGATGCTCCCCGATATGTGTCAGGTACAATTGCCTGCTCTATTTGCTTTGCTCTCGAGTTCTCCATCATCCTTGCTTGGCGCTGCTGGTACATGTATGAGAACAAGCGCCGCGACAAGGCTGCTGCTGCCAGCGGTCTTACCAAGGAACAGCAGGAGGCTGAAGGTCGTTTACTGGGAGAGCAGGATGTAACAGACAGGATGAATCCGCATTTTCGATATACGATGTAACTTATAGGCAGTCACACTAGAACAAGTACAAAGCTTTATTGATATCTCATGTACTCAGTTCTTCATTATGCGCTTCGAGATGACCATAATTGAAGGGAGTAACCATTCTAGTCCGTTCGATTGCCATCAGGTAGAGAGAATTGAGAGCATTTTTGTATCGAATTAAAGGCTACCGAGTTCGCTAATCAAAGCGCCGTTGGAGCTTGGCTACCAAAACTCATAGAGGATCTTTTCAATTGCCAAGTAAAACGTCATTTTCGTGACATTCACTGAGGCATCTGATTGTTCGTCAAGCTTGATGCCTCATTTTCACCAAAAGTATCTCCACCTATCAAATGAGGATAAGGGAAAAATGGCTCGAGCGCAAAACTCGTTTCAAAAGATACCGCCTGTGACCATAGAGTTTCTGACAAATCAATGTCAGTTGGATCTCCCGATGGCAGCTGGCTTGTTGCGTCGGAATAGGTCTGGCCTGGAGGAGAGTGCTGCTTCCACAATTGCGCCCAATTCTTGAACTGTTCGTATGCACAAGTTTGTTGCGTGGACTTTCTGGCCTGGACCCCCAACTGGTTATGCAAACGACGTATCGCTCTATCGAGCAGTTCAACAACTGGAAATTCGAGTTTTGCTGGGTCGGTTCCCTTGGTCATGAGCCGCATCAGATTCATGCCTTTCTTAAGACAGTCTCGCAGATGCTTTGTGTTCTCATTCAGACTGTGAGCAATAAACACCAGCATTGCGGCCTGACACGAGCTAAACTCTATGTAAGATGCCCTTGTCAGGCCACCATGATCGTTCAAAAGTAAACAAAAGTCGAGAATCTGGTGTGCAGCTTTGATGCAATCGGAAGTAAGAGTTGATCGTGCCCGAGACGCCTTTGAACTTGATGGCCCTAGTGACGCGGAGGTTTCGTTATACGTGAATAAGAAAGGGCGGCCCATGAATACCTGAGTGAGCAAAAAGGCAAGGTTCAAGTGCACATTTGCCCGAAAGGTGTCTTCCTGGGGATCCATGTCCTTGCATCGAAAACTTGATGGTAGCGAACACCACCAGGCTTTAAGACTATTGCTTTGCCGCACCAATTCCTCAAGACACTCTGTCTGTCGTGACTTTGATGCGTCTCCCAGTCGACCACTGCTATCGTCAGTTGATGAACATCATTGAGAAGCAATATTCAAGTAGACTTTCATGCCTACATTATAGATGCTACCGCTTCCAGATACGGAGTTAGCATGATTATGGCTCGAAAATTCTCAAACTTCGGTGATTGAAAATGCGGTGTCTCCATGGGTAGCTCAACATCTATATCTGCACGAGAGATTGACAAAGGTCTTCCGTGGAGGATGCAGATACGTCTAGGTCATAAGGTTAATCATGAGTACACGCTATTGGGTAAATGAAATGAGGATTTCGGCATACTTCTCGAGGGTGTATATCGTCCACCAAAGCCGTTTTCTGACTTCTAAAGCATGTGAGTCCAGGAGAACCCCCGAATAAGTGCGATGCATGCCATTCTGGATGGCCATTTTGATTGCCACTCCCAGGTATGTATACGAAAGTCCCGATGTGTCCTGCGGGAGAGTGTATACGCCAAGAAGTAGAAAGGCCTGGACACTCTCCACGGACGCTATGGCAAGCATGTCTGGAATGAGCTTGGCAGCCTGTTGATACAGACTGATGCCAACTTCATCATCAAACATTGCAGAGTCGTCGTTTATGGATTTGTCGAGGGCCGCTTCATCGTTTCTGGCCGAATCGAGAGCAACAAATTGAGTCCCAATCGCCATGAGCATCAAGAGAATGCACCAAATTGGGGAATCAGTGGGGAAGCCATGTGACGCCTGCTTGTAAACGCCTTCAAGCTTTTCCATGACCCATTTTTCTTCGACGTAGAAATAATTCGTCTGCCCGTATTTGAAGAAGATTGCAATGAGGAATTCAGCCACCGGTTTGGGGGGGAAACACTGTGCCACTAATAAGGCGGTCGGATCCGAAATCTGTAGGTGCTTGGCCCTGAAGTATTGTGTCTGGCTGGGCGCTTCATGGAAGTCCTGACATAATGTTAACATACATGTGCATATGCATACAGTACTGGTCACCTTACTCTGTCATCCCCGAGGCGATAGATTTCGTCCTTGACTCGGTTGGAAAAATTCCAATGCGAGAGCTCCCCAGAATAATCTATTGTCATAATGAGCCGCCTGTATCTATGATGAGCACGTATACTGCTAGAGAACTTACGAGCAGCATTTCCGGCGATTTCTTTTCGTGTAAAAGACTCATCTGACATTGTCGAGGCGTCGGAATCATCTGCTCTTCCAGAGTCAATTGGGCCAGGACGCGCCGACTGCCCTCCGGCAATTAGAGTCTCTGCTAGTCTACGCAGTTCATCCAATTCAGATGGAACGTGGCCAATGAAGTGCTGGAGCATCCGTTCCATCACTTCTAGTCTTTCACTTACTGCCTCAGTCAAACCAAGTCTTCTGCCTTTCCGGTCAGTCTAAAGGTTTCAAAATGAATTGGAGAAAGCTGTACCTGTTTTCGTTTTCGTCTTCCACTGAAGCACTCGTCATTTGAATTTGGCAAACACGACGTAGACGAATGCACCTGCCACAGGGAACTCCTCCCTCGCATCGTTCCTTCTGCTTCCTGCATGAGTCACATCTGTATGGCAGAATAAGTAGAAAGTCAAGTCATGCATCAACTATCGCGACTGCGTACGCTTTTGGGGTCCTCTTGCGAATCCCCTCTTCTGCAAGCCGGGGCCGCTTTTGCGGCGGTGACTTTGCGGGGTTCTGTGCCATTGCACTCAGCCTGGATAAGTGGCCGGTCTGATGGTAATGATGATGATGATGATAATGATGATGTCCGCAGAGGCTCTGGAGTCCCGAAGCTGCGAATGTTGAAGGTCAACTCACAGGGAGAGTATCGTGAATTCATACTCCAGGGTGTAGATTCATGTGCTTGGTAGGGATGGTTTGATAGGAAACGACAAAGATAAGATACCGACATGAATGCAAGCTCTACGTATGGTACGTACCTTGGGGTATACCTAGTGCAATCAGGCACGATGCGATAAGACTGTTGGCACCGATTGGTCAGCAGTCTTTACCTTCACCCATTTGCTGAACATACTACAGAGATCTCTCTTTGAAATATCCTGGGTCATTGCTTAGGTAAGTGGCTATTTAAGACCTTTGACGCTCAATCAAGAATTATGCGCCTGGTTACCGTGTTCTGCACAAAAGGTAACTTGGTTCCCTACCAAGTTACTGAACTGTGGGTGGACTGCGTATCGGCATACCAGAGTAGCGCGGGTGTGGATCATGTGCGGGTTCAGCTTTCCGAACCCCATCGCAGCAAACCACGAAGATACACTCTCCTTTCATCGGGTTTTTCATGGCGCTATATTTTATGGGAGGGAGAAAATGGCATGATATAGTTCAAGTTCAAATGGTATCAATTATCCGTACAATTTAAACATTACGTAGAAATCAGAAGGCTTTCAATGCCCGCGCGGCCCCGCAAACTTGGAACTCAATCGATCCGCCGCCGACTGTGTCCACCCCTCACCTCCCAAATTCGACCACGTATCACGGGAATGGTTTGATTCCAAGTCTTGCGACGCTACGCGATTGAGATGATGGCTCGTGGACCGCGTAAGTACGTTGGGGTTCGTAGGGTTGCCGGGCTGTCCGCTCCAGTGCGTGCGAACTGATTGCGGGATGGCAACAGTAGGGTTCTGAAACTTTGACGTCGGAAGCAAGGGAGGTGACTCGGGAGTGATATTCCAGTCAGCAGACCTCATTGAGGATATTGTTGACATGGCATAAGAAGACGAGCTTGTCTTGCGGTCGCCGTACACGGGAGCCGCGGATGGCTCGTCATAAATGGCGGCCGTTGACTTGGATTCCGCATCTTTGTCCGTAGTTGCATTATGACCGCTCTGAGGAAAGCCACTTGTCGACTTATTGGTGCGCGTCTTGGTCCAAGTGACATAAACTTTGGGAACGAGTCTGATCAACCAAGGCCTCAGCGGCGGCAAGCTGCCGAGGAATACTGCCGTGAACAGTTCAATCAAAGACCAAATGATAACATCAACATTGTCCCCTGTGACTGTTAGCTTGGAACAAAGTACTGGCTCGCATCAACTTACAGGTCGCGTCAAAGGTGTAGGCAAACATGACCATATACTTTAGACGAATCATGCTTGTCACTGCTGCACTATTGCGAGTTAGCTCCATGTCACAAAATCCATCAGCCTCATACTTACAAAGAGCCAATTGCAAACATCAAAGAAAGGAGGACTCTTTGCCTTTGCGACACCTGGAGCTTGCGTAGTTCTGTGATGGGCAGCAGGACCAGGAAGATATCCTCGACTATGCTGAGGGCCGCACCGACGTATCCTACCGCGGTAATATCCACGCACTTGCCTGAGACCGTCTTGTCCCAAATCGAGTATATAGGCCAGCACTGGAAGATCACCACCATGACGAAGATAAGACCATGCCCAATCATGAAAGCAGTGAATATTTTCAGCGTCAAGCGCATCCACCTGGCAGGAAACAAGCGGAAAAACAACAAGGCGATAGAGACCTTGGCCGATAGCTGAACTGTGATGTAGAGGATCTGTGCGGCGTAGAAGAGCTGCAACAGAACCGGGCCATTGCTTGCGCTGATATTCCAGTAGTGCTTGCCAAAGCCCATACGAGAGCTGATATATTCCATGGCCGCAAGCGCAGTTAACAGCACCAGCCCAAGCAGCGCCGTCCAGTCATCGAGCCACAGCTTCTTGGTGATTTGCAATCTCGCTGCACAGCGTGCCAGCACAATGGGGATGGCCAGAGCCATGGTAACTATTGCGGCAATCTGGACGTCGCGCACCCTCGACTCCTTTGGATAGGCCGTACATAGTGAATCGGCCGCGCTGCTGGCAATGAGTTGATCGCTGTAAACGCAGGACGTTTGTATGCACTCTGAGAGACCAGAAAGCAGCTTCGTGTCCAAACAGATGCAGTCACTCAAAGATGCTACGTCGGTCATGGAGCATTTTGCTTCGGTCAGGTCTTGAATAACACAAGGAAGCTGTTCCCACAATTAGCATGCCGAGCACTCGAAAGAGGAAGTCAGCCACTTACAGCGCATTTGGGAATAGAAGATATGATTTCCGATACTGATGTCCCCTGTGCTGAATTCACGCAAGCCACGACCCATAATGATGCCACAAGGACAAGCCGATTGATATGTGACGGCATTTTGGAAGGTGATTGAAAACAAAAGAATGTGTTGACGACAATGTCAAAATGTATCGACTGAAGAAGAGTTGAGTCACATAGGTAATGAATGACAATTATGCGAACCTGCGACTTGGGTGAATGGCCACCACCAGGACAGCATTGCAAAGCTCCCCTCTCTTGCAATTTGCGAAGCCATCGTTGCATGGGGACACTCTTGGCTCTTGTATCAGACGAAGAGGTGTGGAGGCGCACTGACACAGTGACAGCACCCTCATTGCAACGATTCTAGTTAATGATTAGCGCAAGCCAGGGTCTGTGCGGACACCTGCGGGTAAACTGTAAAGGGTCTCTCAACTTGCCAAGGGTCTATGCGGTAGTTGACAGAGGGCGACTAGGTTGCTAGGTACATCGAGGCCGACCGTGCGCATGCTGAGAAGAGATAAGCTCTTTTCTGACAGTTCAATTGCGCATCGCAAGCGACGTTGTCGGGACGAATTATTGGTTGTTTTGGAGTTGCTCCCTTAAACGCCGCATTAGGCTGGTGCTCAAGCTCGCCATAAAATTCCAGTATCCGGGACCCTGCGCTGTGGTCACGCTAAGTCGCGAGAACACTCCAAGTCAAAGTTGTTGGGCGATGGAAGGGGGTATCAAGGGTATCAATTGAAAGAAGACAAGGAACAAACCCAAAAAGAAAGAAGGCGTGGTCCCAGAAACTCTGATATATCTGACCAAGTCTTTACGAATTCCTGAACAACAGCAATCACCAATGGTCAATATGCTACTGTGTAAAGTGTGATGATGTTTTTTAGGGAGCAAATTAGTCCTTGCGAGCTGAACAGCGGGCAGCAGGGGTGGGTGATCTTTGGGCTTAGGCGTCGCGGATCACTGTTGCCCCCACATGTACAACCCCACGCCTAATGCTATGCTGCCACCAGCCCTTTCAAGGAGCATTTCCCAATCCTGCCTTTTGAAACAATTTTAAAGTTCACCAACTCAGCCACAAGGACTAGTCTGTGAAAAGATGCGTGACAACCGAGTTTTGTTGCAAGCCGTCAATGATATATTCCGCCTAGCCACGCGACAAGCATGGAGCCCTTTCTTTTGCGAATATAACCGCAAGGTGTATTTGTAATAATACCTATACTCAATAACGAAATCAACGGCCGCTGCATGCTAGCCGAAGAGAGCCGACATGTAGACACATATTGTCCTACATTCTGAATATGTGATCATGCAATTGAGGTACTCTGTCTTTACTTTGAATAAAAAGGAAATATAGTTTCTCAATGACTCCTCGTCCGTTTCAATGATGACTTTAGTCGATCACACTTAGTGTCGTCACTAGAAGAAGCCACCAGCGACTTGACAACAGGCTCAAACAACTCCTTCTCTATCTCTCCGCTCATGCGCAAAGCTCCCACCAAAACGCATATACCGACTCAATGACGTCCTCAGCATCACATTCTCTGCTGTCCCAGGCCTTGTTCAGGATATAATGCAGAATCTTGACATCATCGTCTCGATAAATCATATTGGGGTTGTAGGGCTCACTTGCTGCTTTGACTATACGGAAAGTCATGATGGCTTGACATCTTTCTGATTTCTGTCCACACCAACGGGTTGGTAGTGCTTGGGAGCGATATGAGAGGAATTTGTTATATATGAATTCTTGTACAATAGCAAAGCGTGCTCGTTTGGCCGTTTATTTACGTCTCCGCATCTCGAGGCAAATTATTCGGCTGCCGCGTCGCATATATCCCCATTTTATACATATCTTTAATATACACAGGCTCACAAAGGCCATCGGCTTAGTCCTGTGACTCCTGTCTAACTTGAGACGTGGCAGTGCGACGCATTCCCGCTCCAGCGTGACTTTGTGCGGTGACTGTACTGTATAATCATTTCTTGGTTGGTGACGAACATCAAATCATTATATGGGTCCGATGGTGTAGTTGGTTATCACGTCAGTCTAACACACTGAATGTCGGCGGATCGAGCCCGCCTCGGATCATCATTTTGTCTATGGCAGCAAAATCGTTTTTGCTGCTTGTACCTGGTGTAACACTGGCAAAGTTTTGTCGCTATGGTAGAATGGAATGTACACACTATGCATAATGGATCGGAGGAACGAGTAGAGTGAATAAATGAATTGAGCTAATCCACGATAATCAATTATAGTAGAAGGGTAATCCTCTGAATTGAGATGCAGAAAAAATAGCCACTCAAGGTGATTGAAGAAGACTACGGGCTCATTCTTTACTCCAGGGCCAGGACCATCCTCCCTACCCTCCACCCCTCAATCTTCATCGTGTTCACTGACCATCTCCAGATCCGAAGAAATTCGGCGGCGATTAGTCGGAGACGACACAACGGAAACTCCGGAAGCCGTTGCCAAAGTTGGATGCGCAGTTATCACCTGGGCTAGTCGCCACGTCTTGAGCCCCTTGGCAATTGTCTCCTGCGTAAAAGGTGCACTGGCAACGCCCATGGTCGCAGTTTGCGATATTGGCGCTATTGGTTCCGCTCAATTGCCACTGATAGCAGCTTCCGTCAATCGGCACATTGGGTGGCGACGCGTTGAACTGGCTGCAGCCTCCGTCTGTGTAGTAGTTGATTTGGACGGCGGCCGCGGCGGCTGTTGCGAGTGAAATGAGGGCAATGGACTTCATTTTGAATGAATTTTAACAATGATGTTTGTGACTAGATTGCTTGTATATTTGGAATGTTTGGGCTTATTGAGTAATGTCGTCTGGCGTCTGAGAGCTGCCTATGGCTGGGTGGATCGGATAGCTTATATACTTCACTTGTGGCAAGTGATACAAATTGGTGACAGATATCAACGGCTCATTCTTTTGAGAGGCGCTACCTATTGCACGCATTCCCACCCGACGGACTGAACACAAAACGTTGGGAGGAGTAAATCAGCGAGAAACATCAGCCACACAGAACTTCAATTAAGCGGAGTGTTCTAAATAAGAAACATGTATTGAATCATCAAGAAAACCATATATGTGCACTTGAAAGTTATAAATGTTCTTCAGATCCGCATAATGAGGCTACTTCTGTGTTTCGGAATTGCAGATAGGGCTTACTCAGACTAGGTCTGGTACCATCAAGCTACACTTTGATACAACATGGTGCTATGCGCTTTGTAATCACCAAGTAGCAACATTCAGACTGTTCTACGTTTGTCCATGACACAAAGTGCAACACGAACGTATTTTTACGTACGAAGCATTATGCAGTGGTGAGACAGCATGGCGGACCTTCCATCTACAGTCACGGCTATCGTCTGCTTGGGAAAGTGGGTGCACTCTTTGTATACGTGCGTGGTTTCAGAGCTGACATAGAATGACCAAGTGAAGCTTAGGTAGGAAAATATGTATGTAGCCTTGGACTCCAACCTTTCATATGCCGAGAAGAGGGACAATAAAAGGATAAGAGGATGGACGATATATAACAACTAAAGATTCGGTTCAACGTGTTATGCATTGACACTATCGATATGTCATGTATCTATATTCACCTAAGCGAATGTGAAGGGGAAGATGCGATCAAACAAGTGTCTGAAAGATGTCTGACTTGATTCTTACGAGCTGTCTGATGTATCCAAGCAGGGAATCTGCGGTATTTGCGGACCAGTTCAGTGCAACAGGATAGCAGCTATCATGAGGCCACCCATGGAACAGAATCAAGCTACAGGTGCGACACTCTGAAGCTCACCTTGAACGATCTCATCTGTTCAACCAGATGACCCACGACTCAGTAGAACGGCACTGTTCTTGGCTTGAATGGTTGCTTCTGTCAATCTTTGTTAGTGGAGTTTACAAAGATAAAAAAATAGTCTTGCGGGTCTTGCGTATCTCCAATGGTGGGAGCAGCAAAAGCAACAGTGACAAGAGTCATGGCAAATGTGACGATAGCAGAATAACGCACCTTGATAATTTAATACTTGGAGATTGTTTTTGTTCCGAAAATGAATTTTGTTTGATAGTTTGTATATATTCGATGTCACTTTGTCGAGATGGACAGGCTTCGCTCCTCCTATTTATGCTTGGCCGTCGTCTTTGTGGCGCTATATCACCTGCCACAGCACTATCCTACCACCTTCTCCCGCGATAAGTGGCACGACCATGGCTTTGCTAGTTTTGAACACCTGATACCTGGGGATTCTGACAATACAAGATTGTGGCCCGGGTTAGGCAGAAGCGCATGGTGACGCTGTAGGGTCGGCGGGTTGTTATCATGATCCGCCCAATCACGCCTTTGCGAAATAAAGGTTTGCCTCTTAATACCGCGATTATTGGAATTCAATAGTCGGTGATATGGTATCCCTCGGTTCATGAATGAAGGGTTGGAGGAAGGTTGCGATGTTCGATTGAACTGACTGACCCCAGCTGTGAAGTCGAGCATTCTAGGGCCTTTCTTACAGAAAAGGATTGCAATATACTAATATGTAGAGATATATTCACATCAGAGTCGGAACTAGTCTAGGTTCGTTCTGTCGTGGTGGGCAAGTTAGGTGCATACTAGGTACTCGGCTTGTGGGCCGTGCAGTGGTTAGCTTGAAATAATCGAGGTCATAGCTTACCTACCCATAACACTGTTTCGGACCGAAGGCCGTGAATACCTGTGTTGATTAAACGGATGCCTAGACCTAATAGCGGTGCTTTTTCACAAGCGTGCTTTAATTTGCGTCAGCCATCTAAACAAACAACCACCGCTTCGATTGCAATCTTCCTCCTCGGTTGCTCCATGTTTCTGAAAGAGCAGGGCAATGCCGCAAAACATCCGCTATCATGTCAAGTCCCGGAAAGGATGTGCCAATTGCAAGCTCCGTCGTGTGAAAGTGAGCAGCTCAATTTTCGTGTGGAACACAACGATTAATGGATTACCTGACTCGAACTCAAGTGTGACGAAGTGCGCCCGCAATGTAGCAGCTGCTCACGTCGCAGTATTGAATGCATTTATGCATCAACGGTGCAAAGACCGGGGATCTCCGGTGCCCAACCCCAGCAACAACTCATGAGAGACGACGCTGCAGCAGTGTATTCCACTACACCCGTCTCTTCGCCGCCGGCCTCAAGTGTTTCTCAGTACAGCAGCAAGAGTCTACTGGACTTACGCCTGATGCATCACTACTGCATCTTCACCGCTCCAGGGTTTGCCGGCACTTTCCCCGAGAAAGTCTTGCAGGCTCTGCAAGTGGAAATTCCAGCTCTTGCGTGCCGACATGTGTTCCTCATGGACGCCATACTACTCGTCGCCATGGTTCACCTGTGCTGCACCGACCCTGCATCTCTGGACAACATGCCAGTCTATTATTATCGTGACCAGGCACTTAAATCTCTCCGCCACGCCGTTGCAAACATTTCAGACGACAGTACTGATGCCGTCAGAGGTGCATCGGTGCTGCTCGCGCACATCTCTTTCGCCACGGATCGTGTAACGCAGCAGCCGGGCTTGTGGGTGGCCAATTGGATGGCGTTGGCTCTAGGGCAGCGTAATTTCCGGGGCCTGTCCTGGTCGTCAAATCACCAGTATGATGGTCGGGGCATGTACAGTAGCCGTACCGCACCACATGGCTCTGCAGACCATCTCTCTGTCGCTACAATGATGCCATCGGATATCCACCGGGCCCTAGCCAGAGAGAACAATGACGAGAATCCAGCATCAGAATCCGCTCTCCGCACTGCTGCAACCGAGCTTGGCAGATTAACAACAATTGTTCAGTTGCCATACCAGACAATAGACCTGGAGAAGCAGGTGAAGGCGTGGTCGTTCGATCTGGTGCCCACCGAGTTTCATAAAATGGTCCAACACAGAAACCCTAAAGCTCTGATTATTTTAGCATACTACCTAGTCCTATTCAAGCTTCTCCCAGAATCGTGGCTATATCAGGACTTGGTAAACCATGATATTGAAGAGATAGACCAGTTGATCAGCCCAGAATGGCAACTATATATGTCTACACCGAGATTAGCCTTGCAGATCGACAATAAGGAAGAAGTGATACAGTTGCTCGGAAGCAGCTTATCAAATGGCATAGGAGAATCCGAGAAGAGCTAAGAATGTTATTCTTATGATGTATTAAATTCTAGTCAGCAATAATAACACTTATATTTTTGTTCTGCATCGTTTCTGTGCCAGCCGTCTCTCTGCGCCAAATCCTCGTTCTTCGGGGGTCCGAGATAATAAGAAACCCCAAGTTAACACGCGGATTCCCTATTCCTCAGACACAGCATTAACAAAAGAAAACTTTATTGAGCATCTCGTGGCCCTCCGATTATATATGTCCATATCGTGAGCTATTGGAAAAGGCTCAGTATGCCCATTAGCGGATCCTACAGGAGCTCTTCGTCGCGCGACTGCAAGATCTGATCAAAAGCCTTGCGACTAGGGATATAGTTACCGGGGTGGTAATATATCAAAATCGCCAGCACACCAAACATCAAGGTGGAGTCACAGACGTAAAGGTATGCTTCCGTTTTCATCATGGGCGAATTGCTATCGCCGCAGAACTCGATGAGACGGAAGATGGACCGCACAAAGATCATGGCGCTCGCAATGTAAATGACGCGGAGAACCCCTCGCCATCCCAGCTTCGTGTTTTCTGCGTCCAGGCGCTGGGCTGTGTGGGTAGGAGTTCGTGATAGTCGGCGGTCCACGACAACGGCCACAATGACGAAGACGCCGAAGAACATGATCTGGATCGCCAGACCGAGTAGGATTATTGTCTTGGCCAGGGAAAAGTTCTTGGACAGGTTGGATGATCCGATGACTTGGATGAGAAAGGACAGGACGTCTCCGCCCACAAAGATCTTGGTGAGCCAAGCTGGTCGGATCGGCGAGTGTGCCTCGGCGCGCAGCAAGATAATGAGACGCCCAAGGACCATGTAAATTGAGGCGGCAAACAGAGCTGGGGCGACCAAGATGGTCAGGGTCTGGATGACGAATAGGATCAGGTTCGACGCATTATCATGGGCGAGAAATCGGCATATGTAACCGGCAATTTCCACTACGATTCGGGAAGGTATTAGTACTGGTACTGACTCTTGATGTCCAACAGAGGGCCAAAAGAAAGAAAGAAAAGCTTACGGCAGCCACCCAGAACCAGTACGGTAAAATACCACACTCGAAGGCGAAATACAATGATTGCGTGCCAGAGGGTCGCGATCGCGAACAGGACTACAAATATCATTGCAGCTGCTGCATTGGGATTGTAACCGTACGGATTGACTTCGGCCATTTTTTTCGTGGTTGTAACTCCTTGGTTCAGATTTTCTGCGAGGTTGCTCGTATAGACGTATGTACTGTGGGCGAATCCGTATAATGGTGATAAAGAAGGGATCTGGTCCAAACTTTCTGAATTGCGTCCATACCCGCCAATTTGTATACACTCATTGCTTCGACTGTTTGAGGCTGTGTTAATTGCAAATTTAATGGAATACGAATCCTTTTCCAGCAGTCTGGGATGGAAAGACTTTCGAATCGCCTGGACTCATTAACACAAAAGGAAAATGGTTACCTACCATCAGTCCCACTTGATTTCTATCGTTTTGCACTTCGCAGTTCGCACCCCCACATCGCACCTCGCACTTCGCTTTTCGCACTTCGCACCCGCTTTTGCATTTTATACAGTTGGTAGCATTTATTCGAGGCCACGACGGCTTCAACACCTTTCAATTACATAATACAAGTTCGATTATGTATTGTTGAATGGTAGATAGATTCCATACAATATACTATTTCAGACCAGTGTAAACCACAATAGGAAGGCACCATTTCGTTTGACATATGTTATAATATCGCTTTCAGCAGACAGTCTGGTCACTGCCCCTGCGTAGTGCAGTTTGGGTTTGCGAGTGTACAGAAGATCGGGTTACGTTACTGTAACCTTCAGTGGTACAGGCCTTTACAAGTGCCGACGCAGCTACTTGAAATATAACTTTTTTGATCTAAGTCTGGCCGTCATTTTTCACATTTGCTTCTTTATGATACAAGTCGCCAGAGTTGAGCTTACAGTCTCAGTATATTTAAAACCCTTCCAATCCTGTTGTAATTCTTTCATTCCGAGCGATCTAAAGTGCAAGCCTATCATCATCCTGCCGTCCATTGACACCTCCCGATAAATGATAATGGGTTACTTAGACCTTGAGGAGATTTGGGCGTACCCGAATAACCAGATCACTTTTGCAAAGCCGTCCAGAAAGACTTTTTTCGCGCACCCCCTCAAACTCCTTGTTGGAGCAGCACTCTTCCTTAGCTTGTTATTTTACACCTCGATACCCGATGGCTTCATCAGAGGCTTTGACCGCGACAGATCGTTTCTGGGTGTCGCATCCAGAGACCAGAGCGACCAGCTCGATATCATGAAGCAGCATGACATCAATGCAAAAATGCTCCACAGCAAAAGTTTCGCGAACCGCTACAGCGTACGTGCCCCACCGTCGATTCGCGAAATCGACATGACCCGAAGCAACGGCACTCGCGAGGGTCAGCCTGTGGTTGCCATCAACGCTCTCAACCCGAACAATCTTGTCTTCGTCTCTACACGGTTCTACCCCTTGCCGTCATTGAGCCCCGTTGGCGGCTGTTTCCTCGCGTATACCCTCGATCGCGGACAGACATGGGTCAACGTTACCGCTGATTATCCTCTGGGCGATGCTCCAGAGTGCGGTGAGCCGCAGGTCTTCTCTGACGCTAATGGCACATTCTACATTTTGAATAACCAGGTCTTTCCGGATTTGGAGAGTAATGAGGCGGCCCATCCGCAGCTCTCCAAGTCGGTGGATGGCGGCAAGACCTGGAGCACCCCTTCTGTGACTCCCTTGCACATGCAAGGTGCCCCCAAACTCCGGATTGACCAGGTCACAGGCAAGGTCTATGCGAATGGCGCATCTTCGTGGGAATATCCTGCTGCCATCTCGGTGAGCTCCGATGGGGGCGACACATGGGCGCCATTCAACCAAGTCCCCGGCCCCGTAGATGTTTGCCTCGACTATGAGATCCCCGACCTCCCCCCAGTGTGCGGATTCCCTGGCAGATCCATTGCCGTTCACGATGGTATCCTTGTCTCTGCAGCCGAGGGCTTAGAGGGCCACCCGGAGATGTACATCAGCCGCAACGACGGTGTCACCTGGACGACACTCCCGTTGACTGATAGTGACGGGGACTTTGTCCTGAACGGAACGGGGCCCATGTTGCCAGTGTCGGGCGTTGGTCTGCCCAGTGACCCAACGCCCTGGGTGTCGGCTGACCCAACCAAGACAGGACGATTCGCGCTCATGGTTCCGCGAGAATACACACTGGAGATATACGTTACGGAAGATGCAGGCGGCAACTTCACGGGCCCGACGGTCATTGAGACCCCAAATGCGCAGCGCCCTGCCATTGACTTTGGGTTGACTGGAGTGCTAGGCGTGATGTGGCGAACAAACAGCTCGGGGCTGTTGGATGTCTACTCCACCGTGTCCTTTGATTTCGGTCGCACCTTTGCCACGCCAGTCAAGGTCACTCGCGATTCCGTGCCTGTGGGACAGAATGGACAACCCGGCGACCGCGCGTCCTTGATAGCTCTCAATGGAAAATATGCGTATGTTGCTTGGTCTGATGGAAGAGATGGTCTCTTGGATGCCGTCTGGGCTGAGGTGCCATTGGCGCTTTTTAAGAACGAGACCATTTAGTAAACACCAATCTGCTGGAGCGAATCTCTACCCTTTTTTCCTTTTAGTTGAATTTATTTTGCAAACCTTGTTCAGTGATATGTTCTTTTGCATTAAGTTTAACCTAATAGACTTCCTGCACTTCAATACCTGGATGATGGTGCAAGACATGGGGCAAAGTTGAATGTGTAGAGATGAATACTGCGTTAGGGTTTGTTGCCGGTTGTGCTGGTACTGCTTGTGGAGTACTCAGACAATGTTAGAGAATGTACAAATAAGATTAATTAACGTGGTCTCTTGACATGACCGGCACCATCTTATCCAGGCTTGCGAAGCAGTTAATATTCTAAATACTGAGTTGTCAACAGCCAAAAGAAGGGCAGGTTGGTCGTCCAGAAGGGTAATGTATTACCAGTACATAGGACAATAAGGATTCTCAAACTCATTCTTTTAGGGACACGGAGAAACTAATAAACAAGAACACTTATCGTCACTTCCCGTGGCGGGGTTATCGCCAAATAATTCTTTGGGGGCTGTGCGGGGCTGCGCCTTGTTGCTGCCTTGCACGTCGCCCACTGTACAACGTACAGAATATCGCAGATTCCTCCGTCGTCCCCTACCATTTGAGGGCTTTAAGATCTCGACAGTCACGACTATCTCTCTCAAGTATCTTCCCCATACTATCCAAAATCCTTTTGACACGAATGGATGGTGATCATGACCACAATAGATTCTCTTCCCGCTGTTGATCCCTCTATTTTCACCCATCAAAAGCTCGATCTCTCCCAGCAGCAGATTCGAATCCTCCGTCTGCTGCCTGGCGAATGGAGCGATCCTATACAGTGCAGTCTATACATAGTGTATATGAGCATGCATCCTCCGTATGAGGCATTGTCATACGCTTGGGGCGATGCGACAAACCGCCGGCCAATATTCATTGATGGTACTCTTTGTCAAGTTACTTCAAATCTCGCCGCAGCTCTCCGGCGTTTACGAACCCCAGCACAAGATCGCCATCTTTGGGTCGATGCAGTTTGTATCAATCAGATGGATAATACTGAAAAATCACATCAAGTCAATCTGATGAGAGATATTTACTCGAATGCTGAAGAAGGGTTGCTGTGGCTTGGCGACTTTGAAGAAGATCACCATGGTACTGATTCTACTGGCCCAGTGTATAGCATCAGCAGTAATGAGCACTTATCGCATACGCAGAACCTATCCAGCGTCTCTGATACAGATTCTGCTCCGCCAGCTCTTGGATCCACCATCATCTCTCAAGCGGCTGCTGCCAAAGCATTCTCGCTGATAAGGCGTCTTGCTTCCAATGATCACATACCCCACGAGAATCTCGTGGAAGAGACTCAGGCTTTGAATACATTGATGAACCTTGCATGGTGGCAACGCATGTGGACAGTCCAGGAGGCGATACTTCCCCGCAAAACAACAATAATTTGTGGCTGGCTTTCAATGGACTGGAACCTGCTCGCTTCAGCTGCATCAAACGTCTCCAGCCATAATAACCAATGCTGCTCACGTTTATTTGGAGAATCAACATTCGGTATGCTTGTGGTTTTCCACCAAAGGGTTGGCACAATCACGGAGTTCAGAATGAATGAAATTTCGATGTTTAAGCTGAGGAGCGCGTTCATCTTCTTCCAAAATCGCTTAGCCAGCGACCCAAGGGATAAGGTCTTTGGACTTCTTGGTCTTTTCCCATCGCAAATGCAATATTTTTCAAAGGGAGCCGATTATTCACTCAGCAAGCAAGAGGTTTACAAAAGAATGACCTTCCATCTGATCAAGGAATATGGAAATTTGTTTCCATTACTCAGGGGGGATGAAAAGAAGAGGCGGCGAACCCTACCTTCTTGGGTGCCTGATCTCGAAGCAAAAATTGATGAAACCATGCTAGATTTGGCTATGCAGTGGTTATGCATCTATAATCTATTTGATGCGACTTCCGGGTCCCAGTTGGAGCTTGGCAACAGGATTTTGAACCATTTTAGATTGAAAGGAGTATTTGTGGACGAAATCTCGGTGCTAATGGAGTTTAAGAACCTTGGCGATGCAGCAGGTGTAGTCGAGCAATTGAAAGGACTGGTCACGTCCGCGTTCAGCTTACAAGATGATTACCCAATGGGGGGCACCTATGAAGATGCGTTTTGGCGAACGCTCAGGCGTGATTACAGTGTAGAGAGTAATCAAGATGGGTCAGGTGCATTTAGAAGGTTGCGTCCATCCGAGTTCCACGACATGGGGAATGTAGATATAAGGGATTTGTACGACAATGAAGCTTTCTGCCTCACCAAGAACGGCTTGATTGGTGTTGGGCCGGCTGGTTGCCGAGTTGACGACAGGGTTTACGTATTGTTCGGGGGTAAGCTACCCTTCATTCTTCGATCAGCTCGACGACGCGGGAAGCAAAACTGTTTCAAATACATTGGTCCGGGATACGTCCATGGAATAATGGATGGCGAGGCTTTGGAAACTAAAGTTGATCCAGATGATATCACACTGATCTAAAGCAGTCTAAATGCTACAAAGTAAAATTATGGGGATTACTCGGTTCTAATGTCAATATGAGTCTTTCAATTAATTTTGGTAAACCTTCATAAAAATGGCAGTAACACTGAGGTCTTATTGAAAACATCCTTCTCCGCCCTTGGATGAATCACCAATCGTCCAAAACGCCTCGGACTGGCTCTTTCTATGCCTATACCAACTGGCTCAGTTTTCGTTCTCCAGTGCAGACGCGGAGCTCCGCGTCTTTGACTGGGTCATCTTGGAAAGTCCTGATGTTTGTCTTTTCACCATATCCCGTGTCCTTCGATAGACTTTACTGACCCAATGCAAAACACTGGGCGCGTTGATGATGTGACCTACCTCGACGACTCCAACCCGACCACTCTCTGCTGACCTTTCCAGCTGAACATATTTGTTTACTTCAAAACCCTCGAAAGTTCTGCAGTCTTTGGACATATTGCCCTTGTCCAATATTTCCTCCGTCGTACTGCCCACCATTTGTGAAACAGCATGCCAAAAGTCTCCAATCATTGTGTATCGCGAATGGTAAATGTACAGCGCTGTCAGAAAAAGTATACACAAATCGTTGGCGAGGACAAGGACAACGACAGTAATCAGTCCTTTGTAGCTGGTGGGGATAGTTGAAGTAACGGTTTGGACAATCTCTGCTGGAGCCGAGACTGAATAAAAGTCCAGCATCTGGTCATGTGCGCTCTGCGCAAGCATGGTGTAAATAGTCTGGATGGCGACGGCGGCCCTGTTCGTACTCGTCAGGATGTCCATGAACATTCTAGAGTAGTCTCTGGCAATTCCTGCAATTCCTGAAATTCTTATGTTGTCTGCCTCACACAAGTCGCAGCCGGCAATTGTCTCATTCGCTGAAGGGTACACCAAGTCAAACTCCAGCATGCTGGAGCTTAATTGAGATGAGGGAAGCATATGCGCATTGCCAATAGCACCAACGACATAATCGCTTGGATCGGTTATAGTGTCCATGATGAGCACTCCTCTATCCTCCAAACGTTGCACACTAGGATCTGCGCCCAGAAACTTTCGAATATCTTCTGTATAAGAGGCATTGAACCCGTATCGCATCTTGGGCTCCACAAGATTCGTTTTGGTAGACAACGATACGTTGGATAACATGAAATTTATCGCGTTGAAGCATAATGTCACGTTAATCTCACGACTCAACCCGAAATCAAAAGATTGCCATTCTCCCAGAGTGCGAGACTCGGGCAATGCGGTAGTCTGGTTGTTCATGAGGGCCCATCCATCATTGTCAAAGTTAGAGCTAAGAACAAGAAACATGGTGGCCGTTGATGTCCACGGATCCTTCTGTAAAGTCCAGTTCGAGGAGGCCAGTCGAATATCAAAAGCCTGGGGTGAACAAAAGGCGGCCGCTTTCGGCTGACTGTCGTACATCCAGCTTGGAATACCACATTTAAATGGCACGATAGTCGAACAATTACTTGAACTACAATCATCCGACGCTCCCAAATTGGCTCTTTCTAGGGAGTCTTTGTACATGATCTGACCCGTCATCCATCCGTACCTGCGATTGCTGGTTGGATTCAAGACGCTTATGATCTCACCAGAGATGACTGGTGGCATGCATGCTACGCGAGAACTCATTACGTTAGAAGATCCTCGATAGCTACGCACAGTTGTTCTATCCTTGGTGAAGGGGAGCATCGCATGACGCTTTATCCCAGTATCACTCAGGCCATAGGGGTTTGGATCCGCGGAATAATGGGTCGGCAGTTCTCCAAACAAGGAATAATCTGCGGGTGGCTTTGACCAAGCGAGAAACATAATCTCCTCGTCTTCAAAATTGACATTCTTCTCAGTCTGGTTTGGAAAGCCGACGACCAAACTGCTTTGAAGATCAGCGAAAAGGATTGTCGACGAGAACTGGATTGCTACATTTGCTACAGCCAAAAGAATAAACAGAAATGCTTCTGGATGTAGCGGGTGGGACACCGACTTTTCACCGACCATCTCCCAGAGAAGAGCTCGAGGACTCGTATTGAGCGACCTAAATGTCGATATTGCTGCAGCCTTGGCCAGTGGTGTAGGACGACGTTCCAGCGTCAAGGCGGCCACAAACGAGGTACAAATTGCTGCCTGCGCACTAGTCGAAACACGGAGTGCCAGGGTAGAAATGGTAATCACCTGAGGCAACCATGATCCCAAAATTATATAGCGCCATGTGTAGCTAGCATTCTGCCCGTCTGTACCGGGACTTCCACCGGTCCACAAGAAGATGAGGAAGCCGACAGCAGCAGATGAGAGGATCGCTCCACCAAACAAGACGCATATATTCAGACGCCCCACAGCGTCAGAGATGGATCTTTTGATGTGCTGGCGTGGAAGATTACTTTCTGGGTCCTCTGAGTGACATTCGGCTGTATCAGACGGCTGAGCCTCTTCATCTACCGCCTTGGATTCAGGTGGCGAATTTTCTCCGTGCGTTGGTGCTGGTGCTATCTCTTGAGGAAACGAGATCGTGTTGTCATTTTGAAGTGTCTCTTGATCAGGCTGTGAAAGGCAGGTGCCTGGTGACGAGAACCTCGTGTCCATAGTAAAGGCGTTATGGGCTTCTCCATTCTTGTGATCGCTATTGTCGTCCATGGTACCGGGTTTAACAAAGAGTGATTGGACAGATTGGCGCAGACTATTCAAGATGACAATGGAAAAAGGTAATTCGCCTCCTATCTTGAGTGAATGAATTGATTTATTTTTCATCAAAGTACAAAATCATCTTGAAAACCTCTACCTAGGTAGTTTTATACAAGACGGCTACTAGAGTCTAGGGGCATCCGGTATCCCAACAGTGTCTAGGGTGGTGCGCTAGGGCCGAGCTAGGGGCTTCTGACCCCAGAGGGATTATAGTCCTAGGCTGGCTAGATTTGGCTGGCAGTAGGGGGATATCCCCCAATGCAATATACTTGCATGTGGTGCCCTTATATTCATCCAATCCCAGGTCGGTTCAGTATAGCAACAAAGCCGGTATTGTCTTTTGAGTTGTCTGTGGCTGATGCATTATGCAGTAAATAGTGCAACCCACCTTATAGCTATGCTATATATAGTGGCAACTCTCCCATGCCGTTGGAGGGTGGGGGTTATGCAATACATATTTATCTAGATCTTCGCATACATTGTCACAAAGGATATGCAGGCTGGCGCTTGTTAAGAGCATTCGCCATGCTGATAAGGCACCAGGCGTGTTTGATACCTTTCGGTAAAATGTGTCATCGCAGGCACTGCCCCTTTTCGTGGGCACATAGGTCCTGGTTTGTGATTGGTTTCCCAACGGTTGCGAATAATCAAAAAAAAAAAAAAAAACATTCTTAAAATGATGACTGATCATGTGCATAAGTCACATGTACATGGATTACTTTCAGACCTGCGAACCGCAATCAACTGTTCAGAGATTAGTGATCTTCTGCCCAAGAAAAGGGAGTTATAGTAATTAATAATTAGTAATTCTATTTACTGGAAGTTCCTCAAATATTCGCTGAACCTATTACCCGAGTTGATGCGGGGTAGAGAGAACTGAGAGGATTGAAAAATCTGACCTTAGAAGCCCGTGGCTTTTGGAAGCCAGACATAGTTCATCATCCCGCAATCTTTCTCTTTCGTACGATTGATACTCCGTGCCATGATGTCTCGAAAAGTCGTTTCATATCTCAATGCTTGGTTGTTCGCCACTGGCATTGGACTCTTTCTCGAAATTGGGCGGGGAGAAACCATCTCCTGCAAGCCTGCATTAGGCGACCTGGAATGGCCCAGCCAGGACAAGTGGGCAGCACTCAACGCCTCAGTAGGTGGGCGCCTGATTCAGTCGGTCCCATTGGCGACTGTATGCCACGGCAAAGAATACCGCGAAAAAAGCTGCAAGCAACTGCAGGAATCTTGGATCTATGCAGCGCCACAGTCAGTACCATGCACGAACCCATTCAAGCAATTTGGCTACTGAATTTCCACCTTCAGCATCGAGGACCCTTCGTCAATCTATTCGCCATTCTGGCTTAACAACAGCTGCAGCCCATTTACTAGCAAAAATGCTAGTTGTACATTGGGCAACTTGGTCACGTACACCATCAATGTTTCTTCAGCTGCAGACGTGATCAAAGGTCTACAGTTTGCGAAGGAAACTGGAGTGCGGCTTGTTGTGAAGAACACCGGTCATGACTTTCTTGGACGGTCGACTGGCAGATATGGACTCGGACTGTGGATGCACCATCTCAAAAACGTTTCGTTTCTTGACTATGACGGACCTGAACACCAGGGAATGGCTGTCCGAATAGGTGCCGGAGTCGAGGCCCAGGAATTGAATACTGCTTGCAGTGCGCAAGGCGTCAGAACGGTCACTGGCTGGTGCCCCAGTGTGGGGATTGCCGGAGGTTACACCCAAGGAGGTGGTCATGGGCCACTGGCAAGTGCCTATGGCCTCGCCGCAGATAACACACTTGCATTCGAAGTCGTGACAGCAAGAGGTGAGCATATCATCGCAAGCAGGTCAGACCACGCTGAACTATACTGGGCGCTCAGCGGGGGCGGTGCCGGCACATATGCTGTCGTGATCTCGCAAATAAGCAAGGTCCATCCGGATGGTCTAATTGGTGGCGCGTCCCTTACGCTGGTGCATAATGGTTCGAGCGTGTTCTGGGAGGAGATACTACCAAAGTGGCAGCTGCTGCTACTTGAACTCGAGCAGCTGGAGGGATTCTCCAGTGGGTTTACAGCCACGCATACGACTTTCGATATTGCGTTCATTACATGGCCTGGACATACAGGCGATGAAATCTCGAAGCAAGTGTCACCATTTCTGAGACTTTTGGATTTCAAGGGGCTTCCCTACGGCTATACGAGCTCTACAAAACAAAGCTATGTCGACCATTTTGCAAATTACAGCCCACCCGACTATCCAGATTTTGGTGTTGTGGGAGGACGTTTGATACCACGAACCACTATCAGGAATAATAGTGTCGGTATCGCGTTAGCGATACGCAACATCACATCGGATAGCGATTTCACGGCAGTTGGGGGGCAGGTCAATGTCTCGCACGCAGCAGTTGGTAATCAACCAGGCGAAAATGCAATTATACCAGCGTGGCGGGAGAGTTTGTATACCTTGAACATTGTGGGATCTTGGAATCCCACCGGTTCCATCGAATCACTGCAATCTCTGCAGTCTACCATGAATACAAATGTTGTCCAGGTGCTTCGGCCGCTCACACCGGGGAGTGGGTCTTATTCGAACGAGGCAACTTTTGACCTCCCGACTTGGAAGGAAGATTTTTTTGGGGAGAATTTTGAGAGGCTCTTGAAGATCAAGAACAGATACGATCCGGATGGTGTACTCTACGGACCTGCTACAGTGGGAAGTGATAAGTGGAAAGTTGCACAAGATGGGCGGTTGTGTCAGACCATGAATGAATCAAAATAAATAATGGCTTTGGATCAGGGCACATCGTAAACTTTTATTGTAGGGGAGACAGGATAATGAGGTAGCATATGAGCACATAGAGATAGGCTGTGTAAATAAGCTGACAAAAACATGAAAATTCAACTACCAACGGATAACAAAACAAGGAGTGACTCCGACACCACTAAACACACCCAAGAAACGCATCGCCTCCCTCTATCAGATCAGATTTAGTGACAGACGGAATTAAATGACCTGATTACAGAAGCTGCTGCCCCATTCGTCACGTCCCATAGTAAAGTCCCAATCAGAGTAAAAGAAGCCACCCTTGAGCCGGCCGCACGTCTTATCCGCCCACTCCTCGAATGGCTGGATATGGCCTCCGCCGCAGTTTTGCTTGCTGCAGCCCACGTTGCAGTGGTAGACAATGGACGAGCCAGCCTTGGCGTACAGAATCCCCTGTTTTCCCGAACATATGAGGCCGTTCTTCTTACGCGCCGGCACCTTTTTTTGCTCGCACTGGGCCTTGAACGAGGCCATGGCGTTGCTGTAGTCGGTCAGCATCATGGTGTTGGCGTCGTGGCATGAGTGGCCGCGTTCGTGGTTGGTAAACACATCGCGTTTGACATTGTTTTCCGATGTGCCTGCGGCAGGGTCGGCTTGTATAATGTCGCCAATCCGGACCAGCCTCTCCTCGAGGTTTCGGCGCGTCTTGGCTGAGTCGCCGGGGCTTGATGTGTCTACTAAGTAGACGCCATCTTCCAGGTCTGCCGGAGGGGTATAGGCGTTGGCAGCAGCCAAAGCAAGGGCAGTCAGAAGGCTATATGCAAACTTCATTCTTAGAATCGTGACTGGGAAGATGGTTGGTGTGCAAATTGGCAGGCTGGTTGGTTTTTTGTTGTGGTTTGAGAGTGATGTTGTATAACGATGATTGCTTGAGCTTTTGTTTTGTTGTTCTGTGTTTAAGAATGAATAACTGGACGATGAACAACTCTCTCTACTTATACTAGAATCATGCCTCCTGATCTATGACCGTCGTCTTTGAAACCACCAAACCATCTCAATACTATGACGCTCGCATAGGTGCTGAAAAGATAAATTTAGTATCGACAAGGAAGATGACTTCAGTGCAAACCTAGCACTCCTTCAATGACGAAGTTTTAGAGACCTTTCTTAATTGTTACGAAAGCTTCTTTTGCCAGTTCAGCGCGTGGTGACACCATAAATTGAAGTCAAGGCAGATCGCGCCAGGAAGATGACAATCATGGTCAAAATTGTCATCCTGAGTTCATGCAAGGGAGAATAAGGAGTTCCTTTTGATGCTTCGCGTGCTCAGAAGGAAGAAATGAATTTACATGATAGATCCTCCCACCGTCCAACCCTTAATCTGCGTCGCGGCTATGCTGTGCCGTACCTGAGGCAATGTTTTGCGTCATTGCCTACAGTTCAAGTACCTGTAATTCTTAACTTTCTGGAGGTGGTGATTTTTTTCATGGCCGGCGCATGACTCTGATGTTACTTGAAAATAATCCAGTCTTTTTCCATCAGAGGCGAGCAGTCATGGTGATGTCAGAAGGGGAATGTATCGTGCAAACACATTAGCGGTTCGAATTTCACTGTATATTTTGTTTATGTATCATTACAGAAAACATGCGGCAATGGTACCAGTAGTTTAATCAAAGCTGCACATGAGGTCGTGAGCATGAAGACTTGATGATACACACTCAACACTATGATATTTTGACAATTCTCAACTAGCGATTCTCTCAGCTATAAGTAAAAGATGGACCCTCCAGCAACTTGAATGACCATCGAGCCATGAGTCGGGCGAAATGCATCCCCACTGCCCATGACTTGTTTTACTTGTTGACTTAGGCGCGCGGCGGCCGATAAATCCCGAATAATTCTTCGGCAATCAACTGTCCATCGTGTGTGAAAAACAAAGGCAAACACGCGCCAAGAAATGCAAAGGATATGGTTGCTTGGCACGCGGGCAGCCATTCGTCGCGACTAGGCACCCATCCCCTTCCCAGGTATAGTCGTAGAGCGAGAAGCAGAATGATCGAAAGGGCACCACAGATGACACTGCCTTTAAGACATTTGCGATAGACGATTGGTTTCATATGGGCAACGTATACCTCTCGGGAAACGCGTCGCTTTGGCGGGGCTTCAGTCGTAGACGGGTTTTCATGGTTCTTGTTCTTTGCGACGGGTGATGACATGGCGTTTTGAGTCGTTTGTTTTTGGTGCTCGTGAGAAATTCAGCTGTTTGTTGTTTTTGCTTTGGATTGTTGAGGTGAAATTGATGAATTCTTCTCTGCGCGAAAACCTGTAGGGCTGTTGTGGGAGGGGACGGCGCCGTTTATGCTGGAAGCGTAGCACGACGGACGCTCCTGGCTGTTGGTTGCTGACAACAGGCAGCATGCAGACAACAGGTAACATGCAGACAACAGGCAGCATGCAGACGATCTGCATTATTGCGTCACACATTGTGATTCATTTCACACATTTAGATATTTTCTAAAATTATCAGCTAGACCTTTATCTTCAATTATCCGTGTCACAATGACATTGAAGATTCCTTCGCTATACATGTGCTCTATGTTGTGCAGTGCGCCACCAACGTAAACCGCAAGATTCGCAATCAAAGGAACGAGTTATGACGAATGCCTGAGATTTGATGCTTTTTGTATTTATCAATTCATGTGGTTAATACGCCAAGAGTCATGACTACCATGACAATAACATGATTACTGAATATCACGCACTTGTAAAATGTGTTTATTTTAAGTTCTCGTGGCGAGATCGACACATGCGCAGGAACTCTACATCGAACGTATAGGGAAACAGGCCTTGTGAATAATGTCAAGTCTGATAGTGTGGATTAGGAAGGATGGAAATATTGTGGAAGCATGTATAAGCGATGAGGCGAGTATTTAAAAGCTGAGCGATGCGTCCTCTTCCAGCTCTAAGAACCATAGTTGACATCAAGCTAGCAGTTCTACAGCATTGCACTTTAACCTCAGCAATATTCTACTATTAACATACGAAGAAAATTCAAAACCCCCAAGTTGATATACCTTCCCTCCAAAATGAGACTCTCAACTTACTTTCCACTCCTACAGCTGGCGGCAATCTCAGATGGCCGGGTAACAGCACCTCGGCCAAGACTCCAAGCCAGAGATATTCCTGGCGCCGTTCCTGCTAATGGAATTCAAGCACGGCAGTTCGACTGTACCGGCTTGATAAACGCAGAGGCTATCACATCAATATATGCCCAACTCCCTCCAAAAACGGCCTTGGCATTCATGTCAGGTTCCGTCGTCGGCACCGTATCTGGTTTCGGTGCGCGGGGCGTGTGCAAGATGGTAATTGGCGGGCAAGATTCTGCGGAGGAGAGATGCACGGGCTTGGGCCAGGGTATCGGCAGCCTCATTTTTCTCATCACGGGTGGTGTCTTAATATGGGCATCGAGACCTCGAGTTGCTACAGTTGTCCAGGACTTTGCCGGCGCCGAACTCCCAAGAAGAGCATCGAGAGACGAGGGGTTCGCGACGGTCATGAGAGACCTCCTGCTCCAGCGAGGACTCGAATTCGACAACGTCAATGCCGCGCCACTGCAGGCTAGGGACTCTGTTCAGGGGCAAACAATCGAGATCCTCGGCCTCCGGGACCCAGAGACAGGTATTGCCATGGACCACATCCATCATATCCGCGACGACGGCCGCAGCTGGGCGCGCATGACGCCTTCGGTTGGCCCCGGGAGCGCAATAGCAGCAAAGCGTCATCTCGGGCCCGGCTTCAAGATCAGCTATAAGTATTCCAAATTCAATGAGAAGTCCACCATGAAGTTCGAAGAGGCAGATCTCCAAGCCGTCGGTCAGACCTTTGGCGCCGACTGGGAGAAACGCGTCAACGAACACGATGACTTTTCACGGTACTTTGGTCAAGCCAAATTTGGTGACGATTACACCTTGCGTTTTGAAATCATTCCCGAGGAAGACCAATACAACGATGACTATGAAAAGGTCGAGCAGTGCGGTATTTGGGACTAGAACGATCTGCAGTATCTTGAGGCATTGGCTTGAAGGTCTTGGGAGTTTGAAAAGGGCGTTATACATTCTAGTGATCTGTCTTCCTGCTTTGCTATAGATTCTATGCTCTCTCGTTTATTTTTTGGGGTCTAATTCTGTTTCGGGGTGTCGCTTGAGAAATGACCTATTGTTGCGAGTCTGCGTGCATATATCTCTACAGTACAGAGTAGCTTGAGCTTAGTGTAGAGCTCCCACTTTTGCAGATTGAGCCTCGCGGTGTATCGCGACACCTGAATATAGGAATTCGTCAAAGTCAAAGGACGATGATTACTTCAGACGCTTGGAGTATGTTGACAATCAACACAAATACTAAGGCCCTGTTGGATGGTGCCATAGTGGTGGTGCAGGTAAGAGATTGCGGGGCAATATTAAGCGAAGATGCGACCGCACTGCAAACATCCATCGAACAAAATGTGGTTTGGCCTCAATGTAAGACGTGCAGAGAGTAAGTGACTACATCAACCGTTGATTACTATCATATTTGTATTGAGTAGCGTTATGTAAAATGACCGGTGCTGATGATATTTGAAGCAAGACTCGTAATTGTTGACCATATAATAGAACACTCAAGATTATTCTAGCCAAGACGGCGAATATGTCAGATGATGGACAGCTGAGCTATGTACTCCGGGTCTCCGTGGTCTAACACAACAGTATTTCCACGTGCGCCAAGTAGGAACCGCATTTCTCAATTGGCAAAATACTTGATGGCAACACCAAGCCACGGCCTTGTTCAATCAAGCTGGCCATTTCCTTCTGCCCCATTTGCATGCAAGGGCCATCTCAAACACCGAACGCTACAACATAGGGTGATTGTCTGTAATGATTTCCAGAGAATCATGCCATAGTCCAGACCCTTTGAGGTTCGAACCGGAGGCCCCAAGTCTCCCATGCGCTCGCATCGAGCTGGGTGGCGGTGCATGCGTCGATTTGCCGCTGCCTTGATTTTAAGCAGTCCCAGCCTGTATAATCACGCCGCTAGCAAGCGAGATACGCCATGATTGGCCAGTTATCTACAACTCATCTGTGTGCCACACAAATTAGGCGATGATGGACATGCACTAGCCACAGTTGCGCAGGTATACGCCGGACAGGCACTGGACGGAAGAGGGCCATTCGCCACATTGAGTGGCTGCAGTTGAATCTCACCTTCCGCCTACGCATCAGTCCTTGCTCTAGAGGATCAAGTTATAAGTGCTGCCTTTTCGTATATCAATGAACACCGGTCTGTAGCTTACAATAACACGGCCCATCAAGTGATATAGGATTATGTGACCTATTATCAAGAGGGCCTCTCAACCATGTATCGTATATTCTTGATTGTTTTGCTCTATTGCCTGGGTTTGGCAAGATGTCTCATTGTCGCTAAGGATACTCCGCCCTTGGCTACACCAGCGCCAGCATTTGACGGACAGCTTCCACGGAGGTCAACGACACCAATAGACGCGTAAGCTTTCTTTACTTGCGTCGCTAAATATTCCAGACCGATTGGCTTTCGATTCCATGCTTATGAAGAAAGTAGGCTGTCTTTTGCCGAAGTTCTCCTGACTGCTATCCCCCAATCCTTGGCGCAAATAGCGGCAACAGACCTGTCAGCGGCATCTGCCATCTTGTGGTCTGACTTCCTCGACGGAAAGAAGCCCAGCTGGTTCACGTCCTTGCCGGATAATGTCCAAGATTATCTGACCAGCGAGTTTGGGCCCAAAACAACAGTCGCAGTATCGACGACGTCGGCAGAGTCATCACAATCAACCTCAGCTTCAGCGTCTGCATCAGCATCTGAATCTGCATCTGAATCTGCAGTTGCGTCTACATCTGCGTCTTCCACATTGCCAGCACTCACGCAAACCTCATTCATCACGGTCACAGCCAGCTCAGATTCGAATCTAGCTACTCCCACTCTGACCGAAACGTCTGATTCTACATCTGGATTCTCTCGCGCGGACAAACTTGCCGTTGCTCTAGGTATACCCTTAGCAGCAGCCATTCTTGCTATTATCATCCTGGTGTTTTGCTTAATCCGGCAGAAAAGAAATTCAAGACGGAGACGGACCTTGATGGAATCACCGCTGCAGTCGTCTGACTTTCTGGAACCTGACATGGTACCTGTGGCGCCGACAATGCGGAGAGCCTCTTCGTCCAACCCATTTGCAGACCCGCCAGACACACGCACAGCAGCAGTAGCGCGCCAGAAAAGGGGATCTCATGGCTCTTCCAGAACTCTGACGCCCGTGATGGAGGAGGCGCGCGACGACGACACTCACCGGCATATTCTACCTGTACCCCTCCCCGAAAGAAGCCCCCGGCGATCGATGGATCATCCGCCAGAGTCCTGGAAAGACCGACAGCAGCCTGTTATTACCACGACTTCACTGAGTCCGACCCAAGACGATGCCTCGCATGATTGGCATGAGCAGCACCCTGCACTCAGGACTCGGGAATCGACGTCCTTTTCTAGACCCTTTGGGACATACGGACGCATTGGTCACCAGCAAGGAGCAAATGACAACTACAATGCATTAACTTCGCTACCGCGAAGGAAGCCAGTACCACAGAGAGCTCAGGGTCCAATGCTCGAGAGTTCAAGAAACCAGAAGACAGTTGTCCCAGGTCGGACTGATATGCCATGGTCAGCAAGTTATTGGAAAGTACCAAAAAGGAACTATGACATGTACGAGAACGTGACAATGAATGAGAGTCGGTGATTCAATGATGAATACATAGGGAAACGCCAACAGAACCGGCCTTTATATGATAACGATGAACAAATATCGAAGAGTGTATCTTTGAGTGCTTTGTCGTATCTTGATTGTGGTGAAACTCTCTATTACCAGGTCCCCTACCACTTTGATCACCAAGGAACCGTTCGTGTAGAAGAAGAAAAAAAAGCCCTCAAGCTTTCCAACAAGATTTAGAAAGAATCATCAATCTCTTTGCTCATCTCTCATTCTCACAAATAGCTATAGAGCCCCAAAAGTCCTGCAAGCATGACCGGAATAGCGCGGCCCAGGTTCAAGATGCTCCAACGACGAATCAAAGCATGCGCTGTGGTCCCCAAATCCTCGTCCTCCTGAATCTGGTGGACTGAGGCATCTTTCCAAGATGCCAATTTCTCTAAAAGTGTGTTGATCGTCGGAAGCACCACGATTGCTGTATACGGAACAATACTACAGCACAGTGTCCCAGCGGTGGCGCATAAGCGCATACTTGATGGGATATTCCGCTGTGTCCAGGCCAAGTAGTAGTAACCCGCACCGCTAATCAACATTGGTATGGGAACTGCCCATTTGGTCACCCTGAACATGTTTGCCCAGATCTGAGCATTGAGGGGCGGTGGAAGCTCTAGACATCGTGGGATCGTGAACAAGGTCAGCGAGGCGTTCAAGCTGGCGGAGCTAATGGCCAAGGCGGTTGACGCCGCTCCAATGGTGCGTAGGGTGATGGTTTCTTGTGAAGACATGATTGGCAATAACTGGCTCAGCTCCGAACTTAAGTTGGAACTTTGGTATGTGATATTTGGTTAAAAGGCTGCAAGACAAACAAAACTCTGAGCTGATTTTATGATGATGCTGATCATTCAGTCCGGACTCGGCACTGGGAATAGCAGATTTAAATAGCTATACTGTTTCGCGGCTTTCGCGCCGTGCTCGAAGGATGCACTTTGTCAGACCAGCCAATAATGACCAAGCTATGACTTAGTTAGATCCATCCAGTATAACATACGAGATTTGCTTACGAGAGCGATTATTTGTCTATATTCGAAGTGTAGATCTTTATTACGCAGCTTCGGTCCCGAATAGTTTGGCCCCATTTTTTAGACTGCTTGTCGGAGGTTGAAGGGGCCGACTAGCCGACTTGTTTACACGACCGTCGTCAAGAAACTAGAAATAATATCAAATATAAATTATCTTGATCGAGAATCAACGTGCTCGCAAAAGGGAGGTAAAAAGTCGTTCCTGTGCAACCAAGAACCTCCATAATGACGTACACGGAAAGCCACAACAATCACCACAAGTGGCGTATCACTTGTCATAGATGAATCAAGGTATCTACGGTTTAAGATAACGAAATTGCAACACTTACTTATTATATTTATACCCATTAGGATATGCGGTGTATTGCATTGTGATCTCTTGAGGCTCGATCCGTGCAATCGGAGCCTTGGTGATATTTGACTATAATCAGCCGTGTAAAGCCAGAGAGAGGCCTGTTGGTAAGTACCAGTGACCGATGTAAATAGCGAGAAGTATAAAAAAAAGAAGAAAAAAAGAATTTGGGCGAACATATTGTTCCAGCTATGGAGCCACGAAAATAATAATCTTAGATTTGATCTCTCAACCTACGTCGGCAAAGTGCAGCTATGGGAACTGGGAATGTTTGAAGTAAAAAAGAGGGCGGAAATGCCGTAGTGGCTGTGGGGGTTTTGGTACTAGTAGTATGTAGGTACTTAGTGCAAATGGCTAGCACCTAACAAGCCGACCTAGGCTCTTCTGGGCGGTACCGGCTATGCTACCAAAAAAAAAAAAAACACGGTACGCTAATGCTATTATTATTCCTTTCTTCTTTATGATAAACCATATTGCCCCCTATCAGGGTCAATCAACGAATCAAAAGTCAGGTCCTTTGACATCATGGTATAGGCTGGGTGCCATTAAGAGACATCTATTCCTTCTTTGCGATGACCCATCAGGGTTTATATTTGGTCCGGCTATTGACCCACTACGCCGGCGCATAGGTACCCGTACAATTTTTATGTGCTTACACACCTATACATTAGCCGAAAGCGTTAACAGAATGATGTTACCGTAATGCTGGCTGGAAACTGAGTTGTCGGGCCAAGTAATAGCGTATTCAATCCATTTTGAATTGGGAAAGAACCGGCATATAAATATACAGTCAACGAATTCCTCATTCCATACACCAGCCAGCCGTTTTTTGAATGTGACGAATACTCATCACCGGTACTGTGCCTAGATCAAGGCGCACTGAATACTAGGTCTTTAATATTTATGCAAGTATGTACTCGGATCCTGCTGCAAATTCATGTTCCAATCACGCACCCGTCCTTCTCCTCTTGGCAGAGCGTTCCGGCATGTGTCCATCGGACTGGCCATCTTCTTGTAGCGTGATCTTGAGCAAATACTCTCTCGATGTGGCAGAGTTAATCTTATCTGCATTCCGCTGAGACGGTCTCTTCTTTCGGGGCCTGGGAAGGAGACAGACACCAATCATAGCGTCTTCTCTCTCGTCGGTGGCATTGACTGGATACACTGGATCAGTTGCCACCTTGTAGTGAAGATGATCTGCCAATTGCTCGTACGTGGTGGAGGCTTGAGTTAGTGGATCTCCCAGCCGTTCCCATGGCTCTTGTGTCCTCGATAGAATCCCCACCGAAGGGAAACTTTTTCCGCTCAAGTTGACAATGATATCGAACTTGGAACGTGATGCTTCGTCTTGTAGCGTGATATTGATAAAGGCAAGTCTGTTTGGCTTCATAACGAACTCATCCTCAGTAAAACCTTGCTGGGAAAAACTCTCATCCCAAAGTTTTAGTTTCGTATTGATTATCGACGTATCAAAGTCCACAAAGTACTTGTTGCCAATTTTGATTCGATTTGGGTATTCGAGGATGAGTATCGAGGAGGATATTGAGACGTTGGAATAGTTGCTAGCCCGAATGACTGTGGGTTCGCCGGTAGATTCTTCTTCCCATTCGTCAGGTGCGATCGTTTCCATGTCACAGATTTGATGCAGTTGAATCCTATCATAAGTGTCGTTGACGTGGGTGAGATGGATGGCGAGACGGCTCGAGGCTCCAAATCCACAATTCAGGCGAATTAGGCACATCGAAAGGTCATCTTTGCGTCTCCAGCGCTTGGCATTGATTTCCAGACCCTTGTTCGTCATTGCAAAGCTGTTGTCATAGAAACCGAAGGCTTCAATCTTTGATGCGTCCCAGTACTCTCTGATCGATGGTGCCAGGATGCCTCTACCAGGCTTATCGGCTGTAAGAAGAGTTAGCGAGTGTCACTTTCCCGGCACCCTCTCACGAGAGAAATTTACCTTTCTCATGCGACTCAGTTATACGCCCGCTGAGTGGTTGGCGAATTTTCCAGGCGAATATAGAGTCATCACTGTATACGGTAATCAACTCGCGCTGAAGTCGGTTGAATGCTCGCCATCTTCCTTCACCATAGATCAGCGGCAAGCTGACCCCAAATAGACCCAACAATGAATAAGTTTCGTCTTCTTCGACTGTCGTTTCCCGAAGAGAGGCCCATGAAAACCGCATCGCAATAGAGCAAGCTGTAAAGTCTGTCGGATCAAAATGAGTCAAGTGTCGTGCCTCTATCCTACTGGCCTTCCTGATCTGCTCGGCCCAGCTTTCACGAGTGCCAATTCGGCGCCATGCCTGGTCCACAAAGACTAGATAAGGAGGTGCGAGCAACTCTTGTAACGTCCAGCCGCGACTGAACCACTTTGCCTTGGTCATGAAGGGTTTCAAAGCCTCGTGAGGGAAACTTGTTGGATCAGTAACATTGTTTTTGCCGGCAATATCATCAAGGTCGATGTCCGCAAGGTCTGGGTCACTGACAACTCTCCCAACGTCGACGTCATCGAGATAGGCGTAGCATATACCAGCATTTTGATACCACCGGAACATGGCATTGATTGCTTCTTGCGTGTCAGCAGGATTAGTCTTGTCAATGCAGCAAGTATCCATCCAAGCCCATTCCCACCCATCTCTTGCGGCACGATGACAGTATCTCTGAAGTTTTGCCCAGCCTTTTTGTTTGAAAATGTCATTCTCTATATCGCCTTTCCTCTGCTTCAGGTCCTGATAGGTGATTTCATCCTTTGGTGAAATCCAAGTATGCGAAAGGATAGCGTATTGAGGGAAAGGTACGGGTATGTCATTAGCTTCAGTCAGCTGGTATCCATTCGTCTTGAGGAGCCGCATGTTGAATTGGTTCGCGAGATTTCTGCCCGGAGCTTAAAGTAAGACGCCTGTTCACGATAAAATTGGGAGATCTCAGCTGTTCATAGCAGCCTTCACGACAGTCATCGAGCCACGCTAGTGCCCTTCTGTACAATCGAGCTACAAGGCGCTGAAATACCGATTGCAAGCTTAATGGAGGGCAGCTGGGTACCTACTAAGTAGTCAAAAGTACCTACTCAGCCACGAAAATTACGGCTCAGCTTTACATGAGGCTCTGCGCCCCGAGATGGTCGTGAAAACTTCAAAAACTGCGCAGGCAAAGCTCACTCTTTATGCTATTGGCTGCTTAGGTACAAAAATTACGGCTCAGCTTGGTCAATTCCTTGCCGCACAGCAGCCGGGCGAATCTGCCATTTAAATTCTTCAAAAACTGCGCAGGCAAAGGTCACTCTTTATTTTATTGGCTGCAAATGTGATGCTGGGCTGCAGCATTACCCCGCAGCCGAAAGTGCCACCCGCTGTACATATGTGGTATCCTTACCCTCCTTCCTCCTCCATCATCGATTCTACCAGGGCCAGATACCCTGCTCTTTACCCTCTCCCAACTTCTAATGTACCGGTGTGAGAATTACGGCTCAGCAAATTCACCGAACGCAACAATTCTTTTTCCAAAATTTGCGTACGCAAAGCTCAATCTTAATGTCATTGGCTACAGACATCCTTACTCTGTTAGAATGCTGCAAATCGCGAACCAGTTGCCTTGTTGCGGCCCTGTTGCTTTATTGCGGACCCATTTTCAGTCCTCACCATCCCCGCTCTGAGCCCGCCCAGCTTGACATGGCCTAGGATCACCAAAAACCCACCTACCTCGAGATACCCATGTACATCGTACATATATTGGTATTCGAGCATAATGACAATCGGCGAGCTATTGACCCTTCAGCATGGCATTGGGAAACAGGTTGTTATACAATATTGGAGTGGTCATAAATGAATAAAAAGTCCCTGCTTTACTCGTATTGCAAACTTGGTTGATCTGATGTAGCATCTACTTCAAATAAATGAATGACGTGCACATATCTCGATCATGAGTCTTGGGGGACATGCCTAAAACCGCTCCATTGCTACCGATGTTTTACGGCTCGGCAGAAAACGTCAATAATCTCATGCTTGGAAAATGCCTAAGCGAAATTATTAACAATTACGCGTGGGCAAGCCGACAACGATTCTATCCGCTGGCAGCCTCCTGCGCTGTCGCTCCGTGGTGAAGCTTTTGGTGTGGCGCAATTGTTCCCTGAATGCAAGTCTCTTGGTGTTGAGATGGCATTGATATTTAGTACATTGTGTTCCTGCTACTCCTGACCCATCTTTGACAGTCATCATCCAGCATTCTTACGACGCCGCAGCCTTCCAGATTACGGCTCAGCATATTCGGGTCTCGGACGATCGCAGGTGATTTGAAGATTCCAAAATCTCAAGATAAAGGCTTTAATTAGATCCGATAGACCACAGACAATACACCTCGAGGACCTTGATCGGCTACGCCCTTTTCACTAGTTGAACTCCCGTTGCAGCTCTTGGAGATGCAGAGACCCGTGCCAATCTCTGTGCGATGATCCCAGGAAAAGCATTCTACTGGCCAAATTGGCCTGTAGATGTAGGTGCAGGCATACCTTGTCAGCCGACAGCGCTATGTCAGTCTGGAGAAGCAACTTCCATAGCCTTTTCACCGTGTATATTTCACCCCTGAGCTGGCTCGGCCTAGATAAAGCCGCGGAGGGGCCAAAGAAGAGCCAGTCATCTACGTGTAAACCTGACTCCTGAAAACTTATTGCAATCATAAGAGTGTCATTAATTTTCTTTTCAATCAATCAATCGCAAAAATTCAATCGTTTACTCAAACAGCACCGAGTTTGGCGAGGTATATGGTTAATGAGATTATTAATGGCTGTAAGCTCAGATCATGCAATAGCCGACACCAGCCATACTCATACGAAAATTAATGCGACTAATCAAACCGATGTCTGGCACTGACTCAAGCCGAACGTACTTTTCATTACTTCCGCTGAAGCCAAAGATGCTTCAGTTGTGTATTCCAGCCAGCTTTGGTCGTGAAAGTTGAGGCTTCCTGTTGGCTCTCCGACGCCAAGCGCGCCGAGCCAAGCCTCTCGTCGGGGATGAGGGACCAAGATATTGTCCATCCAGCGCGTGGCTGTGCTTTTACTGAGCACCTGGATAGCACCCATCATGGCGTACCGGCCGCCAAATTCAAAGCTCCTGACGTTGGCGTCGATGCCCTCTCGCTCGAGCCAGTCGCGGGCAAGGGCCCGACCGGAAAACGACCACCGCAGAGCCCAATGCACAGCGAGAAGAGCCACCAACCATACCCCATCCCACCCCTTTTGCGCAGCAACATAAGTCATGGCTGTGAGCTGGAATAAGTTGGCGAACCAGAACCAGCCGGCTGCGAAGCGAGTCGACCTTCCCTTGGGTACCATGAACATGGGTTTGTTGAGCAAAGTATCCGCTACCCCCCGATCGCCGATGAACAGGTGCCACTCGCTTGCGTTCTCATGGGATGCAACAAGCATACATGCGTCGTGCATCTCATTGTTTCTGAGATATGTAGACGGACGGGTTATCGGAACACGCAAGGCTACAAGCTGTGACAGCGAGTTGCAGACAACGAGAGCTGCTGGGCCAAAGCAGCCAATGAGGCAGAACAAGATTGCGAGGCATAAGAGCGTAGAGGACCATAAGAGTTGACCAGGTAATGACAATGGTAGCCGAGTGACACATTGTCTCAAGGAATTCTGTTTGGGCTTTCGGTTCAATTGGTACACGTGAAGAACTTGATAACGGCGGACGTCTTCCCCAGTCTTTTCTTCTCCCGAGGCTATGGACCGTACTTCACTTCTGAGAGAGCTAGACACAGGTCTGATCTTGAATTCTTGATGAAATGAAGACTTTTCGTTTTTGTCCTCTTCAGGCTGGGGAGGCCGTGTTTCCGGCATTCGCTGAGGGGGTTGTCTGTCCCTGCTCAGAAGATATCTCGAAATGGCAGCACAGGCAGCACCGTTTGCACAAGGGAACACACTTCCCCATTTCACATCATAGACGGTACGACTCGAGCCGCCTCTAGTGCTTGCATGGTCAAGATATTTGGTTCCCCTGTCCAACAGTCTGGCCAATCCAGAGAGGGTCCCAAGCCTGGGAAAAATCCCGACAGACAGTCTGCCCATCAGTGCTATCTCTCCAGTCGTGATGTAATCATCTCTTTGACCCGCGAGATGGCATACGAGTGGCAGGATTGCTGCCCATTCCGAGACAATATTGGGCAGTGGCGGGCAAGGGAGTAGAGGCTCGACGCCAAGAGACCCTAATCTGGCTTCGGGTGGGGAACTGAATAGTGACATTGAGTTGGCCAGGACTTGTGCAGAAAAACTTCCTCGTCGAGGCTTGATTTCAGATATTCTCCAAGTCAAATCAAGGTGCGATGAATGGTGTCATATAATCATAGCAAACTGCACCAACATGCGATAGTCACTGGCATCTATGGGAATTTTACGTTCATCTTCTCGCTGTCAATGCAAGGCCGAAAACCCCACTCACTGATATGATCCACGAGCGCTGGACTCAAAGAACGCTTCGGGCGCATGTGCTGCGTTATCACATCACAAAATTGAACAGGAAATGGGTGGATGAGATGTCACTAGTGGCCAATCAAATGAGAAGTATCAAGTACATTGTGTAATTTTTAGTTTCTTTCATTCGAATAGTGGTGGTACGTGGTTACCTGCTGAGCCGTTATTTTGATGGCGGTGCTGATGCGGGGCACTTTCGGTCGGTGCGTGCAGCAGGGCAGCATTTGGATCAATCTTTGGGCAACGTCGTACAACGTTCGGCATTGACCACTCAGATTGCAGACTTTGCTTTCCCTTCCTTTATTTTGGATTGTTTTGCACTTTTTGAAAGTGTGACGAAAGTGCAATTCTTTTTGCTGAGCCGTGACCTGGAGTAGTAGTGCAGACGCGAGACAGCTTCGGACAGTTTTTTGACATTGTAGCAGGGCAACATTTGAAAAATGTCACGTTCGATATCGACCACTTAGATTGCAGACTTCGCTTTCCCTCCTGAATTTTGGAACATTTATAAAAATCTTCCACAGGCTCACCGAAACCATGCCGAGCCGTAATTTTCAGGGCAGTGCTAACGTAAGGCACTTTGGCTTAGTACAAAAAAGTAAAATATGGTTTAGATCTCTGGTGCGAATCGCAGCCATTCACATGGACCGCTTATGTCGAATTCTTTGCCTCCTTTGTATATTTTCTAAAAGTTCATTACGGCAGTGATACTATTACGCTGAGCTGTGATTCTAGAGGCAGTGCTGACGCGGGGTACTTCGGGTCGGTACGTGCAACAGGGGCAACATTTGGGTTAATCTCTGGATAATGACAAATGGTTGATACTAATCGCTAAGATCGAAGACTTGCTGTCCCTTCATATGTTTGATCATTTGTCACGTTGGTGTATAGCAAAGATATGCCGAACGACGAGCCGTAATTCCTGTGGCAGGGCAGACAATAAGAACTTTTTGGTCGATGCAGAACAATTAGTCCGCAATAAGGCAACTGGTCCGCAATCTGCAGCCATCAATATGAACGGGCCATTCAGGTCAAGGGCTCTGTTTTCCCTCTGAGATTTCAAGATTCTGACAAACATAAGTAGGCATTCTCAAGAACATCACGCTGAGCCGTAATCTCGCCGGTCAACGGGGTAGCAGAAAAATAACTCACCCCCCTCCCATTTTTATACTCCTAATATGGTATCATAAAATCGTTTTAATTATTAAATAATTTTCTCTTTTTACCATATCTATATTATTCGGTTCTTGTAGTGTTTCCCTACATCTTGAGATACATTCATCTTTTCTGCTATCCTTTTGTGATAACATTGTCGTTTTGAATAACCTGAGTTATCCTATTGGGAATGCGCAAAGAAGGGGAGGGGTGAGCCATTTGTTTTGGTACCAGCCTCGCCACCAACTAAAGCCAGTGGTCCTGGTCTAAAGCATTTTTAGTGGACGGTACTAGGCAACATCTGAATTTCATCTTTGATCCACATCACGGGGCCTTCGTTCGATGCGAACCAGTTGTATTACATGCCTATGTTTCCTTCTCTGCCCTCCCTCCGAAAAGGGCGATACAATAGCCGAGTCAGTTGAGTGAGTGATGCAGCGAGCTCCTTTACATCAATGAATGGTTTTGCAGCCTGTTGTATTCCTATGAATGGAATAAAGACGCCCCATTTCCCAATCTCATTCCCAATACAGTACGTTATTCAGTGATTGGCAAATCGAAGAAATGCGATATTGTGCTTCTATCGTCGGGATGGGTACAGTGGTTTCTGCATTCCCACTTTGGTAACTTACTAGGTAGCAATTCAGGTCATCGCTAGTATAATTTCATATGCTCTATTCCAATCAGAATGATTGCAGTATGCGCTTTTGTAAATGTTGAGTTATCATGAGGCATTAATAGACTTAGACATACTAAGTCGTAATTTTCTTAAAGTCTCTTACTTCCCACCTTCTATCCACCAGACGCTCTACGTATACTCCCTCCCCATCGATATATCGAGTTGGAGCTGGCGGCCCCATTGTTAAACGTCGGCGCCGAGTCCGGATGAGCAATTGAATGCAGCTTGTCCTCCAGTCTAGTGCAACCAGGCTGTATAGCATTTCCTAAATTTGGACTCATCAATCGCAATGGAGATGTTCAGAGGCACCATGAAATGTCAACTCGTACGGTCACAGCGCTCGCCTCGCGCGAACCACATTTCCAGCCTTGTTTCAAATAAAGGACTTGGAATCACTATGTCTAGTAATGTGAGGTTTGTTTTGCCATAGAATGAAAGGTAGAAGGCAGAGGGCAGTATTGGGGTGTATCGTGACGAAACTGAACCCTTACCTGCTAGAAGTAAGGGGCAGGAGCCCCTGTCTATAGCCAGTCCATGGCTAATAACGCTAAAAGCAGGGCCGACCTAGGTAGCTGGTCTCCTTTTAGCACATGATAACTAATCGCTTCCGATTATTCCGATTATTCCACTTTGGTATCTAGAACTCAGTCATCTAAGCAGATTCGTATGTAGAGCATGGATAAAATGAATTCACTTGGACTCTATTGTGTATTTGAATCAGGACCATGCGAGAGCATACTTGGGCTATGTCTGCTTACTATTCGACCGTCTCCTGTTCTTGCAGAAGAGGCTGGATGCACGCGCGTCCAACCTTTGACTCGTAATGCTTGTCTAAAGTATCCCCACGAGCGAAAGACCGGCCACAGCCCCAGGACGCACCATTCCTGAGGAAACCGCCGCAAACAAAACTTTTGTCACCAGTATGTGTATTCTTGTGACGTTTGAGATCATTCGGACGCGCAAAGCCTAAGCCACAGACTTCACAGACATGAGATCTCTGAGACGCGTGAGAAAGGAGATGTGACGATAGATTGTACCTCTTCCTGTAAACAATTTTACAATACGGACATTTGAACTCTGTCTGTCGGGGTCGTTTCAAGCGAGGTTGGTACTGTGGTTCCACTTCTGACTCGGCTTCCGATAAAGCTTCTTCGGACGCAGCTGTGGTGGCATCTCCTGTGCCATCGTCCCTGTTGGGAGGATCTGGAGACTTGCGTCTCTCTGCTGCATTCTGCTGATCTAGAATGCTGCGGTAGACGTCTTGCTCAGTCGGAAACTCTTCGTCCTGGACTGTGCCTTCTGAATGGTTCTCCCTCATATGCTTTTCGCGTTCAACTGTTGTGGAGAAGCCAAATGTGTAACCTACACACGTTTCGTCTGTGCATCGGAATGGTCGCTCGTGTTTGCTGATGTGTTTATCTCGTTCAGCAGCTGAGATGAATCCTACAGTAAAGAACTGACAACTGAAACGAGGACACTTGTAAATATTGGTACCATATCTCTCCTCGATGAATGTCCGGTCGATATGTTGTGAATCATCGTTGATAGTGCTTTCGAGTATCCTTCGGACGTCGCAGACCATGCGCGCAAGGTTCAGGGCGTTTTCTTCCATCTTTGTGTTGCCAAACTTTTTCAGTTGCTGCTTTGTCGATGCTACTGCTTGTTCGAGTTGGTCATAGAAGGGCAACTCTCTGAAGTGCTGAAGCTTGTCGCTATGCCGCTTTGCGAGGGTAAGTTGGATAGTTGGAGAATTCCAATGCCGGTCTATGAGGATCTCTAGGGACTCTGAGAGATCTTCCATCACTTCTTCTTTTTCGCCATCTTTGAGGGCTATTCCAACTTCCATGTGCCGGAGCCAGAACAGGGCGGCATAATCCATGAAACCATAGTCGCCATTCAGTACACCTTCCTTGGTGGGTGGAAGTATAAAAGCAGGAAGGTTCAAATAGTCGATACATAGAATTGCTAGGTTCAGTTCTTCACTGGAGGGTTCCACATATCCTTCTTCCTCGAGCAGAAAACTACACAACGATTAGTAAGGTTCGATGATTCTCTTTTATGACTCCATGGGAAAAATCAAGGACTCACAATTTGACGGACAAATGACAAAAGTCAAGACTGCCGTCACTCCGCTTTTCTACCAAAGAGGCCAGTAAGTCCTTGGGGTGTTTTATGAAACTCTGACGTTCAAATGCGATACGTCTCTCATCGCGGTTGACAGAATTCATCACCTGTATTTCATGCCATTTTAGCGGCCTCTTCGCACAAACGAGCCATCTTAGAAGCCGCAAGGAATCTTCCCTCGCTTCAGGCACTGCCTGCTCATTTATTCGGACCATGATACGGCGATATCTTCTTCTCTGTCAGCCAAAGCAACGTAAACCGATAAGCTCCAAGACTCACGCATCATTGATCTGCTTAGGGAACACATTGGGTTCAAGTTCTTTTTCCAACCTCTCAATTGAAGTATGATTGGACAGGTTCGTCCATATCAAACTAGCAAGCAAGAAGAGTCCTTGATGCCTTGTTAGCGAGTGAATGAAAAAGAAACTGCACGAATGATGGGGCAACCTGCCTTTTACGGATTTGGACACAGTCATTGCGATCCAGTCAACCTTCTCGCCTGGCAGAGACGGATTGTTTTCGAGTAGCTTCCTAGCTTGGACCCGACAATATTCTTCGATGTCATGCTGAGTGTCTTCATCTGCAATCTTGATGCTAGCCAAGTCGTCAAAGTCTTTCCGAGCAGGACCATCGTCTTGACTAACAAAGAGACAGCGCAAGCGGTCGGCCTCTTTGCTAGGAAGATCCTCGATGAGCTTACGGAACCATTTTGTGATGTATTTTCGCTGGTCGCGGGGACACTCGTCCAAGCCATCGAGGATAATATATGCGCTTTTGCAGTTTCCAAAAGCTAAAGTCAGGAGTTCTTCAACCAGAATTGGAGAAGACAGGACAACTTGACCGCTGCGACAGAACTTCTGGTAAAAAGAAGGCAATAGCTCGTTGTTATGATGTAAGAATTGTGCAAGTAGACTTCGTCCAAGGGCAACGAAGTTATCCCGTTCCGGGTTTTCGTGCTTGCAGTAGAAATATAACACGGTTGGCGCAGGCTTGAGCTCTGACGCTTTCTGTACAACCAGAGAAGCAAGCATTGTTTTACCTGTTTTATGTTAGAGTATATTCAGGCGGTATGTTAGAAAGCTGATCAATTTCCTACCTGCTCCAGGGATGCCACTGAGCCAAAGTAAAGGAGGTACCGGGGCATATTGCGGGTGAAACCAATCCTTGAAAGACTCGTTTTCAAGAAGCCATTTGCCTGTTCCGGGATAATCCGCACGAACCTTAAGAAAAGTTGCATGGTCGACGTCCACATCCGCTGGTCTTAGCCAGTTATGAACCTCTCCGAGTCGTCGTTCGTTTTGCTCATCGAACTCGATTTCCTGAGCCTGTCGGGACCGCTGGATGTTTTCCTGAATCTCCTCGACTTGGGAAGGGGTGGCCTGGCTTTCAATCAAGCTGCGATGTTGGGCAATGTCGCGGAAAATGTTGGAAAAGCGAGACTTGCATGTTGTCCATGATTCACTAAAAACTCTTTGCCAAACTGAATCGTCATTATTAGATTGGCGATCAATGTTGAAGAGGAGATGCAAGACTGACGGGGCTGTTGGAAGTAGCGCAAGATGATGCGCTGAAACTTGAGTATCCCCTCATACATGAGAGCGAGGACTCGGACCATGTGCGGTCTGACGCGAAATAGGCCTTGACACTGTACGAGAAGTGGAAGATTCTCTCCCATGTGCTCGTATGCACTCAAAACTTCGCCGAATGCTTTGTCATTGATGCTCGTTGCCTAGGTAGCTTACATCCATCAGTCGCCAAGGGTTGAGTGCATGTTGTGAACGCGCCATACCTGGAGCAAAAACTTGAGGGGTCCCTAGATACAATGAGCTCAAAAGTACAATAGTGAAGGGCCAACTTGGGTCCTTACCCAGACAAATGCAAGCACGTCATTGTTGCGATAAAAAGTCGAGATTACTTTTCCGAACTGCTCAATTGCCTCAAGGAAGCGTTGCAGCCGGGTCAGGTCCTGTAGTCGTCGGTGCGAGTGTTGCTCAGCTTGTAAGTTGGCGATAGTTGTCTTCAAGTGATGAAGCTTCGTGGAGTGAAAGTCTTCCACGTCTCTTCTCCGTAAATCCTGCGTAAATTCCCCGATCGCCTTATCAAATGACGACTGTTGATGATTGTCGCTCATTGTTCATACTTTATTATTGCATTCCTCTGACATACTTTTTACCGTGATCCAATAAACAATTGCGCAAGATACCAAAGTAGTACAGCAGATTGTACAATAGAAGGAACAGCTCAACCCGTCCCTAGAAACTTGCAAGGCCAAAGGGCCAACTAAAACTCTTATATGCAGGGGACGGTCAGTTGATGGTGATGGAAACGCAGCGGCAGGGTGTGTCTTACCACGGTACCTAGGTATGTACCTACTACCTCGGAAGCATCCAGTAGCGACCAATGTGTTGAGAGCCGCAGCAATCCAGCCCGCATTACCTACTGCTGACGCCATGTAGTGCCCTACACGCGACTCAATCACAGTCGTAGCACTGAGATGATCTAGGGTTGTTATCTATTATCAGGTAATAGGTGCGTCAAGTAGTCTTTCGCAAGCAGAAATCGGTTTGTCTCCGCTATTTTCAGGACATTACATGTATAGTAGCAGGCTATTCAGAGTACCTAGACTTGCCTCCTCAGATTCATGAGCCAGAACTCACTAAAGCTAGTGCTTTCAGCGGGCCAATTACCAGGTAGGTACCTAGTACCTACTACTTATCCGCGATCATTCAGCAGGCATAAGCCAGCGGTAACGGGCTTACACCTACCGCCACAAATCATACATGATTTGTTGCTTTTCCAGGCCAAGCCACGATTAGTCGCATACCTATGTAGGTCTGGTTTAAATATTAGGTCGTCATGTCATGTCTTTACACTGCCTCAATGGCAGACCCCAAAGCAGCCGATGATGCTAATAGGGTCGCAGTAAGGCTCAACCGTCTGTTACACACGGTACAAGGAGAGATCGGAAGGCTGCCTTCTACGTCGTACCACTTCTCCATGAGGCTCTGAGAAGAACCCCTCATTTGCTGCACCGCCCCGATCCAGCTCCCGCTGCACTCATACCCGACAGTCGATACCTCAAGGTAAGTGACCCAACGAGCATCATGGATAGTCTGGGGTCTTTGCGCCACCACGCGCGCGCGCATGCGCAACACAGGGCGTTTCTATCACCTAGGTTTTGATTGAGCTTCGTATCTTTAATATTAGCAGGTCGACTTTGTCCCATCACTCGCGCGTCACGTTCGCTTCTACAGCGCTTGGATATTTTCTTTCCTTCAATATGAATTCTCCAGCAGCTCCCACAGATGTGTTGACAAGTGTCCCTACGCTGAAAAGACCATACCCATTTGATACAGATGAGCATCACTTGGCGGGCCATCCGCAGTCGCACAACTCATCGTCAGATGCACCGCTTCGCAGTCAGCATGTCAGCGCCGCCAGCAATGACATGGCATGTTTTGGCAGTGTAGGTCACCATATTTCCAGCATCTTCCTCAACTGACCAGAATCTATTAGATCATTGACGTCAAGGTGAATCCGCATAATGTCGTGGCTCTCAAACAATTTGGCTCCTGGCGAAGGAGTTCAGTGCAATCTTTTGCTGTCATTCAAGAAGGCGCTTTCCTTACCTTGAGACATGAGCAAGTGAAGTTCGGCCGCCTGAACAAGGGCCTTTGCCGACACCTGCACGACCTCGTGGCTAACAACAGACTTCGTTTTCAAGTCTTTATATCAAGTAAAGACTTATTTGCAGCAATGCGCTCCCATAATTGCGAGACTCCGGATCATCTCCCTGCAGAAATCAACATCTACGGCTCAAAGTTGGATGCTCGAGAGATTGGGCGCATTTTGTCAAAACTTGGCATATTTTTACAATGGCCACAGCATGGAATTGGTGCTATCGAGTACTATAACCCACAAATAATGAAGATAGAAGGACTTCCAGACCGGCTTCCGCCTGGAGCATCGCAAATATCCACCAGTGACGTGCATGGAGCACTGGATGAAGCAGGAGGAATCTCAGCAAAAGGGCAGGATACTACAACGGTTGACTCGATTCTTGATTCACTGTCGCATCGTGCCAATATCAAGGAAATAGCTACTGTACCTGATATCAAAAGTCAACTCTTTGAGTAAGTCAAGCATTCTCAATGCCAAATATTCTCTTTTGTACTAATTATGCTGCATCTAGCCACCAGAAGGAAGCGATTGACTTCATCTGTGGAAGAGAAACAGAGCACATAGACTCTGAGTTAAGTCTTTGGCAATACAATGATAAGGATGCAGACGAACCATTGTAGGTGCACTTCCTCGTTGTTCACTGGTTGTTCATTGGAGTGTCCGGCACTGAGCATCTCAACATATAGTTATCAGCATGTCCTCAGTGGAGCAAAGCGGCCAGAGCGTTCCGACGCAAGGAGCGGCATCATCGCAGACGAGATGGGGCTTGGAAAGTCGCTCGTCGTCATATATACAATTGCAAGCTCTCTCGACCGTGGCGAGGCATTTGTGGCAGCTGAGAAGAAACAACGTCTTTCACAGCCAGAGAGAAAGGTGGCTTCTAAAGCCACCCTTATAATTGCGCCTTCATCACGTAAGTATATCATCGAGCGTCACCTGAAACTGGTACAGAAAATATTGATAATTGTCTAGTATTGATCGACAATTGGGTGGAGGAACTCAACAAGTATGCACATCCTGGTGAGGTTACGATATGCACCTCACTAACGACTTAGCAGACATACAACCAATGGTGCCCTTCCGTTCCACAGACACATCGGTTCCTGGCGACACAAAGAAACACGATATCTCCATGAGCGACCGATTATATTTACGACTTATGCTACTGTAGCAGCCGAGTTCCGTCGCGGTGACAATACTCTATCTAGAATCAACTGGTTCAGGATTGTCTTGGATGAAGGTATTTTGGTGTGCCTAGATTCAGACCAGGTAAATTCTAACGTAGATTAAGCCCACGACATACGAAATCGATCCACGAAACAATTCCAGGCTGTCGCCAGTATTGCTGCCTTACATCGCTGGTGCCTCACCGGCACGCCTATTCAAAACAGCCTCGAAGACCTCGGAGCATTGATATCTTTTCTCAAAGTACCGATACTGGAACAGACGCCAGCATTTCGGAAGCTGATCACCAATCCCATCGAGTCAGGATCGCGATCACGCTTCAAGAACCTCAAAATACTGCTCCGTGCTGTCTGCCTTCGAAGAACACGACAGCAGTGCTTGGACATACCAGAACCCATATCAAAGCAACGAAGACTAGTTTTGACACAATCAGAACATTCGGACTATCAGGACTTACTCGCCCAGGGCCGGATGGAGATTGACATGGCAGTGAGTCGACGTGGAAAGAGCAATATCAATTCCGCCTTTCTCGAATCGTTACTCAAACTTCGGCTGTTCTGCAACAATGGTCGTGTCAATGCGGTGATGCAATCCGGGCCTACAGGTCTGCCCACGGACCCAGATGAGGCCCTGATCTATCTCCAACAGCATGGTCAAGACGTTTGTGCTTACTGTTCTGCGACAATCTATTTCATTAATGAAGACCCCCGTAATGATGGTGGTATCTTCATTACTGGATGCTCTCATCTGCTCTGCCACAACTGCGTGCCGATTCATCTTTCTGAGAAGAAGAAGAGCTGCCCTACTTGTATCTCTCAGCCTGATTCAGTATCCGAAACCACATTGCCATCGGTTAATATGCACATCGAGACACGTCGACGGGATATAAACAATGGCATGGGCAACACTGTGCCGTATCCATCAAAGTTGCAGGCGCTCTTGTCAGACGTAATCCAGGATTCTCAACACAAGAGGTATTATAGCTCCATGATGTATCGTCAAAAAAAGACAATATCGCTGACCCCACCGCGATCAGCATCATATTTTCCTCGTGGAAGAAGACGCTTAATCTCGTCAGTCAGCTTTTCACCACCCACGGCATACGACATGAGATCATCGACGGTTCTGTCTCCTTGGGTAAACGTCTTGGCGTGTTGAAGAACTTCCGGTCTCCTAGTGGAGCGAACATTTTGCTGATGACGCTGGGTACTGGAGCAGTAGGGTAAGTTCTTGACCTATATTCAACACCAGAGCTCGACTCATCATTACTAATCTTACAGGCTCAATCTGGCAGTTGCATCGCGCATATATCTCCTCGAGCCGCAATGGAATCCGTCGATTGAATCTCAAGCCATCGGACGGGCACTTCGCCTCGGTCAGACGGACCAAGTCATCATCATTCGGTACATCATGAAGAACACAATTGAAGAGGTGCGTCTTCTGTTCCCTGACTCGGACTTGACGTTAATCATTCACTGCAGAGCAACGTGCTATTCCGCCAGAAGAGAAAGCTCGAACTAGCAGGTGGAGGGTTCGACCAATCCGAGAAACTTCAGGCAATACGGGTAAGGTAGTCATGATGAAGCCCATTTGTGTATCATTACTAACCATCACAGGATATCTTTGGCGTTGACAGAAACTCTACAGCAGGGTAATGTTATCCTATTTCGTTGAGGATAAGTGATCAATTGTCTCTGCACCTTCCTAGATCTTTATGACATTGGTGCGTTCTCAAGACCGCATAAAGGCTATCGATGCAGAAGCTGGTTGATGGTTCAATCGGTCAGCTTGAATTCCCGATACACTCTCAGCACCTCAATCTTTGAAGCACCACAGTTTCCGTGAACATGTTTCACTAGTTGGTCTTCGAAAAAATGATGAGAATTTGCACTAATACGCGACGTTCTGGTCGGTCAACATGGTTTTGAAGATCTTGATGTAATTAGGTAGTCTGGTTATCTAGGTACTTATCCAATGGTAGTTTTGCTGCTCTTTTGCCATGGCTAGGACGTGATCAATGCCGTCCGCTTTCTCCTTTTATATCAAACCCCAAGCAGTCGTCTTCCGATTGCCTAGTTCAATGGAACTCTGCCTCGACACGACCATATCTAACTCCGTCCACCTTCAACTCGAACCCGAGCCCGGCGCTGTCGACAATCATTTCAAGGGTAAAGTCGAGGTTATCGAACTCGACACCACGCGTCGTCGTCAACCGGGTAAATAAGCTCCTCGGCACGGCACTCAGGTCCGTCGTCAGTGTGCACACGTGGACTAGCTCGCGCCCGTATGCCACTGGTGGCTCATCCGCTTCGCAGGCTATCAAGTCGTCCGTCACGATGAGTGACTGCCCTGGCCTGAAATTTCGTGTATAATGAAAGGCAATGGGCGATAACGGTGAGATGGCTTCTCCCTAAAGTCAAGCAAGTCAGCAAAGTCGATCACCCCGGCAGATAGAGGGACACTATCGAAAGAAGATGCACTCCGCATATAGTGTTTGCTTACCTTTGCAATATGCCACTGCATACGATCCGAAACCATCCAGCGCTCCCACAGGGGCGACCAGTAGCGCTCCGATACGCTGTGCTTGGACTCGTCATAGACGGTAGCGTAGCTGGTGCCATAGTGCATGCGGGCCTTGCGGGAAATGACCATGTTGCCCTCGAGGCCGCGGAGCACGGCGCCGCGCACCACGGCCGTCCAGGCGTACATGGGCTGCATGACCTCGATGCTGCCGTTCTCGGACAGGGACGCGGCGCCGCTCGCGTGCGTCGGGCGCTCCGTGTACGGCGGCGGCGCGGCGCTGGTAAAGTGCGCCTTCATGCGCCGGTACAGGTAGTCGCTCTGTCCAAAGCCGCCGACGAGCACGATGCCCGAGACGAGCCCGCCCTTGCCGCGCACCGTGTTGACCTGGCCCTGCACGAGGTCGCACACTTCCTTGACTACCGGCTCAAAGATTTCCTTGATCTGAGCCGCTGTCAGGACCAGAAAGCCAGAGTCCAGACCAGCTTCCTCATCGTCGGGAAGTCCAGGGAATCTGCGACGGTTTAGTTTAAGAATCAATGCGGAAGTGATGCAATTAAAACATACGGAACGTTCACTTCTTGGTACTCATCCTCGTTGAAGTTTCGTTTGACAAATTCCTCAAAATATCGGAGACCCATCTGCCACGTCTTGCCCTTTTTCATCTTCATCTCATCAAAGCGACTATGGCCCAAGCGAGTTCGAACATGCTCCTCGAATCTATAATTCAAAAAGGCACTGCCGCAGAGACCACCTGTACCCACGGCGGATTCCTCAACCCGCAATGGTTTTAGAGATATTATCTTGTAGGCAATCAAGCTATTCACAGGCATGTTAGCAGAAGATTCATACTTTAAAACAATGAGCTGAAACCTTACTCTACTGTTCCACCACCAGCGTCACAAACAATAAAATTATCTCCCACATTCAAATGATTCGGCTGGATAGCCTTGAGCGTGTACACGGCAGCGGCCTCTGGCTCACTAATCATCTGAATGTCAGACTTGGCGCCCATGCCGGCCCTCTCCGCGGCCTGCAGCGTCGTGTTCTTGGCGGCATCGGACCAGACGGCGGGGCAGGTGAGGACAAAGTCGACCTTTGTCGAGGCCATGAAGGACTCGCCGTAGCGGCGCGTCAGCGTGTCCATGGTGTGCCGGTAGATTTGCGTCAGGTAGTCGCTGACGGCGTCGACGACGTTCTTGTTGTACTTGCGCAGCTGCGTCGCCGTCTCCTGCGGGCTCACGTAAAAGGGCAGCTTTTGCGACCGGTCCAGGAACAGCTTGATGCACCGCAGCCGCGACTCCTCGGGCTTGAACTGAAAGCCCCATTTCACCGCCGGCCCCGGCACCGACCCCGACCCCGACCCTACCGTCGTCGTCGAGCTGGCCGGGGAGGCGGCGGCGTTGGCGTTGGCGTTGGCAGGCGTGTCATAGGAGATCTCGGTTGGTACCTTGTCCGAGGTGATGCCGTTGCCGCCAGGCCATGTCTTGATGATTTCTACATCATCAGGGGTAGATGTATATACTGCTGCCACGCTTGAAAATCAATCAGCCTTGGTAACTTGGTGGGATTGATCATAAAATATATGTCTTCTCAACGGTTGGAGGCGGTGAGATTGTGGATGAGATGGTGCACACATGCGTCTGTGATTTGGAATGGGTAATTCGTGAATGAGAGGCGAGCCAACGAGTCTACAAAAGAGCACAATCACATACTCACCCAGAAAAGGTAGTACCAAAGTCTACACCGACTATAAGCCGGTCGCTGATAGGGGCGAACTCCCGGACCGGGCCATTGATGGCCTCGGCCGACGATGCCGGGGTAAAGGTGCCAAAGTACCGGTCCCGGCTATCTTGATTTCTCTGGCTTCGACTGGACCGTACCGGTAGATTGAAACTCATCTTGGCAGCCGCCGCCCGAGAGTGCTGCTGTTGTGGCCGAGTCTCGGGGTTCTCTTGGATATATAACGTCGAGGCACGCGGGATACGGGAGAAACGTGACTGACTAATAAGACGTCGCGCGCGAAAGGAGGGGCAGCAGGCCCCAAGTCCCAGTCGCTAAAGACCGGGTTGCCCTCCGAAGCCGTTGGTACGCTTTTGTACTATTCCCGTTCCGCCTGATAGGTCTGATCTCCTATATGAGGAGGGGGGGCCGTTGGGAAATGGCTGCGATATCCTACGATAATCGAATCCAATGAGGAAAAGAAAAGTGAAAGAAAGGCAGCAGGTTTGATTTTCGAGGATGAATAAGAATGTGGCTCAGCGTAAGAATATCAGGAGAGATACCGTCGCTTGAACGGGCGGGCGTTTTTTTAGCGGGGCAGTGTCAGAATCAAAAAAAAGTACAGGTCAATCAGTCCGTCTGACAGCAGCAATGAACAAATAAGAGTCGCTACCGTCCCTGGGCTGTGTCTTCTCCAATTAGGGAGAGTGGAGTTGCACCAGTGGCTAATATGTAAAGCAATTGACAACGTTTTAGCTCTTGGAAGAAAATATAGTTATTGTTCCAATGTTTATCAAAGAGCCGCACAGAAATAAGGAAGACACTTTTGACGTCAGATTGTATGTCAACTAGTCTCGTCAGAAATAGGCTACAGTATTTCACCCCATAGTATTGCAACAGACCTGCAGATAGGACCCGATTGATGGTGCAAATCCATGCGATTCCTGCATCGGTTTCGTTGGCTGTCCAGGGGTGTATAGCATGTACCTACAAGCACGTAGGGAAGAAATGACGGCTGGTGCTTTGATTTATTCTGCTGCCTGGTGGCCTGAATCAGGAAGACCAGAAGCGAGTAGACTGCAAAAAAGATGGCGGGCGTGGGCCGCCGAGCTACCTTGTACTACCCTCCTTAGTACGTGCTGCGTGGTTACATTTTTAGCTACGGAAAACCCACTACAAAGTCGTGAATATTCGTAGTTGGTCGTCTAGGTAGTAACCCATCCCGAAATCCCACGATCAAGCTTTGCAACTCTGTCCTTTCTAGAGAGCTAGATGCCAAGAATGCTTGTATATCGATGGCCAGTTTCGATACACGAAAGAACAATAATACTATTCGAAACTGAGTTCATCCCACCGGCCTAGCACTATCCAAATCTGGGTAGAGTCGCCGTACCTATTCTACAGAGTACACAGCCTCTCTTCCTCTACTCCCGCTTTTGAGGCGCAGCCTTAGGCCACCGTTCCTGCATTGCATTGCATGGCTTGCATGCAAGGTAGTTGAGGTAGCACACGATGTCTCTCTCTCGCTGGAATAAGCCGAGAATCCTCTCTCGCTAGTAAGTAGGTCGACACGGCGGGAAAAGCTGTCACATGTGTATAATTGTCCGAGAAATGAGATATCACATCGTCAGTCTTGATGAACAGTGCTGTGGTTTGACGAGTATCGTGAACCGTTTCGAGTCGGCTTAAAATGATAACCTTTGCTATTTCATCATTATTACCTGTGAAGCTAGATGCTGCTGTTCCCATCAGCGATGCTGCTACTCATGAGCTATGTGGAATCACGACATTGGTCCAATCAAGTCAAGATGTTGTTCGAGATGATAAATGGGATCTTATGCCCGACGTCTTTTTCTGGGGAATTCTACCCTTCTTTGTATATGATATATATGTGTATATACCGTCACCAAGATGTCCCCCATAAATGACAAAGCAATCGTGCATATGCCCCCCGCAACTAGTATACCACATCAATCCAGCCCGCATGAGGCGAGGAATACTTTGAAGCATATCTACCAACTATACTCGACAACACTTTTCTTCTTGTACAATATAAGGAGTCCGCGATTCTTGCAAACTGACACTGGGTCGCGGGTCCCATCACCAAGTTCTAACAAACGAAAATATGCACAAATATGGGGAGTCCAGTAACCTTGTACAGCCTTGAGTTCTATATCTGGGTATTTGTCAAAAGAAAAGAAAAATAATAAAAGAGTTGGAAATATCAACATGTAGCAAGAATGCCGGCGTAGTCTTGAGAGTAACAAGTAGCCGGTCGTGTCAACTCGTTGATGACCTCAACATAGTCGAAAAGCCGAAATCGCTGTTTGAAGACGTGAGAATGAACGTCGCGAAACACAATGATGCCGGCCATGTGGATTTTCCCGGAAGATGATGAAAGAAACCGATAGCGCCCAAAACACCGTTGCCATGAGAAGTGAGACAATTTCAGGTGTCGCAAAAATCCAATTGAAGCACACTTAGGACCAAACATGGGTTTAGAACCTGTTGCCGGCTGCCCAAATACTAGCAGCTGCCGAGCTTGCCCATTCACTCTCCTCATAGGGTGGCGTCGGCCACTTCTGAGCATCGTGAACCGTCTTCTTGAGATCAAGAGGCTTCGGCGTCACCACCTCATGCGAGTCACCAAAGAGAACTTGGTTGCCGCTGGCGGATGGCGAAGGGGTAGGGTACGGGTTCGATAAGGCAAGATTGCTGGTTGATTGATGCAGCCCAGGCTTCCCATCGCCTTCCATGCGCTTCATGGCATGCTGTGTCGAGTTCAACACTTCGTCCAGCAGCTCGTCCTCTTCTGCCGGTGCATCATACTGTTGTACGCCATGGGGCACCTGTGCTCTCCTTGTCCGGCTCGAGACAGGCCCAACACTCCTCGCAGCACCAATGAGGTTGTCAACAGACCGAGGTTGGTGGTGTGGCAGAGAATGGTGTCGCTTCAGGTTGCCCGCCGGCGTAGCCAGGTGAGTGGGAGGAATCGGAGGTTGCGATGTCTCGAGGCTGGAATCGTAGTTTTCGATTTTCGTGGGAACGGGGCCGGGCTGCTGGTCAATCACCATTGACGATCTGTTGCTTGCCCAGGGACCGCAGCCAGCTTGGGCCTCGATATCATCGTACGCTGGGGATACTGGAGTTTGGTGCCTTCCTGAAAAACGTCTTGCCCGCTTCCGTAAATGCGAAAAGAAACTCTCCTTGTGTGCGCTCGGCGGGGAAACCAGACCGGAGTTGCCATTCAATGCTCGTTCGGCTTGCTGACGATGGATCTCAGCGTAGTTGTTGGTGCTTGATGCCACTGAAAGCTGTCGTCCAATCTTCTTGGCCGCCTTCTCCTCCATCGACACCTTTCGGACATTGCCGTTAGCGTATGAGTCGTTATATGAAGGCGTTCTGTTCGATGCCTGGGCATGAACGGTATCCGACATTGGAGAAATGGGCTTGATGGTGGGAAGGATATGGATCGGGGCAACATTGGACGGTCCATTTGTCCACGTCGTTCGCTTGCCATTTGGTGGACGTACTTTGGCGGCAGGAATCTCACTCACCGTCGGAGGCGAGGGATGTGCAGCGACAGGGTCCTTAGCAGTTACGGCCTGAACAGTAACGGTTTCCGTGCTATCGGTACGCCCGATGAGCGATTTCCGGAACCAGGAAGGCTTCGACGAGGTAGGTCCGGGGGATGAGTCCTTCGCATTTCGTCCAATTTCTGATGGTTTCCTGCCCAAAATCCGGGAAGCAGATGACCTCGGCCTGAGAGGGTCAACAGCATCGGTGAAGTATTCATGAGCCAGTGCCTGCGTTGATGTAGGACGGTTCTTTGGATCCCACATCAGACACCAGGTAACAAAGTGAGCAAGCGACGATGGCCATTGCGGGGTTTGCAAAATGGTATCCATGGCATGAGGAGCCATTTTGGGGAATGAGAATCCAAGCTTGCCTGCCAGCCTGGTACCCTCTCTCCAGTCTCCTCCACCGACACGAGAGCCAGCCTTGTTATACCAATTACCTGGACTTCCCATGATCTCACACACTCTCCAAACTTGATCAACTTCGTTACCACCCGGGAACAGCGGCTTCAGGGTTGCCACTTCGACAGCCATGGCGCCAACAGCCCAAATATCTACGGGTGCAGAGTACTCTCCTGCCCGCAGCAGGACTTCTGGTGCACGGTACCATCGTGTGGATACATATGTTGTGTATGGCAGTTTCGAGTGGGTTTCGCGAGCAAGACCGAAATCCGCAATCTTAACTGTGTAGCTCGGGGGGGTCGAGGGAGGCGTCACGAGGGCCGAGTACCGTCTGAAAGAGTTAATCGAGTCTTGGTGCGCCGAGGTCGAAACTAGAATATTTTCTGGTTTGATATCGCGGTGAAAGAAGTGGTGAGCGTGTATGTGTTCCAATCCTTGCATGATTTGGAATAGAACACTCTTCACGCTGGCGTTGTCGAGTGGTTTGTGATCCCGAGCCTTCATCAGTTGATACAGATTACCCTCCATATATTCCATGGCAATATGCAGCTTCTTGCTGAAAGGATCCAGGAATATGTCCAGGGCCGGGACCAAGTGAACATGAGGTGGTAAGGTTCGCAAAAACACCACTTCTCTAAGCTCAAGACATGGACCAAAAGACTCAAAGGTCTTTTTCATGGTCTTGATGGCAATCTATTTCCAAGATCAGTAAATCGACAACATTCAGGTGGGATGTCGAAAGACATACGACAGTGCCTCTCCGGGCAACACTGGCTCCTGCGCTGCGGACTCGAGCCAACACCACGCTACCGAAGCTGCCATCTCCTATTTCCTTCAAGACTTCGAAGCGGTCCTCCAGAGCCATATTGGACGAGGTGTGAATGGGCGCAGAGCCCCTGTGGGCCAGATCGTGAGCTACCGTCATGGCGAACGCTTCAAAACAGTTATGAGACTCTATCAAGTGGCAGCGTTTATCCCATTAACTGTGCGTCAATAGCCCAGACTCGGTTTGGCGAGATAGGCTACCGACGTGTGTCAGTATGGTGACCCAGGAGGGTTTGAAGTAAAGCTCTGTGGCAGAGCTATAGCAGTTCTCGGCTCATTCAGATCGAAGGCGGGTGTCGAAAAGCAACAGGCGAATTCGAGTAGGACGCGTCAGATTATTGAAGGCCGGATCGTTGTTGTCTATTTCCTCTTCTGGTGTAGTAATGTGAGGTGGAATAGCGTCGACAGAATGCGAGACAATATGAAAAGGGAAAGGAAAAAGGCGATATAGCAGTGATAATGAGGGAGTTGGACAGGAGGTCTCTTGGGATAGTGCGTTGGATTAGGGGACCAGGGAATAATGGAACCAGAATATCGGGGTGCGGGTCTTGGTCAAGGCTGATTGATGTTCGACGAGCTGGGTTGTGAGCTTCTCGAAATATGCAGACCTTGCTAGCGCGAATGATGCTTGTCTAGGGAAAAGAGAGAATGACTGAACCCGAGGTGACCGGGGAACGCGGAAAGAGTTGGTTGATGCACAGTGGGAAATAAGGAGCGAATGAATATTGGTGGGTTTGAGGTCTTTTCAATCTCTGAGCAGTTTGATTGTTGTTGATAGCTGCAGATGATGCCCAAATGACAGGCCGGGAAAGGGAGAGAAGCGCTGTCTCGTGGTGTAGCAGCTGCCGCGGCCAAGTTGTCTGCCGGTCGCGAGCTGTGTGTGTGCTCGAGGTACAGAGAACACAGACGCGCGCGCGCTTGGGGGCGGAACTTGTGAGAGAGAGAAACGAATAGTAAAAGGTTAGACAGAGGGAGAACAGAGCATGGAGCGCAGGAATAGCATCAGACCGACGCTGTGCTAATGATTAGCAAGCGCTGAAGGAATTGCCATGAACTCGTCTCTGCCGTTTCGGGATTCGAGCGAAAGTGAGTGGTGGATTGTAATGAGAGAGAGAGAAGTGAGATGAGCTGTTCGCCAACGAGAGGGACCCAGTAGGTGGTTCTCTCTGGCGTCTCTTTGGGGGGACGGCGAATGGAGACGAGTCCCAGTTTCGTAGCGGCGGCGCGGCAGCGGATGTCAAAGCATCTGTGGCTTCTGCTGGTTGCCCCCCCTCAGAAGTCCCCCCTTCGGTACCTACGTACAAGACAGGACAAGAGACCCCCCCTGGCGTGAATTTGATGCCACCCTTTTTAGCATGAACACAGGTACCGGGGGACGGGCAGACCCCAATCTCGCTAACTCGACGATTTGGAGGGGGCAGGTCAACCGTGGTCACTCTTGTCACTCTTACCCAAGGGGGGCCCAAAATGGACCAATTTGCTCGAGGACCCAGACAGGCAGGGGGTCCGTCTGAAAGGAGAGTGCCATAATTCGATGCGTTACAGTTGCAGCGGGTTCGTCATGATTTTAGTTTGATTATCACATCTCTGATAATTTTCTTTTTTGCTTCCTCCGGACAGGCCATGTACGAGCTACATGCGTACATTTCATCTATTACATTGACTGTGGAAGAGACTCATCCTCCGAGATGACGGCGGAAGCAACCAGGTGTGACTGACTTATTCTCTGACCTCTTTTATCTGTTGGGCCGCCATCTCTATTGTCAGATCTTTCAACGAGGCGAAGCTCAGAAGGATTACTGTGCACATACGTTACTAAGGTAAGGTGGTACGGACTTATTACTCATGTTTCTCCATCAGCCAGACAGTGAACCCAGCACTTTGCCTTGCCTCTATTGGGTGTGAGAGGAAGCGCCGGTTGCAAAGCTGCGAGATACGGACACTGTGCCAGCCCTCTGTTTCCAATGCTGACGGGCATGATTCTTCTGGAAATCCTCCGCCAACGGCTTGAGCCGTACAGTGTGGTGCGACCCATTTTACTGCAGCTCGAAACGTAGAAGCCCAGCATGACAAGCAAGTGCCAGCACCCACTTGAGCTGTTTAGCATTTGGTGTCGATCCATGTATGCTCCACGGATCTAGTGAGTGATCGCGCAGCTCGTACTGTGGCACAAATGCATCTCTCACTCAGTGCGTAAAAGTACAAGGTACCGAAGTACATTACCTACCATGAGCAATTACACTTAATCTTAATGAAGAAAAAAATGTGTCTTTTGCGCTTCTGATTGAGCGGCAGGCCGATGATGTATTTCCCCCGTGCTACGGATCAGAGTTATGTCATATGCATGCCAATGCCAACGCGCTGCCGGCACGATAAGAACGGCTCAAATAGCCTCTCAAACATATGTACCTCCGCCATCACCACGAATTCCCGTACCGCCTACATACCGTATGTTCTTGATGTTCGTTCATGCATGAAAATGGATGCTCGACCGAACATTCGAAAAGGGCCCCAGAGAAAAAAAAAATCGTGGCGACGAGATCCATCGCAAGAACAGTTATGATTCCCCAGACAACCCGTCGTCGAAAAGACGGTCAACACTGCAAAAGCCAATAGTCTCGAGAGCAGTGGGAACTCGGGCCTCTGAGCATGGATGGGATCTTGTTTTCGCTCAATGCCAGCACACCAGACATCTCTAGTCACAGGTAGACTTGAACGTCGCCAGCATGGGACATGCCGACCGCGGCAGTCGTCGTTACCTAGTTGTTACCAGCCATTCAACACACTACCATACGGTCGGCGCAATGCCGATCCTTGGTGTGCTGATTTCGAACAAACATTGAACCAAAATCCTAAGTTGAGCGGCATGGAAACATTAAACAAAAGCCCAGGATTGGTGGGTTTTTGGGCCACAGTCCACCGTCCTTGCTGCACCGTTTCCAATACAATTGCTTGCTGCAGCGATGCACCACTGGAGACCCGAATAAAATACCGTTTGCTCAATTCAATCCCTTGACTAGACCTTCTCAACTTGATGATGGGATGATCTTCTTATCCACTGGAGAAATACTGAAAATACCATGTGCCATTTGCATTTTATTTGCCTGGCACAGACGCGACGTGATGGCAATCAATGGCCAACCAGCAAGGGAGATCACAAAAAGCAGCTAAACCTCAACAAGCAAAAGGGGGAGGCCCGTGGGCATGTGGTTGAACCAAACCCAATCGAAACCACCAGGATCCAGTGAATATGCTCTGGTGACGAATCGTTACCTCGAGGGCCCCGTGAAATGCCAGGTTTCGTGCCAATAATCTCATTCTTTTCCTTTGCTGGACCGGACCGGGCGTCGTCAGTTCCTCATGGCGCTCACATACAACACGTATTCCCCAACCTCCAAGAATAAAAAAACATCCATCTTTTGTGAGCATTTTGGAAAGCTTTTATTCACTGGCAGTGGAACCGGCACCTTCGACGTGCAGTACGCTATTGCCATTTTCGGCCCTGGGCGCCACAGATCGAGCCAAGCGCTGCCCGACGGTCGACCGCCAGAGTGCTAAAACCTACCCAAAATCAGACAGAACTTTGGACAAGAGGCAGCATTTCCCGCCGGTTGCTGCAAATGGGTTCCGGAAAGAGATTCCTGTGAACTTGAAGAAGTGCCTAGCAGTTCGACTGGCCCTGCTCGATCGTGTGGGGTACCACGCTGCTCCGAGCCCGATACCTCATCTGACAATGTGCCCGCCGCGGATATTGAGGTATCTGTAGTGAAAGAACGCTGTATCGTTAGCCCTGCCGATCATCCTGCTCCCCTGAGCCATTGAAGCCGGTCCACAAATAGATTGGCCATTGTTGCTGGTGCCCGCGGTCCCGTGCTTTGGAACGAGGGGAACGATTCTTTTGCCCTGACAGATGGGGTTTCTTCCCACCTTCACACCATCTTTTCCCTTCCCGTGCCTGTGGTTTATCTGCCAATCTGGCCCTGGAACCTTGCATGAATCGGGAAAATGCTTGGATAGTTTCCCAAGCTCGACCTTGCGCGAAAGAGACCTGACGCTGCACGAGAGCCGTAACACCCGGGAGCTCCTCTGCGATCATTTATCACGACCTAGAAAAAAACGCGTAGGCAGGTAAGTTGGCTAGCTGGCAGATAACGCCAAAGAAAATGCGTGTGCATTAATGTAGAAGTGCATGACTCGGTCATTGGCTCGTCATCACGATTGCAAAGAGCTTTTTTTTTTTCCTTCGTTGCATGCCTCTCCTCCAAAAGACGACCGCGGGGCTGGCTGGCTCTGCCTGGACCCCGACGGCGCGGTTGCTGTTTAGACGACAGTTGCGCTAAAGCCCGGAGAAGCCAGAATCTAGCAGTCGGCGCATAATGGTCTCGTCGATTTGAAACATGGTGGCATGGGCACAGTTCGGGAACAGCTCGTTACCTTAAAAAGAAGCAAAAAAGAAGAACACCAGCCTAATTGACCCCAAGAGGGAGCTCGCGCGAATTGCAGAACTACCTACCTTAGATTGGGAAAATAGTCTTCTGCGGCCATTGTTCGCGCTTGTTGTGCGCTATTGTGCACTTAACATATGTATGGCAAAGGTGCTGCGGTAGACGAGAATTCGTGCTCTAAACCCTACGGTAGGCAATGTAGAGCAGTCCCAAAATCCCTGGGGTTTTAGGCGCGCTGTAATGTATGCAACTGTAGCGTTCTGAGGGCCTTCGCGGCGGCCAACTTCACGTAGCAGCACTTTGGCACTTAATGTTTGTTCATCCTAGCGGCCAGCAACGTCCAACACCAGTGTCGCGCGGCTGATTTGCTTGCATGAACATCAATATATCAGCTCCGGCCCAACGCCAAAACTCCGCCAAACCATCTGATACGAATTGGACCGTTTTTGCGGACATGTCTCCTTGTTTGCCATCTTATTAGCCTCTAGCTACGCTCTTCTTTCACCTGTGCTGGCTGTTGTGCGAGGACGCGCGGATGAATTAGGCTTTTTTGGTGAAGAAGGCAGGCGATTGGACGTGAACCTTCCGCATCCAGCCAGCATTTCAGTTTCGCACCCGTATCGCGAGAGCCCAATCGCTCATGCGGCCTCATCAGTGATCTGACTGACCCTTGGCGGCGGCAGCCATGTGGCATAAGCATTAAAGTTAGGGATATGGACAGTCCCAGCGATAAAATGCGACGACCCTCCCTCGCCCCTCGACCTAGCCCCAGCAAGGGAGGGTTGGAGGGGGCCATCATGTCAACATGGTGATCATATGTCAATCATGGGAATTGCCACTTGATTGCCGTCGACTAATAACAATGGGAGGCAATTTTACCCTGTCTGTTGTTATCAAGCTATCCTGGACTACCCCTAGCCAATTATCAATAGTCCGTGGCTCGCGTGTAAACAAGTTCTGCGGACTGGTCACCATGTTGCTCCGTGCGCCCAATATCGCCAGATGGTCTTGGAGATCTGGTCGCAGACGGGCCGGCCGCGATGAAGACCGCCATCGTAATACTTCTTCTTGTCGTGGGGAAATAGAATGATTCAATGGCACATTGCTTTGTACAGAGTATATCTGAACAGCCTAATAATGTCCGCACGGTCATCCAGCTTTGACCGCTGGCTTCCTTTTTTTTTTTTTTTTTCCCGGCCTGACTCATTCCAAGCATTCATTCGCGCAATATATCTCGTGAACTTGGCATTATCCTGCAACTCTTCATTCTCGGTCGCTCATCACGTTCCAACCAAGATGTTATATATGAGATAGGAGACAGCTGGCTGACGGTCATTAACACCCCAAGCCTCAACCAATTGCATAAAAAAGTATCGATGCATTCACACCCAGATCTAATCGTATAAAAAAGGAGTCATATTGACTTTCTGTCAAAACCTGGAAATCATTTAACGAGGAGCCCATGGTTGGATTGTCTTGATCTTGTGCCACATGTCCAGTCCATTGTACGGCAACACCAAAGCATAAAGTTAGATTTCGGTCATGTACCACATTAGTCACACGGCCAACAAGACGTTGTTGCTACTCTAATTCATCCGCAAAAGCTGGGATTGAAACACGAAGAGTGCTGAAATCACCTACTACAGTGGCCTACCCAGCATAAGTTATATGTTCATTGGCTGACGACTGGAGCTCGAGACACTGTTCAAGTGTGTATATCCTTTCTTGAGTTCCTGCCTACGTGTAGATTGGTGGTTGCCTATGTCTGTTGTTAATAAATCACCGTCTCGGGGGCATTTATCAATGAGCAGTAAATTCATTTGTTTTCACAACTCAAAACATCAGGTGGAATGTGCATGCATTTTTTATTTTTGGATCGGTGAACATATTTCATGTCTCTTGGATCATTGACAAAAAACCTGCAAGGGCCGTGATCACATCAAACACTGCAAAGTAGGTTATAAACTCTGACCACCAAGGTACAATATGTAAAACCAAAGCATGTTCCAGTCCCCTTCTTTGTGCAATGATGACTTGGCAGGGGGCATATCTCATTCATGCTTTTAACTAACCTCTGGCAAGCACACAATCCAATATTTCTTCACTTGCCCGATAGTAATCAGTCGAGGTGTTTCAGTTACTAAGAAGCATCTTTAAGCTGTCTATCTTCCTACACTACAAACAAAACATGTAACAAAGAGGAACCGAAGGTGTAGCAATCAGATAACGTCTGTTCGACGCTCAAATTCACTCTAGGTAATATTGCCGTCGTCAACATCGGGGCCTTGTCAACAACACATGGTCGTCGGCTTCAGCCTGTCAACCTGCCGACCTCAAAACCTTCATCTCGAGTTGCCTAAATTTTTTTTCTCTACCTTCACGACACAAATCCAAGCGCATTCCCAACAGAAAGATCTTTTTGCGGCTCGTCTGTCACAGACTGATGGCCTGCACCTTCCCAGCTTCCGGAACAAAGTGGTTGCTGCCTACTACATAAGGAGGTGTCCTTTCCTTCGAAACACAACTCAAGATTATTTTCCTCAACTGTCCTTGTTCAACTTCCATCTTCTGCTGACCACCATCACCACTTTTCTTTTTCCCACACCAACCCTTCACAGGTTCGAGTAAATACTCGATTTGATCCTATCGATTGTGTTTGCAGCTTGCCTGTGTCACCTACCCCTTCTTCCCCTCGACTGGCGGCCACGTTCTACACCAACCAAGTAAGTGATGCCGAATCTTCTTCTTCGTCTTCTTCGACCTCTTCATCCTCATTGTCAGAGAACACTCAACCTCAAGCCGGAACCCGCTCTTTCCCATTTGATGACTCTTGAGGCACGTGATTGGCGCAACCGAACTCAAGTGAAATATTCATCCTGCCTCAAGAGCAATTGCCCTTGCCACCTTCACATCAATCTTTCCCCAACAAAATTTACACTCTCGTCTAGTCATACATACTTGACCAACATCATTTCCCTCTCTCTTCTTTTTCCCCATCAACGACCCTGCTGACCTCGTCATCCCTCTGTAGAACCGTGCTCGTCTTCGTGTGAAACAGCGAATGACGTGAAGATGCCTTCTCTCGTCGGCAACACGTCTGCCTTGGCAGACAGGTCGTAAGTGCAGCAAGGCAAAGGCCTCGATGTTGCATGTGTGCCTCAACTGACGATGGGTCTGTAGTAACCAGAACGGTGCCCTACCGCAAACGTGAGTGGCCTGGATGGAAATCACCACTGTCGTGTTTGCTTACAATAATGGAACAGATTCAAGTGCAGTATTGGTGGAGAGTGGAAGCCCAATTCCAGCTTTTCCAACAAGCAACTTGCTAAATGGCGCAGTGCTAAGAGATCTCACAACGATCGCGTCACACCCGCCTCCATTGGCTTGATCTGTCGTGAGCATTCTGGTGAGCCAGCTACAGGTCTGAAGTGCAATGGTCCCTGTGGTCTTTGGAAGGCACGTGACCAGTTCAGCGGTAATCAGAGAAGGAACAACCTCCCCGTAAGCCTCATTGAGAATTCTCTAACTTGATCCATTTCTAACCAACTATGAATCTAGTGGTGCATCGCCTGTACACAGTGGCAAGTCGAGCAAGACTATGACACAGTACCCCTAGCGGCACCCAATGAGATCAATGAAGCTGCGGATGAGCACCAGGGCTTCTCAAATGCTGTGGCAGGTATCGAAATCGATGAAGATGACGACGACGATGACGACGATGATCAAGCTGTCTTCGCTTCAGCCCGTTCGGTCAGGACAGCTGGTACCACCCTGGGCGACGACGATGAAGACGACGACGATGACAGACATTTTGGCACAGATGATGAGGACGACAACTACAATGTTCCCCGTGGAACTTCCGTGAGACATGGCCACTTTTTTGATAACAACTCGGACTCAGACTCGGACGATGCAAGTTCGCCTTTACCTGCGATTGAGAAGTATTTGCTGCTGATAGTATTAAAACCCAGGTCACTGTTTCAAATGTCACCGCAGCTCAGACTCGTCCGAAGGCACCAGCCATGGCAACCAATGTGAAGAAGGCAGCCACTACAGCTACTTCAGCCTCTCGTATCGGTTCTTCCATTCCTGCTCGATCTCAAGCTTCAAATGCAGGTCCGTCGAGCCTCATGGGCAGCAGTGCTCAGTCTGGTCCGCAATCGCCAGAAGCATGGGTCCCACCCCATCTACTCGAAAAAGAGAATATGATGACTCTACGAGAGAACAATATCGTTGAGCGTCATGTGCCAAACTATAGCCAACAGGCTTCTACAGCAAGCTTGACGAGCTACTCGGGTCAACCCCAACCCAGGATCGCTCCGCCTCGAAGACATGCATTCCCTACACAGTCTGGCGCCTCTATCAGCACCCGCGCCTCTGAGCGCAGCTACACCACCACGACGGGAACAGATTATCGCAGGCGTCCCGAGAATATTGCACAGGGTCCCCCAGGCTCACGTCGCGGCGAGGGCACTCCGTCGATCGTGTCCAGCGATTCTCGGGCTGGCCCTGCCATGACCCCAAACACTACCCAGAGGGCGCTCACTGGAAATCGCCAGGCCACTAGTAACCAGTCATTCCAGGCGTACGATGATCAGGGCAATGCTCATCGTCGGATTGCCAACCCCGGGAACTCGGGTCCCAGTGCCCCATCCGCACAGCCCGCCCGAGGTCCTGTAGACCGCGTGAGACCTCAGAGAGGAAACTTTGCCCGAGTTGTAAGTTCTTAGGCTTCATAAGATCAAGTGAATACTAATTTGATGTGTAGGATCAACGCAGAGATTTTGAAATTCGCCAAAGACCGCAGACTGGAGCAGGCGCTTACCACATCGTAGTGTATGATTCTGGCAGTGATGATTCGTTTTAGGCCTCTCCAAAATACCTGGCCTTTAACATCCCCAGATTAGAGGCTGAGATATAAGGGAAAGGCATTGCATCATGATCAGTCAATGTCAATATGCAACCATGGTACAGCCAAAAAGAAAGAAAAAAAGTTCGATGTAGAGAAGGAAAGGCCCTGGGGAGGAAACTGAAGAGACCGCAACGTGTCCAATCATAATCATCACCATCGCGACGACTTTCGCACCATTGTATTCGACGTGGGTGCAGCACTTCATGTTAAGGGTTATCTCTTGTTTCAGCCCATGTGAGAGGCCGATGGGAAACAATGAACCAAAATCGGTGCGCATGTATTCGCCTAATTCGAGAGAAGCTTCCCAAGTGGAGCGCGAGATAGCATCGGAATTTCAGTCATGTTTGAGAGGCAAACATGGACGAAGACGAAACTTCGAGGGGAAAAAAACAAGACCAAAGGTAGATAGTCCTAAAGTATTTGAGACCCAATGCCGATGATCATGAAACCCCCTCCTTGTCCATGGAAAATGTGCACGACAAAATATTACCACATATAGATGGAACCAAAATCAAACATTTGTTTTACGCATGGCCTCAAATTCCATGTGATTTGCCAGTCACTTCTCATCGCCCTATTCTATTTCCCTGTATCTGGAGTGACGTAGCTACCTACCTACTCAATGGCCATTAGGTGGGTTGCACACCAAGCAGCTTTCCGCGGTACATGCTTACCTATACCCCAACAAGCGTCATATTCATCTGTCCGTTACTGCCCAACACTAGTAGCGGAGGATCTCCCTGTCACTCATTGAATGAGCATGAAGAAGCTTTCCATAAGTGTTACATGGCTTTGTGTTTATTAGCCTGGACGCTTACGGTCGCCACCAAAAAGTGACACGAGGCGCATGCTGTGCTCTTGTTTTCCTCTATCATTGACACCTCACCTAGCAGAATTGATCTTGTAATGGGAAACGACAGGCTGACAAGTTGCCCAGCTCCTATATCCGGCATGTCGATTAGCTATGATTCGGAAAGACGTGAGCAAACGTGCTGCCACACCATCTGCTTAAGCAGGGCGAAACCTATGGAGTGCGAGAAAAACACCTAGTGGGAAACTGTGGTTTGACAAATGGTCTTGAAAACTCGGCGGTAAGGTATTTAGGCAGGACCCATCTCACCAGTGGATGGAGGTATCATGTTCGAAAGATGTCATACTGTCAGGTATAGCTGACAGGTAAGCCAAAAATGACAAAAAGCCATGAGCTGAACCCGGCGGACAACGTGCAGCCAAAGACCAAGGCTCACCCCCAGAACCAAGAACAACAACTAGAGGCTTCTGGTCTATCAGTCATCGGCGAGCAGGCAAACCCAGACGAGTTGTATGGAAGACTAGACCTTGTCTTGGGCCTGCATAACCTGTCTCCGCCTTGGACTCCTGTTGGTTCGTCGGTATCTTCACATCAGGATTCTCTGCCCATGACGCAGCAGGCTCCGATAATGTTCGAAAAGACACCGCGTTCAAATACGGCAATAGAAGTCTTTGATACTTCCTTGCACAATCCATTCTCTTCTCGAGACCGTAGCGAAAAGGAAACAGTGAGCCAAGAGGTCGATTGGCTTGATGGATGCAGACAATTGTTTGATGAACATGGCGTTGCGACGCAGAGTCTGGGAAAAGCTCTGCAAAGACTCGCAAAGTATATTGTGAGCGAACCAAACGCCAATTGCTTACATGTCTTCTCATAATCGGCTTGATAGATTGATGAATACGCACCCAAGAAAAGTTTGGTCATCACGCCAGACAAGATTGCAGCTTTCTATACTGCCTACCGGCAAGACTCCGACGTGGTGCCGTTCGTAGGTGGGAGATGACGAATCAAAATATACCTTGGGACAAACGACTGATACATTTTCGCGAATATAGAAATATTTACTTCAAACGCAGTCGATGTCAACGACTGTCTAGAAGACTTTTACGATCGCTTGCGCATTGAGCACCTCCTGATACAAAAGAACATCTGCAGTCGTCCCAGAATTCCGGCACTGAGTGTTGATGGCTTTGCTCGGTACCTGGCCATTTGCGTGCTTGCGTACCCAAATGAGGAGATTCGTCGACTGGATAGGGCATTCGTGGATCTACCTTTGGCGCTGGACGCGGTCGAGCTCAATGAAAGGGCACGCGGCATGCTCAAGACTATCCCCGAGGCATATCTGCCAATCAAGCATGACCGGGTGCTGAGGAGGCGTTTGGATGATGCCTTTCTCATGCTGATGACTGACTTGAAGATGACCAAAAGCATATGCAGAGACCGCCAGTATATGTCGCCCAATGTTAGCCACCGTGGTAGGGAAGCCGGCGACTATTTCTCTATACCAAAATCTAATCCCTTGTCACCCAAATCGTACTGGGCTACAAGGGATGATCGCGTGAGACTGTATAGTCCACGTGAGTCGCAGGCAAAATACATCCCAGGGACACTGCAGACAATCGATGACGACGTCGGACAAGACCGTGGCTTCACCAGATGGAACCGGCCTCAATTCCGTTGGGAGTCCAGTAGTTCCTCGCGATCTGGTGCTTCCGATACGTCCATGGGGGGAAGGCTAAATGTGACCTCTCCAGCGGCAAGAGATCCTCCATTGTCACCGCGGAATGCGCGGTCATTGGATCAATACGGCACGGCCGTGGAAAAGGTTGCCTTTGGCCGAAATGAAAGTCCACAGCTCCGTCTCGACACCGCGTCCGTCCTCAACATTTATCGTCGAGGGCCACCTAGTTCTGCGCCCTCGAGTTATGTCTGCACGCCGTCGGGGTACTCGTCCAAACCACCGATAGACGGCCGCCGTGTCTCTACAGATTCATTGAATCACAAGGTGCAAGAAAGGCGGCATGATGAATTGGCAATCAATGGTCCGCTATCACCTCTGACTGGTGTCAGCCCTCGCCAGACGAGTGCTCGCCCATACCATGAGCGCCAGCGGAGCTCGGAGATCAAACGCGACTCTGCCCGTGGATACCTGGGCGACAAGCACGAAAGCTACATTGAACGGAGCAGTAGTGGTCGAGGCTTTGGTGGAAAACATAATGACTCTCAAGTAAGTCAATTTCAAGTATTGAAACACGGCTCATACAACGGTCCTTGCGACAGCCTTTCAAAATAGCATGTATCCTTTTCTTAAAGCAGCTAATAAACGTCATCACAAGTGGGCCGAACGTGAACGTAAGCGCGACACCGAGCCCGAGAGACAGTCTTCACATCGCCGCTCTCAGCCCCTCCAACGCCCGAATGTCGTGAGGACCGAGTCCAATCGGGACGACCGCGGGAGGTCATCTCGAGATGAAGACGCACACAAGAGAGACCACAAGAAGAGCGAGAAGACGGCAACGGCGAGACGTCATTAGTAGGGCAAGAGAGAATTTCTACATCGAATCTGATTGTACGTTTGTCTGCATCTCTGCGTGAATATTACTGCCATTACAATATGTTATTCAAATTTATAGCGGGTCTGATATATTGGTATTGTGCATCGCACGCAAGTGGTCGATCATAGAAAATACACAAACGCCCGGCCCCCTGGAACGCCAAAAGTGATATGGAACAAAGAGAACCAAAACTTGCTGCAAACATCAGTGAGTTTGATTCAACCCAACAAGCCTCCATCACCCACGCTCCCCAACGAGCGATGAGCAAACTCACACGCGCGCACTGGGCTCATGCTGCTTCTCCTTTGTAAACTGCCTCTCCGTGTACTCGACCGTGTCGCGGGCCGAGGGGACCTTGGGCGGCTCAATATCGCGGCGGAGAATGTAGTGGCCCCAAAAGTAAAAGAACTGCTTGATACCATAACTGTTCAAGCTTCGAAGCGGCACATTGAAGACGGCGTCTAGTTCTTCGAGTGTCTTGCCCTGTTGTGTTGTACGCAACATGTTAGAATAACTTTATCGAAAGAGAAGGGGCATGCGAGTGCTGAAAATACAAAAGCAGAAAACGAACCTTGGTCTCGGGCAGGAACAGCAGAACCAAAACCCAGCCGACAATGTTCCAGGCGGCATACCAGCTGAAGGCGCCCTGACTCGTCCAAGACTGCACAAGAGACGGCCAGGTGAGCGATAGCACCGAGTTGAAGAACCATGTTGTGGCCGTTGCCAGCGACATGCCCAGAGGGCGAATATAGAGCGGATATGCTTCAGCAGAGTATGTAAACGGTACAGGCTAGTTTTGCGGATTAGCTGAGCCAAGGTATCTCTGTTGTGGCGGCTGGTACTTACCCCTTCGCCGGGTGAATAGACAATGCCAAAGAGATAGATTCCTAACGCTATACAGGCGATATGCGCGGTGCTATTCTCTGGGATCCAGAAACTGAAACCCGTAAAGAACAGGAATATGGACATGAGCGGAAACGTGGTGAGCAGCAAGTTGCGCCGACCAAACGTATCTATGGTGTAAAAGGCTGGCAGGGCGAACAGCCAGTTGATGATACCGAACCCGAGCGAGGCGGCAAGGGCAGAGGTTTGGGGAAAGCTGGCGTCAATGAAGATTTGGGTCGAGTAGTAGGCAATGGCGTTGACACCGCAGAATTGTTGCATAAACACTGTGATGCACATTTAATATTCTCGATGCAATGAAATACGAGGCCGACATGGACCAGACAGGATGTGCAGTTATACTTACTGACAATTTCCGAAGCTATCATGGCGTTGCGGTTCCTACGGACCGTGAATAGCTCCAAAAACTTGTTTCTGCCAATATTCATGGCCTCCCTCTCGACTTGCAGCAGCGTATCCATGTAAAAGAGATCGCGGGCGGCCTGAACCTTTTCGTAGCGCAGCTGGCAGATGGACTTGTAGGCATCGGCGTGTCGGTTCTTGGTAAGATACCACCGCGGCGACTCGGGCGTCCACCAGATGAGGACGCAGACAATGACGGCGGGGATGCCAGCGCTTCCCATCATCAGCCTCCAGTTGAGCCCAATGATACCAGACATGTCTGGGACAAAATAAAATGCTAGATCGGCAACGTAACCAATCATTATACCAAAGGCTATCTCAATGATTAGTATGACTCTCCTCGGTTTGTGTAAAAGATTACGGCCGACGTACCCGTCCACATTTGCCACTGCATCACCAATGCACCGCGCAGCTTGGGCGGCGAACACTCTGCAGCAAAGATGGCTGTAATGATAGTCAGCTTCCTCGCTTGACTCTATAACCCGAATTATATTCAAGGGCCACATATTTCTCTACTTACGCGTAGTGGCTGATTTAGGACCAATGCCAAAGCCAAGGAAGAATCTCGCGATAAACATGTGCCACCACGTATTTGTCTAGCGGGAAGAGACCATGTCAGCATCGTTTCGCCATTTATGAGGACATGTAGACACAACTTACAAATGCCTGCCAGAAGCATGCCGCGGCAGAGATCAAACATGATACAAAGACGGTTCCTCGACGACCCCAGATCTTGTTCATGGGCTCAGTGAGCCAGCAGCCCACAAAGGCGCAACAGATATATGGGGCAGCTAGTATAGTCGGTTAGCATGACTGCTCAAGCCCCTTCCTAGTGGGGGAATAGTTCCTGGGGTATAAAACTAACCGTTGACAAGACCCACGAGCCACGAGTCTGGGGAAAGGATGCATTAGCTTGGTTGAATAGTCGCGACAGGCAGACGGGATCCACGTCGTTTGTGGGCGGTAAAGATGACTTACTCCTTTGAGCGAGATCTGCAGGAACCGACTCCTTGTCATCGTCAATGTTGAACTCTTTCTTGTAAAAGATTTGAGCACCATTGACGACTGTCTCATCCATGCCTTGAACAGCGGCACAAAGGGAACAGATACTATTTCCATCGAATCAGAGGAAGTCCTGGAGAAACATTCCATGTTTTGATTAGAGAATAAGCGGTAGTACTTACACAATGACAGCATACAACATCTTTGGGTTTGACCACTTGTGCGTAATCTCGCGATCGAGCACGTCTTTCTCGCGCTCCGTGAGCCCGTCAATCGTGTCATATTTGTTCATGTTGCCCGCGAGCATGGCGCCGAGTCGAAAGGCCCGGACATCCTCTTCTGCCGTGAAACCATGCTTGGCCGAGAACTCCTCGCCCCGGCGGGCGAGCTCCGACGGGCTGAGCCCGGCCAGCGGGTTCTCGAGCTTTGCAGAAGCCTCGAGTCGCTTCTTCTCCTCGGCGTCCAGGTGAGGATTGGTGCCTACGTTGTGGTCATCATTCGAAGCACCCCGGCTCGAGGTATGCTCGAGCTCGGAATGAGTGGCTTCTGTGTGCTCCGAGTCTTTGCGGGTGGGTTTCTCATTGCCCGTAGGCCCTGGTGGAGGAGAAGACATGTTGTCCTTGAGAGATGCAGTGTCTCTTTTGCTCTCAAGCTGCTGCGCTGGTGCTTACAAGCTGCCCAAGTATTTGCCACGGAAGAATGCAGCACACATGTAAGACGGTGTGGTCTAGGAATGAAGGAGAAATGAGATATCAAAACAATGGAAGCACCACGCGGAGTCAAGCGGCCTCTTGTAATAGCATTTGCGAGCCGGTCATCAGATATGAGCATCAGATGTATTCATAATTCCACCCCAGATTGACAGGGGGGAGACAGTCTGTATGGAACAGCCCACCTGCCCACCTACCTACCCCATGGGCGCCAATGATGATCATCCAGGGATTAGCGAGTAATCTGAGATCCCAAAGCACCGGGCACAGCACCATCACCATTGTAGCACTGACTGCATAAGGCTGCCCCAAAGAGCTTACAGGGAAGCGGTCGGAAGGATTCCATAAGACGTCATTGCGTGAGGATGGCGCCAGGATGCAAAACGACAAAAACACCAGCCATTTCGCCTGGCGAACCACGAACCCGCTGGGCTATCGGTGAGGGTGCCGCGTGGAATAGTGAGTATGACGTTCTCCTTCTGGGGGGTCCTGTCATACTCGCTTTGCCGCAATCGGGTTAAGGTGCCGTGAAGCTTTTGGCCATTAGTGACAGCCTTTAAACGGTCAATTTGGGGTTCCGAAGGAATGGTACACTTCAATTCTGAGACATGTTTTCATGACCATTCAAAAAGTCAACAAACACCGCTTTCCCTTGACGTTCTTTATAACTTGTTGCCTGATGTGGAAACACTGCTAAATAGCTTGTCTTAGCCGGACATCGCCAAGTGAAAACAAGCTCTTACTTAGCCGCTGGGTAGGAAGCCGTAGGGAGCGCGGTATCTGTTGCTTTGTCTTCTGTGGGATATTGAATGCGACACTTGGAGACGTGTGGGCAATCCATGTCTGCTTGGTCTGACAATGCCAGCCCTTTCCCCGCGCCTCCAAACTTGGCCAAGGGGATAGAGCCTGGGCACCCGCGAGCCAAGACAGTCGGACTGCACTATGACGAAAGCAGATCCAACGGTATCAAACATTGGCATCAGCAAACATGAGAAGCAATCTGGACTCTGCAGGTGGTGTCCATGCCCTTTCCCGTGAAATCCTTGCAGTCGTATCATTCCTTGTTACTGTAGGTCTTCCACGGAATACGGAACGAGACCCACGGAAGCATACACCCTTGGCAATTGTCAACCTCCAACGAGCTGGCTGAACAGGCAGAAAAGACCTGTAACATATGCCTCGAGCGTAGAGCAGAAGATCTCTGACCAGTTCGGAACTGTTCACATGGAGCATTGTAATGTGTCTTTCATGTTTAAAGATATGAAGGATTCAACTCTGCTTGTACCCGTGAGGAGAACCATCCTCTGAATGCAATCCTGTCAGGGATCTGCAGGACACTACTCATCGGTCATCCATACAGATTGCAGCAATCCTTTTCATTTGAGATGTATCGAGCACAGTGAAGGGTAAAGCACAGGTGTGCTGTGCTCATGCGGAAATGCGAATGACCTCGATCGACTGCTGTTATTACTGGTTCATACCGACGGAAGAGCAATTATATTATCGTAAATTATGAAATCGTGCCAAAGCTTGAACTTCAAGGATATCCGATCTCTATCGAGTCGTTGAAAGAGGCACGGCAATATCGGGTATCTGAAACGCCCAACTCCGATCAGCAATAAATCATAAGCCCTCAAGCCTTGAGCTTTGTAATTCGTAGAAAAATGATCCATGATTAGCGTATTGAGGTTGTGCGCAAGATCTTCCTTGTCAAATGTCATTCGACAGTCTGGCTTCTCAGCACTTGACGACGAAAACTTCGAGGTGTTTGTGGTAAGTGGTCCGCCGAAGTATCGTTCTTTTTGCGTGCCTTTTTTCGTTTCAAAGCCGACCATTCGGCCTTCCAGGTGTCGATGCTTTGGAGCAGGTCCGGATCGGCATCCTTGGGCACATATGCAAGACACCTCACCTCGATGGCCTTTAACTGGATCTGAAGATTCAGGACCTCCATCTCGCCATCGTTACGTTCGGCCTCACTGGCAACTCGTCAGCGAGAAAGAATCAATGATTATTCAACCGTCAGAGGGAACCCACAGTTCATTAATTCGCTCCTCGAGGTGAATAATTCTTTGAGCAGCACGCTCGGCCCTAGTAATCAGTAGATCGTGTATGTGCTAAGGAAACGTCAACAGGAATTACTCATTCTGAGAAGCAAACAACTTACGTCTTGTTCCTCTTGTCTGGCCTGCAAATTGGCGACAATGGATTCGAGGGATCTCTGAAGCATTTGAGCCTGCGCCAAAATTTGATCGGCATATTGTGACCTCGCGTCCACGTCACTTTGCTGGTCTTCCTCTGTAGTGCGCTCAATGTCTGCTTCTTCTTTCGGCGGCTCCATTTCTGGCGTCGGCTTGGGCAATGTCATTTCGGAAAGACGTGACTTGAGCCAGGAAGATCGAGGAGTGCCAGAGCTCAAATCACCGCTCGCCGCACTCAAGCTGAGTGACGACTGATTGCGCCTATGCCGATGTGATCCATTTGCCCAACCATGAGCCAAGGCGTGCTCCAGCTCGTCCACTTTGGCGTGCATGGAATCCACGCTGTCCCCCTGCACTTCATCTTCAGCCGAGAGTCTCGCGGCAAGATCGTTGAGTCTCTGGATCAAGACATCCTTGCTATCCTGGGCAACGTCTAGCAGCTCGTCCGCAGACCGCGATGGCGGAGTTGGGGATGGAAGCCGTGCTGAGGACGACCGGTGTCGCAGAGGCGAAAACGGGGATCTGCCGAGAAAGTGGAAGCTCAGCGAGGGAGATGCTGGCGGTGATGAGAAGGTCGGGGTGGAATCTCCTGGCTGCTGGCGCCCGGGATAATCCGGAGAAGACGGCTGCGGCTCCTCCAACTCTTCCGTCGGGCTCCCAGACATGAGCCTCTCTCTTTCTTCTCTCCACCGGTCCAACACCGCGTTCGAGGGGTGGGGCCCGGTCCCTAATGCATGCAGGAGAAGAGTAGTACTCCGAGGCTGGTCCAGGTCAGGCAAGGACAAGTTTTGCCTTGTACGAGTCGGCTGCTTTTATACCGAGACGCTTACTGGAGATATCCGTCTTTTCAGCAAGCATTGACGGCAGTAGACGGATTATGCATGAGACAATGAAAATGTCCAATAAAAAGTTTCGAGAAACGGTTCGTGAATCGTGACCACCATGCAAGACATCTGAAGTCGGCGTGTTTTGGTCGGGTTCAAGTGGGTCGCGTACAATGAAAAGCCCCACGGGGCAACTTGTTAGCAGCATTTCTGGCATTGCTTCCAGTCGGCCCAGTTACGCACAACCAGCATCATGCACTTTGTATTTTTTCAATGAATTTGTTTTTGTCAGTTGTCAGTTGTCAGTAACCAAGTGGGTGGTCATTCGAAACTTTGCATGTAGGAGATTTTTGAAGCATGGTCAATTAACAGGAAATTGACCAAGCGTCCGCAGTGGAAGTAACAGCTGTTCGGAACCTTACATGAAGGAGGTGTCATAAAGACAACAGAGCATTGATATCTTGTTCCAATAAACAGGATCAATATCAACTGCAACTTTGCCATGAATCATCAAGGGCAGATGATGAACTAATAAGACTTGTGCCATGAACAACCATTCGAGTTTGATATCGACCCCCAACCCACTCGTCTGTGGAAATCTGCAAACATCCCGCGTCTGCCAACGGGAGTCACAGCTGAATCGAGCGTCGAGTGTGGGGAACCCCTGTCTAGCAGCAAACACGCCCAGCCATACCTTAGCCAGCCCAGCGTCCAAGACAAAATCATATGCCAATCGCAGACGGCAGCCCCCGGCTTTACCTGTCAGCGTCGCTAACGGAGGTTGGTTGGTAGTGATACATACTGTCACTCCTTTTGCAGCCCTCATGTTTTAATCAAATATACAGGAGACGAATAGTAGAAGAAGCAGTTCAATTGCATGACGTGATGATATAAATTGTCAAGATTCTTCCCTTGCAATTTTATTTATTTATTTTTGTGTTGAACTCGGGCAAATATTTAAGCCCGTATCAAATCTAGGGGACGGAAGCCCACAGGCGCTTGGCTCAAGCACGATAATCAGGGGAGCCGAGCAGTTTATCATCTGATTCGGTAATGGACCGAAGCTCCCCCCAAAAAGGTAGCCCGTGGTCCGGGAGAAGGGATGTGTAAGTTGTGTGATGCAGTGCTATGCCGAGAACGGCATTTTCATCAGTCATCTTTGAAATACATTGCCAGAGTCAAGATATGGCTGTATGTTGGTTTTACAGCATTAATAAAAATAGTATAAAATCATGGTCATTTGTTATCTTTGGAGCCCACTAAAGTTCTTTTTTGTTTTGGAGCATTTATTTTCTACTCGCGCTTGTCGATCATCAAAATCTTAAGCCTCGAGTTTGTGACTCAATCATTATTCGCTGGCCGCTCGGGTGTGCTGAAGAGGAGCATCCTCGGCAGTAGCAGCCGTCCCTCTCCGTCATAGTTCAGACCGCGGGGTCCATCGAAAGCCGCGACAAGGGTTGGCGCCCATTAGCTTGCAGCTGTTCTCGCTATTCGTCTTCCTTGTCGCCGAAACATCACACGACTCATCACACAACGACCGATTTCTGTGCTTCCTTCCCATGGACCACCGGCCTCCCCTTCACATTGCCAGACATCACCAGTAGTGACGGTACTGAAAGAGAGTCGATTTAGCCTCCCTTTGTGCATGCTCGCTCGACGAGCCACCCTCCGCCCATCATGTCGTGGAAGGCCTCGGAGCGCTTGATGGACACCATCAGACACTATGCAAACTTCCCGGCAACAGGAGTCAGCTTGAGGCAAATGGTCCAGTTTGGCGAGAAGCCTTCGACAGGTATGTGCGCCCTTATCGATTCAATGTGGTCACCTTATGGCCAGCATTCTACTCAAAATCGCGCTTTGTTTTGCTCGAGCTGCTGCTGACGACGAATCTCTCTCTCCTAGGGACTCTGTTTCGCGCCTCCCAATTTCTCGCCGAAGAATTACCAATTCGCCTTGCACATCGAGTTCAAGAACTCCATACGTTACCAGATGGACTCAATGATATGCCTTCAGTCAAGAAGGTTGCTGACTGGTATGCGCAGTCATTTGAGGTACGTGAAGCCGACACCACCCAGTCCACCACGAGCCAGAGACCAGTCTAACAAAACCCATGCAGGAAATTACCACTTTACCACGACCCGAGCTCTCCGGACAGGTACGGGAAAGACTCTTGAGACCCAGCAGCTTTAACAATAATGGCGTGGCAAAAATGTTATCCGAGGCCATCCCAAACCCCAGTCTCGACGAAGGTCAATACGCTTCGTTCAATAATGGCAACGGCAGCAGCGCCGGCAGAAAACAACAAGCCGCAAGACGATATTTTGCCATGGTGGACGATTCCAATGATTGGCCACCGGATTTGAAGGCCTACAACCAAAAGTTCTCCCAGACATTGAAAACGATCAAGAGGAGACACGACGGTGTCGTTACGACGATGGCGCAGGGTATTCTAGAGTATAAGCGGAAACGGCAACGCATGCAGATTGACCACAACATTCAGTCCTTCCTCGACCGGTTTTACATGTCCCGTATCGGTATTCGTATGCTCATTGGACAACATATCGCCCTTACAGACCAGAGTCACCACCGAGACCCGACATATGTTGGAATCATCTGTACCAAGACAAATGTCCGGGACTTGGCTGAAGAGGCTATCGAGAATGCCCGATTTGTATGCGAGGATCACTACGGCCTGTTTGAAGCGCCAAAGATCCAGCTTGTCTGCAACCCGAACCTCAACTTCATGTACGTGCCTGGCCACTTGTCGCACATGCTCTTCGAAACATTGAAGAACTCCCTGCGCGCTGTCGTCGAAACGCATGGCCAGGACAAGCAAGAATTTCCCGTGACAAAGGTCATCATTGCTGAGGGCCGAGAGGATATCACCATCAAGATTTCGGACGAGGGCGGTGGTATTCCCCGAAGTGCCATACCGCTGGTCTGGACCTACATGTATACCACTGTTGACCGGACGCCAAATCTTGATCCAGACTTTGACAAGAGCGATTTCAAGGCGCCAATGGCTGGTTTCGGATATGGATTGCCGATTTCGAGACTGTACGCGCGTTATTTTGGTGGTGATTTGAAGCTGATTTCCATGGAAGGGTAAGTGTCCAATCGATCCCAAGCACAAGTGCAAGCGCCCCGTACTGACTGAAAGAATCTAGCTATGGCACGGATGTATATCTACATCTAAACCGTCTATCGAGCTCATCGGAGCCTCTACAATAGCAATCAGCAGTCATGAGGGAGTGGTTGTCCCAAGGATTGGCGTCGAAGGTTTACAGCAGAGGCAAGCGGCTGAAGGCGTTCCAAGAGGTCTCAGAGCGCAAGCAAGTAGGCGACACCGCGTCTATGTTTAATGAAGACGACTCCACGTATACTGGCAACCGCGGCAGTAAAGAGTTGTGAAGTGCGCATGCGCTGCACTTTGAACAGTGGGATATATTGTGAGCATGTTTGCACGGAAAAATACGTACGCATGGCTTGAGGATAGATGGTTTATACTCCACAATAAGGTGTGCAAAGGTCTGGTAAGACATGACGGCAGTCGAATCATCAACAGGTACAAGGAATGATTTGTTGCCGTAATCACAAGGGTCCTCTTTTTTGGTAGTATGGCGTGAGGGTTTGGATTGAAATACTGGGAATATACTGTTTGAAGGACATATTTGCCGAACAATCATCATTGCATGTTTGTGATTTCAATGCAAAAATTACTTGGCGATTGAAAGAAGTCTCGTTACCAAGCAATCATAGGTAACCGGCCGTCTCCGGATACTGTGACGTAAGAGCGAGAATGGTCGTTTATAGGCTATTATTTGTTTCAAAGCATATGGGAGTGTATATGTACATTTTGGTGCAATTGAACATGGTGAACGATGAGTAGTAGTGTTGCTATAAAAGGCTACCTCGGTCAGTTGGCCAATAGGACCATGCTGATTTGGCTGACAAAAGGCTCGGATCAGATAAGATCTTTGTTATCTCGCACTCGGCAATCCATGCAAGCAAGCAAGCAAGCAGACCAACAGAATTTCGGATTTCGGGCTGCCTTGTTTTGCCCTTCCAAGGACATGCATGACCAGTTAGGCAAAGCGATTCGGGTTTGGGTAACATTCTTCGTATCCATGGGCTCCGCGGACCCGGCGATCTCAGTGATATGGATAAGTCCTTTATGATCTTGCAATGTTGCAATCGGAGGCTTTTGTCGCCCGTCTTTTTTGAAAGCATGTGAAAGAAGACTCATCACTCTGTCGCTTCTCTGCCGTTCCCAGTGTTCCTCCTTCCATGAAATACACCAAGCCGGTACAACGCAGCCGCCCCCGGGGCAGGGATGGTCATTTAGCGAGTGTCTAGGCGTTAGCTCCCCTGCTGGGTCCAACGCTTGCCACCAAAGTTGGGATAAATGGTGCCAGAGCTTCCGCACCTGGGCTGCTTGATTAGCGAGCTCACCCGCTCCAAATCGTGTAACCCCAGGTCGAAATCGGGGGAAACGTCAACTGACGATTTTCCTTTTTACTCCTCATCTCAAACTAGTTTCTCTTTTATAGTTTTCTTCTTCTTTTGCTCTCTTGCTCGCTTGTACACTAGTTGCTCTTCTTTCGCATGTCCCAGGCCATTATTGGCAAATTCCCAAACATGCCGGGCTCCTCGCGAATGCCCATAAGCCTCCGGGAGAGCTTCGATAGCATCAAGAAGAACCGGCCCAAGAACCCATGGTCCGTTGTGAACCTGGACTTGTAAGTCGAGCACCTAAATAACCCACACCACCGCCAAAAGGCCCCAACCTCGGCACCCAAGTCCGGAGAGCTGCGGGCTGCAGATCACTCGCGTATGGTGAATGTTGGCAAACAACATGCATTGAATATCATATTTTTGATCTCTAGAACAATGCTAATCTGATATATTTGCTATTATCAAGACTCCGAAACATTGTCTTCTTCTTTTTCGTCCTCCGCCTCCTCCGGCGCTCCTTCTGGCAGCTCAAGGGCCGCGGCCTGATCGGTACCGTCGCCGAACTCTACACGGACGCCCGGCGCATCCTCTACGGCTACTTTTTGCGGCTCCCGGGCGTGCGCACGCAGGTGCGCAAGCAGGTCGACGATGCCCTGACCAAGATGTCGGGCAAGCTGGTGCCCGCCAACGGCACGCGCCACCTCAGCTTGCCCCGGGAAGCCTGGACTGACGAGGCCGTCCGCACCGAGCTCGAGGCCCTGGCCACCATGGACCACACGCGCTGGGAGGACGGCTACGTGAGCGGTGCCGTCTACCACGGCGAGGACGACCTGATCAAGCTGCAGACCGAGGCCTATGGCCGCTTCACCGTGGCCAACCCCATCCACCCCGACGTCTTTCCCGGCGTGCGCAAGATGGAGGCCGAGGTTGTGGCCATGGTGCTGTCCATGTTCAATGCCCCGTCGACAGCCGCTGGCGTGTCAACAGCCGGTGGTACTGAGAGTATTCTCATGGCTTGTTTGAGCGCACGGAATAAGGCCTATGCTGAACGGGGCGTTACTGAGCCGGAAATGTAAGTTGCCACATTGTTCCTGCGACTATCATATGAACCCAGAGACTAATATACAACTAGGATCCTCCCCGAGACTGCCCACACGGCTTTCCGCAAGGCCGGCGAGTACTTCAAAATCAAGGTCCACCTTGTCCCTTGTCCCGCGCCTCTACACCAGGTTGACGTGCACCGCGTATCTCGGCTGGTCAACAGCAACACGGTTTTGCTTGTCGGCTCGGCGCCCAACTTCCCCCACGGCATCATTGACGATATTGCAGCGCTGTCCAAGCTGGCCGTACGCCGCCGTATCCCCCTGCACGTCGACTGTTGTCTTGGCTCGTTTCTGGTACCCTTCCTCGAAAAGGCCGGCTTCGAGACCCAACTCTTTGATTTCCGCCTCAAGGGCGTCACATCCATCTCTTGCGATACCCACAAGTATGGTTTCGCCCCCAAGGGCAACTCGACCGTGCTCTACCGCACCGCCGAGCTGCGGACGTACCAGTACTTTGTCAGCCCCGACTGGTCCGGCGGCGTCTACGCCTCGCCCGGCATCGCAGGATCCCGTCCCGGCGCTCTCATTGCCGGGTGCTGGGCCAGCATGATGCGCGTCGGCGAGCCGGGCTACGTCGACGCCTGCAGCAAGATTGTCGGCACAGCCAAGAAGATTGCCGAGCACATTACCACGGCGCCGCCGCTCTCGGCCGAGCTCGAGATCATTGGCCGCCCCCTCGTCAGCGTCGTGGCCTTTACGGCGCGCAACCTCAACATTTACGACATTGCCGACGGCATGTCCTCAAAAGGCTGGCACTTGAATGCGCTGCAGAACCCGCCCGCCATCCACGTTGCCGTCACCATGCCCATTGCCAAGGTGTGGGAGAAGCTCGTGGCCGATCTCGAGGCCGTCATCGAGGCCGAGCGCGAAAAGGAGCGCGTCCGCGCCGTCGAGGGCAAAGGCACCCGCGGCAAGGCCATGGGCGACAGTGCTGCGCTCTACGGTGTTGCAGGCAGTCTGCCCAACAAAAAGATTGTGGTGGATTTGGCCAATGGATTCCTCGATTTGTTGTACAAGGCTTAAGATGTAGTAGTCTGTTGTCGTTCCCCTTTCTAAAAAATGAACCTCTCTTCCACATCAAGGGATCAACCTAGCAAGCGTTGTAGAAATTCAAGTAAATATCATGGGAAATCGAATGAAGCAAAAACAGAGTATATGGCCACTTTTGTCCAGTGAGAAGCGAGTTATGAGTGTTACTGCGTGTGAGAGAAAATTTCAATTAATTCATCTCGCCTTGTAAATGCTTTGAATATCATTTCAAGCCATCATCATTAGCAATGCGGGAACTCGAATCTCAAGATTTCCCCTTTCTAGATGCCTCCCTAGCGTTGGAAAAACAGCGAAGATGAAAAGTAAAAACAAAATTCAAAGGCAATGTTCCCTCTGTCGGGTTTATGCACTATTAGACTTGCCCAGAAACGCCAGTCTCTCTTTTTTTTTCCCCTCTTCTCCCTTGCACTTGTTCTAGTACAAATTTCCGGTTTCGCTGGTTGCCATGGAGTGTCATGTCCGACCTCTGTAATGGTCGTGCCGAAAATGTCGTGAGAGTGGGAGTGGCACATTTCATGACTCAATAATACAATGGAATGTATCAACGGCGTTGAGCAATCGGACCTCTTGAGGCGAGGGCCGTGATGAAACAATAAACGCCCCTTTAATTGGCTCTTGTTTTTCTGTTCAACACACGTCTAGGCTGCAGCAAAAGCCTTCTTCCACTTGGGCGCAAAGTTCTTGGCCTCTTCAGCACAGTTATTATCGCCGTTGCCCTTGATACAGCCGGCCAGGCGCAGAACAAAGTCGCCATCCTCGTAGACTTCGCCGTGCTTTGGTCTGTTGTATGAGTTCAAGAGGCGCTGAGGAATGATGGCGAGCTTTGAGAGAATGGTGGGATGCCACTGCACAATGTGTTCCTGGTAAAGAAGAGTTAGTATAAAGCCGAGCTGATCTTGAACTCGCGATAAAGAAATCACCTACCAGCGCATGTGTCTCTGCCTTTTGAAAGTTGTAGCTTCTGTATAACGGGTCGAACCAAGTGTCCAAGAAGAACTCGGCCCAGTCTCCATTACGGATAATAAAGCTACCCGCCGACAATCCGTCCTTGTCCTGGGTGACAACAAAATCAATGTCATCTCCTCTCAGATGTGAGAAAGTCTTGATGATGCTGTCCGGTGGGACAACAGGAAGGTCCTTGATCATGGTCTTTTCCAAGTTCTTGGTACCCATGATGTGGTCGACAATGTCCAGCTCGGGGTTCATGATGAAGGAGTGCTGGTCAAGGTACCAAATATACTTGGCATCTGGAAATTCCGCCAGGGCGTGTCGCGTGGCCGTCACCTTGGTCCACGACATGGGATCGCTTCCAATATCGTAGCCGCCTGCCGACACAAGCATTGTCTTGTATCCTGAGCAACACAAATGTTAGCTACTTGATCTGCGGAACCAGGATCTTGGGGCACGCGATCTCTACGTACCGTGCTTTTCAGCATATTGCATCCTGTTGTCTCTGATATCTTCCAGGTAATCTGGACTGCCGCCCCATAGTTTCTCGTCAAACACCGTGACCATTACGACCGGCGGATCGCCCGATATTACACGCCCACGCCGGCCCGAGCTGGACTTGGAGCTGCTACCGGAGAATAGCCATATCAGAAACATTATAGCCAAACCGCCAATCGCCAATGTCTTTGGCCGTATCCTCCGGATCGTTGGTATCCTCGACGATCGTGGGCGAAAGGGCGGCGGATTCGAGCTCTTCCTCGGTGGGTATGCGAAATGCATTGTGGTTGGTATATGTGTGTTACTGAAGTAGTGGATGGATTAGGGATGTGCCAACGAGTTGGAGATGGGCAGGAGAGGCTCCTGCCTGTAAGATCTCGTGTTCCGATTCGGAACAGGGACTCGGTAGGTTCAATCGCTTGGTGTTGTGGTTGGTGTAGCCCAAGCCGAAGAAGGGGTAAAACAATTTCTCGTATCGAGTGACGGGTTATCGTGGCCAGGGTGTGGAATGCGACCGATGCGGTAGGGTGTAATTTCCAAATCGATCTGTTGGCATTGCCAGAACAGCGTCGTCGAGAAGAACTCTGGCGGTGCAGCTTTGCTCCAACACTGGACTCGACTTCGAATCTCACGCCCCAAGACCAGCGTTGTTGTTGCGCACGTGTCTTTCAAATCCTTGGGTGAGATGGGTGGGCTGGCGGAGGGTCGCAGCTTATCACGACAAAGGGATGCTCTCAATTTAGCTCTCGGTCCATACAGCGGTTTTGAGGCGGGCAAGGAGATAGGTACCGGACTCCGGACACCAAAATAAAGTTAACTTCTTCAAGCGCCCCAAAAAGAGCAAAAAAAAACAAACTTTTTGGAGTGATCGCCAGTTGAACGGGAGCACGGCCACCCACCATAAACCGAAGAATGAAACCTCGAGATCACGAGAATAGATATCAAGGGGTTTCCGCTGGAACTTTTTTTCTGTAAGATGCTACCTTGTTAGCTATTGCCTGCCCGTCTGCTGTCAGCCATTGACGGGCGCATGCTTCAAACTGGCCAGTTGGGTAGATTCCTTGGCAGGAGAACCAATGAGCACTAGAACCCATCTCGAGGTCCACCAAACACGCTCATTAGCTGCCCCGCCTGCCAACCCGAAAATAAATTAGGGGACTACGAACAAAGGCATGGGTCTAGGTCCCCTAAAGTCACATCTCTTGCCACATTACTGAAGAACGCGGGGTGCATTCACAGGGCAACAATGACAACGAATGTGGCAGATTCTTGTTCATCTTTTCAAACCTTTGCATATGCAATCAAATTATTCAGAGTTGAGCAATTCTCGAGTTGATTACTCGGCAAAACTTTGAGGCCATTTTGAGATACTTGGTACGGACAAGGTTTGCTACCTGTATCTGTACCGTTGTCGTGCAGGAACTGTATTTTTCCCCCGTTGATGCAAGCAAGCAGCCTGGATATGCCGCAGTCCCGTCAAGGATCTCATAGATTTGGCAAGATAAGCGATGTCAAGAATCATAATTCAGGGTTGTCTACTTAATCTAAATGTGTCAATCTTGCCAGACCATCTTTCAACTACGTCTCAACGAGGAGTGATGGATAGTCGGCCGACTTGTGCTCCAAAGAGCTGCCAGCTCAGGTCAAAGTATTGACAGTCCTGAACCGAGTCTAGATAAGCAAGAACAAGACGCTCAAGCTTGCAGACAGTTACAGGACTTTCATCTCTGCACACAGACTAGTTGACACGATATGGAAGAGAATCTTCGTGGCAACTTAAGAGTGTGCAGTGTTGGGTGTTACAAGGCGGATCGAGACCATGAGGAGCGAATAAAACCTTGCGTCACTTTTGCTTTGTCAAGTTTAAAGTAACATGATTCGTTATAAACCTGCAAACTGCTCAGATTCTTTGTCTAAGATGAGATTCGGATGGTAAATCTTCAGTCTTGATGAAGTCCTCATGCAGTTCATCCATTGACGGATCTGTGGCTTCTTCAGCCTTGAAGTCATCTCGACGCTCATCGTTGTCATTGTTATCCTCGTCATCATCGTCATCGTCAACAGGCTGTGCGTTGACTATTCTTTCGCTCGCCTTGTCTAGAGCATTCTGTGTCCATCGACGTGTCCCTTTCCAGACGGCCTTCTCGTAATTAGCATGCAGATGAACACCAATAAACCGAGGTCAAAGCTTACCCAGAAGAATGTAATGGCTCCGATCAAGACCAACATGAGGTTGACATCCTCGAGTCGATCTCGGCCAGTACCACGGCGGCGAGCACCACCACCAACCACACCAGCCTGTCGCAAGTTCCACCATTGAAAGGGGCTCATGGCAAGGAATGCTTTGACAAAACCCACCAAGCCGAGAGAAAATAAGCCTTTTAGAAAATGAAAAGACCAGCTTCCTTCGTCGATATCACGAATGGGAATGCCTAGTCCTCCCCCGAGGTCGACGTCCAGATCCCACTCGTCAGATTCACCTCCGAGTGCCTCGTAGACGGTTCCGACAGGGTCGAGCCACAAGTCCAGAATCCGGTCGCCCACAAAGCCCAGAAGGAATATCGTGGTGATAACAATGAGGACAGCAAGAAGAAAGGCGAGGATCGGACTTCGTAATCTCCGGGCCCAGTCCATGCGCTCGAATTGGTATCTGTAGCCACATCGACTACATCTCCATTGATTTTCAGTACCGGCCTGCGAGTATCGCCACTCCTGTAGGCAGGACTCATGGATCCATTTGATACTGCCGGAGCACTTGCAGGGACATATCAAGCGCCCTTCCTCATTTTCGTAGACTTTGCGTGGCTTTCTCCCACGAATCTTGTCCAAGATTTCAGGCTCCTTGTAGGTTGGGTACACAACATCGCGACAGATGTTGCACTCTGCTGGTTTGCCCCTGGGCTGCGGCTGCGGCTGTGGCTCGTCTGCACCAGCGCCGAAATCGTAGGTTTGCTCCGAATAGTCCATAATCGGGATGTGCGCTCAAGCTAAAAACTTGTACGGGATTCCCAGTGGAGAAACAGTATTCGTTCTAGGGAATAGAAACTCGAAACAAAGAGATCGGATTCCTACAGTCAGTCTTTAAGATGTCGTTATTGTTGGGGTCCGGTTCAAGAGGATAAGCTGGGTATTGATGACAAAGGCTGAGGTGGCAGCGTTTCTGCCAGGTAGCTCTTTTCGTCGGTACGTAGCGCGGCGCTCCGGAATGTGAAGGCAGTCGTGCGCGGGTAGTGATTACCTGTATATTGGGCGCTAGAACGCAGTGCTCTCGAGAGCTAAATGGCTACGGCCATTATACGAACCTACCGGAGAATGATACGCAAGTAGCTCTGGTGGACTGTCAAGACGAACTTGAAACGTAAGATTGTCATTCTTTTCGTTCCTTTGAGTACTGAGAAAAGTAGGAGAGGAAAATTCTCTGCGATCAGGACTTTTCGAAGAAGCTGTGGCAGGTACTAAACGCTGGCCCACTTAAGCGCCCGCAGCAAGGTACCTACCAGTAACGGATGGCCGGTACCTCTGGCCGTTGACCACCACAGAGAGACCTAGAACGCTGATTCATCTGTCTCCATTCCAATCAGTACACTATATCATGAGTATGTATTCTAGAGTATACTAGATGACATGAAACACCATGGAACGCTGTGCAAAGTTCAGAATGCGTAATGAACAGTCTTTGTAATGTACTCGATCTCATGGTATTTGAGGAAAGCGCTACTTGTAGCTTCTAAACCTGGGCGGAGCTAGACCTTTCCGGCTTAGTCACGAATTGGAGCTCGGGCCGCATTCAACTTGCAGCAGGCTGAAAGGCACCTGTAGCTCGAACACGCAAACCCGCGATGCCTGGCCACTGAATGAGAGTCCACAGCGAACCACTACCTAGAGGTCCTCCAGCCTCGTCATCCTCACATCGTCATCTCTCAACCATCTTCCAAATAACCGTTTTTGCCTCTGCACACCAAGAATAAACTTCAACTTGACCCTTATATCCAGCTGCAGCTATGGCCGACCGATACTCGTTCTCGTTGACGACATTCTCTCCGAGGTAAGCTCCCCGTCCCGCCTGGCATTGCTTGTGAGCTTGTAGCTAACATTGGTTGTAGCGGCAAGCTCGTTCAGATTGGTACGCGTTATGTTTGCAAAACAACAAGAACAATCATGCAGGCTACAGAACTAATCTTTTCATTCTAGAATATGCTCTCAATGCCGTTAATCAAGGTGTTACAGCACTAGGCATCAAGGGTGAGCCATCTCCCTCCCCGTTTGCTCCAGAGCTACTCGTTCTAACCTCTAGCAGCCACCAACGGTATCGTCCTTGCCACCGAGAAGAAGTCATCATCGCCCCTTGCAGATGCCTCGTCCCTTTCCAAGATCAGCCTCATTACACCCAACATCGGCATGGTGTACTCGGGTATGGGCCCCGACTACAGAGTGCTCGTCGACAAGGCACGCAAGGTCTCCCACTCCGGCTACAAGCGAATCTACAACGAGTACCCCCCGACCCGGATATTAGTACAGGATGTCGCTCGGGAGATGCAGGAGGCGACACAGTCGGGAGGTGTCAGGCCGTACGGTGTCAGTCTGTTGATTGCCGGTTGGGACGAGGGCATCATGCCGGATGAGGAAGCACTGGTGCAAGGCGAGATTATCGACGCCGACGGCAACAAGAAGAAGATCTCGAGCAAGACTGGCGGTATCCACAAGGGCGGTCCCATGCTTTACCAGGTTGATCCTTCTGGCAGTTACTTCCCATGGAAGGCCACGGCCATTGGCAAGAGCGCAACATCAGCCAAGACGTTCTTGGAGAAGCGGTACACGGAAGGTCTGGAGCTTGAGGATGCAGTGCACATTGCTCTGCTGACCCTGAAGGAGACTATCGAGGGCGAGATGAACGGCGACACCATTGAGATTGGTACGTTTTTCAACAAGGCATCAACGTCATGCGGAAATCATATAACTAATACTTTGCAGGTATTGTCGGCCCTCCGGCAGACCACCTTCTCGGTGTCGAGGGTGTTGAGGGCGCCACTGGCCCTCGTTTCCGGAAGCTAACCTCTCAAGAGATTGAGGACTACTTGACGAATCTATGATAGCAGGCGTTACGTAATACGGATTGTGCACATTTGTACCATAGAACAGCATAGATGGTTCGGAAGAGAAAGAATTCATGATGCTGCTTGAGTACTCTTGCTATTCACCACAAACAATGTGTTTCTTGGTCCACAGACGACGGAGATAATGGTCTTGCTTGGGCCTAGGGCAATGGGTACCCTGGTCCAGGAGTGCAACTTCTCTTTTCTGGGAAGTCCCAATTGGCCATTCGTATTATCACCAACTGCAAAGAGATGCCCATCTTTCGACAAGAGTGCAGCATGACTCGAGCCCACGGAAAAGTCCACTACATCGCTGTCATCCACATCGACGGGTGTTGGGCTCTCTGACAGCCCATCGAACATGGCGGGAAGTCCAGGGTGGCCTCCCCATGCATACAAGTCATTGCCCTCTGTTAACGCCATAACAAGGTAACCTCCGGCAGCAATTTTTGTAATCTTTCCAGTTGGCAGCTCAACTAAATCCGTCACCAGACCTGGTGCATTTGCTGGACTAGCAGATTTGAATTTCAGAATTGAGAGAATCGAAAAGCAAGGCTGAGAGGAAACATACAATTCGTCTGTAACTTCCCTGCCCAAGCATGCGGAAAATCGCCCGTCGCCCCAGCTCCATACCTTGCCCTCGTCGCTGAGCGCTACAAACCCGGTTTCGTAGCTCGTAATTTGGATAATGTTGCCCAAATCATGGAAAATGTCGTGAATTTGTCCCTCCAAGTAGTGGTTTGGACTTTGATACTGATGCACTGTCTTGGTGTTTCTACCGTAGGCTGGAAAATGGGCAGTTCCGTGTAAGCCATTGGGTCATGGAATCTAGGTCATGGACAGCACGACATACCCGCTAGCCAATAGGCGCCAGTAACAGCGACTGTAGGACTGAAGATATCACTTTGTGTATCGCACCAATCTTCCAGACATCCAGCGACATGAGTGCCATTGCTAGACTCGACTGATGTCCCAAGTCCATCATTTGTCAGCAAATGAAGAGAAGTGCTTGTATTTGGGACATACCTCGGACAGCAGTAAGGGAAGCCCATACCTTGTCGATACGGTCGTCGGCGAATACCTCCACAAAGTCGCGATAGTCGCTTGGCTGCTCTTCGGATTTCTGTTCACCTTTTCCAAAGTTCAGCTGATCCCAGGCATTGAATCCTGATGTGTAAAGCTGCATAATGAATTCCCGGTCTTGGCTGAGTAGACTAATGCCTGCTGGGCTAATTGAAGGCTGAGTTGGTTCATTCTGCAGGGCACGCATGCATGTTACGCTGCGCTGCGCTGCGATTTGACATTGACCCACTGACAAACAGCTGTGGGCTTGCTTTTGGGATATACTCCTCCCACCTGGCCTAGCTCAACCGGCATCGAACCTTCACATTCCTCCTCTTCCAGCATGTCATTCACCCGTCTTTTCTGTTCTGGGGTAAATAATACTCACTCGGTTTGAACAAATGTGATAATACTTCTTTTCGTCACCATATTACGGCTTGTATCAATCATGCGCACTGGCTGCTATCATTTGGTCCTACGCTGACTGCAGGCCCTCTCGAGTCTCCATGAGAGTGCTGATTGTTTGATTCTTGGATCCACGCCGCTTCAACCCATGGTCTGCAGAATTCAGTCTTAGGCTTGCAAGGTACCACGCCGAGTTTTGGACGGCCTCTCGCTTCTGCTTGACGTGCACGGTAGACGGCTGTCTCGTCACCAAAGGGTTGGCCGAGACTTGGCCAACGAGACTGACCTGGTACGGCTGCCTTGAACTTCCCGCGGAGGCCTACCAATTGTCATTCCCCAGTCTCAGTGTACGTTTCAGACTTTTTGGATAGGCATACACGTATAAATAGTCGACATTCTTTACTTGGACCGATTCACTAAGCCTCGAACGATATCCGTTTCTTGGTGCTTCTAGTTGCCAAGGTCCACATTCTGCATTGCAAGCATGGAGTTCATCAAAGACTCTTCAATTGGCCCTGGGAGCCCAGAGGATGTGAGCAGCCTCTCAAGTACATCATATCCATCAACACCCATCAATGAAAATGCCGTAACAACAGTCGTCGAAGAAGTCGCTTTACCTCGGTCGCCACCTGTCGTTGGTGATCGCGATGTGCAACAAGAGGCAGTCTTGCACGCTCGGGCCTACCAAACGGAAATGCTCCAAGAGAGTCTCAAACAGAATGTCATTGTTGCTGTAAGTTTGGAAATGACATTGTCTCCCTTCGAGAGTGCTAATTGCTGCTGTAGATGGACACTGGTAGTGGAAAAACCCAAGTAGCAGTCCTTCGCATGCAAGCTGAACTCGAGAGATCATCTCCGGACAAGATTATATGGTTTCTTGCACCAACAGTTGCGCTGTGTTACCAGCAATTCAACGTCATCCGTTCTCAGATTCCCAGAGTAGTGACCAAGATGTTGAGCGGCAAAGACGGTCCCGAGACTTGGTCTTCTGCTCAAACATGGGACAAGTTTTTGAACAATGTCAGTATCGTGGTGTCTACGCCACAGGTCCTCAGCGATGCACTTCAACACGACTTTGTGCGAATTGATAGACTGTCACTAATCGTCTTTGATGAAGGTATGTTCATCATGATCCCTAAACTGAGTCGACATTGACACAATCCTAGCCCACAACTGTACTGGCAAATATTCTGGAGTCAAAGTCATGAATGTCTATTGGAAGATCAAGCAGGCCGGTCTTCCAGTACCTTCCATCCTGGGCCTCACGGCAAGTCCAGTGATGAACATATCAAGGCATGGGCTAGAAATCATTGAAAGAACCCTTGATGCAGTCTGCAAGACCCCTATGAAGCATAGAGAAGAGTTGCTGGCCCAAGTCAGTCGCCCGGAACTGATCTGTGTCTCGTACAAACTCATAGAGGAAGCAGAGGCTACCATCAGCACCGCAGCCATGAACAGCGTACGCCACGTTCTCATTGGCCTAGATATCAGGGAAGATCCTTTCATATTGCGAATGCTCCACGAGAATACCGAACGGAGCCGAAACGAGCTCCTGATTGCTGTACAGGGAAATGATACACCGTCCATCAGGCAACTGACTTCACTTTACCGCAAGAGCGTCGAGATTCGAAAGGAACTAGGTGCCTGGGCTGCCGATTTCTTCGTCTTTACAGCAGTCAGCCAATACTTGGAACATGCAGCCAAGGGGGAGATATCCCACACCGCGTGGCACCTCGCCGAGAAGGACTACGTTGTTGGTGCCTTGAACAAAGTCCAGCTGCCTCAGTTGTGCACACCAGATGATTTGTTGATATCGGATAAAGTTAAAAGACTCATTACACGACTGAGCAATTGCCCGGAAAATACACTAGGCATTATCTTTGTCAAGGAAACAGCCACTGTCAGTGCATTGCATAATCTTTTGTCCAAGCATGCTGCGACTCGAGATCGTTTCCGTATCGGAACAATGGTCGGAATTTCCAGGAGCGTCGCAAGAAAGCGGGAGGTGGGAGAGATTGACCGAGAAGATAGCCTCCTTAATCTGGAAAGCTTCCGATCCGGACATCTCGATCTCCTGATCGCCACGAGTGTATTGGAAGAGGGCATAGATGTCCCAGCCTGCAATCTCGTCATCTGCTTTGACAGGCCTTCCAATCTGAAATCATTCATTCAGCGTCGCGGCAGAGCAAGGATGAAGAATTCCACCCTTCTGTTGTTCTGCGAAGAGGGCGGCGATGCTCAGACCACATGGGAAGATCTCGAGCGGGAGATGAAGAAGCAATACGAAGCAGAGGATCGAGAAAAGTTGGGACTCGCTGTTCTCGAGGAAAGTGATGATGCCTACGAGTACACTTTCTCCACTCGCAGCGGCAACGAGATGGACATTGACAGTGCCAAAGCGCATCTCGATCACTTTTGTGCCACCCTCTTCTCCAAACAGTTTGTCGACTGTATGCCGTATTATCTGTTCGAGACGATATACACAACCGGCACAAAGCTCGAACCGCCCTTGTTCCGGGCCACGGTCGTATTGCCCAACTCGCTACCGACTGAGCTACGCCGAATGCAAAGTGCCAGTACCTGGTACTCTCAGAAAAAGGCCTGCAAGGACGCAGCATTCCAGGCATACAAAAAGCTGTACGAAGCAGGACTCGTCAATGAGAACTTGTTGCCCTTCAAGGCCGAGGAGCTTGCAACAGGACCCGACATACGGCTTCCAGAGGTAGAAGTCAGTGAGGTCTGGAATCCTTGGCCCTCGGTCGCAAGAGCTTGGTCTCACGGTCCAAGGTACCGACATACAGTTCGACTCTCAGACCACTGCCGTACAATTTGTGAGTTTGAGCTATATGCTCCAACGCGGTTACCATCAATTCCTCCTTTCAACGTATTCTGGAGTTCAGAGACCTGGATGGTGGAGATTGGACCAGCATCTCCAAACACAGATATTGTGGACAAGCTTGGCGAAGAAACCATGGGTCTGATATCTTTGGCTCTCGGTTATCGCTCACCGGTGAAGGAAGGCGGACAACATGTACTCATGTTTCACTCAAAGTTGGACTCATCTAAAGAAGATCGTCACTTGTCTTTCGCTCAACTCGAAAACTGGTCAGCAGCGGAACCTTTGCCATATCTCATCAGAAATACCGCTAATGGTGCGCCATATTTCTTTGAAAAGTGGCTAACCTCCAGACCCCCTGCTGAGATTGTGCGGAAAAAGATGCCTAAGTATTACGAACGCATCATCGAAGAACAGGGTGGTGTTGATGGACCATGGCTTGCACTGAGACGCTGGCCGCGACGACAAGATTTCTTACACAAGATCCGACAAGAGCCAGCTCAGCCGACTTCTAGTAAGGCCTACCAGACTGTTTGGCCAGTCTCCTGCTGCCGGATCGAGACGGCTCCTATCCCACATGTACAGTTTGGCGCATTGATACCGTCAATTACACACATGATCGAAATTTATTCGGTGGCACAGGATTTCTCGGAGAGGATACTAAAGGATCTTGGCTTTCAAGATTTGTCATTGGTCCTCACAGCAATCAGCGCCTCGTCCGCTCGTGAGGCCACTGATTACCAAAAGCTCGAGTTCCTTGGCGACGTGCTTCTGAAACTCCTGTCGACAATCAGCGTTGCAGTTAATCGTAAGTTGTAGCTTTACGCTCTAGTATCCTTCATGTTAGTCTAGTTTTAATTAACGCTGACATTGTATCTAGATCCCCAATATCCCGAGGGCTACTTGTCAGTCATGAGGACGAGGATGATATCAAACACTAGACTTTGCCGAGCAACCAAGGACAGTGGCATAGACAAATTCATCCTGACAAAAGAGTTTACTGGACATAAATGGAAACCGTTCTACGTGGATGAGATGGCTGTCACGGAAGATGTCTCTGGCACCCGGCGCATGTCAACAAAAGTCCTCGCTGATATTGTAGAGTCCCTTACCGGCGCAGCATTCCTTGATGGCGGGCAGGGGCCACGGGGAATGGAAAAGTCGTTGGCTTGCCTTCGTATGTTGATGCCGGACATTAAATGGCACAGTATGGACGAAGGCAGAAATGTCTTGGCATCCCTCAAGGAAGTGAAGAGCGAGCTCCCTTCCAACTTCCAGCTTTGCGAGAAGCTCCTTGGATATTCCTTCACCAACAAGACTCTGCTCATTGAGGCACTCACTCATGGCTCGTATAATCTGGGCTCGTCGGACGATCGATCATACGAGAGGCTCGAATTCATTGGAGATGCGATCTTGGATTATATTGTTGTTCTCAAGTTATGGGAGAGAGACTTGCCGCAGAGCCTCATGTCCCCATTGCGCGCAGCCTGCGTCAACGCCGATCTGATTGGCTTCTTGGGCATGGAATGGAGCATACCGCAAGAGACCAGCGAGGTTGTAGACCGGAAGCCCGTATCGTCAACCATGGAAATCCCCTTTTGGAAATTTATGCGCCACGCCTCGTCCGAGGTGGGCGCCCTGCAAAAGGATGCAGAGAAGCGACGTGGCCTAGAAAGGGGACCCATCATGGACGCCATTGAAAACTCATCCACGTACCCATGGGCACTCCTCGCCCATCTACACATTCCCAAGTTCTTTTCCGACATTTTCGAGTCCATCATGGGTGCCGTGTGGCTGGACTCGGGCGACCTAAGGGACTGCGCGGCCATTGTGGAGCGCATTGGTATTCTGCCGTATCTCGAGCGCATCCTGGACCAAGGAATTGATGTGTTCCATCCCAAGAACAAGCTGGGCGAAATTGCCGAGCAGAAAAAGGTCGAGTACCGGGTCGAGATACAACAGGGAGGAGGGACCCAGCTGAGCTGCAAGGTGTACGTGGGGGACGAAATGGTTGTCGAGGTTGGCGAGGGCTTGAACAAGGACGAGATTATCACAAAGGCGGCTGAGAAGGCCTACATGATTTTGAAAGCACGGAAAGACGGCAATGTTGGGATCAACGTAGATTCAATGGATATTGATCAGTAGTTTCTTTTCTAGTCAGTTGTCTAATATTTTCTCGTTCGGAATAGCAAACACCGCTCAAGAGCTCATGCAAACGCCTGGCGGCGCGGCGGTTCACCGTTGGCAGCTCTTCTTTGTCTGAGCTGGACTCGAGGCCTTATAATTGTATTCAAGCTGCCTAGTCAGTAACCCTTCGAACGCAAAGACTACGAGCCCGTGGGCATTGTTGGTTTGGCTCAGTGGTCGAGTTATTAAACTCTAGAGTGGTCGGCCAGGAAAAATTATGCTCCACTTTTCCGGGACCCTGTTCGATTCTTCGGATTGTCTGGTCTGCCTTTTGTGGGAAGAGATTTTTTTTATTTTATTATTGTCATGGCTGTTTCTCTATTCTACTCTGAGAATTGCCTCTTTGGTGCCCCCCCCCCCCCCCCCCCCGGCCCTTTTTTTATTCCATTTCTTCAATTTCTCGGACAATACATGTCACGTCATCGAGGCACTCAGAGAGGCATTCGTTTTCAACTTGCTCGTCAACGATTTATTGATCTGAGCTACAGTGTCTACCTATTTTCTCATTCGTAGTCTCTGAGAAATGCAACTAGAGACACCCTAGACTAGTTTAGAGCCTCGAAAAGAAGAATATGGCGACGAAAATCGCCTTGTCTGATTCTTAGAACCATGATCATGTCGTCTCTGCCCATTATCATCATCTTGATCAACTCTTTGAAGAATATGAGCAGATGAGTTTCCGTCTTTTTGTTCAGCTTTGATCAAGCATTAAAAGCAGAAAATAAAACACGAATCTTGTTCTCTGGTGTCGAAGCTTCTCAGAACATGCGCTGTTTCTTGCGAGGAGGCTCATCATTGGTCTCGAGAAATTCATCCTCATCGTCGTCATCGCTCTCTGTCTGGTAGGTGAAGTCAAGATCTCCCATGTAAAAGTCTTGATCATCGTCCTCGCTCGAGCTGTAATCTTCCTCTTCCTCTTGCTCATCGTCGTCAGATTCCTGATCCGAGTAGTCATCGTCGTCCTCGACCTCTTGCGAGCAGGTCAAGTCGGGGTCTGAAAGACGCGAATCTCCATCATCCTTAAGTTCGTCGTCGGAATCGCTCTCGGCTTGGTTGTAGAGCGTCGGAGCATACCAGCCCGCTCGGTACATGGGGTCGTTCTCGAGGGGCGGATTTGCGTCCGGGTCCATTTGAGCGACGGGAGCGCGAACCGGGTGACTGTCTTCGAGAAATTGGATGTGCTCCATCTGGGCAATAAGCCACTGTTGTGAAAATCGTTGGTAAGCCTGTACACCAGTATGAAACAATTTAGAAAAAGACGTACTCCGCTTGGTCCCTTCTTCTCCTGGGGCCAGGTCTTGTGCACATCAATGGCACCATACTTCTCAATCTGGTTCTGGTAGTCGCCCTTGACACATGGACGCTGGTACATGCAAGGTCCCTGCAGATCAATGCCCTCGGCGATCAGGTCATCTATGGTTACTGTGAGCAACTGAGCATTTTCTTTTGATCCAGGACTAATACTTACCGAGATCCTTGAAGATGAACTTGAAACTTGCAAAGGGACTACGAATAGCTTCGCCAGGGTACATGTCGGCGGCGCTGTTTCTGTGGCTGTCCCATATCAAGTGCTCGTCATTAGTGCCAAGAGTTATAGAAGTAGGAGATATGGCCAAGGGTAGACTTACAAGGTTTGGAAAAATGTCTCGTCATCCTCGTCGAATGCCTTTGCAATGTTTTCACCAACGATAGTCGGATCCAGAGATCTGTGGACGCGAACCTCGAGGGTTCCCTTCTCGGGGTTATTCGATCTGGGAAGCTGGAAATTGGCAAATTTGAGATCGTTGGCTAAGTGCCACCATACTGTCAGTTGTCTTGTATCATCAAAGTTCCGTGTCTTTACTTACGTCTCTGGGGTCCCAAGTTGAACTCCTTGCCGAGTTGGGGCCAGTGACAAGATCCAATTTCGTACCAGCCGAAAGTCATAGTCTCCTCCCACGGACAAGAGTCAACGTCGAACGGCTTGCAGACGCGTCTGCCGATACAGAAGCCGTCAACGTAGACGGAAAAGCTCAGAGAGTGCATCTGGCCAGCACTGAAGTCATAGTCTTTGGACACGGTCATGAAGATGGACCAAGGTTCCAGGCCGGTGTCAGCTTCAATGTGCCTGGTGGCTGTCATTGGAGTTTTGATGATCCAAGGGTGGTCGTTGAGCTCTCCAACTGGTCTTCCATCTCTCAGAATCGTGGCACTGATGCCAACGATTCCTTCGAGAACGGGCATCTTGATTGCAGCGTATGGTTGATGTGATGTGCTTGTGTGATGTCAAAAAGGTGGGAAAATGTGAATGGGGGAATGATTGACCTCAAGAAAAGGAATCAGCAGTGATGGTGGTGGAGTGTGAAGGGCTGTGAATCTTGTCTTCTCCACGACTTTTGGTGGGTGGGCTGGAAGATTCAAATAAGTCAAAGGGCCACGGCTGGGGGGAAGGTGCAAAAAATCACGATTCCGATTTACAAACGCAGGACCTTGCTGGACTTGACGATCGTTGCCTAGCTTTGTCCCAAAGATGACGACTGAAGCCGGGAAGCTATTCACTTCCGCTGCATGACGATATCTAGACAGTCGTCGCCGCCAAAGGGAAATACGGGACCCGCATATACGGCGACTTACACGGGGTTAGTACTACACCATATGTCAACCCATTAGTCTCTTTAAGAGAGAGGACAATCAGAAATCGTGATTCTTCACGGTGATTCTTTTAACAAGATAGTCGTGGTAAACAAAGCATCCAGTCATATTGAGTTACGAATAATAAATCTATTGGTGTGGATAGGGATGTAAGATATTCACATCCGGTATATCACCATCTTAGTCAAGTCGTCCAAAGACTTCAGACGATTCAGGTCCTTTAAGGAGAGTCCATTTTCACTTGATATTGCGGTGATATTGCCACCAGTTGTAAGCTGACAGCTGAGAGCCGAGAGCATTACGGTAGAAAGATGATTATGTTTTCACATGACCCCGACGGCGAAATTCTTGCCAAAAGTCGTAAGATTGCCAAAGATCGTATGAATATTACTCTTTGCACAAGACGTAATTTTTGTACACCAGATATCATGCCTGATACATTTCCTGTGACCTCTATCAACCAGTCATATCTGAGCGTAATTGCTTCTCAACACTGAGATTATTCAAGATGAGCCACCGCAAGCGACCAGTTACGGTAGACATATTACAGCGCAGATCCCTACACACAAGACTATCAATGACAATGTTCAATGCTCACGCTGAGCATACCTCCAAAAGTTTGGGAGATGAGTTGGAAGCAGAACGAGTCATGAACTACGGACTCAAGTTGTATTGAATGAAAGTCTCACCTGCGCCAATATAACGAGAAACACAAGATTGAGGGGACGTAACAAAGATGCCTGAGTTAATACTCTAGATCTACAAAAGAGTACTGAAGAGCTATCTGATATACCCGAGCAGGTGATCTGTAGTGTGTGCCATCTACGTCAGTACAACAGAAAGGTTTACGAAGATGCAGCTCAATATCTGTGAGAGTTTGGTCGACTCTGGTTCTCCCGATCGCAGCATTGTTTGCATGTCACGATCCCCGGTAAAATTGACTAGAAGGCGTCGTCAGCTCTAAGAGCATAACTTTATGGAGCACACATAACTTGACCACAATTTCATCCGATCACATCCTCGTCCACCGCATTGAATCACAATGTACCGCGTCCCTTCTTCTTGACTGTCCCCCACCGTTGGGCATCATTCAGTGGACTGCTGTCCCCCACCATCCTTTTCTCAAGACGCGTCTTGATTGTTCCCAAGCCCGCGTGACGTTGACGATGGCATCAAATTTTGGCAGCCATCATAAATGTACTTCCTCTGTACTCTGTAGAATATGTCAACCCTCTTCCATCTTCAGGGCATCCTCATCCTCTGTTTTGATATCATCATCTACCTACTACCGTTGACTGAGAACACTTCGTGCTGGATTACGACCTGACTTACTGCAAACGCAACAAAGATTTCGCAAGTCTCTTCCCAACCAGCCTCCTTTTCTACCCAACGTTCTCTCGACAAACGGCACTCCCCCACGCCCCATGACGCGTAGAGCTGAAAACATTGGATAAAAGCCTAGCCATTCGTTCTTTGGCTTACCACTTTCACTGAACAGAAAGACACCACACCACTCTTGGCCTTCTGCACTGACCGGAATACCTGCAACCATTCCTAGCTCTACGGCCCTGTCTGCTTCTGTACCCAACATCACGAGCAACACGCTTCTTTCTTCTTGCTATCATTCCCCCCATCCAACATTCTTCATCCTACTGTTCTTCACGTTTGCCGCTCAGCTCGCGAAAATGTTGACTCCAGAGGAGCGAGAGGCTCGTCGATACCGCAAGGCGCTGAGAACTAAACACCATACTGGATGCTCTGACGAAGACCGCGCGAAGTCGGTGAATCACGCGATCTACGAAGGTTTCAAACGGCCCAAATGGCTCATTGACGTAAGTTTCGGGCAGATATCCCATCATCCACGCAACAAGCAACGCGCACCCGTTGTACGCGTCTGAAGCTTGACGAGGTAGCTGACTGGCAGATAGAATACGGCTGTTCCGAAATCTACAATCCTTCAATCCTCATCCTCATCTTCGAACCTTTCGCCTACCAGCTCGACTCCAGCATCTAGCAACAAACGGCAGCGATCAGACACCGCCGCAAGCTCGCAGGACGACCCTACGCGCAACACTGACGATAGCCGACCGTCCAAGAAGGCAAAGGTCACAGTCAATGCTCGGCAAGACATTCAAGAGGTCGCACCGCCTCGCCAGCGTGGACGCCCGCGCAAAGCGCCAGGTGCCCCAAAGGCAAAGTACACCAAACGTCAAGCGGCCATCACACAGCAGCCATCACCACCGCGCTCGCGGGAGTCATCGACCAGTTCTTAGGAAGAGCTGCCGAAGGCAACCGGAGCTAGAGATCTGCAAGACTCCACGCAAGGGCGTGTTGTAATGCCGGTGTCTCCGTCACAGGACGTGCTGAGCCAAGATGAAATCGACAGTCTAGAGAAAGAGCTCGAGGAAGCTCTAGAAGATGACTCGAGTTTGTTTGGAGAAGACGAACCCGAGCAAGCATCAGACCAAATCAACCAGTCTTCGCTTAGTGACCAAGATCTGCTCAGCCTGGAAAAAGAACTCGAGGAAGCTCTAGAAGACGATTCGAGTTTGTTTGGGGCAGATGATTCTAGTTTGTTCGGAGAAGATGAACTCCAGCAAGCACCAGATCACATGGACCTGGACCAGTCTTCGCTCAGTCAACAGGACCTGCTAAGCCTAGAAAAGGAGCTCGAGGAAGCTCTAGAAGATGACTCGAGTTTGTTTGGGGAAGACGAATTCGAACAAGAATCAGATCAAACAGATCAACATTCGCTCAGTCACCAGGAACTGCTAAACCTTGGAAAGGAGCTTGAAGAAGCTCTGGAAGATGACGCGAGCTGTTTTGGTGGAGAGGAACCTGAGGAAGTTTCAGACCAAGAGGACGAGCCTTCGCTCAGCCACGAGGAGATTGCTAGTCTTGAACAAGAACTGGAGAATGCGTTGGAAGAAGAGCTTGAGGAGAATTGCAACAATGACGGATACGAAAGCGAAGTCAGCGAGGAAGAGTAGTAATGTTGGCCATGTCCTGATGTTGAATACGGTCGATGATTTGGATTCATTCTGCCTCCTATATGGATGACGAGGACTAAATTCTACATGTTGAGAAAACAAGATTGAATTTGTACTACAAGAGAGCCAGAGCGAAGACAAGAGAGAAGAAGTTGTAGAGTCTTCATATATTCTATTGAATAGCACGTTTGGCACGAGTAATCAAGCAGTTTTCCGCCACCATCTCGCCTGGCGTGCTCTTGACAAACGGGATGTTGCAACGCCTCTTTACGCGTAGACGTAAAACGCGTTGAAATTACTAGTTCTTTGGCTTTTCATTTTCGTTGTACAGGAAGACATCCCTTCATTCCTGGCGGGGCAACCAGACCATGCTCAACTATTCTGGACTCCGCCATTTCTATTGTTTGTGTTCAACCGTCTCCGTCTGCCGGAGTACCACCCGCATCACTCCTTTCCATCTCTCTGTTTGTCTCCAGCCACTTTCGCCGGCCTGAGTTCCTATCTCTCTGGTTTGGCCTTCTCTTCCGCCCAACAAAATGGCAATTCCAGACAAGCGCGATAATGCAAGGGCATACCGTAAATTCATGCGCACAAAGCATTATACTGGATGCTCAGACGAGGATCGTCACCAGGCCGTGAACCACGCGATATATTCAGGGTTCACACGTCCACAGTGGCTCGTCGACGTACGTCCCAGATACTTTGTAACTTTGATTGAACAGAAAACGCTTACTCCAAACTCGCCAATGTTCAAGGCAACAAGTGCATCAGGTTCAGCAACAACTGGTACAACGGACACGACGAGACCGCTGCCAGATACAATCGCACCGTCACCGGGCGACGTGCCCAATGAGACTGACGGCAAGGCCTCTTTGAAGAAGAAGACAAAGAAAAATAAGAGCGCCAACACTGAGAGCCAGAATCCAGAGAATACGGACACCATCGTGCCCTCTCGCAAACGGGGACGACCGCGCAAAGCTCCCGGTGCTCCCAAGGCCCCTTACAACAGGAAGGTTCCCATGGCCCCTTACAACAAGAAGACTCCCAAGCCCAGTCGCGGCAGCACTATACCAGCAGTGCAACAACCATTGCCACCGCGTTCTCCCAGCAGCTCAGAGGAAGAACCGCAGAAGAAACGCGTCGCCAAATAGATTAGGGAGCAGTGACACGATCCCCAGTAGCGACTTTGCATTGACGACACAACGATTCACCACCATGTGTGTCCACCACGCCGTCCTGGTCTCTCGACGAGGAACGCTTAAAAGTTCTCAAGTAGGAGCTTGAAAGCTGCATTTAAGGAAGACAAGAGCTTGCTTGATGATCAATACAACGCGAACGAGCGGGTTGATCGAGAAAGAGCTTGAGGCAGCTCTGGATGCTGTTCAGAATGATGAAGAGGAAGAATTCGGAAAGGCTGCATTGGTTGTATCATGTTGTGCTTCTGATAGAAGCCAAGATTTGTGTTATCTATGTCTTCTCTTCATCTTTTGATTGGCATTCTTCTATATTTGTCTCTCTGAACACATGGTTACTGCATGCTCTTCGAGTCCTTCAACAGCTGCCGTAAGGCCCGCTTCTAGTTGATACAGTCCATCAATATGTATTTAGACAGAAACCATGAATAACAAGAAAAGAAGAAGAAGACGCCCAAAAGATTTATGCAATCGATACTCTGACGAGGTTTCAAGCACCTTCTGGCAACTATCTGATCAAAATCCGGGGGTACAGAAGTAATTCGATCGAATGTTTGCAAGATAAATCCCCCCTGGTCATGGCCTGCTAATTTATACGTCGTTCGACTGGCAAAGAAGGTAAATGCTAGGCATAGTACCAATGAAGACAATCATAGGGTCAACGGCCTCACCCGCGGATCTGGCGGCCTCAAAGGCAAAACACACCAAACATGGAGCGACCATGAACCAACAATCGCCGCCACTGCATTTGCGCGCTTTGTCGGGCACTTCTCAGGAAGAGCCGCTGCGGAAATGCGTTGCGTATTGGATCGAGAAGCAATAGGCGGCGCCAAAGAGAGCTGGATGCGACGATGCCATGCTAGACTGCAACAACCACTGTTGATGCAGCACTTCAACCCTTGTGCCATCAAATCCGACACGTTCTCTAACGTATAGAAGCGTCATCGGACTCGCTGAGGTGGCACAAGGAAAGGGCTTTGTTCCTTGCTTAGTCCTCGTCATTCTCTACAAAGTGTTTTCGAGGCCATTCTGCAGCAATATCGATGCGCTCTCTTGGCCACAACCACTCGCAGAATAGGAACAAGAGATAGTCAATAACCACACAAAGACAGAATAGCTTTCCGGCCCAAATACCGCAACCGTAATATCGTTTTAGCCGGTCGATGAGAGCGAAACTGCGGACGCCGGCACGGCTCGTTGCCCAAGTCGCAGGATCGCTCATGTCGTATCCGTAGAATTCCGACTCGCTGATATCACCCGAGATGCCTTGATACACGTGCTCGGTACGCTTGGCTATATTGCTCCAAGAGTACATGTCTTTGACCTGGTCATGGAACTTTTCTGTGCGCACCTTGCCGGCACGAAGCGCTGCAATGGCTTTGCCAGTGGCCACAACAAGGTCGTCCTCTTCGGGTTTGGCAAACACAGTCATGTGACTTGGTAGGACTTCAGGAATACCACCAACGGCCGTGCAGACGACATAGAGACCACAGCTGGCAGCCTCCACAATGACCGTACCGAATGCCTCGGTGAGACTAGGATGCAGATATATGTGGCCACGAACCATTACATCACGGACTTCTTCATGACGGACTGACCCCAGCATTTCAACCCTGTCTTGCAAGACATTCTGTTCAATCATTTGCTCCAGGTCAATGCCTTTTGGCCCAGATCCGGCAATGATGAAGCGTGTATTCGGGTGGTTTTCCAAGATTCTCGGAATGGAAGCGGTCAGAAGATCGGTACCCTTATTGTAAAATAATCGTGAGATCACGACTATGTTAATTGGATCGTGTGGGCCTAGCTGGTTCGGAGGAGCAGGAGGCTGACCAAACCCAGTGCCATGAGCCGGCGGATCTGCTGGGTAATTTAGAGGTCTGAAGTTTTCCGAAACCACGGCATTCGGAATCACGGAGACCATGAGTGGATCCAGAGCAGCACGTAGAACGGTGTTCTCCTTACTGGAGGCGGGCTATTAGCATGTACTCAAGTTCATCTCAACAAGGTCATCCTACCTCGTATGACTGACGCAGATAATGTGATCCACGTCACTCAAAGTGAATTTGAGTAATTTGTTGGTCAGGATGCTGCCAGCATCAGCGAATCCAAAGAGCGAATGGTCGGTAAAAGTAGTCCTCAATCCCATGGTCCTAGCATGAAGCAGAGCCTCGTTGCAAAGACTGCTCAAACTAGCATGCCCATGGACTATGTCGATCTGCTCCCGTAGCATGATGTTACGAAATATTGGGAAGAAGGAAAAGACGGTTGGGAAGGTCACAGATCGGTATATGACTGCAAAGGGGACGTGATAGACCTTGATTCCATTGGTGAGATAGCGTATGCCCTTGCGATCGTCGTAGGCGTGAGTAACGATAATCACTTTGTGGCCGCGATCTATGAGCTTGGAGGAAAGTTGATAGATGTGACTTTCAACTCCACCTGGCTGGGGAAAGAAGAAGTCGCACACCATGGCGATACTATACGTTCGGCGCGCCATGTTGACGACAATTTTGGCCGATTTGACGAGCGACAAGATTGTAGCAGCTGTGCTTGAGATCCCCTAGGCCGAACAACAAACTGTTCTATAGCTTCAGTTTGGCGCAGGTGATCGGCCAGCACTGAGGCTATCGCGCTAAACGAGGCGTATTCGAGGTATCAATTGCAACTGCGCCGCTGCCCATGATCATTTGTCACCTCGCCACGGTAAATTTCAGCATTGTCGTAACGCCGTGACCGAGGAAGGATGATGAGGTCGACACGCGCGTCGGTACGCGTTGGTGAGTTCAATGCCAGATTGTTCAACTCGTTGCACTTTACACGTTCTTTCTCGGGCTAGAATCCCCTGAGCTCCAGGGGTGCTTTAGGTACCTGAGATATGTACCTCTGTATGACGTGCGCGCGTACTGATAACGATAAGAGTGGGCTTGCAGGGGTCCAGCTCCAGCAAAAAGTTTGGGAACTTTTTTTGCTAGCCATCGATGGAGATCGTGGGGTCCCAGAATGGGCTAAAAGTGCTTTGCGACAGGAAATTTTGCCGTCGTCGTTCTTTTTGTTGTTTTTTCGCAGGTCCTTGGCTCTGGTTTCTACTTCCAAGTCAATCACCTCGAGGGTAGAGGCCGTCTACTTGTGTGTCAATCAGAGCTACAACCTTCCAAGTCGATCGGCACCACGTCTGACGATTGGTTCGAAGCGGCGCAACAAATTATCGATTCGGGATGTATTCACGATATGTCCCTGCGCCGAAAGGCGAGACACCGGGGCAGCCCTCGCCTCAGCCCTCGCGAGTAGTTCCAACATCTCACCAGACCGAGCCTGCGCGTCTGGGATCCTACAGTCGCTACATTCCCCCAGCGAGGCCCGCAGCAGAGCCCAAAAAGCAATTCCACTTTGAGCAGGAAGCTACAGATACCCTCGTGTCGGAACAACCGCCCACAAAACGTGCCAAGGTCGAGCCTCCATTGAGACCCGTCCCCGAGCAAATCATTGAGCCCATTGCTGAGCTCTCGGAAAAGACCGACAGAAAGCAAAAGAAGACAAAAAAGGACAGGAGAAGCAAGCGGTCACCTAGCCCAGAGCAAGTCACTGCGTCACCCGCACCGTCAGCAAACATTCCTGTCGTGGACGCCGAGATTGATCCAACCGAGTCGACAATCAGTACTGAGCGGAAGAAAGAGAAGAAGAAGAAAAAGAAGGCCCAAGATCCTACGCCCAAGGACGATCAAGATGCCGCTTCTGAAGATGACGAGACGCACAGACGGCATAAATCAGTGTTTGAGAAGAAAAGAAAATCGATGAAGGCTCCCGAGACTGTGGCCGCTCAGGTAGATGGTTTGGCCGGCGAAGATATTCCAATGGAAGATGCGCCGGAACCCGTCGAGGCCCATGGCTTAGAGCCATTGCCGCAACCTGCCCCCGTCCCCGAGGATACCTCACCACCAGACTTTGAAACTCTCCCTCCATGGTTGGCTGAGCCGATCCGGGTCTCGCGCCAAGCTCAAGCGCCTTTCACCGACTTTGGACTCTCTCCTGATCTGGGCATCAGTCCGGATCTGGCGGCTCGCCTAGCCCAGAAAGGTTACAAGGAAGCATTTGCAATCCAGACCGCCGTAATACCACAACTTCTGCCTCATCATTGCAGGACAATGCAAAGCGACATACTAGTCTCCGCTGCCACTGGTTCCGGAAAAACACTATCATATGCTGTCCCAGTGGTTCGCGACCTGAGCCACGGCCACCGACATGTAACCAGGTTGCGAGCACTCATTGTGCTGCCTACCAGAGAATTGGTCAGGCAAGCGCAAAAGGTCTGCGAGGAATGTGCTGGTATATTTTCCTTGGATGGCAAGAAGCGCAGGGTCAAGGTTGGAACTGCAACGGGATATCAAACTATCCAAGAAGAACGCAGAGTGTTACTCGAGAGAGAAGACCGGTACGATCCCGAGGCATACCAGGCCAAGAAGAAGAGACTCAGTTCGCAGACGTGGAGCAGTCACGATGATGTGGATGAGAAGGACGAAGAACTGATCGAAATCCGCCGGCGTGAAGACGAGAAAGAAACCTTGCCAGATTATGTCGTTGACTACAAGTCCAAAGTTGACATACTAATTTGCACGCCCGGTAGGCTGGTGGAGCACATCAAATACACTCCGGGATTCAGCCTCGACTATGTTCGATGGCTGATTGCAGATGAGGCCGACAAGCTTTTGGGCCAGGGTTTCCAGCAGTGGCTTGACATTGTGATACCCAAGCTGCACGACGATAACTTGAAAGCACGTCATCACAAGCAATCACATCTCACTGGTATACGGAAGGTCATCTTGAGTGCGACAATGACCCGCGACCTCGATCTCCTTGAAGGCCTCCGCTTGCGGCGACCAAAGTTGGTCGTTCTTGAGGGCTCGGGAGCAGGAGTAGAATATGCGCTGCCCGAAAAGCTCCAGGAGTCGGCGCTCAAAGCCGATGCCACGCTCAAACCACTCTTCTTGCTCGATCTTTTGCAAAGTTCTTACCTTTGCAACGAGAGGATTCCGAATGAACAGTCAGAAGACACATCTTCGTCAGAATCGGAATCATCAGGATCTGATTCAGATTCAGACTCTGATTCGGATTCCGACTCCGACGCTGAAAAGAAGACCACAAACGCGCCTACAAGACAAACCACCCAACAAGAGCTTCCGCGGAGTACTCTCATCTTCACGAAATCCAACCAGGCCGCGCTGCGTCTATCACGACTTCTTGGGATTCTGTCACCCCAATTGGGTGAGGTCACTGGGCTGCTCACCTCGGAAACAGCATACTCGACCAGGAAACAGACCCTGCAGGCATTTACGAACGGCAAGATCCGTATCATTGTTGCCTCGGATCTTGTTGCTCGTGGTATCGATTTTGAGCACTTGGAAAATGTCGTCAATTATGATATTCCCTCCAGTCTCGCTTCCTACGTGCACCGTGTTGGACGTACGGCCCGTGCTGGTAGAAGTGGCCATGCCTGGACATTGTTCACTGATGCCGAAGCTCGCTGGTTCTGGAAAGAGGTTGCAAGTGAAAAGACGGTGCAGCGAAGTGGAAAGGTTGAGCGGATTCGTGTCACGGAGGAGAAGGAGGCTGAGTTTGAGGTCAAGAAGGAGAGATATGAAAAAGCACTTCAAACACTCGGTGAGGAGGTCATGGACAAGAGACGAGGACGCTAGAATCGTCTTCGACGGTAACAGGCTCACTCTACCTATGATTATCATAGTATTATCCAAGCTGTTTGCTCTGCTTAGAACTGTATGCCGGTTTCTACGACCGAGGAGTGCTGGTATGGGACGTAGACGACATGAGAGCATCAAAGAAAGCACCGAAGAGGTTTATTTCAGTTGTGTTGAAAAGAAATCATCGCCTTGTCTTTCATGTATAAAATCTACTTTTAAGAGCGCTCAGGACTGTAGTTATTGAAAAGGCCACAAGAAGCAGACAGGTCCAATGTCATCACTTGCTATATTCACAAGGCATAAGTAACATATCTCTGTCTGACTGTCTGTACATACATGTAACATACATTCAAAACATCTAGCCAACAGAGTGACTAACCATTAGAGTTCAAGCGACACTTTGGCGCTAATCACTGGGCGCACCGAGGTGCATTAGCGCAAACTGTCCCTTCTAGAACCCTGCCTAGCGATTGGCTCGGGCTCGACATCCTTCACAAAGGCAACGACGACGTGGGGAAATTTCAGAGCGCTTCTCCACTTAAGCCTTTCTTCTGGCCTCAAATTCCATCTCCCAGCCTTGCGACAAGCAAATCTTTTTGGCCTTGTCAATATTTACACGGTACTTCTTTTTTTATTTTTTATTTATTTGCTAGGTGCGCATCATTTACCAGCAATCATGGATGAAGGCGAGCGACGTACCGTGAAGAGGTCGCGCTTTGATCAGACCGAGCCTGAACCTCGTCGTTCGCGCTTCGACCGACGATCTCGTTCTCCGCCGCCCGCCAGGAAGCAGGATTCCGGTCGCGATCGCAGTCCACTCAAGAACGACGCCGATGGCTCTGCCGAGTCCAAACGCCCCAATGCTGTTGATGCGGCTGCAGCTGCAGGTAAGTTGCTGGTCGGAGTTGCAGCCATTGTATGTGTGTGCTGACTCAACCGCATAGCCGCTGCCGCTGCCAAAATCAATGCGCAAATCCAGGCAAAGAAGGGTATCCAACACGTCGATGTGCCGCCCATCCGATCGACCTCGACCGAGTCTCCCGGCCCGAATGCTGGAAACCCGCAGCCCAACCTCAACGGTGAGGTCTACGTTGCCGACGGCGACTACATCAAGGATATGGAGGTCAATGACCTGCGCAACCGTTATCTACTGACCAAGGGTTCAACTCAAAAGATGGTAAATACTCCTTGTGACTTCCTACTGATTTACTTCAGAATCCTGCCTTTCCCGGCACCTCTTCAAATACTTTGTCCCCGTATTGAACAGCGTCTGAGGATGGTTCTGCTTACAAGAATCATGCTAGCTCGCTCGCCAATCCCCTCTGTGGCATCTGCTGACCTCAAATTCCTGAATTTAGATTAAAGAAGAGACCGGAGCTGGTACGCTACTCCCCCGATGTCCTATAATATTTTAACTTGATAGAGAACGAAAGTTGACTTTGGAAGATGTCACCACCCGAGGCAGTTACTATCCCGACAAGAGCATGGCTACGGCTGCTGTGAGTGCACTCTTCTCACTCCTCTTCTTGAGAGCCCAACTGCTAATGCTTTGCGCAGAACCCTCCCCTCTACCTCCACGTTACTAGCACCTCGAAAACCGGCCTTGATCAGGCCATTGCCAAGATTGAAGAGCTCATGAAGCAGGAACTACCCAACCTTGTGGACGAAAGACGATTCAGACGCAGAGACCAGGAGCAGGTTGAACGGGACGAGTTCGGTCGAAGAAAGTGGCCCGATGCTAAGATTCCCATCGATCTTGAGCCTGTTCCGGGCTTCAACTTGCGAGCGCAGGTAGTGGGACACGGAGGATCCTACGTGAAACACATTCAGCAGGAGACCAATTGCCGAGTGCAGATCAAGGGTCGCGGATCTGGCTACCTCGAGGCTTCTACCAACCGTGAAAGTGATGAAGAAATGTACTTGCATGTAGCGTACGTCTTCACCTCTTACCCTCCCCTAGTGTAAGCTGATGGAACTAATCCTGAAGTAGTGGTCCTGACCCGGCAATGGTCGACAGAGCCAAGCAGCTTTGTGAGGATCTTCTTGCTAGCGTCAAGGAACAGTATGAAGAGTTCAAAAGCCGTCCCCCGCGCCAGTATGGAAGACATGATGGCCATGGTGGACACGGTCACGGTGGACATGGTGGCTACGGTGGACGAGAGGACCGCCATCATCATGATAGATCTGGCGGCAACCAAGGCTACGGAGGCTATGGAAATAACAACAACAGTAATTACAGCAATTCCCCGGCTCACGGCGCCAACTCGGCTTCGCCTGCGCCTGGGGCTGCTTCTGCTGCTGCGAATCCCAACGACCAGTATGCCCAAGCCTACGCCCAATACTATGGTGGACAGGCAGACCCCTATGCTGCCTACGGTGGCTACGCAGCGTAAGCTACCCTCTCTCCCCTTCATTATCATACATGGATAAACTTACAATCGTTCTTTAGATACATGCAATATTATCAGCAATACTATGCTGCTGCTCAGGCTCAGCAGCAAGGCTCGCCTGCCCCTCCTGCTCCAGGTCAATCTGCATCACCGCCTCCGCCCCCGCCCCCGAGCGAGGCTCCTCCTCCACCGCCTCCCGGTGGTGATCCCAACCCCCCACCTCCTCCCCCGCCTTCGGGCGGGTATGGTTCTGTAAGTTGAGTTCGATCCTGGAGAGTAGGGTATCAATGTGCTAACTTTTTGCAAGGTTCCGCCACCACCTGGTCTGTAACGCTCCAGTCAACAGCAGAATCACCACGAGGCAAAGAAAAGGAGGCATTACCGGTCTAAAAAGGTCACTTCGGAATCAGAAATCATATCGATAGTGGGATAATGGCCGATGGCATAGCGAGACAGCATTCAAAGCGTCTATGAAATCATTCGAGAAGGTAGCGTGGCCATTACGAGATGGGCCTAGGTAGCCTGTTCGGATTGGTGCCTACTACGAGCAAGCCCACAGGACCCTCGGTCAGGTTGAGGTATAAAGTCCCGCAGTCTCAGTATTGTTTGCTCTTGAGGCTGATATTGCGCGCTGGTCAGAAAGCGACATCAGATTTGTTCAATTAGTCTCCCAAGTTGAGTTCGGAGATAGAGGCAAGCATCAAGTCATAATTTTCCCCAAGACACAGTCAATAAACATGAACAAGGACTTTGCACACTGAAGAATGAATTCCGCCGAGATTCGTTAGACGAGACTTGCCACTAGATTTGAACATGAAAATAGAATTATCCAATGCCGATTCCTTTGATCTACGTTCAAAATACTGTCAAATTCTCGTCTCGGGAACACTCAGCAAGTCGACAATTTTCAATGCTATTGCCTCCCAGGTTTACAATGCACCGAGGTAGCGTAACGTGCTTGTCCCTGACTGCACGTTTACCAACCGTCATGTCGCCCGACATGTTTGGGCTTTGCGACATGATAATCACGTTCTCACCCACTCTCAGATGAAGTTGGTTGTTGCGATATCAAGATAATAACGCGGGTCGTGTCCGAGACTTCTGGATAGGTTGCGATTGATTGAAATAGAATAAACACGGAAGCCGACCCGGGTGAAACTGTCCTTCGCAATGGCCGAGCTCCCTGGTACCCTAAGAACCAGCCATGGGCGACGCACTCGCGGAGAACGCATGGGCGGGCCATCCGGGCAAACGCCGCCAGACACCAGAGTACTCATCATATATCGCAATCATCACATTTTCCGCCTGATAGTAAGTGACTTGTATGCATCAGTATAAGAATCGGTGATCTCGGAAGCGATGAACGGGCATGTCTTTGGAATAGATGAATTATTCATGTTACAGTGAAATCATTCGGGTTGCTTAAGAGAATCATACTCGGTTTAAATGATGAGGCAAATTTTTCTTCAAAATGGGCAATGTCAATGCAATCAAGTGTATATAACAGATCTGGGAAAACGAGCCAGTTGAGATAATGGGAGATCGACGACAAGTGAATTGTGCTATATTGCTATTTTCGATCCTTCTCCTAGGCATAAGTGTCGGATATCCATCATTGAAAAATACTTCAGTACGTCTGAATCTATCTCAACTTGACTTACTATCTCAAAAGGAAAGTTTTCGGACAGACGGCGTGTTCTAATGAGATGGGAGCTTCCGCCCAGGTTATGTATCCTGCATAAATGAACTGGACTCGGGTCACTGCCGAGTGTGGTCTATTGTACAAAATCAGTATAATATTCGCGCGTTATTCAAACAGCCAAATTCAGATACAGTGCAAATCAAGAAGAACTGATTGTTATTGACGCACAACTAAGAACGATACATGTTTTGAGTCATTCTGCCCCTGCTGCAATCATTCATTGTGAGTCTGACCAGGGCAGGTTCATATACATACTAGTGCAGGGCGTACATATGTAGTGTGACAGCTGTGGATCCCGGTCTCGGAGCATCGCCAGCTGCAGCTATTAAGTTCTTCACAACAACATTGACGAGACTAGACTAGCACCAGCCCATCTAGCACCAACGTCTTTGTCATTTCAAGGTTGGATGACAATAGTTTTGATATTGCGATAGTGACAATCTATTGAGTCACGTCACTTGTCAAGACTCGATCATATTATATTACACCTCGAGTAAGTCAATTGGAGGCTTCTTGCACGTTTTCTGTCAGTCTTGATGCGCCAATGCCAAAATCTCAGAGTCTTCGTAATACCTGACCGCTCATAGGTTCAAACATCGCATCCTCGTCACTTATACAATTGGCTGAGCAGGTACTTTGGGCTTGGTGATATCATTGCCAAATTACACTTCTGCAATAGCGCCATTGAGCGACTTGAATCAGTCCATCGTTACCAAGATGAGGTATTCCAGCTTTCGCCTCGCCAAGGGCGTGTTTGGCAACATTCAGAGCCGGAGCTACTCGTCCCTCGGCGGGTCGACCAAGTCCCGCCACCTCATGTCCATTGCGGACCTGAGCCGCGACGAGTTCTCCCAGCTGGTTCGCAACGCCGCCAAGCACAAGCAGGCCGTCAAGTCGGGCAATGTGCCCCAGTCGCTGAGCACCAGCCTGGCCGGCCGGACCGTGGCCATGATGTTTAGCAAGCGCAGCACCCGCACCCGCGTGTCCACCGAGGCCGCCGTCGCCCTCATGGGCGGCCACCCCATGTTCCTCGGCAAGGACGACATTCAGCTCGGCGTCAATGAGTCCCTGTATGATACCTCGCGCGTCATCTCGTCCATGACGGCGTGCATGGTGGCCCGCGTGGGCCCGCACACCGATGTCACTGGCCTCGCCAAGGACTCGGATGTCCCCGTCATCAATGCCCTGTCCAACGACTTTCACCCTCTACAGACCATTGCCGATTTCCTGACCATTTACGAGTCGGCTCCTGGCACCGCCTCGCCTGGTGACTTGGTCCCGTCGGGTCTCAAGGTCGCCTGGGTCGGCGACTCCAACAATGTCCTGTTTGACCTGGCCATTGCCTGCGTCAAGCTGGGCGTGGATATTTCGGTAGCGTCGCCGCGGGGCTACGAGATCCCGTCGAACATGCAGCAGCTCATTGAGGCGCAAGCCGACGGCGTGGCCAAGCCGGGCAAGCTCACCACCACGACGGAGCCCGCCTCGGCCGTTCGCGACGCCGACTACCTCGTGACCGACACGTGGGTGTCCATGGGCCAGGAGGCCGAGAGCAGGAAGCGCCTCCAGGACTTTGCCGGCTTCCAGATCACCAACCGCATGGCCGCCGAGGGCCAGGCCAAGAGCGACTGGAAGTTTTTGCACTGTCTCCCCCGCCACCCCGAGGAGGTAGCCGATGAGGTCTTTTACTCTGACCGCTCCCTAGTCTTCCAGGAGGCCGAGAACCGATTGTGGGCTGCTGTTGGTAAGTCATCTCCTGTCTATTTTGCTATCATTTAGAACATTCTACTAATTTGTTGACAGCCGCTCTCGAGGCTTTCGTCGTGAACAAGGGCAAGATTCTGTAGACTAGGAAACAAAACATAATGATGTTACATTTAAATAGGCGAGGCGTTTAAAAAAGAGAAGGGCGGTCCTTAATGGTAGATACCGGCAGTTCACGATACACAAATCCAGCAGTATGATTGCACATTTGAAAGTGATTTAGATTTGCAATGAAGCTTTCAGTGAATTGTTCCTAGGCATGTGAATTACCAAGAAAATTACTACAGTAGTCTTTTTTTTGCTCTAAACAAAAACGGGTTACAAAAACCGACCCAGCCTTAATAAACAACGCCACAAAATTTCCGAATCACAAATGAATCCGACTCTCTTAACCAGGGGGCAGCTGGCTGGCGTCGACAATCTCATCGGCGTCCTTGACCTGGAGGGCCTCCTCATCGGGTCCGTACAATGGAGATCGAGGCAGGGCCATCAGACCGGTTCGGGTCGATTCCAGAATACCGAAGGGGGCAATGAGCTTCAGGAAGGAGTTGATCCTGACAGGCTTGGCGGAACTGCAAAAAGAGAGAGGATTAGTAGCTGTAACCAAAGTACACAAAGGATCTATATCAAAGTAATGGGAGAAAACTCACATCTCGACAATGCAGCTAGTGGTGCTGATATCCAGGACCTTGCCGCCAAACTGGTGGGCAAAGTAGGTAATGGACTTCAAGTGCTCGTGCTTGAGACGCAGAGCCTGCGAAGCGACGAGCTTGCTGGGGTGAAAGTCCTCGGCAGCATCAGCCAGGGCGCGGTCGCCCTCGAGAGCAGCGCCGTCGGGGGACTCCTGGGTGATCTCGCGGTGGTGGGCGAGCAGCTCCTCAAAGTACTCGGGGCCGAGAATGTTGATCTTGGCGAGCAGCAGCTCGCGCTGGACCAGGGGGGAGTTTGTGTAGTCGAGCACGGCCCAGACGGGGACCAGGTCCTCGAGCTGGCGGCGGGCCTGCTCGACGACGCCGTCCTGTCCCGTGAGCACAATGGTCATGCGCGAGAGGTCCTCGACCTCGGTGCTGCAGACGACGAGCGAGTCAATGTTGAAGCCGCGGGCGGCGAGGATGCCCGAGACGCGCGACAGGACGCCGGGCTCGTTCTGGACCAGGCAGTTGAGGATGTGGCGCTTGGGCGGCACCGTGGACGGGGTCGGGGTCTCGTAGAGAATGTTGGAAACGGCGGCCTGTGCAGACCAGGGCGAGGGCGAGTCGCTGGTGGGCAGAGGCTGGGAGCGGCGGCGGCTGGCCTTGTAGGCCATGGCCGAGGTCGAGCTGCTCGAGTTCCATCGCGAGGGGACGCTGGGGGCCGAGGAGCGCACCGCGCCGGCGGCAGCTCTGAGCGAGGCCGCGGCGGGCTTGAGAAAGCTGCGGGATGCCATCTTTCCTGGTGGTCGATGGGTCGTCGTTCGACCAGAGAAATCAGGTATTCCTCCTTCGTACCTCCTACAGTGGGTTGGTGTTGGTCAATGGCTCAATTATCACTGCCAAACTTGAGTCAAAAATTTTGGGCCAAAGACAGTCAGTCCCTGGCCGGCCAAAGGAGGTAGAGCTGCGATAGCGGAGGCAGGGTCGGCAAGTTATCTCGGAGCACAGACCAGTACTATCGCCGCGACTTCTCCGTAAATTTTCTTGGAGATCGAGACTAGGTCTATAATTAGTGTTTCTTTTTGGTAAGAGAGATGGATGAATCCGTATGGCCCAAGAATTATAAAAACGCTTTTAGGTTATAATTACTAGGTATTGGAAAGAAAAAACAAAAGGTACCTAGGTATGTACGACAATGGCCAATGAGCATGCTCGCAATCTTTGGGAAACAATCATGAACCGGAACTTATGTCCCTATGGATGAGGGGCAGTGCCTACCATGACATTGATATGTCACGCGTTGCGCTATCCTAAGTTGTCTTAATAAAAAGCCCTTTATGTTAATGGTTGCTTATAAGACCATGTTTCTGATTTCAACACGGTCCCGACTCGGCTCCCGATGTCACTCTCGAGGTCCTCACCTGCGGCTGAAAGTACCGGAACAACCTTTCATCCGAATAATAAGCACACCAACCACGATCAATAATGTACCCTGAACTTCACCTGATTACTTTGGGGATCGATTCGGTATCACATCTTTTGTCTTTCCACCAGCTGCTTAACCTGATTTCGAGATACCTGTATAAACGACATGGTTCGTGAGTGCGACAGTACCGTAACAGCTGATTCATGCAACTAATGAGAACAGTCGGCCCTTCTTTCCATCACCAAGTGCGGAGATCGTTCAACAAGTCATTTGATGAACGACTCCAAAGTGGAGGCGGCACTGATGAGCAAACTCCGTTAATAGGCAACGGTCATTCTAATGGCGTCGTCGAATCCACCTGGCACGAAATCCTTTCCGATATCACAAGAACTCCTGCAACAGACAGTCCAGATCTTTTTATTCGATGGATTGCTCATGCTTGGCATGTGGTGAAGGTGACTTTGATTAGCGGTAAAGTCTACGCATCCTGGGCATGTGTGACTGAGGATTGTCACTGCTAAGACTCGTTCAATATAGGAATGTTCATGAATTGTCTGCTCATTTTTCTGCCGCTAGGCGTCATAGCATCGTCCTTGAGTTGGCAACCTGGGGCAATTCTTGTACTGAACTCTCTCGGATTAATACCGCTAGTTGGTATTATAGATTTCGCGATTGAGGAGCTCTCTGCTCGGTCGGGCGAGTCCTCTGGAGGTTTGCTCAATGGAGTTTTAAGCTCGATTCCGAGTCTAGCCGTATGTCTTTTCACTCTTGTGATGATGGTTAGGATAAACATTGGTCCAAGGCTGATCGTTGACACAGATGGGTGCCATCAATCTTTATTACAGTGAGAGTCGGGTTGTACAAGCGTCCATCACTGGAACCATTATGCTCAATCTGCTTCTTATTCCGGGCTTTTGCTGCTTTATAGGCGGCATGGTTAATTTACGAGATGTGTATGGAAACGGATACGAACAAGCCCTAAGCACCCAGGGGCTGGAAGCCTGCTATCCCCAGCTTATGCTTGCCACTGCTGTGCTCCTAGTACCTTCGCTTGCAAGTAGTCCTGTCTCTGTCATTTTTGTTTGCTGACATCCTCTTTTAGGTGCATGAGTTTTCGTTCCATAGCGGAGACACAGCACGCGATGATTCCGTTCGAGTATTGTCACTCATCGCCGCCGCCGCTCTGTTAACGACATTCGTATTCTATCTCTGGGTTCAGCTAAAGACGCACGATTCAGTTTTCAACAACTACAGCACGCAGCCTCCCGAGGAGGATAGCGTTATAGCCTATCAAAACTCAGAGGAAGACGAGGAAGACGAGGAAGACGCAACCTTACTTTCGCCTGTAGCCGCATGGATTGTCTTTCTCATGATGACGGCAACATTTGCCTTTTGCGCACAACGTATGATGTCTGCCATATATAACTCTCCATCGGGACACTATGTTAACAGGAACCTTCTCGGCTTTATCGTCATTCCATTTATACGCTACTTTACCCTTGGTTTTACAGCTGTAGTCGTTGCCATTAAGGATAAGACACATTTGGTAAACTACATCGTAAATGCAGACATAATAGAAATGGCTCTCTGACTACTTCTTCAGGCAATAGGCTTGGCTCTTGGAGCCACTATCGACATGAGCTCTTTCGAAACCCCAATATTGATCATTCTCAGTCAGCAACTCAGCCACAAACCGCTCACATTGGATTTTCCAGCTTGTATGTAACTAAACGACCCTAAACACCAAGTGATAATTGCTAAAAGAATATTGTAATAGCAGACATAATTTCAATTGTTCTGTCTACTATGGTATTGTTGTACATCCTTTCGTACAGAAAATCAACTTATTACACAGGCGTAATGGTAAGCGAGTCATCCAGCTAAATTTGTTTCCAAGACTTTTGTTTAACACTATGAAAGCTTTCTGCCTTATATTTTCTGCTCATGGTAATCCCATTCATTGGCTCTGGTTCACCAGATAATAATGTGTGAGATTCCCAAGTTGAAGAGCATTAAGAGATGGCAATGGCAAGGGGAAAGAATAACTACTCACACTAGCAATTGCGTATTGCCATTTCTTAATATTTGAGACCTAGGCACAGGCTGAAAAGTGATTTGATCATTCAATAGATTAGGGGCTTCCAGAATTTCAATTGCATCTGTTCATAATATTCCTAATATTACACACGTGATGCACCGTAAATAGAACGCAGTCGTCTTCCAATGAGACGCTTGTCACTTTGCACGCTGACATCTATACAGAACATGTCAAATCCTTGTATCTTGCCGGGTTTGAGAGTTACTACCACAGCCGTGTTGCTCGGGCTGTAGGTGGCAACTCGTTGACTTGCAAGATCTTTAGGCCGCCGTAAATCCTTCACCGCATCTATACTAGACGCGATCGTCGCCATAAAAAAGCATTCGTAGTCTCGACTGTCTTTCGCTTGGACTACCCATATGCATATCAATAATCGGTCAGTAGTCCAAGGTAACTCCATTTCTATGATGGCTTTGTCACTTATCCAAGAACCCAGGTGTAATAAGCCAAATTTCGGAGAGTATCGCACGTTGGCAGGATAGAGGCCACGAACGTTGACACCATCAGGCAGGGTGCCGATATAGATGGCGTGCTGGCGTTCCAGCTCTGGAACGCTCTGTACAACAGCGGCGTGGAGCGACTTGCGCACATAGACTGTCTCTTGCCGTGCATGAGAAGAGCAGGAAAGTAGCTCGGAAGGCTTCGACCGGACGTATTGATCTCCTCCTTCGCATGTGATCTCGAGCCCAATGACGTTCTTGAAATCGCTGCCCCACCGACAATTGAGCCCTACTTTAGCAGTGTTGCCGTCGCTCGTAGGATCGAACTCGAGCGACGAAGTCAGAGGAATTCCTCTGCTTGTTAGGCTGGCCAGTATGTCCCTTGCGCTGAGGTTGCGAAATGGGACAATGCCGCGGCAATCGGCAAACTCATCCGGTGAGGAGGCGAGCAAGCCACGATACGGAGCCTCTGCCGCTGACTCGGGGGTCGCGCGCCATGCGAAAAGAGACTGATCTTCTGATTCCTTCAGGATCTCCTCTTGGAGACGTATGAAAGCCTTACGTCCTTCCCCATATAGCATGGGCATATTCACGTCAAATATGCCCATCAGGCAATACGCAATGTCTTCCTCCCGTTTCGTTTTCCTGTGGGCGGCCCAGGACATGCGCTGCGCAACACTGACCGTCGCAACGTCTCCGCCACGAAGGATATCCGCGTCTATCCCAGTGACGTTCTCGATCGCTTCCGTCAGATCCGCCTTCTCACCGACAAAGGACCAGGTGGCGCCATAGAACTCTACCCGAGCTGGCGCAATCAACTCCTGTAACGTCCAGCCACGCTGGAACCATGCACTCTTCCGAAAGCTGGAATCGGCTGAAGAGGGAGGGTCGTCGTCGCCCGGCACGTCTCTCAAGTACGCATAGCAGACAGCGGCTCCTCGGTACCATTTGAACATGGAATTAATGGCCTCGCTGAGCTCTGCGCTGCTGCTCTTGTCGATGCAGCACGTGTCGACCCAGGCGTAGCGCAGGCCATGCCGTCTGGCCTGTTCGCAAGTGTACGTGATCTTGGTGAAGCCTTCGCGGGTTTCGCGTGTTGCCGCATCCAAGAAGTCGAGGTATGATACCTCACTGTCACCCCAGTTGTGGGAAAGAATCGCATATGGCGGTGCAGGCCATCCCACGTCCTCCAATGATAGAGTTTCGATATCAATCAGGCGCATTATATGCCTCCTTGTGTCTAAACCTGAAATCAGATTACCAGCTACAAGTCTTTGTCTTGATGCCTCTGTTTCGACAGGCCAGGAAACGCATCTGGTTCAGCTGTCGGTCATAAATCATAGCTACCCCGCAATCATGATTTTGCTGATAATAATCCGCCCTGACCAACTACTTAGTTAGTTTGCATGAACCACAGCAGAAACTATGAAGGGAACGTCTTGCCTAATTGTCCAAAGGTACGCGCTCTTGAGACAACAAGATCAGTGAATTTACGGGGCTGTTACGGGTGCCAATGAATTAGCTGGTGGGAGCTGCACCCATGGGGCATGTAGTGGGTCAAGTTGCAAGCTCAGATAATACATCTACGTACCCGACGTGAGTTGAGTCACTGAGATAAGGCTCGAGGGACCTGCATTTTTCCTAATCGGGACAAATCCTTTGCCGGCGTCGGAACTGGTCACGACTATCGGATACCAACCGACTGGCTCACAACCACCAATTATGACATTCTCGCTCATCTCAAGCGAAACATGAACCATGTAATACAACATGCTCTGCTCCCCGCTCTATAGTATTGGTACTACTGATGAAGTACATCATAAATCCTCGTTCGCAATTTTTGTCGCTCGACAGTCTCGGCCGAAACTCGACCATGGTAAAACCGGCACTCTAATTGGCTATTAACGAACGCCACGCCAAGACTTGCAGCAGTATTGTTCTCGTAGAAGGTAGGTATGTTGCACTGACATAGGTTAGTTAGTACCCACCGCAAATCACCTGCTCGGGGATATCAGATAAACTTTTAGTACCTCTCTTTTGTAAATCGTACATCAACTCAGGCATATTTCTATGCTTCCTCGATTACATCTTTCCCTTCCCATCTTGGCCCAGGTGAGACACAGCCAGTATGAGTATGGCTGATCTAAATGCTACTCCTCCTTTATATGACCGGTTTGCGTGACTGATGTCTCTCTCATTTTATGTTTGATGATTTCTAGCTGCGTCATTTATCTTTTCGCGTCTCAGAAGAAGTGGCATGATCATTTTATGTGGCATATCTCTCCTGTCTAGTTCTCAATCTCAATCCCAGCATCTCCATTGGAAATTTGAATCTTGGTAGTGACAGCCGAAATCGACAATGTTCCGACAATGAAGCAGATCAAAGCGACAAGAAAAGGCATTCCCATCCAGAAGTCTCCGAGCTTCATGCCCCATTTGAAGGCTGTAGCCAAGATAGGACCACCAGCGATAAACCCCCCTTGCATGGCCACAGATACAACAGTAAACAAAACACCGACATGTTTCTGGTCAACCATGCCGGCCGCCAGACTGCGTGCAGGAACTCCGAACACGCATCCCGCAGAGAAGAGGAACTGCCCAACGAGAAGGGCCTCCCAGGACGTGGCGAAAAAGATAATACTAGACCCGGCGGCGAGTAAGACTCCGCAGGCTTGTGTTAAGCGCTTGTCCTTGATACTTTCGTGTAGATCCAGGCGGATCAGCAAGAAGCTGGACAATGCTGGGAGGATAACAGCCAGGAGCACCAAGGTGACTCCAGCTCTCAGAGAGAGCAGCAAGGATGCCTGAGGGTGTTAGCGGGAGTATTTCACGATGCTGATGGATGGAAAGTCCGTCTTACTTGACCCAGGGTCCAGTGGAGGCGCTTTGACGCGTATTGCAATAGTATTGTGCCATCAGACTGTTGGCCGAGGTAGAACGTGAAGAGGCATATCAAAAGACACACGACTCGGGCGTTGCCCATGATCCAATGATTGAGGTCCACAGCCCTGGAGATGAGAATCTTGAGACGCGGGTGCAGTCCAACCTTGTCCTGGCCATTTGACCGAGCGCCAAGCAGTTGTTCAGTATCGCCGCGCTCATCGCTACTTTGCTTGTCAAGTTGCAAAGTCTCGGGGACAAGGAGGAGCGCAACTAGGAATGACAGAACCCCCAGGCCCGAGGTAGTAACCATGGGAATCCATGGGTCAATGCTCATTAAACCAGCACCTACGGGCAGGAAGACTACGCGGGACACTAGACCGGCGGATTGGATGAATGAAAAGGCAGTCGTCCTGGGCGTAACAGTTAGCCTCTTCCCCCATGTGTGCAGAAGGGTACGACTTACCTCTGCTCTGCAGGACACACATCAGAGACCTGAGCGTAGACAATCGACGACAAGGTGGCGACGCCAGCGCCAATCATCTGCCAGAGGCCAGAGAGCCAGAGCAGACGCAGTGGGATGAAATGCGAAAAGCAAAGGACCAGTCTGATCCAGGTGTCGTTGAGTACAAGGCCGGCAGTGGCAAGTATCATGATCTTCCTGCGACCGATTTTGTCGGCCAGCGCGCCAAAGGGCACAGCAAGTAGGATTGCTGCCAGGGTATTATTAGTAGTTGTTTCAACAAGGCAGGCGGATGCATTTGTATTACCCGGCAAGTTCTCAAAGACATCCTTCCAGCCCAGGATATAGGCAACCTCGCTCTGAATAGGCTCCGCCTTGCAGTCGCCAAGGTGGCCGTCTATGGCGGCGTAGTACTTTTGGCAGACGGTGGCCTCGAGTATGGCGGTGGACGGGGCCAGGCTCAATTGGTTCCCGATCTCCAAGATGAAGAGAACAGCCGTGGCAGAGAGAATGGTTTGCCAAAAGCCTGGTCCTGAAGAAGGCTTGGAGCCCGGTGATTGTGAAGCTGGTGGCTCGGGATCTAGCAGCCTGGTTTCTTCATCTGGGTCTCTAGTCTCCATGGTGGGGTGGTGGAGGGGCGTTCATCAGCTCGGTAGGCGGGTATACGACGATGGATCTGGGGGCTACTGTAGCACTAAAGTTGAGTTTGCAGCGGGAACCAACCAAGGATTGAAAGGCCGCGCTGCCCACCAAATAAAGTATTGGAGCCTCCAGTGTGGGGCAACTGTTGTCGCGGGGTAAGGACATTCCGGGGGCTGCCTGATTGTAAATACTACTGTGCATTACGCATTCATTGGTTACATGTATGTACACCCTGCTCCAAGGACATTCATTTTGTGGCCGGAAAGATGTCAGCGGTTGGCTGTTGCTCAAAAGGATTCTCGCGTAGTGGTGCGCCTCTTATCCTGCGATGTATGACCAAGACCTATGTCCACTAGGAATGCAGAGGGCTACAAGTCATTATTTCGGCCATGTCAACGGTTCATAGAAGAGAAACTCGAACTTTCGCAAAACTCGTCTGACAGAGCTGCTCTGCAACTCGCGCCGCCATGGCAAAAAGTGCATGCTTCGACTTCTGCCCCAAGGACAGCGACAATCAGCTGTACCCGCGTGTTCACTTCTCTTGTCGCTCTTTTGATTTCACACTCCTGTTCCAAGATGTCTTTTTCATTGCCGTCCCGGCCTCCCTGATGCTGATAATTATACCGATCCGACTACGAGCACTATGGACGGCGCAGGTGCAGGTCAAGTTATCTGCGCTGGCAATATGGAAACTGGTACAGTGCTATGCATTGGATTGATCTCACCCTATTAGCCCCATGTGTCTAACTGGCTTGCTGATAGAGTCTCTACATCCTTCTTTTCACGTTCCATATACTCTTCCTGGCTCTCCGTCAGCGGGCTCCCCGCTTGGTTACGACCATGTCGATAGCCTCTGGCGTGTTATCAGCAGCCGCAGTTCTCACCGCCGGAATCTTGTCCTTCTTGGAACACCAACGATCGTCAAGACCTTCGGACCTCTTGGTACTGTATTTCTCAGCATCTGCCATCCTCTACATTCCAACCCTTCGATCACTTTGGTCCATGCCGTGCCATACCCAGACGCCCGGTGTCTTATGGGTCGTGATCTATGTTGGGACCATCCTTCTCGCCGCCATCGAGTCTGCTCGAAAGACTCAGTCGCTTCTTTATCCACCTGAGAAAGATGTTTCTCCAGAGGGTTTCACTGGAATTTGGAGTCGTGGTCTTTTTGCTTGGACTCTTCCCTTCCTCCGCTTGGGCTTTTCAGACGTGCTTCAACTCAGCCAAATACCCCAAGTGGGTAGTGATCTCAGGGCAGAATCAACATTGACTACCCTCCGGGGCCCTTGGCAAATTCACCAAGGAAATTATCGCCTAATCCGGGCCGTCTTCTCCTCTAACAAGTGGCTTTTCCTTTCTGCCGTCCCCCCGCGCCTTTCGCTTTCTGCCTTCATGTTTTGCCAGCCATTTCTCATCGAAGCTTCAGTCTCATACTTGAACTCAACGCCGGACGAATATAACAAGTACTACGGACGTGCCCTCGTTGGAGCTTTTGTTCTTGCTTATGCCGGCGTGGCAATCTCACGAGCATTATATATGCGTCAGACATATCGTTTAATTGCCCGCATTCGATGTTCTCTGGTGGCCATGATGTACCAGCACACCACTGGTTTCCGGGCTGCCGAACTGCAGGACTCATCAGTCGTTACTCTGATGGGTACCGACGTGGAGAGGATAGCACAGGCCCTCAGGTTGATCCATGAACTATGGGTATCGATTCCAGAGGTGGGCATAGCTGTTTGGCTGTTGGCTCGCCAGATGTCATGGGCTTCTGTTGTGCCACTTATCGTGTGTCTGGGTCAGTCTGCCCCATCCACATCAATTCCAATGTACAAATGATGATCCTGCTCTAACAAGAACAGTATCTGTGGTAATAACTTCGAGGATTTCAGCATCTTTCGGAAAAGCCCAAGTCGCTTGGAACGAGCGTGTCCAGAAAAGGGTTGCTACCACTGCCGGCATGCTAACAAACATGAAAGCTGTCCAGATGTTGGGCATGTCAAATATCATGAACGAAATTGTAACACATCTCCGAATGATCGAACTGAAAACATCGGAGCGCTTCCGCGCATTTTTGATTTGGCAGATCCTCCTTGGTACGTAAATGGCCTCTCCCTAGCAAAGACGACCGGATATTAGCCCGGTCCAAAACTAAAATGCTGGCCAGGAAACGCTCCCGTGACAATTGCACCCTTCGCAACTTTCACCGTTTATGCTATCATCGCCGTAACGACAAAAAGTGACACCCTTCTTTCTGCTCAAGCATTCACTGCGCTTTCATTGATTAGTCTGATGACGACTCCTCTAATCCAGTTCTGTCAAGCTTTGCCTTATTGTGTTCAGTCTGCCGCCTGTTTTGGTCGAATACAGGAGTATTGTCTAAAGGAACAGATTTTCAATACTATGGATAACCCGCTTTCCTCATCGTCTGAGCTAATCCCACTCAGGAGTATTGACACCCTGAAAAACAGAGAGGGACATCTAATACATTACTATCATGCAGATATCGCCTGGTCGTCTTCTTCGGAGCCCATACTCCGAGACCTAACACTTGACATTGGCCCCGGCCTCACTGCCATCGTTGGGCCGGTCGCATCTGGGAAGTCGACACTGCTATGGAGTATGCTCGGAGAGACAGCCCTCTTAGCTGGGACAGCTTCGCATTTCACTGCAGCAGCATTTTGTGCACAGACTCCCTGGATCATGGACGAAACGATTCAACACAATATAACAATGGGTTTGAACCTTGATCGAGAATGGTACAACTTCTCAATATATTGTGCATGCCTCTATGAGGACCTAACTAGGCTCCCTCGAGGCGATCAGACCTTGGCAGGGAGTAATGGCGCTTCCCTGAGCGGAGGGCAACGCCAGAGAGTTGTTTGTGCTCCCATTTTCTTTCATCTCGCTCAAGTGTGCCACTTTTGAAAACACTGACCGCTGACCTCCTCCAGGCGATTGCTCGCGCTGTGTACTCGAAATTGCCTATTGTTATCCTCGACGATGTAATGAGTGGACTGGACGCCAAGACTGTAAATGCTATTTGTAGCCGTCTCTTTAGTCATTTTCGCAAAGCCGGCATCTCTGCCATTGTAGCTACGCATACACGTAGGTAATATCCCCTGTCCATTTGACGGTGGCCGGGCTGACTCGGGTGATCAGGGAGCGTCCTTCCTCACATGGACACAGTCTTGGCGTTGGAAAGTGGACATATGGTTCAAGTTCGGGACTTGGTTGGCGTGAACATACAGTCTGCCGGGGTCGTAGAACAAGTCCCTTCAGCCACGGAGTCACCTGCACTCGAATCTATATTACAAAACAACAATGACAATTTGGACATCCCTCAAGATTCAGAGCCTCCAAATAATGGAAGTGACAGCGAAGAAAGTGAAAGTGTGCCACTTGACTCTGAAAGACAAAGAGGAAATTGGGCGGTTTATTCATATTACTGCCGAAGTGCTGGACTACTCTCGGTAGTAATCTGGATTACTTGCTCGATGCTCGCTGCTGTCTTCACAGGAGTTACAAGTAGGAATTCCACCAATAATGGCCCAATTCTTAATTCGGTCTAATGGAAGTATAGCAATATGGGTCGAAATATGGACCGACGAGAACCAGAAACACCCCAACCAAAGACTTGGCTACTATTTGGGGATATATGCCCTTTTCATGGTTTTGTCTAATTTGGCTATGGGAGGCGAGTTATGGTCTGTGGCCTCTCTAATAAGAAATATCAATCAAGATAGGTATATGCTGACGATGGCGGCGCAGGTACTCTTTTATCAAGATTATTAGCGATACCGCACTTCATTTACACACTGATATCCTAGATGCCACTTTGAGGTGAGTACTGAGCTTCGCGAATGAACACCAGTGCATCAGTTTCTGACTTCTTTCGTCCAACAGAGCGCCTTTCCAATTCTTCCAAGAAGTGGATGTTGGCTCCATCACAAATAGGTTCAGCCAAGACATGGACCTCATCGATATGGTTTTGCCGTCTCAGGCAGCTCAGTTCATCACAGGCTAGCACATCCCTTCATAAGCACAAGTCATGATGAGTCTAATGATATTTTCTTTTTCAGGTGCTGCTTCATGTCTCGTCCAGCTCATCATCCTGTGCGTTCTCGGAAAATACTTGGCGGCAACTATTCCCATATTTCTTGGTACCTTATTCATACTTCAAAAGTGCTATCTCCGCACGTCACGACAGGTCCGGCTTATCGACATTGAAGCGAAAGCCCCGCTCTACAAGCAGTTCATTGAAACAGTTTCAGGCGTGACAACCATTCGGGCCTACCGCCGCAGTCCATACTTCCGCCATAGAAACGCACAAACTCTGGACATATCGCAAGGGCCATACTACATGCTTTTCTGTGTCCAGCAATGGCTTGTGCTGGTGTTAGATCTCATTGTGGTGAGTAGGGCGGTAATTTCATCCTATGGTTCCATTTATTACTCAACCCCCAAAGGACAGCACGGATAGTTCTGGAAACCCTGGGGCTCGACAAAACCAATTGTGAGATTTCGAGCTAACATGAGAACGATTTCCAGGGAGCCCTCGCCGTGATAATCGTCGCTATTGCCCTGACAACTCTGGGCAGCATTAGCGCCGGTGAGCTCGGTGTTGCCTTGGTGTTGATACTCCAGTTCAACTCTCTTCTTTCCCAAAGCATACAGGCTTGGACCAAGTTGGAGATTTCCATTGGGGCTGTTAGTCGGATTCAGCAATACGTAAGGGACACGCCATCAGAGTCCGCAGGAGACCCTGCTCCACATCAATGGCCAAGCCAAGGTGCCATACGTTTCGACAATGTTGTGGCAAGCTACGCGTATGAAAAACAGCCTTCATGTCCACATTTAGAATCAAATCTGACTATTCACAGGCCCCATGCTCCTCCTGCTCTTCATGGGGTAACCTTGAGTATCCGCCCAGGAGAGAGGATCGCTATCTGTGGCCCTTCGGGCAGTGGAAAAACAACACTACTCATGACCTTGCTCCGTATGACTGCGCTTCGAAACGGTCTTGTCAGTATTGACGGAACCAATGTTTCTACATTGTCACCAAACGACTTGAGAGCAAAGATGAACGTACTTCCACAAGAGCCTTTCTTCATGCCTGGCACAATCAGATTCAATCTCGATCCCCGGCAGTGCTCATCGGAGCATGCCATAAGAGCAGCCCTTGACAAGGTTGGTCTATTAACCAAAGTTGAGAGCAATGGGGGCCTTGAGGCCGGTTTGGACTCGAGATGGTCTCAGGGCGAAAATCAACTACTATGCCTAGCCCGTGCCCTTCTGGTGCCAAGCAAGATATTGATTCTTGACGAGGCTACAAGCAAGTATGTCTTCTATTTCATGACTCTCCCGATGTCCTTCAGCTCCAAAAAAATAAAATAAAAAAAGATTGTATACTAATGATCACTCCGCAGTGTGGATGACCAAACAGAAGGAATCATGCTGGATGTGATTGGACAAGCGTTCAAGGACCATACCGTCATCTCGGTCATCCATCGGCTCTCGAAGATAGATACTTATGATCGAGTGGTGGTCCTCAAGGATGGACGTTTGATAGAGAGCGACTCGCCCGCGTCACTGCTTGAGAAAGATACAGTTTTTCGGGAGCTGTACCAAGCCTACGTCTCGGGACATTAGGAAAGTTTGCGCGAGGAACTCATAGAAAGACCTTAGTCTAGGTATCATCATAAGGCTTTTGACCCACTTTCATTTGGAGTGCCATATCACTACTAGACTAGATTAAACGGATCTTACGAGAGAATGCAACGCAGCGCACACCCTTTAAGCTTATCCTAGTTGACGTGTAGCTATCCACCGAATAGATCTTCATCAACCTTTCATGGCCTGGCACCATCCGATTGACATAAGCTACCTGGGAATGGAAGCCATGCACTTGTCGCAGCCATGGGAGAAAACGATTTTCTAGACTACTTAGTTTTCTCGGCCAGCCCAAGATCAGATTCAAAGTCTCTCCCATTGCTCAGCCAGCTCAATAAAGATATCACGCAGAGTCTCTGGCTGCACGACCTGTGGACTATGCCCCGTGTCGATATCCTTTTCAATCCACTCCATGCCCGTGCCCTGGAGCATCATGTTCTGTACCTCAAGAGGTATGCCTACATCTTTGATAGTGCGGATATATGCTATGCGACCCTTGTAATCTACGTGCAACAATCAGCATGGATTCTCGTACACTGAGATTCTGACAAATTGCAAGGAAGTGGGATTTGATGACTTACGCTCTGAACTCCACGAAGCCTTTGGACACGGACTATGGAACGATGCAAAGCTGGGACACAGGGTCGACATGACGATGGCATCCTGCACAAGCTTTGGTTCTACGTCCTGGTACAGTGGCGGTGCTGGGTCATCGCAAGTGAGCAGCCCCGCATGGTCCTATATATTCTTTCACCGTTAGCAATCTGAAAATGAAGTCTCGTCAAGCCGGAACGTCTTCTCTTACACCATCACCAATACCAATGTGCGGCGGCAGGTGTCCGCCAAATGCTGCAACAACATCCTTTCCGTCCCCGCCGGCCACCAGCAGCGCAGCAATGAAAATCTGACCCAGCACGGCCGTGGTCTTGCCCTGCGCGGCACGCTCGGCTTTGCTGAGCCCCATGGCGGCGGCGCTGCCGGGGATGCTGCTATACGAGTGCGTGACCAGGATTACATTGTGCTTTTCGATATCGAGGACGGGGAGGAGCATGTTCTTGAGCACGTAGTCGGCATCATCTTGTGCGGTAACATTCTCGCTGCTGCCTGTGTATTTTTCAGAGTTGTTGTCCTTTTCTATTGTACGGATGAATAAAAGGTCCTTATCATACCAGTAGACGGGAGCAACGCGGACAATGTAGGGTAGCCTTTGCTTTGAAGGAGATGGAGGAGGTAGCCATAATGAGAAGGATTCTGAGAGGCACCAGGGACGACTACGAAAAGCGTACGAGACGTAGGGCGAGGCATGATTCAAAAGATATTGTTGAGAGGAAAGAGTGACGTGGGAGAGTGGTGTCCATTTGATAATGGCTGGTTTGTTGGACGATACTCGAAAGATGATATAAGTCAAATCTACTGATGCACTGTAAATCGTTCTTGGCAAGTGTTCCGCCCTTTTGCATTATGAGAGCCAAGGGGGCCCTGCTTGTCCCTGCACCCCTGCTCTTGCTCGGCAATCCGATTCCACGGATGCATACCAATGGACCAATGCGGATATTTGTGGCCAAGATGAAGGGGCTCAATACAAACATGCGGCTGTAATATAATAGCAGAAAAATCTTGACAAGTGCCATTCCTGCTACTTGAAAGTTTTCTAAAGCGACATTGGCATATATTATCCAAGTGAGCTAATGAACTAGGGACCTTAAACGAGGACCATAAACGAATATGGCCAGCTGTAGTTGCCGTCACATTACAAGGTACTGTATCGGCACGTTGGTTGTTGGTGCGCGCATATCAACAATTAGGGTTGGTCGACCGCTGCGACCCGCAGGCTTTCAAATGCCGACAGTGCTTATTGAATCACTCTTGCTTATGCAGTTGGTTCGATGTTACCAGACTTCATGACGTGTTGGCCCAGAAATGTCGCCGGGAATGCAGGTGACATGTTATGTCAATACAGATGCATACATACGTTGGTACTTACCTGCGGGAGTAGATCCGAAAGCCAACAAAAAGGACGTGATTTGAAACGCTGGAGGGGGAGAGATACAACAGAAAAATCCCAGGCGAGGACTTGGATAACTTTCTCTATCTCCCAACAATCGCCACAACGCCCGCTCAAACATAGACACAAAGACACAAGGCCATAGCCTGTATATCCTATAGCCTACCAACGAGCATGTTGATTCTTTCCCTGCTTGCGCTGGCCTCGGCCTATATCGTCTGGAGCTTTGTTTGCCTCGAAACTAACGTGCGCAATGCGCGTGCACTAGATTTTCCTGTCGTCCGTCTACCCATTGATGCCAACAATGTCTTCTGGATCCTACTGCAACCGCACGTCTGGACAATCCTCGATCACCTTCCATTCAATTGGTCCTCCTATCCGCGTTTCGTCCGCTACTCACGCCGCGGCTGGTACGTAGCCGAGCGCGCAGATGCCCACGTCCACTTGGGACCTGTTTGGGCATTGGTATCTCCTGTGAGCATCAACGTTCATGTCGCCGATCCGGACACGATTCAAGACATCGTGACACGTCGTGGCGACTTCCAACGTCCCTCTGCCGAACTCAGTGAGTACTAGTCTAGCTATAGACTGTGTCGACCGTTAGCTAGCAGACCACTATCTAACCGCATCCAGAAATCTTGGAACTATACGGACCATGCATCTCAACTGCGAGATGGCCAGACTGGCCACGCCACCGCAAACCCATGGCCACGCCGTTCAATGAGACTATCATGGCCTCTGTCTGGGGCGAGTCGCTCCGCCAAGCCCGAGCCATGGTACAGACGTGGGTGGGCTTCTCCGACGCTGGGATTCAGAGCTATCAACGAGACACCCGGGCACTTTCGCTCAATGTGCTTGCGGGTGCTGGCTTTGGCAAGCCATATGACTTCCGCTCTTCCACGGAACCTGTGACCGATGAGATCGGGGAATACCGTGACTCATTACAGACGGTTCTGGACAACATCATCCTCCTGCTTGTCGTTCCGTTTCGCGTGCTGACCATGGTTCCTGGTAGATGGACCCGCATCGGCAATGCCGGCATCTCATTCAAGCAACACATGGTGAAGATGCTGGAAGATGAGACCACGGCTCTGAGCGAGGGGAAGAGTGGCTCAGGCGGCATCCTGTCAGGCTTTGTGCGTGCTGCCGACCTTTACCATCGTGATTCTGTAGTCGATCCGGATTCTACGGGCGGCAAAAAGGGTCTCTCTCCTGAAGAGATTTATGGCGACTTGTTTGTCATCAATTTTGCCGGGCATGATACTACCGCCAATACCTTGGCTTTCGCAACGCTGTTGCTAGCTGCACATCCTGATTTCCAAGCCTGGATTGCGGAAGAGATCCAGGCTGTGACCCAAGGCGAGTCAGTGGAGAAATGGGACTACAAGGAGCTATTCCCACGGCTTAATAGGTGTCGTGCGGTGATGTACGAAACCCTGCGCCTATTTCCCCCGGTTCCGGCTTTGCCCTCTATCACCTGCGACCACACCCAAGAGTTTCAGGTCGGCGATAAGACCTATACCGTACCGGTAGGTATCAACTTCACTGCCAATCTGCGAGCCATGCAGACGCATCCCCAGTACTGGCCAGATGCGAACGAGTGGAAGCCTTCCCGATGGGTCTTGAATGCAGCGCCTGGTAGGACCCCTTCTTTTGCACAAGTTGGACAGGAAAGCTTTTTCGTTCCGAGCAAAACTGTCTTTTTCCCGTGGGGTGAAGGTCCCCAAATTTGCCCCGGTAAGAGATTCGCAGAGGTGGAGGCCGTTGCTGTGATAGCATGCCTGTTCAAAGCGCACCGGCTGCAGATCAAGAAAAAACAAGGGAGAGAGTGATGATTCGGTGCACAAACGCTTTGAAAAGTGCGTAAATGATGTTGACCTCGAGATGTTGGTGAGACTCCGAGATGCAGATCAGATAACTCTGTTGTGTAAAGAGGTGTAATTGATTTGGGTTACCTATGCTGCAGTGGGGACAACCTGTGTATACCTACCTGCCTAGACACGTACCTAGATACCGCCTACCTAGGTGGTCAAGTAGACCAGTGTTTATTATAGACACTTCAGATATTACTTACTGAGTGTATAACAAGATTGATGGAACGAGCTTTTGTCAAGTATGGATCTCCGTTCACAAAAGTGTATACCATCAAAAGTATTGTGGTTTTTTAGGTATCAAACATTCTCAGTTTACACGGTTTCTCGTATTTGTTCTTCATTGTGGTGCAGAAGCCCAAAACTACTTGTTGCCGGGTCATATGGTATACGAAACATCCTAATATTCACTACCTCCGAAACTCTAGGCATTTCACTTTACAGACGCAAGTATGCTATGATCACTCTGCCTCTTTGTTTCCTTGATTATCCCCAGCCCACTCAGCTTGGACAATGGCCGTTCTTGCACCGGGCGGTACGGTGGTACCAACGAACTTGAACTTTTCGTCGGCCATAGCAAATAGAGTGTGAAATTGATGTGTCGATTTGAGGATGGCTATTTCGTTGGACGATGCTCGAAAGGTGATATAAGTTAAAACAAAAAGCCTGGAAAGTGCGGCGTCAGAAACTGCTGGAAATAATCTGGCTACCGCCTTTTATTGTGCAGTACGTATGTAGTGCCGTGTAGCACACGACATGATTGTAAGCTCGTCGACTGCCGTTGCCTCTTTTGAAGTGGGGAGGAAGGGCCAATCAAGTGACTTATCCCGGTCATCTACTCAACAAGTCAGTAAAGTACTATCTTGCTCATGACTTGCATTTGATGATGTGAGTGATACTGAATGCCGGCAGGTGGGTACAGTGCCTTTCTGATGATAATGTGCATCTTCTTCTATGTGCTATGGTATTGTCTCGGTCTTTTCGACCTCCCCACAAATGCATTGGGAATCGTTCTTGGCAAGTGTTCCGCGCTTTTGCATATTGGGGGCCAAGGGGCCCTGCTTGGCCCTGCTTCCCTGCTTTACTCGGCGCTTCGACTTCACGGATGCGTACCTACCAGGCAGTAGTGTATCGGCACGTTGGTTGTTGGTGCGCGCATATCCGTGATGGAGGTTGATCCGTTACGGCCCGCTTGCCGTTCCTTGTTGGCAATCATTGGGGGCATAACATCCTATAATTTAACAGCATTTTTATGACAACACCTGCAAAAGTTTGGCCATAAGCACACATGATCGTAATAATGCGAATGCGCGCAAAATAAAGATATCTTACTAGTAAGTTTTCATTTGCAAACGGATGAGTTGTTGGAATAATAGGATTTGCGGTTTCGTACGAGGACGGCATCTAGATAGATATGTAGTATAAATTGGTTGGCTAGCCACCACAGCCATAGCGTGGCCAACGGATGCTAGCATCCGAACGCCGTCAGGCGTTATCTACAGGTCATCGTGCGAAGGGAAATATTCCCTTTGCACGAGACGTTAAATATAGATCTATTTGCCGTCACCGGTTGTACGAAGTGAAATCCATCTGGATGGTGAAGCCAATCTACATGAATCGTTATTGCCTGATACCGTTGTAAACCGATCTGGCTGTTCCTGAACACTATGGGGTTGATCAGCGTGCTCAAGCACACCCTGGTGCATGGGATCTATGATCCACAATAAGCCTGCAATGCGTACAATTTAGAGATACAAAACATAAATCAATACAACACACTAATAATACCCAATAATCCAATATTTATGCAAGTCAGTTAAGAATACTAACAAGTACTAATGGTTATTACCAAGTACTCCGTATGTGGTGAAGTCAAGCCCCAGATTCTCTACTTCCCACCTTGGAGCGATTCGACCAGCGAGCGCGGTGGTGTGGGCCACGAACAGAGCCTTAAGTTGCGCGATGACATGGCAAGCGAGGCGCGCGTCGGGCCGCTGCGGTTGTCAAACTTAGGATGTTGATAGGCGTACACGTGTACTAGTTCAGCTATACTAATTTTTCCGCAGAGGCGGTTCGCCTTTTCAGCTTACGGTACGTGTCGAATCCACAAGCTGATTCGCCCACCAACGGGGCTATGAGATTGTCTCGCGCTCCCCTAGGTAAATACAGATCCACAGAAATATGCAGCGACATATGTACTAATATATACCTAGATAATGGCTGTGTGGGGGGATATCATGCCGAGGCATTGCTACTAAAAGGAAAGGTCCGCGTAAGACGACAGAGCCTTGGTCTTCATGCTTCCCTTTTACACGCATTTCATTCATCGCGACCAAAGATACGAGTTCTTATGCCAAGACGCAGCATCAACAATGGAACCAGTCTCAAGAGCCCTTGACCTTTGTCATTCTTGTCGCGACGCGACCGCCCGCGCCTTCTCAGAGGCAAAACATTGTGTTGATATCCTACAACCCAAAGGAGACTTCTTAGATGCGCAACGTAAGTGCTATATCTGTACATGGATCGGATACAGTATTGGATCGCAAGCGCTCGAGAATCTGTCTGAAAACCTGGGGAAACAGTTCGGTTTTCTTTTCTACTACGGGGAGCAAACCATCTTGTGGATGATAATCAGATATGGGCTTCCAGGCCCTCTTGGGTTGCGTTTCTTTGCGACCAACAATGCAGGTATGACTTACAGCATGATCTACATGACCTGCATGCCCTCGAAATCTAACTTATGCAACTAGAATACACACGTTGCTTTCCACCAGCTGCCTCTGACTTTCCCGACTCGCAGTTAGCTACCTTGGCGGAGAGCTGGGTCAGAGATTGTCTGCAGAATCACGCAGAATGCACCCTGGCGAAGAAAGACTTCCGACCGAAGAGGCTAGTCCAGATTCTTAACAAAGATTTTGGAAGGCTTGTGCTTCCTAGGGAGCTGCCACCAAAAAAGAAGATCGACTATGTTGCAGTATCTCATTGTTGGGGGGATCCTAGGCTGTTAAAGAAGTTGACCGTCGATAACGAACATGAACTCCAGGATAAAATCAAAGTAGCAGATCTCCCAGCGACATTCAAAGAAGCCATTTCAGCTTGTTGGAAATTAGGATTCCGTTTTATCTGGATCGATTCACTTTGCATCATGCAGGGTGACCAAGCAGACTGGCAGGAGCAAGCTTCAGAGATGGGTTCTGTGTATGGAAACGCAGTGCTGAGCCTGTGCATGGCTGGATCAGCAAACTCTGCAGAACCAAGCCTCCAATCCAGAAATACCGATCTCACATTGCCTCTATGTATCACTCTCACCGGTGGCAATGGGGAAAAAACGACACTTCGCTTGGTTTGCAATAGGTCATTTGAGGACGATATCAAAGCTTGTCCACTACGCAAGCGTGCATGGGTCTTCCAGGAATGGTATCTCGCAAAACGCTCACTCATATTCGGGCGTATGCAGCTTTGGTGGCACTGTTGCGAAAAGCTGGCGTGTGAGACCTTTCCGGATGGGATTTCTGGTTCAATCGCTTTCAAATCTGCCATTGGCATTACAGATGCGGAGACAATGAAGGGTAAAGTCTCGAAAACACTACAATCTCCTCAATTTGCTCAGAAGCTTTGGTGGGACCTGATTAAGCAGTATGCCAAGACGAAGCTAACTAAGGAAGCGGAAGATCGGGTTATTGCCTTTTCTGGTATCTCAAAAATGTTTGGGGAATTTCACAATATCGAAAGTCAATACACTGCTGGTATGTGGAGATGCCACCTCCCACGAGCACTCCTATGGTATCGATATTGCGGAGGTGAGACGTTTCGTTCATTGGATTACAAAGCCCCTTCATGGAGCTGGATGTCGCTTGACGGGCCCATAACCCTCGAAGATGATTCTGATGGTCAGAGTCCCACAACGCCGCTTATCGCACCCCACTATTGCTGCTCAGTCGATACAGTCTACCTGCCCTTAGAGGACAAAAGCAATGCGACTGGTCGGCTTCAGGGCGGTTCTGTCCGGATCAGTGGCCATCTCCTTGAACTCACGGAGAGAGATGAGGACACCCTTCCAAATCATATCTCACTCAAACATTTTGGGGAAAGCTCTGGCATGGAAGAAATACGTTGGGATGAGGAAGACGACAAAGGAAACAAGATTGTCTCCTATCTTGACAATGTGGTCATGGAGCTATGTCAAGGGGGTGATATTACGGGATGTTCAAGGACCAGGGTGGCATTGGAGCAAGCCACAGGCTCCTTCTTTGCTCTCCCAATTATACACCAAACAGATGACGACAACCTTGCCGAAGTAATTGTGGCAGGCCTCGTTTTATATCAACCTCCACACCTGCCCGACATCTTCTACCGTGTTGCAAGCTACCAAGTACCGAGCGATTCGGAATGGGACTTCACTGCTTTCTCGGATAGGCTCCACGCGCATTTCCCTAGACGATCAATTTTTATCCTTTAGGTAGAGCATGATCTTCAAAATCAAGCCTGTAGATGTCACGCTCGCGTACATAATATCTACGGCACATTGTCAGCTCAGGTTTATCGGGGTGCTCTTTAGCATCTCTCTTTTGTAGCTATTCAGAATAAAATACTGGTTTTTATTCCATTTCACACATTAGCTTAGGTGAAATAGAAAAGAAATCAATGGCATCCCTTGTGCCGCAACTGAAATGCATCACGTTTGCATGCATGACCGCAGATCATCGTCCGACTCATTTCAATTACAGCAATCACTATATATTCCAAGTCCCTTTCTAAATATAATGAGGATCTCTCGAATCAATAGTGAATTTTGATAAAGCCATCGAGAAACTTTGATGGGAAGAAGGCGCATTCTCCTCCCTGTTATCATTCATCCTAATATCAATCGTCCCTCAGCGTATAAAGTAATATACAATTAACTAAATTGCTAACTAGCAACAACCTCGCAAACTGCAAAAGTTCGAAGCTTTAATGGCAGATGCTAGAGTGGCCACACACCTTCAGTCTTTTTACTCACGTATTTGCTTTTGACCGATTTTTTATAAATGACACCGCATTAATCTTGAGGCTGACCAAGATGGAAAAAAAAAAAAAAAAAAAGGGTCCAACAACGGCAAGCGGAGTGTCTATTGTGATGTTCTAAACGGTTTTCCGGCTGCATACCGTAGCGGAAAACCCCGGTTCTGGACAATGATTGTTAGAGCCAACAAGCATTATTGAGCTGACAATCATTGTTGGTCTGACAATCATTGTTGACTTTCAGCCGTCACCAGCTAGGGACTATCACCTATTGGACTTTTTTGCCAGCTGCATTCGACTTAGAGAAAAGAAAAGTTACGATTAACTGACCGTACGTATGACTGTATGGTAATTGACTGCATTACAATTAACGCTGCACTGGTTATATGGGAACTGGACTGGGAATTAGACTGGGAACTGGACTGGGAACTGGACTGGAAACTGGCTGTAGAACTGGCTGTAGAACTGGCTGTAGAACTGGCTGTAGAACTGGCTGTATAGGCTATATGGGCTGTATGCGCTGTATGCGCTGTATGCGCTGCTGTACTGGCTGGCCACTTCTGATCTGGATCGTGACTTCCACCCCTTCTTTGGATTTAATAAATTGCAATAAATTACTTCCAAATATGCAATCGTGACCCCGTAGTAGAACCGTAAAACTGTAAACCCGTAATCGTAAACCGTGAGTTTAAATTAAGTGTGTATTTCTTTTTCTTGCTAGTAAAAAAAAAACAGGTTATAATACCAGGTCCCAATATTCTGTATAGTGGGATTAGTTTTTTTTTTTTTTTACAGGCCACCTAATAAAGTCACGTGCCTGCCACCAAAACTTTGCTTGTTTGCCCAATAATGATTGTCACCTGAACAATCATTGTTTCCCAAATCCACCCCACCCCGGTACGGTATATTATAACGGAACCTAAATACGGGGCGGTAGACAACGTCAAAAAGTAGGGTCTCGATTATGGTAACGGAAAAAGTCAGCAGACCCCTGTCGTGCCGCAATGGACATATTGCCAAACTTCATGACGTGTTGGGCCAGAAGCGTTGCGTGCGTATCCTTGCTCAACTTCAAGTAGTCGATTTTGTACGTGATTGTTAAAATCTTGGCGCCGGCGGGGCTTACTAACTATATGCATACTGTGTTCACTGCTTAAAAACGCGGCAGGCGTCGGGCTCTCAAGGCCCATTGGGACTTTAGCAGACAAGGAAGTAAGACAAGCGACAATGAATGACTGTTGGGGGGCGGTAATCCGCCAAATGTAACCCCGCTTCGCTTCTTGCTCCCGAAAGCCAGACATGAGTCCTGCAGTTGAAATGCGGAAGCACCGCCTTGTCGGCTTCATGCGATGACCTGATGCTGCTCAATCATGCCCAAAACGAACGCCAATGCAAAAGTTGATAGCAACGACATGACAAGCGCACAATCGATCATGCGCAGCGGACTCGAGGGTAGTGAAGGACCAAAGACTCGTAAGTCTTCGAACTCTGCGGCTTCCAACGTTCCAGACTAATTTGGACATGTACTTAGACGATGGCGTCCCGGAATCTCAGCCTCACAAACATAAGCGCGCCGTTGACATGCCTGATAAGGTACCTGGAATTGCACCAGAAGAGTATACGGTAGGCTTGGTGTGTGCTCTTCCGTTGGAAATGGCCGCCGTGGAGTTGATGCTCGATCAGACCCACCCAGAGATTCCAGAACAGGATCCAGCCGATCATAACAGTTATACCTTGGGCCAGATTCAGGGGCATAACGTCGTTATCGCATGTCTGCCTGCAGGAACTTATGGAACAACGACCGCTGCCACGGTCGCCAAAGACTTGTTGCGAACCTTTAAGTCGATACGGTTTGATCTCATGGTCGGCATTGGAGGTGGAGCACCGTCACGAATACATGATATACGACTTGGCGATATTGTGGTTAGCCAACCTGATAGAACTAACGGAGGCATCATACAATATGATCGAGGGAAAATAGTAAAGGACGGGGAGTTCCAACGTACTGGGTCTCTCAATGCGCCACCCCAAACCCTCCTGACTGCGCTGGCCCGTCTACAGGCCAAACATATGATTGAAGAGAGTCGAATCCCTCAGTTTTTAGATGACCTTGTCACCAAAGTCCCCAAGAAAGCAAAGAAGAAATTCAGCTACCAGGGTGCAATTCATGATTGCCTGTATCTGGCAGAGTATGATCATATCGACGCGGGGTCGACGTGTGAGGAATGTGATCGTACTCGGACTGTGCAACGAGACGAGAGAGACGACACAGATCCCGTTATTTACTACGGGACCATCGCCTCTGGAAACCAGGTCATCAAGCATGGTACAACACGCGACCGGTTAAGCAAAGAACTCGGAGCATTATGTTTTGAGATGGAGGCTGCGGGGTTGCAAGACTTCCCTTCTCTTGTGATACGTGGTATTTGCGACTATGCCGACTCACACAAGAATAAGATGTGGCAAGAATACGCGGCGGCGGCATTTGCGAAAGAACTTTTGTCGTACGTACGACCAGATCGAGTTTTGCAGGAGAAACCAATTCCGCAGTTGGTGCCTAGTGAGTAAATTTCATGACTAGTCAATTCGTGGTGAGATGCTATTCGTCACAATAGTCGGGAGAGAATCACGCTTGTGCTTCCAAGTCATAGCATTGAGCATCGTGTACTTATAGTTTCTTATGTCAAAGGCGTAGGCAAGATATTGACATACGATCGTTGCTTCTAGTCGCAAAGGAACAACTACAAGCCTCGAAGAAGCATCTCGATGTGTCAACTGAGCATCTCGAAGAGCACAAGCGCACCAAGTAGGCAACGTTTCATTATTATGCGGAGGGTCTATTAATAGAGGAGTAGTCAAATGCTAGAGAATCGCCCTTTAGACCTTCACACCGTTCACAAAGCACGCTACGATAGTGTAGACGTTGGAGACAGCCCGAGATGCGTGAGCGATACTCGGCTTCGCATCCGGCAAGCGATCTCTGCTTGGGCCGACCAAGACTCTGGCGAGTCTATCTTCTGGCTTGTCGGCCCGGCAGGGACCGGTAAATCGACCATCATGCGGACTGTCGCTGATTCCTTTACCAAGAACAAGCGTCTAGCTGCTGGCTACTTCTTCAAAAGAGGAGAGAAGGGTCGTAACGACACCAGTCGGTTATTTGCGACTCTTGCCATGCAGTTAGCCGATGCTATACCTTCTTTCAAAAATTGTCTTAGAACATCTCTTGGTGATCTTGACGGAGATGCAGTAGAAAAGAAGGGTCTTGCCGCACAATTCGAGAAGCTCCTGTGGTCTCCTCTAGGACAATTGCCTCCTGCCAATACGAGCGAAGTGCCCATGGTGATTATCATCGACGCTCTAGACGAGTGTGAGCGCCCTGAACATACCTCGCAGATTCTGACCTTACTTTCGAAATTGCCTGGAATTACTACGGACCGCAACCTCTTACGCGTGTTGCTCGCCAGTAGGTCGGCTTCAGAAATAGTCGAAGCTCTTGAGCCACTGGTAGAGCTGGCTACGAAGCCCGAACCACTCTTCATCTATGCTGCAACTCTTTGCCGGTATGTTTACGATGAGCAGCACCCTCGAGACCCCGAGAGACAGCTGAAGCTTTGGTTCAAGCAATGTGAGGAAAACAAGTCTCAACTCCACCAAATGTACGATCCCATTTTTAGCCAATTGTTCTTCGGAAACAAAAATGGGGAGTCTAGTCGCCAGCTGCTATTCTTGTACGCTCTTACTCTTCTCGCTGCACCACTCCCGGCTCCGGCACTCGTTGCACTTCTCGATCTAGATATGGACGACGTCTACTGGTGGCTTCCGGAGTTGCACGCAGTGCTGGACATCCCTACTGATTCTCAAAAGCCAATGCGTGTGCTCCATAAGTCATTCAGCGATTTCCTCCTCGACCAAGAGAATCTTGGGCCCGATAACGACCAAGTAGAAGCAGCAGATATACACGCTTTGCTGGCCGCAAAATGTGTTCTACTCATGACAGCAGAGCTAAAACAGGATATCTGTGACATACAGAAATTAGATGCAACTCCCGGCGCAGTCGATGAGAAGATTATGAATCAACGCATACCTGCCCATCTCGGATACGCTTGCCTTTATTGGATATATCACGTAGAAGGCAGTGAGCGGTCACCTGAAAACTATGTATACACATTCCTTTTTCAAGATTTTCTTCACTGGCTTGAAGTTTTGTCGCTTCTTGGACATCTCTCCATTGGAACGAGCGCCGTTAGGAGGCTGCCCAAGCTATTCAAGGTTTGTAAGGAACACACAGGATATTCTAAGCTAACTGTTATACCTAGCGCTTTTCCGACACACCGTCAGAGATTGTCAATTTCTTGAATGATGCCAATAGGATCATATTAAGCTTTGGATGAATCGTTGAACGCGCGCCGTTACAAAGTTATGGAGCTTTATTGTTGTTCTCTCCAGTCGCAAGCGAACTGCGCCAAAGGTATTGGAGCCAACGCCTGCCCAGTCTCAATCAAGTCCAGGGTGTAAAGGCTCGCTGGGATCCATACTTGCAAACGCTTGAAGGTCAGCACGATTATGTGAGCGACCTTGCATTTTCGCCAGATGGTGAGCTTCTAGCTTCAGCAACAGATGAAGGCATGATCCGATTATGGATCGCAGCCACCGGTAGCCACTTGTTGACGCTTGGAGGCTATGGTGGTCCTGCTGCCAAAGTGATTTTCTCGCCCAACAGTCAGTATTTAGCATCAGTATCAGACAGTAAGACTGTCAAAATCTGGAATGTGATGACTGGGACGTTCATGCACACGCTCGATGGCAATATGTCCGCTGCAGTACGACAAGGGTCAGCTGACTCATCTCGAGGCTCTTGATAAAACACACACCCCCCCCCCCTCCCTTCGTTTTTTTTTTGGGGGGGGGGGGGGGGGCGGTTTAGCGCCGAGCAAAACTGGGTTACGGCGAATTAAGGCTATTTAGGCATGATTTTCCGAGTTGCTTCTTTATTCACTAATATGCCTGCCAGACGCATGTTTATCCCGCTATAAGGCTGTGTTCATAATGCAGGTGTAGCATAGCCACCAAGGTATTTGGCCTAACTGTTATGAGCATGCACCCTTGCATACGACAAACAAATGTGTTGGTACTTAAGAATGGAATAAGGGGCTCAGCACCGAAGGCCGCAAGAAAAAAAATAAACAAAGTCCTAGCCACCTCTGTTAGCTAACGACAGTGGCCAAGTATAGAACACCGGCCCTGGCAGGAGACCAAGGGATAGCAATAGTGATTAGTGGTTTTCACTGATTACCAGTGAACAGTCATGGACATGAGCCGATCAGAAGGAACATCAGTGAGGGAATGAATGGATATATACTACAGAAGGATTTCCTACATAGACAGTCATTACCTCAGTGATCAATCTAAGCATCTATCCTACCCATAGGTGAAGCACTTAATACGCTTTGACGACACACTTGTGATACTTAGTTCAATCATCTCACCTTTGTTACTCATTGCTCAATATTTATTTCTAGGCTATCGTACCCTGTTAGCATAAACCCCAAAACCCCTTATACTTCAGGTTTATTCTAGAAACCCGTAGTATAGTCGTTACATAATCCTCGCTAAGGCATAGAGTAACAGCTTAGTAATCGTTGATCCTATGTGCCCTCCCAAAAACTACCCACTTAAGTTTAAAAACGCCGGATCCTGGTTTACCATAGCAAGGCCTGGAGATATACCTGATTCGCCAACATTCCAGCTCGGCGCATCTTTGTCCCGCTGTAAGGCTCTTTCAGTCTTGCATGTCTCAGCATGCAGCTGCAGCATTGCCACCAAGGCGTACAGCCTGACGAGGCTCCGGAATGCCTTGGGCGTAGAGGTATTTTGCGAATATTTTGCCCGTTTAATTTGCAATTCTAGGGAAAACAATATTATAAAAGCAATTATTAAACTCTCGCTTACACAGCTTTACTTACAATAAATAATACTATGTTACAGCTATTTGAAAATGCCTAATGCGTTATTTTGAAAGGGTGGAAAACCAACGTAACACACACCCCCACCTGTATTTTTATTGTTGCACGAACGTAATTAGTACCCACCGCAAATCACCTGCTCGGGTATATAGTTCGCTCTTTAGCACCACCCTTTCACAGATTAAGGAGATCAACTTCGACATCTTTTTATGCTTCTTCGATGAAATCTTCCCCTTCATATATTGGCCCAGGTTAGATTTATTTATTTCAATATAATTCCGAGACCTACCCCCATATCATCACCCAAATACCTCCAGCCTTACGATATTTTCTTCGCCGTGTATCGAAGTCCGGAAGTTTTCGCATTGAAAAGGCTCGAGAAATAAATAAGTACTGCCGCCGGCCTAAACAACAAGGAGCTACCCTAGCCGCATGGCTCTTATGCCCCGTCCCTATCGCAAAAGTTAAAAATAAGGCATCGATGGACCCAGATACATCGTATGTCTAAGAGCCGACCGTACCCCAGCGCGGATATAAAAGTATCGCAATGTCTTTTCAACACAAGGAAACACCCATCCTTTGCTCTCGATGCCAACATATCGATTTTAGAACAGTGCTCGAACTAGAGAGTTCGATCCTCAAAGACAAATGGAAACATGGCGTCTTGGTAGCCAAAATCAATACGGATAATCATGAGTCTCAGCTCCACAACTGTCAGCTATGCTGGTTATTTGGTCTCATGCTCAACACTACTGCTCGCCCTCTTAGTAAAGATTGGGAACTTCGAGCCTATTCGTCATTCCAAGGGCATGGATACAGTGTGGTTCAAAGACTTCCTGCTGCTTTAAGGGCAAAAGACCTACCACGTCTTGCTCTTGTACCATCTTCGTCAACAAATCTTGATTCATTAAAGCCGCCAGTCAGTCTGCTTTATTGCATTCCTTCCGAATATACATACGAAAAGATTTTTATGCCGAGACCAATAGATCAAAAAGTCAACTATCGTATTCTACAGACCTGGATCGAAATTTGCAAAGAGAAACATCGAACTTTGTGTCACTCCCGACCGAACGAGACACCTGGCCTCAAGGTCATTGATTGCAGGTCGCCCGGTTCACAGCTTGCTATTGTGCTTGCTCCACCAGGCCATGCTTACATAGCTTTGAGCTACGTCTGGGGTGTACCTCAGAAGCAAACAAAAGACGAGTGTAGAGATCAGGCCTCGAAAAGCTCATACAACTCTGATTATCAGACTGTTATCAGAGATGCGAAAGAGGTTGTACTACAATTAGGTTACCAATATCTTTGGGTCGACAAGCATTGTATTGATCAGGAAAACGATACTGAAAAGGAATTCTTCGTCAACAGCATGGACAAGATTTACAGCGGAGCCGAACTTACCATCGTAGCTGCTGCTGGCATCGATGGCGATTTCGGATTGCCCGGAGTTGGATCGAGGCAACGCAGACTGCAGCCAACAATTCAGCTGAGCGATGCCCAATTGATCAGCTGCATGGAGCATCCACGCAATTCTATAATGGCCTCTAAGTGGGCCACACGAGCGTGGACGCATCAAGAGGCTCTGCTTTCACAAAGGCTTTTGTTCTTCACAGAGTTTGAGACATACTACGAATGCCACTCCATGCAATGCCGTGAAAGTATCTCGGCCGACTGGAGTTCGTTGCATTGCAAACAAGGAAAACTCTATGCGGGCTTGAATCGTGGGTTGTTTCTGGGAAAAGTTTCCAGCTCCCTGTCTAGTTACGGAAGTTCGTTCCAAGGACTAGGCAGGTTTTATGAGCAAGCCTGCCAGTACACATCAAGAGAAATGTCGTATGAAAGTGATTCCCTGCGAGCTTTCATCGGTATAATGAAACGTTTCAGGCAGGACAGAGTTCCCATTCTCCAACTATGGGGGATACCATTCCTTCCTTCGATAGATAAATCAGACGATATCAACAAATCATTCATAGCTGGACTGATGTGGTCACATCGTTCCAACTTTCGGTCTGAGCCACAAGGTCCAAAGCGTCGTAATCAATTTCCGTCGTGGGCGTGGTGCGGTTGGCATGGTCAGGTCGACTTTTTGGTACGCTCTGTAGCGTTCTACAAAGGGCTGACCAACCGCATCATAGATTTGCGGCTATCTAACCATGGTAATGGAGACGTACGCTTGAATAGTCTTGTGGGCAAAGATTGTTTGCTAGCTCCCGAAGTCTTGGTCTGCAGAGTCTTAGTGCTTCAACCCCACGGCTTCCTGTTGCGATTCAACCGCGGTACAACGACCAATTGTAAATTATGCAGCACATTTCATCCTCCCAATGGCACAACAGAGCCATTTCGCATCATCCGGCCACCCATCAGGAAGGGTCGAAAGCCTAGGTCGCAGGCTAGGCGATATCCTGGCACCACATCACAGCTTAACTTATGCAAAGGGCCGAAGATTTTAACTCGCTTACCTGAGTACCTGGAGTCGAATCATGTAAAAGTGATACTGCTAGCGACATCCAACGTATGTGGGGGGAGAAAGCTGCCTGTTTCATTCTTTCTTCTTGTCGAACCGATAGGGGACGTATTTGAGCGTATAGGTTTACTCAGCGTGAATGCAAGTTGGGAGGCGTTGCGCAGTGATTATCAATTTCTCGAGGAACAAATCTGCCTTCAATGAATGCCATGCGTTGTAGTAGGTAAAAACAGAGAAAGTTATAATTAATGGTTAAAAACGATCAGAGGATAACGAATAAAGACATATTTCGTAGATTATTGATATATAATGTTAATGCCAGTCGTTTAGATTGAAATGGCGATAATAGTGGGATTAAATGCAGAAATTACAGTCAGGATAAACCCAAGTATCTACACTAATTTTGGAGCCCTTTATTGTCAGCTTGGCCGCAAGAATGCATGGGATTCCCACCAAACCGGCTGCTTTTTCCAGGCCGAGAACGTCACTCGACAGGTGCTAGCTGCCTGGGTTATTCTGCAATAGAGTGAAGGGTAGAAGGCAGAGGGCAGTTTGACTTCTCGCCGAACAGTGAGCTCCTTGCATCGATGCATAGACTCATAAGTTACTGGAATGTGGCGACGGGTACCCGCCAGCACATGCTAGACAGCTCGGGCGACATATATAACGCTGCTTTCTCGCTCAACACACGGCTTCTGGCTGTGGCGCGGGAGCGGTTGAATCATGCAGGGGGGACGATCAGTATTTTGGATGCGACGACGGGTCAATGCCGACAAACGATTTACGGGCACCGGAAATTTGTTACGGACATTGTCTTCGCATGCGATAGCCAGCTTGTGGCTACAGCATCAGCCGATCGAACCGTCCGGATCTGGGATGCAACAATGTGGTTACCCCGACAGACCCTGAGCCATAGCGATTACCTCACAAAACTTAGGTTCTCACCTGGCAATGATCTTATAGCGGCAGCATCATTAGACAGGACGGTGCAGCTATGGAGCTCAACGACGGGCATGCATCTACAGTCTTTTTGCTATGACAAAGGCCTCGTACACGAGATCTCTCTCTCTGAAAACGAGCTTGTGGTGTCAGTATCAGACGACGACTGGGAGGTGCGCTGGAGTCCCTGGCGTTCAATGGCTCTAAAAGTCCACACCTACGGTATAGCTGCTCAACAGACAGTCACGCCAAATTTAGCCGTTCGTGGACTTGGTCTTGATGCGGATCAGACCTGGATCACGAAAGATTCCGAGAGAATCGTATGGCTTCCTCCAGAATACCGACCCAACCGCCGTCAAGCTTGGGCTCGAAGCGAGTCAATGATCTTTATTGGCCATCGTTCAGATCAACCTATCCGATTTCGAATCTCTTGACTGCATGCTTTCTTCTTGCAATGAATCTCTTCCAGGATGACGGAATGTGTATATCTTCCCTTGTACACATCTAGCTGCCTTTGCTCATGATGCCGATATGGTTGAGCTGCATGTGCCGTCAAAAAGGGCATATCACAAGAACATCACTTTGATGCTGATTTCGAGCCTTATTCATATGTTTTCATCGCGTTGCAGGCCACAGGCTCTCTAAGCCCGCTGGGAAAATTGAGAGCAGGCTTTTGTTTGCTGAATATAAGATGTTTTGACAAGATTAGTTGTTACATACGACCATACATACTAGAATATACGGCATCCCGTCCGCTCTGCCCTAGTCAAACTAGTAATGGCCGGATTAGTACTCAGATCGGTGACGGCTGGGGAATACCTGGTGTTGTATGTTTTTGGCATTTTTTTCTACTCTCCAGCTACCTTTTGGAGTTTTGTATCTTTTTAGCATCATTAGCTCAAAACTTGATTATTTCATACTTCAATTGATGAAGAGGTGGGAAGCCTTTTTACGCTGCGAGCCACTATTGTGGGGCCCCTCGAGACATGATGTTATGCTGGAACCACATCGAGTTGGCCGACATTTTGTAAAGCTACCAAGACGGTGCAATCATGTAATTCCTAGTGCTTCCATATGCAGCATCTCTGAACAAATCAATTGTTCCCTCAACTCCCTCTGGACCAACAGTCCATGTGCCGTCGTTGATCAAACTCGTCCAGAGATCAAAGAGCCGTGACAGTCTCTGCGCCCTCCACCATTCCCCACCAAATGGCTTATACCCATGCTGGAATAGCTCAGCAATACTCCCTTCTTCCATCAGAGTGCCATCGCTCTTCCTCGCACCGCTCTCCTCCCCGTGCTCGCGAAGAGAAAATGGGAGCAAAAGCCTGAATCCTTCCTCTGCGTTGTCTATTTTAAACCTTTCCACTGACTCACTGTACAAGCCAGCCGGAATCGAGTGGTCGCCATGGGACACTCCATCTCGGAATGCCTTACAAAATGGATTCAGCGACACGTAGCGGTTCAAAGAATCAAAATTGACAGTCGCGCCATCGGCGGCGGCGAAAAGAAGCACCGGCGGTACGACGAGGCCGTATTCACTTGTTGCATCCATCTTGGTGAACTTCTGTGAAGCTTCAAAGGCTGCTGCATCATGCGGTATGATCAGCCCTGGTGCGATGGCCCTGAAGCGCGGACTTGCAAGACGAGCCAAAAAGTGGCGGGCAAAGCAATCCTTTGGTACCAAGGCTGCGTCCAGATCGGCCTCGCTGAAAAGTAATCTTGAGGTTTGTGCATCAATCGGTGAATCGATTGGCATACGCTGTTCGATGGCCGCCACCAGTCGATGAAAAGAGGCCACCGCATCATCGACCTGCGCCATGCTATATGGCTGCCAGATCCAGGGGCCGTACTTTTCGTTTGGCGCCTCGTCTTGTGAGGCAGTAATCTTTCCAAGCTGTATTAAACTGATCCACTGACTAAGCACTGTTTCTAGCGGGTGCCAAAGCTCTTCGTGCTCTTCCACTGGATGCGTGTACTCAAAGTCTTCTATTCCTAGAGACATGGCGGCACGGTGGCGACGCTGGTCGTAGATCAATCCAGCCGGATGTTCACCCATTCCGTCGTTGGTAGCATAGAGCGTGAGAAACCGGTCCTCCTCGTCTTCAGGCATCATCTCTTGGGCAACAAAAACGTCGGATGGCTCGCACAGACCCGACACCCAAAAGTATAATGGCAGCGGTTCACTGGGTATCGCGGCTGCTTCAAGGAAGGCGATCAGTGACGTGTCCAGTCGATCTCGGACTTGGTCGGCTTCGTCACCGTGATGCTCGAAATAGTTCTGTGGCTGTAGATCTTGGAGTGCGCGACCGTCCGACTGCCAACCATACTGGACGAGATAATTATGCAGGGCGATGCATCGCGCGACATCCAGGCTACCATCTGTACGAGCAGGTCGTTGAGGGCTAACAATGAATTCATCAACGTCAATTGGAATAGTCAAGTCCATATCGGGAATTGCTGTCTGCGCTGAGAAAGCGTGCTTGATCAGTTGCAGGTATTGGCACAGATATATCCCAAAACTTGCCAGCGTAAGATGAATATTTGACTCGGAGGCGCTATCGTCAATCCATGGTGCAAGTTTAGGGTGGGCCACTGGGAATTTATATAGAGTTTAGAGTCCAGAACACGGCCCTAGCGTGAATAGACAGCATGCAATTCGCTGCACATGACGGGGCCCTGCATGCTGCATACACGCCACAACGTCACCAATGTACATATGTGTATGTATTATAACTGTATCAAACTTTGATCCAATAGCATTGATCTCAGTGCGGGCTCGATTGCTACACTACAGGGACTGTCGGACTAACTTGCAAACTTCCTGACCGGAAGCCGCAATTGTAAGAGCCACACGAAATGAACTCGAGTATTCGCGAACAGACTCAAGAGGAGCGTATTACCACACTTGACTGACCACAATCTGATCCTAGCCAGGCGCGCAGTATTGCAGCATTTAAGTACAAGCACCACTATAGCAATTTGTCCCTAAACAATAATCATTCGTAGAACCACAGTATCCAGACCTTGAGCAACAAGTTCCAAACTGTGTTCCGGTGCAGGTCTTGTTTCCTGCAAAATTAGGGCCACATTCACCATTTGTCGAAGGGCCGCCAATATCTGTGGCGCAGTGCCCCGAGTAGCAATTGCCAGCACCACAGAAGTCAGGCCCAGTGCCACAATAGCCGTAGACTAGGAGATTGGTTAGATTCTTCGCCGCGGGTTCCGTTGACAATGATGATGAGGTTTCAAACTTACTGCTGCAGCAATCTCCAAACGACGGGTTTGTGCAAGTCGTGCCCCCGTGATCCGGTCCGCACGAACCATTAGTCGTCGCCGTGCCATCTCCCGATGAAGCGCAATAGCTGGCGTTGCTTCCGCAATAGCCAAATGGGGAACAGCATCTGGCATTTGGTCAGCAAATTGGCACCTATCTGGACAGTTTGTGATGGAAGATCTCTTACTCCCCAAAAGCACTGCCTACACATGTGACGCCAGGTGGACACGTGCCATTCTGGGAAACTGTCTGTGGCATGACGGGAGCGACGCAGACATCGTAATCTTTCCACAGGTTCGAGCAATTGTTGTACAGGTAAGTGTTGTACTCTTGAAGTTGACTAAAGTTGAGTCCGAATTGGATAGCGACTGTCTGGCAATTGTCGCCTGGCTGTACGAGATAGTAGTTCCCGCATTCCTTGATGCTGCCTATCTGAGTCGGATATGCCGCCGTTGCCGCAGTGTAGTAGACAGCTGTACCCGTCGCACCGGGCGCAGTGATGGAGGGTCTGGGCTGGGGAAATGTGCCTCCCGGCGCACTGTAGACACTTGAGCCTATCAATCGTGTATCAAGTGTATGAAATGTACGAACCCCTTGCAAACTCTCTGGCCGAGTGCTACACCATCACAGCTACCCTGAATGTTGGAGTTCCAGCTAAGGAACTGCGCCTGTGTGACATTGTATGTCGAGTTTGAATATCGTCGAGCCAAGTCGGAACTAATGGTCGTTGCGTTATTCATCATGCTGCAATAATAGGAAAAATATAACAGAAAACGTACCAGCTCGGAGAGTCCCAGACAGTATCGAGCTTACAAGGAAGTGGTAGGCAGATGGTAGAGGTAAATTGGCATACGAAATCGCCGGTCGCTACTCGCGCATCACCGGTCGAAACGCCATAGCTAGGCAGATCGTCAACTCAAGACGGTCCAGTAATACACAATTGAAAATAATCAACTTACGTGTCGCTCAAATCGTTACACGTGAGAAAGTCGTCTTTAGGCTGAACTAACTGACCAATACAGGTAGGCGTTGCACTTGGCGCGCCGGTCGTCGAGTTGATTGTTGTTGGAGTAGAAGTAGCACTTCCGATATACAGGGTGGACGAGCTTGTGGAGTACGGCAACGTCGTCGAACACTTTCTCTGCAGATCGTCAAACTCGCCAATAAGGTAGTCGGTAAAGTTGGATTGGGAAAGCCATGGATCGAGAAGCCGCTGTCTCATGATTTTCAGGAAACATTCACTGCAATACTAGTTGCGACACAACTTTTCGTCAGCGTCAATGGTGGGATGATTGATATGGTTTCCACGTACGAGCTTTGAATCATACAAATTTGTCAGTGCCGACATGTCAGGCGATATCTCATCGGGGTCGAATGTTGAGTCATTGCACTGAGGCGGCAGGTCTTCCAGATCTGCACAGAGCAATGGGTCCCATCGGATGTAGTCACTGCCTTGCCAGCTCTGCGACTCGAAAAAACACCAATTCGAGTGGCTGTTGCGTGTAAGAAAACCTCATCTTGAAAACTTGCCCGGGAAAGGGATTTACCTGTCCTTCATACAGGCAATGTCTGCATTGTGGGTAAAAGAATGGGTCAATGCCTTGGCTTGCACTTGTGCGCCGCTCTGCCATATGGTCTGGCCGTAGCAGGCCGACTCAACACTGTTGCCCCACGAGTGTAAAGACGCCTGGCAGTCCGCAGTACATAATCTTGTGAGGTTATCCATGTACCAGTCTAAGAGAATATAGGCGTCAGAATGTATTGGAATAACAACAAACGAATGCGATTTACACACAATTATTGTCAATACCAGAACCGATCAGCGTTGACACGCGCTCATCGCATTTGACAGTAGTGTTTCTGAATTCAAAGTGAGCTTCCAGGCGGGCATGATCCATCTGCATCGTGACTCACAGTGCGGATATACAAGAAGTCGTCAAGTTCCATGCTTCCGTCAGTGTGTTTGCATCATAGTAATGGTATAGTTGGAATTCAGCCGCGACGATTGCTGCAAAGAGCGGCGAAAGCAAGGGAATGTTAGAATGAAACATTTCTTTTGCTAGAAATGTCTCCAGTCTCGCGGTGGGCTTGAACCGGCGTGTTTTTGGAAATGATTTCGTTCACGTCTTTGCTTCACTAAAGAGTCCTTCGGATGATTTTCTGATTGCAAGGCCTGCGCAATCGATCAAGAGTAGCAGACCGGTAGCTCCAATCAGGAAATGGATCCGGCCGAGGCCATGTGCAAGTAGTTACATGGTCAGATATTGGCATCTGAGGCTGATATTTAAACTTGCCTCAAATCCAGTAGAGACACTCTATTAAGTGTGTGTTGAATGAGCGAGGTCACGCATCGAGCATGGAAATAGATGCGGAGGATGCAGTCCAAAGGACCAATGTAGTATGCCAACTGTTGACTGCTCCGTGATTGGACCAGTCGTTTTTCCCTTTTTAGTGGCATGTGGAAAGTTGACTTTAACTAAAAGTAATGGGCACAACTCTCGTCTTGGCGGATTAAAGCATGGAATTCCGGACCCTCCGGCTTGACGGCTTTTTCCGGTGGGAAAGTAGAGGCAGTCGAATTGCGTGTATTTATGTTTCACTAAACTCAATGTAACAGATCCGTTCACTGATGCTAACTACACCAAGGCCGTGATTGGCAAACTGTTCAAGGTTGTGCCTCTAATCGTAGGCCAACGGAGCCGTCACAGGTATGATTGGTCTGGCTCCGGGCCGTACCGAGCGAATCCTGGCGCGCCTCCAGGATCACAGCTTTATAGCGAGTAGGCCCCATAATAATAAGGCTGTAGGCGATGTAACAAGGCCTACTCCAACCCGATCTGCTCATGCCCCGGATTTGGCACTATCGAGCTCTTTGCTGGAATTATCCTTCAACTTTGTTGAGCTACAGGGTCATCATGTGTCGAAGGAGAGTAGCGAATTCGGCTGTTCATTCTGGACCAAAGTACTGTTTTGGCCCATGGACGCGCCTGGTGCTCGATCAGAAGCCATTTAAAAACGCATCAAAGGTCCAACGTTGACTTCAAGGCCGTTACCAAATACTTTGACAAAATGAGATATCATACATTTGCAAAAGTCCACCTGAGTACCTAGTCATGCACGTCCGTGATATCTTCTTGACCGGTGCCCTGCTCCTGTCTAGCTCCAGTGCCCAGAATTCTTCAGTTTCCCTTATAGTGAATGCCACTGCTACGACTGGCGTCCAGCTTCCGAACAACGCATCGAAAGCTCTCAAACCTCTTTATCAGCCATATTCTCCCGAGACACCAAAATTCAACAATGAAAGCCTGATACAAGCGCTTTCATCACCTGGCACGGCATCAAATTTCTTCCTTCTGCAGGAATCAACGAATGAAGTGCCAGTCGGCGAATTGCCAGTCGGTACATGTGCCCCAGGTATCCGGTGTACCAACGGTGCCTACTGTAGTAACACAGGTGTCTGCGGCTTTGCTCCTACCAGCTGTGGCAAAGATGTATGCATTTCGGACTGTAAAGCCAAAGCACCATGCGGCCAATACGCCCACCCAGAGAATGCAACGTGCCCACTGAATGTGTGCTGTTCCCAGCACGGCTTCTGTAAGTATTGACAAAAAGTCCGACTTGCAATATCGAAATTGAAATTCACCACCATTTTCTAGGCGGGAGTACTGATGAGTACTGCGGTGCTGGTTGTCAAGTGGGATATGGTGGATGCGGCGGTGCTCCTACCCCGTCGTGCTCGGGCAATTCTGCCATTACGCGCCGAATCGGCTACTATGAGAGTTGGTGAGTGGGCAGTTTAGAGTTCCATGGCAGCACCTCCTCACGCGATACAGGGCAAACACACGGAAATGCGATGTCCGTTCACCAGAGGATATCGATTTGACAGGCATCACACATCTGAACTTTGCATTCGCCTTCTTTGACCCCAAGAGCTTTGAGATTTCCCCTATGGACTCCAATTCCGCTTCGCTATATAAGAGATTCACTGCGCTCAAGTCCAAAAAGGCGTCGCTACAAACGTGGCTCTCGGTTGGAGGTTGGTCCTTCAACGATGACACCAACTCGCCCAATACAAGAACGGCCTTCAGCGACATGGTGAGCTCTGCTGCAAACAGGCAAAAGTTCATAAGCGCATTGCAGAGCTTTATGCAAAGTTATGGCTTCGATGGAATTGATATTGATTGGGAGTGAGTAGGCTTGGCAGGAGATTGACCTCGTTGAGTCTTGAACTAATCGGCCTGGTAGATATCCCGCTGCTTATGATCGTGGAGGCAAGCAGTCAGACTTTGGAAATTATCTTGAGCTTGTCGCCGAGATGAAACAATCGTTTGGGGGATCTTATGGAATAAGTGCTACTGTGCCATCATCATACTGGTACTTGCAACATTTTGACGTCAAAACTATGCAGGAGTACGTTGACTGGTTCAACTTTATGAGCTATGATATTCATGGCACTTGGGATTCTTCCAACAAGTTCACAGGTCCATATGTAAGAGCTTGTTGATAACCCGACATGTTTCGAAAGCTAACCTAATGCTGCCCAGATACGACCGCACACCAATCTGACCGAGATTCAAGACGGTCTTTCTTTGCTCTGGAGAGCAGGTATCAAACCGGAGAAAGTGGTTCTTGGCCTTGGGTGGTATGGACGTTCATTTACCTTGGCCGATCCAGGCTGTACCACACCCAACAAAGTGTGCCAGTTCACGGCGGGTGCCAATCCGGGTGACTGCACAAACTCAGCAGGGACACTCTCCAATGCCGAGATCAAGAGGATACTAAAACGCGGAGCCGCTACAGAACAATATGACAAGACTGCCGCGGTAAAGTGGATGACATGGAACACTGACCAGTGGGTGTCATATGATGACGGCGTAACAATGCAACAGAAGATAAACGCCGCCAACGAGCTTTGCCTTGGTGGTACCATGATTTGGTCTCTTGATCAAGATAATTCCGACGGCGATAGCATGAGCGATCTGTTGGGCGTGGGTCAAGCCAATGGCGTCTCGGCAGAAGAGGCCAAGGCCTACAAGGCGCAGATGGCGAATGCGGCACTACAAAACGATATTGCAGCATCCTGCTACTGGTCGCTATGTGGGAAGCCGTGCGAAAATGGCTACTTTGACACCACCGAAGCAAAGGGCCAAGTTGCCAGTGTTCAACAGAATTCAATCTGCTCTAACGGAGAAGTGCAAACTCTATGCTGTGCCCCTGGAACAACCATGGGCACATGTTCATGGCAAGGGTTCAGAGGGGTCGGCCTGCCTTGCACTCCAGTCTGCAATAATACGTCTGATATCGTAGTCGCACAAAACAGCAACTCCTACCAGGAAAATGAAGCTGGCCAGGTTGCCGATTTGACCTGCAACGGTAAGTTGTTGTCTGAATAAGGTGTCTCATCTCCCCTCGCACTCACATTAGCCACAGGTGGTTATCAGGCATACTGTTGTAATGGGTGAGTATACTCGACTTTCAGGTTTGCGTTGTAACTAATCTGGACTAGATTCATCCCTTCGTCCAAGACAAACACTGGCAACATCTTCCTTTATGGGCAAGGTGTTTTCACCAAACGAAATCTGGTGGGCGACCTGGATAAACGCGGCAAGCCTGCTAGTGTAGCTGCGGGAGTATTGACGGCCGGGTTATGTTCTGCAGCAGTAGCGGCTTTGATTGCGGAAGCTCCGTTCACTTTTGGTATCTCGCTGCTGGGCATCCCAGCCGAAATCGCCTTGTGCGCCGCTGCGGGTATTGTTGTGACTGCTGCTGGCTTCGCAAGTAGACCTGCAGCTCCTGCTCAGCCTCCGCCGGTAAGTCTATAGATACCCTTGAGAAGCCGCTTCAACATGAGACACCAACTCATGAGTATCAATAGCATCACCCACCACCGGTTGCTCAACCCCACACCGGAGTGCCGACCACAATCACAGTAGGCAAGACTGCTCGAGCTTCTTATGGGCAGTGGCCCATTCTGGACTTTGGCTCCGTGTCACAGAGCTCATATTGTGATTGTTTCGTCACCTATACCTGCCGCTATGGTTTGGGTTGGGATGAAATCTGCGATAATCAGCGTTGGGCTATAGACAAGATGCTTAATGGTCAAACAGTTTTTGAAGTCAGACCAAAGGGTCGCGCCCCCAACCGCAACCAGGAGTTATGGGCAAATCAGAGGAAGGACAAGTACCGAACGTTGGTTCAAGGTTCACGTAGAGTCGCCAGTGCACGCTGCGAGGTGGACGAGTTTCCAATGGGCAATCTGGTCGACAGTGGAAACAATAATCCCCAGGCCTGCCGGTTGGTAAACAAGCCAGCCAACGGTGGTGAGTACACCAGAGATATCTTTTATCGCTGAGTCTAGCTGATCAAATACTTCTATACAGCTCAAGGTAGAGATTTCGGATTTTGGAAAACAGCGCAGTGGACACGGTGCTCATCCTTCCGTAAGACCATTTGCGGAAGCTTGGACGCACCACCTGCCACCTGGTAAGTTCAAACTATGCCCAGATCTGACTTGCAAGTTTCTGACTCATTGGGACAGGAAATTTGGCCCTTTGGCCGGAAACCGTGGAGTGGGCGCCGGAAAACACTTTATCTCGGCGTACGGGTTTGACTCGCAGACGCCGGACTCGCTCTGTTTCGCGTCCTACACCTACACCGACGCCAAGGGTGCAAAGCAAAACACAATGGTACCTGACCACGGATTCAGAGCACTAGACGACGATCCGTAAGTTTTATTGAAAATTCTTTACTGCCGTGTATTAATCTCCTGTTATAGCATGTTTGGCAACCCCTACAAATGGCCCAGGCAAAACTGGAAGATCGACCCAGCACCCGCGGCAAACGCCGCCAACAGACCGGTATCTATCAACAGTGCGGCGTTCCAAAAACGTGACGGTGCGCAAGAACTACTCTCCAATATTACACACAATGTTACCAGCAACCAAGACCATAATTCCATTTGCCATGTAGCTGTCGGTGAAGGTGGTCAACTGGATGAGGTCGAGATCATTCTCGATGATCACATTTTCGAGGACATGGATGGCAACTTGGTGAACGGCAGAGCGTGTAGCATCATCTACGACGACTCGAGAGAGGTGCAACTGCTCATTAATGGAGATGGGAATGTAGAGTATGCAACTCAAGATGAAGATTGGCTACCCAAAGAGGTTCCAATCACAAAGGAAGAAGAGCTGTCTGCGACGTACAGCACAGAGCTGGCCAAGCCAAGCGAGAGTCTCTCTATTGTACCTATCAGGACTGAAACATCGGGAGGGTCAAGCGGGAGCATTATTACGATGCCCCCTGCGATCCCTTCATCCTAGGTTCGCAGTGTGTATAACACACATACTTTTGCTAAATGAATCTCAATGTAGCGACTATACTCTCGTGTTTCTGAGGTGCCAACGATTTAGATTTTCAATCGCAATAACTTGTACAGATTGATGTACCTCTGTGACCATGAGTCTCATTTATAATATTGGTTGTACTAATATGGTCGTTGGACATCTAAAATATATCTTGAAACTAGAAGCGGAATAATGGGCGCAAAATCCGCAGAATTTCCAAAGTTCGCCCATGTAGAAGTTACCAAGCGAATTTGAAGACCAGGAAGCGTGCTCACAATTGATTGGTGTGATGGGGTGAGATCGCTTTGCCCATTGTCAGCCGCATGCTTACAAAACCTACCTAGGTTAGGTACCTACCCACCTACCCAACCGGGTCACGGCCTCCAACGGAGCAATAGTCCGAGGCTTTCTCTAGAGACTGCTCAAGCTGTAGCCTGACGCTTATTGAAACGGCTTGCCAAAAGGCTGGACGCAAGACTGTAAGGGATTTTTGACTCGGTAAAGGGATTCCCTTTCTAGTGAATCAAGACTAATGCAATAGTAGACATGCCGATGACGTCTAAATAGCAAGCCAAACTCTATGCAGGCTTCCCTGTATTCGCGACAATGCGGCTCCTCCAGCTTCACGACGGCGAGCTAAATCTGACCCCGGACTTGACCCGCGACATTCCCCCCTACGCGATCTTATCACATACTTGGCGAGCCGACGGCGAGGAGGTGACTTTCCAGGATGTATCGCAGAAAAAGTTGGGAAACAAGCCGGGCTATCAAAAGATATTGTTCTGCGGACAACAAGCAAAGCGCGATGGACTCGACTACTTCTGGGTGGATACCTGCTGCATCGACAAAACAAGCTCAGCAGAGCTAGCCAAGGCTATCAACTCCATGTTTCGTTGGTATCAAAACGCGACAGTATGTTATGCCTACCTCCAGGATGTTTCCGCAATGCCGGAGCAGAACGGCCAGACCTTGCATCCATGGGATAGCCAATTTCGTGGAAGCAGGTGGTTTACACGAGGATGGACGTTGCAAGAGCTTCTGGCCCCCAAATCAGTCAAGTTCTTCTCATCGGAAGGCATCTTGTTGGGAAACCGGATGTCCTTGGAAAATGTCATCCATACTGTGACAAAAATACATATCTCGGCGCTTCGCGGCGATCCGCTTGACCGATTCCCTATACTACACCGAATGCAGTGGTCGAGCGGCCGGTACACTACAGAGGAGGAAGACGCCGCATATTGCCTTTTGGGCATATTCGACGTTTATATTGTACCGATATACGGTGAAGGCAAAGCAAACGCAATGAACCGGCTGCTCAACGCGATCCAGGAGCGAACAGGTATCCCAAGTTTCCCAGCACAGCCTAAGCAGTCAGAATCATCGTCGAGCTCACCGGCAAATCAAGAAGCACATTTCCCTCTGCCCTCCGGGCGGGAAAATGAGGTTATGGGGAAGAAGCTTCCTCTTGATGACCTGGTGGGACTCAAGTCAGAGTTAGACCGTCGAACAAGTCTCCTTGAGGAGATGACAAAAGAAGTTTCGTCACTTCGTGAGCTTATTTCAGAAAAGGACGAGACGACTCATAATCTCAAAGAAATGACTAAACAGTCGGGGCAAAAAGATTGTGAGCCGTCGTACGAAGATATTGTCAATCGGATCCTTGAACTCAAGGCTGCCATCATCAGTTTTTGCAGGAAATGTCTGCCATTGGGTGTCAAGTTTCAATCAAGAAAAGGTTCCTCACCAGATATGAGCGAACTTCTTATGCGTTCCAACGTAGCTCAAGAGATTCATTGGGTCTTCTTCCATGAAAGAAACCAGCTTTTTGGTCATTTGGACAACCAGCAATATCGTGAAGAGTCCAAAGACAGGAGCTCCTACCAGAAGATTGAGGGTATATTCACTAAACATTCAGATAGTGAAGTGCTAGGTAAACTTCGCAAACGCATGAATTATGATGGAGAAGTGCTGACATCCAATTCAGAAGACGAAATTAAGAAATGGCGCATCTCTACCATCAATTTGGCAAAACGTATTAGTCGAGACCAGAATGCATATCCTTTCTTTCAGGCCAGAAAAATCTGGCCGCGCTTGTATGAACGCAGCGCCCACTTCCAGAGTAGGAGTGATCGGCGTGATCAGCCGCCAGAAACTTTGTTTGAACTATGCAAGATTGCCTATGATCTTGCCCTGCTGTTCAGATCGTCTTATATCGACTACAAATGGCAACAAGATATCGGTCTCATGGCTATCCAGCCCGATGACGCTGAAGTTATTGGTAGCACGGGCGTCTTGTATTCTGCTGCTGATGATGGGTATAGAGTGGGCTGTGTTGTCTTTGGTGGCGTAGTTAGAGGGAGCCGAAGTACCGGAAAGATTCGTGACGGTCCAATTACGCTGACAAGGCCGGCTGTGGTGATAGACTACGTGAAGAAAGACGAACGAAGATTGAAATAATTCCGTCTCCCGATTCATGACCAAGGGGTGTTGGGCTGGCAGATATATTAGGACAGGTGATCATTAAGGATCTCGGCGAACATCTCGATACATGTACATAAATCTGTTTTCATATTACTCGAGTAAATTCGCGTTGCACTTGGCGTACCATATCGGGGTGATCATTGTTGGAGTAAAAGTAGTACATGCTGCCTTCCCGTCGCTAGAGAATAGATTCCGAAGCTGTAAATATCTTCACTAAACCGCCCGATCTGAGCCCTGAAGCATTTAGCATTTTACGGCTTACGAAGGCTGATATACGCTTTATATCAAGTATTATAGCTGTATTCTCATTGTTAAAAATTGGCCATGTCTTGTCTATAGGTCAGATATACTCAGCCCTGCGTCAAAACCGATGCAAGGCTAAAAATGCTCTTATGCTTGTGCAAATAAATCTCCGTGTGCACTGGCCGATCAATACGGCCTCTCTAACTGACCATCAGGGACATGGGCCATTTGTTATCTCACAGTGAGAGGAGGACGCACAAACGAACTAATCCCATATTCTTGCACCAACTGAGCTCTGATAGGCTCTATGTAGTCTCCGGATTGCTAATTGCCCGGCAGCACGATCACTTCCGAGAATTTGCATCTCACTAAACCCGATCCCGCTGAGGTCTGCCCCGTTGCTGTTCTTCAGTTGCTGATGTTGCGTTGAATGCTGGATAAGAAGCACAATACATCCCCTCATCGCTTTGGCAAGCTCATCGGCCAGAACTTGGAAATTAGGCGAAGCTACCACCGATAAACTGTTGGCCCGCTCCGTTATTGTTGATCTGTCTCCCACTGCCAGTGTTGATGTTTTGAAAACCAGAGCCGTGGTTATTTATGCTACCATGCCAGGTGTTGGAAGGCAGCGATGGTGGGAGAGTTGACACTTCGTCGCTTGCCTCTGCCAGTCTCCGAAGGTCCGCTTCGGTGCCCAGCTTCATGATATGGTTGCCTGCCAAGAGTTGCACATCGTCCAGAATGCCTTTCATCAGAGATTCAACCAGGCTTCCTTTGCCCAAAGTTCGGAAAGCAAGCTTATACCGTTGCATTCTTGACGCACTCTCTTGTGGGATGACCTCGCGAAATATTCTCTCCAGGCGTGATGCTTTATCCTTGCAGCTATCCGCTATAGGTTCCACCGCCTTATAGACGCTCTCATCTGGATTGCAACTATCAAGGTGTTGCCTTACAGTTTGCATGGTTTCTGTTACTAACGGAAGGCGTCGCGCCACGTCACGAAATGCTAAGGGAAGACCTGAAGCATCTGAGACGGTATCATAGACTTTTACTGCTGCATCAAGAATCGCAATTATAGCAGAGACCACCCCGATAATTTCAGCCCCAGACATATCGTCTAGCTATGATTCCAGTCGTTCAGCGTGATTGAGGTAGTTTGTCGATGATTTATCATGGAAATAACTCGGAAAATGATGGCCTCAAGGCATGAATGGTCCACGATAAGTAAAGACTTGGTTGTGGTCAGCAGTCTGTTGAGAGGGCAAGCAGAGGATTGGGTATATCATTATGTACTGTAGGGCGACTATTACCTTTCTTGGGTTGATGGACCGTTCCGCTCGTTTCGCAGAAGACATGTAGCTGTTGCTGATGATTGATTGACACAGGAGGCAAACGATCGCTACAGGACAGGGCGAGTAAGGCTCTCCGAGAAGTCATTGGCGATCATGTGTCTTGAAGTGATTGGCTCTTTCCCAATGGTGGATGTACGGTGGGTAGGACAAATTGCGGCTGAGTCGACGCCAGGTCTTTCCCCGTGCGGCTCGCTTCGTTAGAGTAGCAATCGGCTGGATCAAGGTGGGCCATAAGTCCCATGCAACTTTTCGAGACTTGATCCTAAGGCCAGAATCAAGACTGGTTCGCTCAACGCTCGCACCACTTTATAAGATTCTACGGTCGCGCTAGTGGCGTCCACAAACTGATAGAAGCAACTACTCCACCTCAAACTTTTGACGAGCGACCACCACCGTAATATCGATAGAACAACGATGGCGGGTCCGCAAGCCACTCAGTTTCTTTCGCTAGCCAAACGTACAGTTCAGAATCTTGAGAATACCGCTGAAGAATACGATCTGATGAATCTTGAGAACCTGCCAATTGCATTCTTGGAAGTGGTCAAACACATACCTATCGCTTCAGATGCACTCAAAGCGCTACGAGAAGAAGTAGCAAGGGAAAGGATGACAGCATCTACGAGGACGCGATACCCCTTGTTGGAGAATGCAAGGCCAAAGCCGACCGTTTAGAGCAACTCTTCTCCAGGGTTGTGCCGTCCCCACCCATACAGCGACTGGAAGTCTACCGCGGAACAGTACGCGAACTTGGCAGAGGCAACCGTGTGGAAACCCTTCTCAAGAGCATAATGGAGGACATCAAAGTTCTTCTTTTGTTTGACAAAGACATGAAGTCGGCGCTTGAAAACCAGGTGCAAGCCCTGGTCGAGGCTATCCAAAAAGTGGCGGCTATCCCGCCGTCGCTACCAGATGAGACCGAGGGGTCCAGTATCAACAATTATGGAACGGGCTTCCATAATGTCAACACTGGTACCGGACCCCAGAACAACAACAATGCTTCAGGTCAACAGTTTATTGGTGGCACATTCTCAGGGTTCAATCCTTCATCTCCTCCAAGCAAGAGCGATGAGAACAAAAGCCGAGAACATAATTGACTAGATATATAGTTAAAATGCAGTTATTTATGTTTCCTTGATGATTTTGTTTGCCCGTGCGAGTGGCATACCTGATTGAAACATGTGGGACCCTTTGATCTTGGTCGGACTATACTACCGCTAGGGGTCCACTATAACGCGCGAAAATGTGGTCAGTAAAGCAACCTTGACTAGAAATGTAAGTTTTAGTATTCGGATGAAAAGAAGGTATAACTTTAGTATGAACTTCCCAAATGGTCGACATGTAATGGGAGCTGGAAATGGACTCTGTGAGCCATCCACAAAGTGAAGTGTAATGGTGTGAAAGAAGGAAGGGGCTCCCAAACCTACACCTAGTACCGCTAAAACTAATGTAGATACCCACCTACTAGTGGGGTGCAGCAGCCCATCAACACCGCATCCTAGCGCGTCAACTAACTCCTAGTACTAGTATAGAGGTAAATGGTACATATCACGATATTCAATTTGCTAAAAGTGCCTCTGCCGAGACGGTGTATGTATACAACACTTCATCCCAGAATTTAATTGCATTTGTATAAACGATAATCAGAAATATGCTGAATATTGGATTGCTCAATGAGAAATTCTCAATGTCAGGCTAAACGAATTAGATCTCGTCTCGATCACGAATTTGCACGAATCACAGCGAGGGTGCTCCTCACGCGGCGGCTCTGCGTCAGCGAGAAGCAGCATGTCGCCCATTTCCCAGCCGCATCATCTTCTTCCCCAGCTCCTCTCTCAACCAGCCTGTACCGTCGGGATCAGCGCCTTTGAGAAACTGAAAGCCTCTCCCACATCACCTTGTCAAGTATTCCGATCAAAAGTACGGGACTCGCTCGGCTTGATATATCCGCAGAATGTGATTTTCTCCCAGCCCAAACCAACACTCCAATGAACCCGCCCTCGAACAACATCGGCAATTATAGCGGTGGATTCCAGAACGCCGCGACAGGAAGCGGGTCGCAATACAACAATAATGGGCCCAGCAACGGGCAGAGCATTCAAAACATCTACAACAATACCTATCAATGTATGGGCAACGCTCTTCGCAGTAAAGAATTTCGATCAGAGTCGCTAATCATCACAGCCTCACTAAACGACAACATCACGAAACTTAGAGACGGTAAACAGCATGATCGACGGTCGATAAAAGTGACAAGCACTAATTATTTATAGAGTTCCTCCGGTCACTTTCGTTTCCACATATCAAAGACCGACTCTACGACATCGAGCCCGCCTACAAAGACACTTGCGAATGGCTGTTCGAGACCGAAGAGTTCCTGAAATGGAAAAATCGACTTGATGTACCTGGGAATAACGGAGTGCTCTGGATCAAGGGGAAGCCGGGAGCAGGCAAGTCGACGCTGATGAAGCATACTCTGAGCTACTGCGAGAATGAGTGGGGCGCTGATTGCCTCGTATCCTACTTTTTCAACGCTCGAGGCGAGATTTTGGAGAAAACTACACTGGGCATGATGCGGTCGCTTGTGTACCAGCTCATCAAACGTGATGAGACGCTGTGGAAAGTGTTTCTGAATTCCTTCCAGGAGAAAATGTGGACTGGTAAGGCGGGAGAGTGGGTATGGAAACAATCAGAACTGAAAGAGTTCCTACGGACAACGGTCATGCGGCGGTCTCAACCACTCGTTCTTCTTGTCGATGCCCTCGATGAGTGCAACAAGCAGGATGTTAGAGATGTCGTCAAGTTCCTGGAGACTTTGAGCGATTCTGCCGTCCAAGGCGGCGCCGATCTACGGATCTGCCTCTCGAGCCGCCACTACCCCCACGTGAGTATGAGGAAGAGCCTTGAGCTGAGTGTCGAGCTGCGAAGCGGGCACGAGCGAGACATCGCCACCTACATCCGTGATAACCTACGAACAAAAGACAAGAATATCCGAGCCCAAGTCCAGAACAAGGCAAATGGCATTTTCATGTGGGTTACTATCGTCGTAGCTCTGCTGAATCAAGCTCACGACGATGGCCGACCGGAAGCGATGCAAGAGACCCTAGACAAGGTACCAGACGAGCTCGATGGAGTGTTTCGCATGCTTTTGGCCCCTGAGGATTCTGCCTCGAGAGCAGATACCACTCTGCTTTTCCAGTGGGTGCTTCTCAGTGGGCGGCCGCTTAAGCCCAAAGAACTGTACACAGTCGTTGCTGGAAAAGTGCCTTCAGAGAATGAGGATGTGTCGCGATACCTCAACAGTGTCTCCAAGGGTCTCGTCGAGATAAGACAAGTAGATGAGCCTTCTGTGCAGTTTATCCACTTGTCGGTCAACGACTTCTTGTTCCGAAATAAACGACTACAGACTATGGATTCAACGCTTGGTGAGGAGCCGATCTCGGCCAGCCATATGCAACTATGGGATTGCTGCTGGACCTATCTGAAGCCGTTTACTGCCAAGTCTACATACCGCAAGGACCGAAACGAATTGTGTAAGAAGCATCCTTTCTTAGAATATGCATCGGATTACATCTTCTATCACGCTGATAGGGCGGTATCAGAAGTCAAGCCGGAAGTTTGGCGGAATGTTTTATGGAGACGCTTCATAAGAGTCTTCCCATCCTCCAGAAAGTTCCAGAAACAGTTCATAGAATTATGTCTGGGAGAGCAAACTACGTGGATTGGCCGGCACTGGAATTCGATTAAATTTATACGTTCGGACGGGAACGGAGTTGTTGATGATGGAAGCGATATAGGGCTGCTTTACATATCATCACTTTGTGGTTACACGAATCTGGCCCGAGAGGTACTCAAACAAGGTGCCAACATCAATACTCAAGGCGGCGATTACGGCAACGCCCTACAAGCTGCTGCGTATAAGGGTCACGAAGAGGTTGTAAAACTGTTGCTCGATCGAGGTGCCGACGTTAACGCTCAAGGCGGCGAATACGGCAACGCCTTACAAGCTGCTGCACGTTATGGTGACGAAAATGTTATAAAACTG